AAGCAGCACAGTCGATTGAATTAAGTGCTCTCATCCCGCTTAAATACGGCTGTTCTAAATGCATTCTCGTGGGAGATCCGAAACAATTACCTCCTACTGTCTTATCAAAGGTCGCTTCCCGATTTCAATATGAGCAGAGTCTGTTCGTCCGGATGCAGGCCAATCACCCTCGAGATGTACATCTCCTAGATATCCAATACCGCATGCATCCACAGATCAGCGCTTTCCCGAGTTCTGCCTTCTATGATGGCAAACTCCAAGATGGACCTAACATGGACAAGCTTCGTTCGCGTGCGTGGCACCAAAGCGAGCTTCTCAGCCCATATCGATTTTTCGATGTGCAAGGTCTTCATCAAAGTGCAACAAAGGGCCACTCCCTTGTTAACTTGGCGGAACTCAGAGTAGCAATGCAATTGTACGAACGACTGACAGCCGACTTTCGGGGCTATGAGTTTACTGGGAAGATTGGTATTATCACGCCATACAAAGGCCAACTTAGAGAGTTGAAAACGCACTTCGCTGCCAAATATGGGAACTCCATATTCAACACGATCGACTTCAATACAACAGACGCCTTCCAAGGCCGAGAGAGCGAGGTTATCATCTTCTCTTGCGTTCGAGCTTCTAACAAAGGAATTGGTTTCTTGTCGGATATTCGTCGTATGAACGTCGGTTTGACGCGTGCTAAGTCGTCTCTTTGGGTCCTCGGCAACTCACAGTCCCTGGCGCAGGGAGAATTTTGGAATAGTCTTATAAAGGACGCCCGTCGACGAAACGTTTATACAGACGGTGATGTCCTGAATCTTCTGCAACGCCCCCAATTTACTGGCTATAAAAATGTCGAGATGTTAGATATCGGTGCACCAGAATCAACTGCACCTTCTGGGGATGCGTCCGTCGGACCCGCTTCTCGGCCTTCCTCAGCCTCACTTGATAATCTTCCATCTGACTCGCCCTCTGTGACTGCATCTGGGAATGGTACCCCGCCCATTGCCCCTCCTGATGGTCCCTCGGGTGGTTACAATGGTCTGGATGAGACTCGCATGTGCGGTTATTGTGGAAGCTTCATCCATATGACACACAACTGCGACAATGTCGAAGCCAAGGAAACAACTCAGGGCAAATGTTACAGGTGTGGGGAGCCGGGACACACGCGCAATTACTGTACGGCAGATCGATGCGTGGAGTGTGGCCAATTTGGGCATCTCTCTACCGCTTGTCGAGCGACCAAGCATTTACCCAAGTATGAGAAGGGGAAGGTTAGGCGAGAGGAGTACAATTTTGCTCAAATGCAGAAGCAGAAGGCAGAGCGTCAGCGCCTCAGGCAGCTCGGAGGGCATGATCCTAAGGTTCCTGCTATCCAGGTTACGACCGGGTCGGAAAGCAAACCACACGAACAGGCCATAGCCGATAATAACAAAGGTCCAAATAAACGCAAACGCACCGGTTCACCTCCTAATGCTCTGATGGGTCCCAAACGGAAGACTGATCAGAATGCTCTGCCCAATGCTCCCAAAGGCCCGCGGCGGAAGATTGATGCTAACATTCCTCCGAAGGCAGAGGTACGTGTATTTTTTTTTTTTGGTCTTAACTTAGAATTCTACGCTCCCTTGGCTGCATGCCGAACTGACCAACGCCATAGGATCTGGTCAAACCATCACGAGATGGTCCAGCATATACCCCTATTAGTCACAACAAATCTTCAGGAGGCGCGGGTGTAGGCCCAGCATCAGCGAATGTATGTATTTACTACATGAATCGCTTGACGAATTGCTTGCTGACTTGCAGTTACGAAGGCTCCACGACCACCCCGCCCAGGCAACGGAGTCCGGCCTCCGCCACCACCGAGGCGCAAAAAGAAAGAAGCCGATCCATTTATCAGACCAAAGAGAAGATAGATACTGGAATTGCAGGTATTTTACAGGGAGTGCTGCACTTGTCTTATCACAGTTCCACTGTCATTTAATAGACATGTCTCACGCACCTTAAAAGGTCGCAAGGCTTACGTATGACACGTTGGTCTTGCATTTGTATGCATACGAGCGTCCGAATTGTTGAAGGACTCTCAATACCCCCTTTTTGTTATTGTTCCTCTCTTTCTACTTCCTTCATACTATGTTATGTACTTCTGTTCCTTCACATACTGTTTTTGTTTATTTTGCATAGAATTGGTTGGTTTGCCTGATGAGTGCTGCTTTTTTTGTGTAGCCTCTAGTTGGTTGGCAGCAGGCGACGATTTCGAGAGCTCGGGGATAAAAGCATTGCGTGGCGTTTGGTTCTCTTTTCCATCATGATTCCATCCTCTCCGTTCTGTGGTGATACTCTTAGGCCGATGATCGAAAAGATAAATGACCAATTGATAGGACTTTGTTTGGATCGGCCTTCGGCAAGGACTTATACCACCTTCCCTACCCATGCCTATTTGTGCGATCTGCTTGTATATAAGTGCTTTTGTGTGTATGTGTATCGTATATCTATGTGAAAGGGGTGGTCTCGCAATTCGATTCGCCCACCCCTGCAGATCCTGGCCATAGCCACTGAGCGGCCTTTTTTAAACTGACTCGATTTGAGTAATTTCTGTCCTGACAACCTGCAGATCAATGGACTCACTTATGAATTCGGTAGGAGGGTCAAGCCTATGGAGACGTCAATCCCGTAATTGTGGATACTTAAGTACGGAGTAGTCATACTTTAGACACACATCGTCTCAATCTATCGATCTCGGATCTAGTAATGCATCAGGATCGGCACCGTCGGGAATCATATGATCAACCCGCCGGACAGATATGTAAGTCAAGTATGCACTGGGCTCGCATGGAGCAGTATGACTGAGATGACAGAGCCGGACGGTTCTGTCCTACCACGTTCGATCGAAGTTCTATTTAGAACAGTTGCACGCATGTTATCGGAAGAGGGGAATGAAAAATGCACTGCATGAGAGACAATGCTTGCCCGTAGGACCCTCTGCAAGGGAGTGGATATTCATCTCCTTTCCAAACTAGAGCAATTCGCGCCCTCTCTCCCTTCTTTCCACCTCCTGCGTCATCCCTCATACTCCCCTGGTTCGCGTGGCCATGCAACCTTCGAAACCGAGCACGAGTCTTAGGATTGTCCTACGAAGGCCAAGCGGATGGGAGAGACATGCGAACATGACGTTCGTCTTCTTTGACCCAAGCATATGTACGTGCAATGGGTCTGGATAGGGCCAACTCGTTTAGTAATCGTCTTCTCTATTCCTATTACAGTATACTTATATACTTATGGATCAAGGAATATACCTAATATAATAAATCCATCCAATTCAGTCTGAAATATTTTTATTTTAAACCTTCGATTCGGTTGATATATTGTACCTCAAGCTTTCGTATTGTCGATGGGGGGCAAATCGAAGTACTCTCTTGGGAATTGGATGAGGCTTTTCTCCCCCTTTGGGTGATGGCGCGACCTTTGTGACCTGTCCAACTCCTCCCTTCCTTCCTCGCTATCTTTTTCTCTCCTTCTGTCATTAGGACGATTGGTTATCCGACCTGCATGGCTCCTCTTGCCACTATTAGATTTGGTTTCTTTCCTTTTGTTTTCTCTCGTGATCTACCTTCTTATCCTTGCATTAGTTGATGACCTTAGGTCCGGATGTGCTTGCTCTGGTCGAATCCTTGGGTGACACCTCACATCTCTACATTATCTTCCTCTCTTGTAAGGGACTCTTCAATCATCCCACCTTCAGCCCTTCAGCTATCACTGGTGCCCCCTCAAAGGGCCCAGGTCTCAATGATGGCATCCCTTACTTGTAACGGTCTTCTAGGGGCCTTCTATGCCTCGATATAGGAGTCGTCGACGATACGGTGTCACACAACAGTGTACTCCGTACCTAATGCAGATCGGGGACCGCGACTTCATAGTCTTGACCTAGCCAAGCCTTCTCTTTGTATTTGGCAGTGAGCTACATACAAAAAGAAAATGAAAGCAAACACTGCGAATTGGGGGAAGCAATCCGCGGCCACGCATGATGAAAATCTGCGACTACTGCTGCCATGACAGGGGGACGTGCAATCCCGAGCAACTAGTCTCCTCGACGTTCTACCAACAGCATAGAGCCTGTCGGTCTCTCATTCGTGGCATTTGGAGACCGATCGAACTACTACGAGCACGGACAGGATCATCCCTTAACGTTTCTTTATTCCTTTTAGAATTTATTCTCATTCTAGGTATTTCCTTTTTCCCTTTTCCTCCATCCCCTTCTGATCTTATTTCCTTTTCCGTCAATAATGGTTCCACCTGGCTTCCTTACTGCCACAATCCTAGAAAATTTCTCTCCTCTCTTAGCCTCTAGGAGCCTGTGAATCCTGGCATGGTGGAATAGCACTACTTAGATCTAACTCTATCTCTCGAATTATCGAGAACGAGGAGGATTCTTTATTCGACAATGCATCTACTCTGCATTCCATCGGCCCATTACGTCCAGGATGGATTCTCCCAGTTATGTAGGGGCATGATAGGTCGAGATCGGATGGCTTCCTTCTTAAACCTCGAAAAGCCCTCTTCCCTAAGGTGTTCCTTCTGCTCGCAGTGTAAATTTTTATTTTTATTTCGGTACCTACGGCGGTACTTGGATTTTTTTTTTTTTTCTGTACATACATGATTCTTTCCTTCTGAGATTGATATACGCTCCCTCCTACTTGTACGATTAACTTTTTTCCCACCCTTGTCGGCCTCAAAGAGAACGAGGAGCAAACGAGCAGAAGAGACCCATTATTTATTGAGTCTCCGGCTTCGATCTCTCTCATACATCACATCTCCGAGCTCACCGCAGTCGATGTGGGCATCTCATTTACAACGTGGAAGTGTTTGAAATCCAACGGACCTCAAAGTCCAGCCCCCTTATGCAGCATCAGAAGAGGTTGCAGGGCAGCATAGTCGCTCCTAGCCCGGTTGTTCCAACGCGCCGGCCCAGTTCACACAGTTCACACAGCTCACAGTGGTCCAGGCGTATACACTCCAGCATGTCTGCCGCCTCAACCGGGGATGTTTCGGATCCAGGAACACCTGATAGCCGGGTGAAGAATGAGACTGTTCCGGAGCTGGTGCAATTGTTTCAAGCACAGAATGCATCCCGGCCTGCAACCCCCCAAAACCCGGGGGCGCGTGAAATCTTAAAGGCTGGTCAACGGCGCTTACGTCAACTGGCTCAACGCCAGAGGAGGCCAACAGACCCCAAGTCCAAGGCTGAGGAAGCATCCCGACAGCTGTTGGCACTCCAGCAGGAAGGATTTCTCCCTCCCCCTAGACCCAGGAGAACAGACCCCAAAAGAAGTATCGACTCGACAATATCACATTCATATTCTACTTCTGACCTGAGTTTCATGTCCAATTCACGACAGGATGTCGAAAGCATCGGTCAGCCATGGCTTGTAGACCCGCTGGGGAAACTGAACACCCACGATAGGAAAGATAGCCATGTAACTTCAATCGATATACGAGATTTGACCTCTTTGGTCGAGTCTTCGGGTCCTCTTTCTCCTACTCATGAGGGGAGTCCTCCTCCTTACCAACCTTCCCCACAGTCCAACGTTATTTCAGGTGACAACAATGAATTGAAACAGCATCGTACCAACGCTTCTGATCTTCACTGCAACCCGTCACAGGCTGGTGACAGACAGGATAATGAAACAGAAGCACATAAATCCCCTAACCCATTATGCCGACGGAATGAGGACGATTCCAAGAAATCTTCTTCGGCACCGCCAGAGGCCACTTCTTCAAGTGATATCCACCGGGTAAGTGTGAGCCTGGACTAAATCATTGATCGAAGAGCTAACAACGCAAAGCAGCCCAGCACTGAACAGTCTCAAGAAACCAGAGCGAAAGAGGCCAATGATAATCTCGACAAGTCAGCCCGTAATTCTGCCATGTCAAGCACGTCAGCGTCTTCACAGCCCCCTGCGCACACGCTGAAGCTCTTTCCTGATACCATGTCTCCTCGGGCCTCGACTAAGGGAACCTGGCGCATATCGAATGGTCGTCCACCAAATGGGCCTCTTCCGGCAACTCCTGATACCCGACGGGGTTGTGTATCGGGCACATCTAAATCAAGTTGGGAATCAATCAATGAAGTCCAAAAGCCTTCCGCCGACACTCCAAATGCACAAGACAATGTCGGTAACCCAAGTAGCTCAGATATCAAACAATCTATGCAATCCACAAAACTCAGTGGTAGCGCCACCGACAATCCTATGCACGAAAATTTCCCACACACTGGCCGTCGTCCTACCTCTCTACCATTAGGCGCAATCAATTCCTTCCCTTTACCGGTACCGATGCTGCCCCTGCCATCCTTACCAGAACCAGTTTCTGGAATTTATGCCGGCCGGGACCGAAATACCGTTGTTGGTCAACGAGTATCTCAGGCTCATTCCAGTCAACCAGATCGGCAGCCATCTGGAGAAAACAGGATGGTTCACGCCGAAGAGAATAGAGACTATTCTACATCTACCACACCTATAATGGAGAGCAAAGGTTCGATGACAGGCATACAAAAAGACAGCGCCAAAACATCTATGTCTAGCCAAGTAGAGCCCACGCAGCTTGTACGAACCGGGCCCGGCCGAGCGGAAAGAGTGCATGCATTAAAGATGAAAGATATGTCTGCTAGTCGACTTAATCCGAAAGGAGCGGGCAAATCTATGCAAGAGGAAAGGGAGCAATCCCCCAGTTCCTTACGTTTGACCCAATCGAGGTCATCGCAACGAACCGGCGGAGGGTCACTCGATTCTCGGCACAACGATGCGAGCCCTCCATCCCCGTCTCTCTCCCCCCCCTCGAAACTACCAGCGAAATCCCCTGCCAATGAGTCAATGATTGGAAAGAGGACCTGCAGTTCACCTATCTACTCCAATGTTGTTTCGGTCGAGACCGATGAGCGATTATCGCTACCTGGATCAACCCAAAACTCTCGGATTTATCGAAGCAGCGGCGCAAAAAGCGCAAGTATTATCTGCGAGAAGATGGCAAATGAGCAAGACGTACACAATCAATCTCAAAATGTTTTTCCAACTTCAGATGATGAATGCATTGGGACAACCTCCTACAAAGACTATCAACCGCGTCCGACATCAGCTCCGCCTCGAAGGACTAAGCCAGCACCCAGCGCTGTCAACGAACTTGCCTCGTATCGAGCACGTCATTCCAAGAAGAAGTTACCATCTGAATCTGCCCGTCCCACGACACCCAGAAACCGGAGGAGCCGTGGAATTGAGAAGTCGTCGCCACAGTCACCGCATTCTCAGAATACGTACTACTCTCAAGATTCACGAGGAAGCCGGCATCATGCATATACATTAAACCTCGAAGGGCGCATTGCACATCTCGAGCGTCAAAACAAAATCCTTCAGGCGGCTCTCTTTGCGGCTCTAGATGTCGGTGTTAAGCAAAACATGGAGAGTCTACTCGGTGGGCTGAATACCGCACAGTCTGCTTCTGGTACAGGCAGATCCTCCTATTCTTCAACGTCGAATCTATCCAGCGTAGACGAGCTCCCACCAAAAAGGAGCAAGCTCAAAAGGCAATCCCACCGCCGTCAGGGAAGCTGGATTGCAAGCCCAGATTCCAGCCAGCGGGACAGCTACGGATCAGACGATAGTGCCAACCTTCAAGAAGTGGAAGACATGATAGAAGATTTTGACTTGGACTGGATGTCAGACAAGTCCACTCCGGAGAGGCGTCTACCGATGGTCAGAACTAGGCCTACCTAACATTCTTTTTCTATTTCGTTATTTTTTTTCCCGTCGATTTTCATCTACGATCTGGGAGGCCATCTTTTGAAATCATTTCGTTTCTCCTTTCAAACATTCTCTCACTTTTTTTATTTTCCAAACTTTCTCCATCTCTCATTTCATATTCTGTTCATTGGCCATAGCTTTGTGCCAGAGAACTACTCCGCTACTTCCATATATGGATCTAATTTCTTTGCTTTATGTTCATCTCTCCTTTAGGAATCTCCGTTTCTCTCCTTTTGCTAGACACCCTTTTGGTTCCGTTCGTTGTGTGGATGATTTTTCTCTCTGATGATACCATTCTGCTATATTGAATTCTAGTCTATGTATAGATTAAACAATCCTTCTCTCTGTAACCACGTACAAGAAGTTGTCTAGTAGACATACATAGGAAGGACGCATTGCCTGTCTCTTTGTGCCTCCCAACGGTGTGCTTAGTCATCCACCCCGTGGATAACTAACTAATTAGTTAAACAACAAACAGCTTCCTCTGTTCATCACATCCAGTAACTAGCTTCAACTGGGGCTAGGAGAGCGGCCAACAGAGTGCCGTCAGAAGCAATGACCTAAAAGAGTCACAATCTGGAAACCATCTGAGCCTGTACTCATTCTCTCATTTCACTCTTCCATATTCCCCTCAATATCCCCGCAACCTCCAGACATGGCAACCACCACCACCACAACAACAACAACAGTAATGGGTTTCCCACCCTTGGATCTTATTCATGAAGAACAAAAGAATTAAGTCAAATGTTCTAACAGACTCAGAATTCTCAGATCCCTCAGCATGTCACTGCTCTCCTCTCACATCTTACGGCACGCCCAGGAGTCCAATCCACCTTCATCCTTTCTCGCAAAGATGGCTCCATTATCCAAAGCACTGGACTGCTTGCATCCAAACCTGCTACAAGCATAGCTCAGATCAGTGCAACGACGGAAGAGCCGCCCAGCTCCACTACTCCTACTTCTCCCACAGTTTCGACCTCCCCTTCCACCTCCGCCAGCACCACTCCTGGTCCAACACCCCTAACGCCGTACCAACCCTCTCAAGCGGAAGCTCTGGCGGCCCGCATTTTCGCCTTTGTATCTAGCGCAACGGATCTGAGCCTTACTCTATCCCGGCCTCCCGGCACAGAAAACAAGCATACTTCACCCCGGCTGGCCGAGTCGAACGGTATGCAAGGACTAGGCATCGGGGCGACTCGGGAGGAGGGGGAGGCAGAGGGGTCAGAGAGAGAGGATGACGATGAAGTGAAGCTCTTGCGACTGAGGACTAAGAAACATGAGATTGTTGTCGTCCCTGATAAGAAGTATTTACTATGTGTAGTGCACGGTGCAGCTCATCCGGCTGGCGCACAAGGGAGTGCGGGCATTCGCTCACGGTGACTCCAATGGCATGGCTTGTTTTTGATCCTTTCTTCTTGTTCAACTGGTCTGGTCGGCTTATGTGTTTCTGATTTGGGCCTGGACATATCTTTTGCATGGAATATACCCAGCTGGAAGGCAGATTTAATCATTCTATCTTTTCTATCGGCGTGTTTTACATTGTAGAACAGTGGAGTTGCTCCCAACAGAATCCAACTAGGACCAACACTGCGTCGGTTCCACGCACACCTATAATATGGCCCTCGCATTCAGTACAGTCCCTTCCGGGGCAAAAATTATTCCCTCGGCCTTTGAAATCCATATCTCTGATGAGCAAATCCAGGAGTTGCAGCTGCTGATCAGACATTCTAAGATTGCCCCTCCAACGTTCGAAGGCCAGCAGCAGGACCGGAAGTACGGAATCAGAACCAAATGGCTGGCGGACGCCCGTGAGGCATGGAAGAGCTTCAACTGGTGCTGATTTTATTGCCGACTGTCACGTACAAGCAATGCTGACATCGTACAGGAGAACCATAGAGGACCATCTCAACGGTTTCCCCCAGTTCACCTACGACATTGAAGGATTAACTATCCACCTAGTAGCTCTTTTCTCCGTGAGGCCAGATGCTATCCCGATTGTTCTGATCCACGGCTGGCCAGGGAAGTTCCTTGCTGAACTTCCAACTTTGGAGACTTGAGACTGGACTAATCCTACCGCAAGTAACAGGGAGCTTCGCCGAATTCCTCCCCCTCCTGTCATTGATGCGGGACAAATATACTCCTGCTACTCTGCCTTATCATTTCGTGGTGCCATCACTCCCAGGTTACACCTTTTCCTCGGGTCCTCCACTAGACAGGGACTTCGGTACTGAAGATGTGGCTCGGGTTATCAACACGGTCATGGTCAATCTGGGTTTTGGATCCCACTATGTTGCACAAGGTGGTGATATCGGCGCCAAAATTGGTCGGATATTAGCGGTGGATCACGAAGCCTGCAAGGGTATGTTCCACGACGACTCTGAGAATTCCATGGAAGATTCGTAATGCTGATCTGACACGGCGTATGAAATGCAGCGGTACACTGTGAGTTCTATCCCTATTTCTCTATGCTGTTCTTCCGCTGACCATCCCGGTAAACGTATGCTTCGTCGGGAAACCTGATGACGTCCCAGACACTGCCATATCGGACACCGAAAAACGCAATCTCTCTCGCGCAGAGTGGTTTGCCTCGACGGGGATGGGCTATTACGTGGAACAGGGCACACGCACCAGTACTATTGGCAACGCCATTTCGACTAATCCGGTTGCACTGCTGGCTTGGTGAGTGATCCAGATGCAACGTGCAGAGATATATCCCTTAACGAGCGTCTTGCAGGGTTGGCGAGAAGTTCCTTGACTGGGTTGATGATCCAGTTCCACTACATACGGTCTTGGAGTCGGTGACCCTGTACTGGTTTACGGAGACGTTGCCTCGTTCTATGTACCATTACCGCGAGGTGAGCATCCTGGTTTCTGCGTTTAGTATGGCGGTTACTAACCACCCGTCTCCAGAACTTCCCACCACCCAAGGTCAGGCATGCTATGGACCCGAGATGGTATATCCGCAGACCGTTGGGGTTTTCGTACTTTCCGATGGAGCTGTTGCCCGCACCACAGGCATGGGTTGCGACGACGGGGAATCTTGTATTCTGGAAAGAGCATGCGAAGGTATTTGACTACTTATACACTCAGGGGCTTTTTTTTTTTTTTACGAACTTAACTAACATCACTAAGGGAGGACACTTTGCAGCCCTCGAGAGACCGCACGAACTTCTAGATGATCTGCTTGAATTTATCGAGCAGATCCGGCCGGATCTTACGAGTTGATAAACCATCCAACCCATCCAACAATTAACTATATACCTGAGTATGTACTTGAGTGATACAACAAGACCCAGATAACTTCGTATTCTCTGTATTATCCGACAAGAATAAAATATCCGTCGGTAGCGAGTGCACCGTGCAGCAGCAGACAGGCCAGAACATACACAGTACTTCGTACGAACTCTGTAGAGCTCAGGTAAGCACCTAAGCCCGTAGCCATGCGTTAGCATGCATCCTTCATGCAAGAGACTCCCAAACCGGAGGCCTGTCAGGCTTCCAAGCCTACCAAAACATCCCGGACGAAGTTTGCTACCAGCGAGCGATTTCTTTTGCCGACATTGTGGCCAGCACTGGGTTGGGGGACATGGATGGATGGAAGGTGTCGTCAGTCTGGCTGGACCAGCCAGCGTGGGACAAACGTGCATTGACCCCGCAGAATTCTTTGATTGGTTCTATGGGGGGATATGTGTTTTGATTGTTGATCGTTTACTTTTGATATTGAATTTGAACAAAGTATATATTCCTGGTACATAGTATACCTCTGTATAGTGGATGGGTATTTGCCTAAGAGGTGGGATCGAGGTAACCATTTACCTAATATTATACGAAGCTACTAACTATGTATGTATGCTAGGTACGGATAAAGTTGATAAAACTGACCATTTCAACCTGGTACTTCTGTTTATATGGCTGGTCGCAGTACCCAGGAAGTACCTACAGTTTACAGGTCTGAAGAAGTGGATCACGGAGTTCCCGGCAGGGAAGACGAGCGATGATTGGCGGACAGAGAATTCCCCTCCTTTCTGGGTCTTTACCGGATTCGGTCGGGACATGACTCGATGTACAGCGGGGGGAGTTCTGTATCATGGCTATTCTTAGCGACTGGACACTCTTATTCTATGCCTGTACATCTGTGTGAGAATCAAAGGTTATCAACATGTGCTCGCTGCATGGAGTCAGGAGATGGATGAGTTCGGACGAGACGTGACCTGCATGGAGCACTACCTTAGGTAGTTAGTACATAAAAATGGTCAGACACGAATAATCGGAAGAGTAATAGTAATCGTAATAATATTAGATTCTAATATTAATATTAATACGATCCGATCCTACGTGAGACTCAAGGACACCTGATGATATTCGTAATCATTAGCTGATCCGGATCAGACTTTGGTAACAGAAAAGCCAGGTGGAGTTGGTTCTCTGTTGCCTGGACTGATGGTGCTTACAGTAAAAACGTAATTAGGGGGTTCCACAGGGACAGTTGTTCGGCATATGGGGATACGCTGAGACAGGACTATGTACTCGGTAGTGTACTCGGTAGTGTGCGCGAGTTGGTATGAGGCAGTATAATTTATCTATGTACATATATCAAAGGAAAATTTAATGAAACCAATGAATAATATAGAAAATAAAAATAGATAATGTAGGAGTCATCACTGCCCGTCACTGCCTCCTGCCTCCGGATGGTGGCGTGGGCGGGCAAATCGAATACCGGTGGTTGGCTGATGTGCGGCGGCTGGGCTGGGCCGGATGGGATGGGAATCCATGGACTTCTGAAGTCTCGAAGTAAGTAGGAACTGTAGAGATTACTGTGCGGAGTACAGAGTAACTAAGTAGAGAGTATGTACGGAGTATAGGAGAATGAATCGACGGTCTCTAGGGAGTTGGCCATCATCCATCGTGGTATCCATACAATCCGTAAACCATATATACATCAAGATAGATAGATGAGGGATTCAGTATAGGGCCTGGTATTAATAGTATCAATAGTATCAATATTGATAATATTGTAGACACTTGATAGAATTGAATCCAAAAGCTGATTCACTGACGGAATGCCCAAGTTGGGCCTCCTATCGCGGATGGCGAGGAGTCATCACCGCACCCGGCCAGTTCCCGATCTGTTACTCACTTACTCATTTCTTCCATTTCTTACTCCCCAGTCCTCCTTTCTCAGATGAAAGGACGACGAGATTGCCTTCCTTTATCGTCTGATCTTTTTCAATTTCCTTTCGGTCTATTTTACATTTTCTTTTCCTTTTCTTGTCCTTTTCTTTTGATTGTCTGTTTTATTCTTCTCTCCGCTCTTCCGCTTTCCTATCCTATCCTATCCTTTGTATTAGTTCGTAGCCTTGAAAAGTCTGGTCCCTGCATCCGCCGCCCTGTCACTGATTTTCCGCCACTCTTGCCACTGATCACGGTGAGTAACAAACCTGCTTTTTTTTAACTCCTTGCCCGACCAACTTTCTCCCTCGTGTGACGGGATCCTCTTGAATTTTCCTCTTGGTCCTTACCATCATCAGTCTTCTTTCCTCCTTCTTTTCCTCCCACCCCACCCACCCTCCCTTGGCTCTCTCACTGGTTCGCCCCCCCAGTTAGTCATACCTGTTCCATTTCTAGTCTACCGCTCCGCCCTCTCTCATAGTCAGTCACCGTTTGTACCTACCAGGCAGCCTTCCTCCCCGGAGAGTCATAGTCATAAAAGTTGTCGCCGCCGCCCCAAAAATTGGCCTCATTACCAACTGACTGGGTTGCTGACTGACTCTTTTTCTTTCGCCTTAGATCTAACCTCGCCACTCTATCATCCTTCGTCACTCTATTCTCAGGAGAGCCTTCGACCAACTGCTGACTGCCTGGACAAGCGCCACCGTGCCTGCTTGTTAGACAGTCTGCCGTTCTAGCGGCTCTTTTCCTCCCTCTTCGTGCTTGTCATAGATATCAAGATGTACTCTGTTGCTTCGAAGTCTTTTGTTCCGATCGCCTGTGTTGCAGAACCCTCCACCTCAGATCTCCGAACCTCCGGCAAGGACGTGATTGTCTAAATCATCGGACAAGAACTGCATCTTTGGGAGTCACGTTGATTGCGTGGTCATTTCGACGTGTCTCATCCCATACGCGATTTCGGTTTGATCTACCTTGGGACTCTACACCTGGTGATCGGAACATTAGCTCTTTGAATATCTTCTCCTTTCCACCCTTCATCTCTCTCTCCCCCCTCCCCCCTAGTCTCACGATTTATCTATCTCTATCTACCTGACCTGTCTTTGACTTGACTCACCTGCCCTAACCCCCCTTCGCCACCGCCGCTCACCCTTTACCTACTATAATCCAATCTGGCGAATCCTCTCCTCAAGGCTTGCCGTCGCCTGTGAATAAAAAGACGGTTCTTGTCTTATCGGTTTCTCGTTAACGGTTCTTTGCACAACGGTTTTTTTGATAATCCCACGGTATCAAATTGCGCATATTGCCATATTCGGTGTTATTTGAATTCTACGATTCAAACCGCCGTCCATTTGCGTGACCATCTGAGTTACATTTCTTATTTGTTACTTGAGAGATATACAGGCCACTCGACTGGACAGCATTCCGGATATGTCAGGGATTGACGTGTTGGGGTTGAAAGATCCAAACCCTAGTCTTTCATACCAAGCGTCTTATGCGCATCCTTGCACTTCTTCCACCGTCTCCTCCGCAGCCTCCTCCTCTTCGTCGGTTTTCTCCCTGGATGGGGTGTCCACCCAGGGGTCCATTTCATCAACCTCAACGAATCCGGTGGATGTGATTTGGGAGAACGATGGAGAATACCAGGTGGCCGGACGAGGACTGGCTCCTCCGACAAACGGCTCTCGTGGCTGTTTGAGGGGGCTCGCTGTTCCCAAAGCCACCGACCAGGCGGTTGCCCCGGAGTTGCGCAAGCATCCCCGGCGCACCAGCTACGTTCAACCCAACAATACGACCTCCGCACGACCCCCGCCTTGTCTTATGCGACAGTCGGAGCGGAAGGTCCATTTCGTCGATAACCTTGTCGGTAAGTCGTTGCCCGATCTTTCAGTATTCGAGCCCTCCCAAGCTAAGAATTCGCCCGGTCCGGTTGAAGACACCGCGTCCCAGATTGTCGAGATCATCTGGCCCCTGTCCGTCGTGTCCCTGCGAAGCGACTCGACCACTGGATGCAAAGGGGTCTTGCCTCTTCGCACGTTCATCCAGGAGACGCTTCGTCGATCGCGGACTAGCTATAGCACGTTACAGGTGGCACTCTACTATCTGATCAAGATCAAGCCGCACGTGCCCAGCCCCGATCTGACCCCGGAACAAAACAGCGGCAAACCCGTCTGCCGAGCCATGCAGTGTGGCCGACGTATGTTTCTATCGGCTTTGATCCTCGCGTCCAAATATCTGCAGGACCGGAACTACTCCGCCCGTGCCTGGAGCAAGATCTCCGGCCTCAACACGCTGGAGATCAACCAGAATGAGCTGCTGTTCCTGCAAGCGGTTGATTGGAAGCTCCACATCCCCGAGGCCACCTTCCAACGCTGGACTGAGGTGGTCTTGAAATATACCCCCGGAGCGGGTGCTCAGCCGCTTGACGGTCAGACCTGGCGCTCGGTGCTGCCGAGACTCACCCCGGATCTGGACGAGGTGGACGATACCCCGATGACGCCTTCCAGCATGGAGGCAATCGATGCCCGGTCGAGGGTCGATTCGCCATCTCCTCGGGGAACCTCTAGGAGGGGATCGTCTGATTCCTCCTTCACGGGGAGCGAACCCTACGTCTTGCCATCGCTTCCCGAGAGGCAAACGCCGCCCGCCTACGATCCAGTGTCCCGCGTGGAATCCTTCAATCCGTCCCTCCCATCGATTCCGCGGCCGCCTATGCTTCCGACCCCGCAGATGACACCCCAGTCGAACATGGCCACCACTCCTGCTGCGAGTGCTGGCTCATTCCCGCCACACCGGCGTTACCTCTGTTCCGCTATGTCTCAGATGCAAAATATGTGTATGGCGCGGTCGACTCTCGACCAGCGCCCCTCACTGCCGTTTTGCCCAAAGACCGGTGGTTCGCTGGATGGCTATCCGACCTTGGTGCGCCGATCATCTTTGGCTCGCTCAACTTCATCTGCTTCGTCTCCGGAATCGATGGTCTCCGACGTGTCCACCCTGTCCTCGCAGTCCTCGCAGTCTTCTTCCATGTCGAGCTTATCGGGCAGTGTCGCTCTGCCTCGCCTAGCGATGCATGCCGCCCTGCGGCCCACGAATCCGATGAAGGAGGTCCGCAAGCCGCTGGCAGTCGCGTCGCCTATTGACGAGGCCTGTCTGAGTGACTTTTGCCGCTCCCCTGAGAACTACGGTGGCCCGACCGGCCCGGTCCCGGACCTGTCCGACTTTTCGTTGGGAACACCGGTCGACCATGAAGCCGCGCAAAGTCTCTGTGCGCTTTCTGGAGCTGCTGCTGCTCCCGCGAGGGCCATAGGTCCAGGCGCTAGCCAGCGTCAGGGCCGCAAACGTGGCCGCGCGGGATCGGAGGATTTGCCGTTGCAGAACCAGGTGCGTCAGCTGATGCAATCCCACGCCATTCGGGACGGTGTGGTGCTACCAGACCGCCACACGGTGGATCTCTTCTTGAATTCGGGGCCGCGTCGCTCGCAATCTCTGACAGCGTCGCAGCTGAGCGCCCTCAACTCATACGCTCCGCTTTCGGGGCCAGCGGGTATGAAGCGTGCCTGCTGCGGCAGCGAAGCCAACAAGGTCGCGTTGAATCCTAGGATTCGCGCGGATTATCAGAGCTAGATACGAGTGGCGTCCCATTCTTTTCTGTCATCTTTGTAGAAAAGAAACCAGCCTTATTGTTTATTACATAATTTGACTGTTCTATGCTATCTGTTCTATCCTGATGGATGTCTCCTGGGATAGAGATGGCAGGAGCGGACGCAGACACCCTGTGGGAAAAGTTTTGTGCGAACTTTGTCTCCAGTCTTCTGTTTTAGGGGAGGAAAAAGCCGGTGTTTTTTCTCGTCTTTTGTATATACCCAGGTGTTATTGGGAATTCGAGATGGGAGTCTGCGTCGGCCTCTTGCATGGTGCAGTGGTGGAAACCACTGGTGTATGATGTACGTTGGGGAGGATTGTGTCTGTGATGTGCTTGCAATCTTTTATTACCATTTCCTTATCTACATTGATTTTGTCTGGATGTCTGGAGTGTCGGGGAAAGGGAAGGGTCTGTTTGTGATTATATTGTCTACCACCTATCAACCACCTATCACCTATATTGATCTCAACGTTAGGTTCCAATTTTCAGCTTCACTTGCCTCGTATCGAGTAGAGCCAATGGGATGATTGCAACTCGTCACTGACCTGTGACTCACGGCCTGTGATTATGAGTCATGGCTGCCTGAGCATTGCTGCCTGAGGCTGACACCGGAATTGGCCGGAGATGGCCGGAAGCAGTCGGGTCAGAAGGTTGTCATACGACCGTTTGGCTAGCTGTTTTAGGGACTAGCGCCATCAGATAAGATCGTGATCTGGTCTTAAGACCCGCGTGATCTCTACTATCCCTTTCCTTCTGTCCTTTTCCCCTCTTCTTCCCTTCTTCTCCTCTTCTGCTCTCTTCTCTCGACCTGTTTCTTCTAATGGCACTCCAGTAGATAGTATACTATTGCAGTCAAAAGCATGGGCACTCGCACAGTTACCCTCGTCTCTATTATCACTCTTCTGTTCAGCCCGTTCTCTCTGGCTACCCCGTTGAGAGAACCGGTCGCTCTCGGACAGTCATTCATAACGGGGGATGATGGCTACGACCCGGCAGTGGACATGTCCTCCCAGCTATCGATCAGCTCCACCGATCGTGCGGGTATCATCCAGGCGGGATCGGACGATCTCAGTGCGACCGCTGCGCCGTCCTGGTTTACCTCAACACTGATGGCTCGTCGCCTACTGGCGCTTTCGACCACCGGGGTGATATCCACCATCTTCCCAAAGCCCACCAGTCCAGATACGTCGCGTATCCCCGACGCGGTGGCCGGCCACTCCATCAGTCTCCCGGAATACATCTCCGACTGCGACGAGGCGCTCCCTTCGGGCGGCGGCGGCGACGGTAACCCGACGTTTCTAGCGCTCCACATCTCGACCACGTTCCGTAACATCGCGGCCGGATCCAATCTCAGCGTTTCCATCGACTGGTGGGACCATGTCAACAAGACGCAGCCCGTGTTCCCTGGCTTCCCCCTCAGCGAGGCGGGGCTGCCGCGCGTGTCGCTCTTCGGCTACCTCGAGTCGTTCCCGACCCCGGTGCCCTCGGACACGGAGCAGGCGCTGCGGTCCTGCTACCTGAAGGCGCATCCGGATGCCGAGGCGTGGTTGCCCGATAAGCCGGGGGCACCGCATACGAGCTTCTGGGCGCGGATGGTGGTCACGCAGGCGTACTGGATCGGAGGGTTTGGAGGATTGCAGCAGATAGGCTGGATGAACATGACGGAGTGGACGGGGATTCGACGCAAGGGAAGCGTGGATGGAGTGGGAGATGGAAGAGGATGGGAGAATGTGCGTCTTCCGGGCGAAGCCACTTAGCGAATCGGGATGATCGTCGATACATGATAAGCAGGGGGGTCTCCTATCATCCTCTTCTATCCTCTGTTATCCTCTTTTCTCCCATCCATCCTCTGTTATCCTCCTCTTCTCTTCCATCCATTCTCTCTCCATCCTACCCTCTGTCCTATCCTCTCTTCTATTCTATCCTCTATCCTGTATGTATCCATCCTAGTCCATATTCTATCCATATTCTATCCATATCCATCAAAAAGATAAGATGTATCGTCTCCGCATCCCTCAATCCCAGTCAACCCAGGGAAATCCCCGCTGGACCAATCGCGACCTGGATCCGGTTCCACGAGATCGACGACACTGGGGTCCCGCCAGCTTTGTTGGTATGTAGTCGCAGTCGCTGCCTCTTCTTCCCTTCGACTGATAATTCCCAGCATACTGGATCTCCGACGCCTTCAACGCCGCCACCTGGCAATTCGCCAGCAGCATCATGGCCGTTGGACTAGGCTGGCGCGAATCCCTAGGCATCGTGGCCCTCTCCTTCTTCATCATCTCCTTCGTGATTGCCGCCAACGGCGCGGTCGGTGCCATCTACCACATTCCGTTCCCGGTGATCGCGCGCGCCAGCTGGGGGTTCTGGGGCTCGTACGTAGCCATCGTGTCGCGCGTCATCCTGGCACTGTTCTGGTTCGCTATCCAGAACGTCAATGGAGGGAATGCAGTGCGGGTGATGCTCGGCGCTATCTGGCCGAGATTTCTCACCCTGCATAACGATCTCCCCGAGGACGAGGGTATCACAACTACCGGGATGATCGGGTATCTTGTGTTCTGGCTGGTGCAGTTCCCCTTTCTCTGTATGCATCCGAATCAACTACGGTGGTTGTTCGTGGCGAAGTCGGTGCTCGTGCCTATCGCATGGATCGCGATTCTAATCTGGGCGTTTATCGCAGAGGGTGGAGGTGATCTCTTCGCACGCACGGCCACGGTGTCGGGCAGTCGATATAGTTGGCTCTTTCTCTCTAGTATGACGTCTGTATTGGGGAATTATGCCACGTTGAGCGTGAATCAGGTAGGCCGGCATATACTCCGTATCTTTAAGTTAGTAAATACTAACTAATTAACAGTCTGACTTCTCTCGATACTCCCGCTGCACCCCCAAATGGCAACTCCTCTACATCCCCATGCTCCCTCTTGTATTCACATTCATCTCCTTCATCGGCATCGCCGCCTCATCAGCCGGATACACACGCTACAACACCCCTTCAATCCCATGGGATCCGCTCGACCTAATCAGCCACTGGAGCAGTCGCGCATGCCGATTCTTCGGCGCGTTCTCGTTCGCGCTGGCCTCGCTCGGCGTCAACATCTCTGCGAATTCCATCTCCGCCGCGAATGACCTGACCGCCCTTGTCCCGGGGTACATCGACCTCCGTCGCGGGCAGATCCTCTGCGGATTGGTGTCTTGGGGTCTCGTGCCGTGGAAGATCCTCGCGTCCGCGACGAATTTTTTGAATTTCATGGCGGCATATGCGGTGTTTCTCGGACCGATTGCCGCGATCATGGTGTGGGATTTTTGGCTGCTCAAGAATAGGCAATATGATGTACCTGCGTTGTATCAGCCACGGGATCGGAAGTATTCGTATGGTAGGTGGGGGGTGAATTGGAGGGCCGTCGTTGCTTTCGTAGTCGGCGTTGTGCTGAATTTGCCCGGGTTGATGCATTCGGTTAATGGGGGGATTGATGTGGGTGTTGGAGGGCGTCCGTATGAGTTTGGATGGTTATTGGGATTTGTTGCTACTAGTGTTGTGTATGTGGGAGTGTCTTTGATATGGAGAGATTGTTCGAGAGAGAGTGAGAGAGAGGAAGTGATGGATGACAGGGAGGGGAATAAGCTTGCATAGCCTATTGTATACGCTTGGAATATCTAATACATATAAGACATAAGACAGATATAAATATAGGATATAAAAAAGAAGAGATTACTCTAATAATTTCAAAACCCTCCATACACCAACCGACGCACGACCCAACTCACCACCCTCCTGTCTAGCACGTTCAACACCGACTCTTACGGCGGGTAGAAACCTCTCAACAAAAACGCGACGTCTATCCTCGACGGTCTCGTACATTTCACTGTCTTGGTCGCGAGGTGGAGCGAATAGATTCAGGTATGCGAAGGGTTGCGCGGAGGAGGGAATTCGAGATGATAGAATCGGGAATCCTCCTTCTTCATGAATACCATCCTGATCCTGATCCTGATCATGATCCTCAAGGCCCGATTCAAGAAAACGTCCTAGAACAACCACCCCCCTAATCAACCCCTTCCCTTCCCTGCCTACCTTCCCTAATTCCACCCTCCTCCCAACTCCGGATCCAACCCCAGAAGAGGGTGCATACCACCCCACCAAAACAACCAAACAACTCAATACCTTCACCCACCCGCCCCCGCAAGAGACTACCTCCTCCCCCGCCACAGAGAGCAAATAATCCAATATATCCAACGAGGAGATTCTCACGTCCGGCGCTAGATGCGTCAATCCTGCTCGGAGATACGGGAGGATCGAAGGGATGTGGTCTGCTATATCACCCGGGGGTAGGACGCGGAGGAGTTTGAGCACGTTTGCTCGGATGGCGGGTTGTGCATCTAGAATCAATGGGAGTAATGATGGGAGGAGAGTCGGGACTGGGACTGGTAAAGATCCAGACCCAGAAGACAGAGAACAAGAAATAGTAGTAGTAAGATGCGCCAGTGAATCTCGTCGATGCGAATCCGACCGACTATTCAGTAACGAGACATGGTGTGAGAATTGATGGGTTTCACTGGGCGCGTGGAGGGTGAGGGATTGTTGGGTTAATGTTATTGCTATATATGTATATTATTAGCATTTAATATATATATTTTATTTATAATATATGGGATAGAGGGGCGAGGGCAGGGACATTTTGATTTAAAGCTCGTGTCTGTGAAATTATCTGGTTTGGGCTTCGATTTGCCGACTTTGAGCTTGGCTTTCTTTTCCATTCTTAGTCTTTCATATCATCTGGAGGTATGGGGAATTGGATGGCATACCTGGAAGTCTTTTTGTTTTTCTTTCTTCTTTTTGGAGCTGGAGCCCATTTTCTTTCTTGACTTGTCTTGCTGTTGGTTGTCTTCTCTATTCTGTCTGGGTGGAGGATGGATAGAGATTTGTTATCACACGTGACTTATCTTATCACCATCTGTACCATGGTACTATATACACATACATACTTACACTACAGTGTAGTATAGGTACATATACTATAGTAAGACAGTTATAAAGAGAACTGGATAAAGTAACATTAAAGCAGTCTATAACATGCGCACTTCTGTCGTAACAGACGCGATTGTATCAACAAACACAAACAACGCTCATAACCTCCATCAAACATTACGCATCCGAGGATGTCTATCATAAGACGGAAAGGAAGAAAGACAAAAAAAAAAAAAAAAAAAAAAAACTACAAACTCATCGTTAACCATTCCCACTCTTGACTCGCCCCCTGTCCTCCAGCTATACTATGATTGGCTGGGTTGACTGCCGCTGGTGGCATCGCTGGTGCCAACGGTACCACCTTGGATCGTCCTGTCTTCGTTTCCTCGCTCTCCTCCATTGCCTTCTCCAATCGTCGCTGTCGCTTCGTTGCTGCCGCCACGCTGGCACGAGCTCCCATAGGCCCCGAGCTAGACGCCACCTTGGGCGGCGCCGCTGCAATGGCTACCACCCCCGGCGCTCGGCTCGAGCCGCTGGTCACGGCCGGTGGTGACTCCGATGTCGTCCCGTTGTGCGCCCGGCTGGACGTCGGCGTCGACATCGGTACCGCCTGCTGCACCGAGTTCTTGCGTGATGATTTCTTCGACGACCGCGACGCACCCACTGCCAGGCTGTTGGCGCTGCTGCGGTTCCGTTTCTTGATCACGTCCGTCTTCAACGACAGCGGTCGCACCACCCCGTGCAGCTTCAAGAACAACCCACACGCGTTGCACAGCGGCTGGCCCTCGGGGTTCCGCCGCCACAGCGGTGTCGTCTGCGTGAAGCAGTTGGTGCACGTTGTCGGCCCTGCGTTGCCCGCCTCCCCGCTCTTCGTGCCGCTTGGGCTCGCCGGTCGCGACGGCGCCGCACTACTCAGTCCGGACTCGGGCGGGGTGTTGGGCGAGGTGTGCGAGTGGTTCGCCGGGTGCATGCTCTGTCGCAGGAGCTGGACCGTGTTCGGCGTCGACGTCGTGCGCGCGATCTTCTGTCGGCGAGGATCCTGCTCCCGATTGCGCACCTCACTGACTGACGCCGCCGAACCGTGTGTACGACCCAGACTGCCGCTCTGGTGCCACTCACCGGGCGCATCCATCATATCCGCAGACCCGATCGTGACATGCTTGCGGTGCTGTGCCCCGAATCCTGGCAGCGAATGGAATGAATTGGGGAACTGCGTATCCCACTGCATCCCTGAGTTCAAATCTCCGTCGTCGCCGAATTCCGCCGGCATGGCCAAGCCCGCACGATCCGAGAAGGGACGACCCTCGTCATCTTCGTTGTCGGAATCGGCACCAAATGTGAACATGTTCCCATGCGAGGCGGTCGGGAAATCGGCCGGACCCAACACCTGCGACGGATCGACATGCGGCACCGGGTAGCTGGGAGAATGCACCGTGGACACGTTGGTCGGTTGCTGCTGAGGCTGCGGCTGTTCATGCTGGTTCAGAAGATATCGCGGCTGCAACGAAGCTGACAGGTTTGACCGGTGTGAGACGTAGTTGGGAATCCGTCGCTGCGTGCGCGCATCTACCGTCGTCGACATATCAAAGTACATGGAATGCTCACCATCGTAGACCGGTTGCGGCGTCGACGCGGTCGACTGGTACCCCGAGGGAGGCGGCGAAAAGAAGTCGGTCGAGTTGAGCGATGACGCCACGGGCGTTTGCGCATACAGGGTCGTGAACGGGTTGCCCGAGGTCATCGGCGACTCGCTGGGGGAGAAGGTGAAATGAGTTTGATATGGACCGGCCGAAGCAAGGATGGGGTCTTCGCCGAGGCTGAAGGTATCCAGGGCGAACGGCATGCCCGGTGAGGTGTGGCTGGCATGGCCCGACGCATGCGGGTTGCCCTGATGCAGGCCAAATGCCGTGGATGACGTATCCAATGCGTAATCGGGAACACCGCCGGCGAGGTCCGGATCGTGCGCCAACATGGCGTTGGACACGGGAGGTACCTGAGGAGACGATTCGGCCGGTCGTTTGCGCGTGGGAACCTGTAACCCGAAGAACTGACGCTCATCGATACTCGTCTTGCGTACGCGACGCGGCACGTAGCCAAATTCGCTGTTCTTGCGCTGATCCTGCGCCGGGTGGTGGAACGAAGCGGGCACGGGCGTCGATTCAGCCGTCTGGTCCCTACGAGATTTGATGGGGATCGCTGCAGATGCCGTCGGCTCGGATGCCTTAGTGATAGATGGCGATGGGTGATCGGAGGGAGATTCAAAGGGTATGATAAAATCATCCAGGTTCATGGGATCGGAGGTGAAGTCGGTAGTAGAGAACGAAACGTTGGCCGGGGTTCGGTCGGAAATGCGTAGCTGGGCAATACCACTGGGGGTAGAGATGCTGTTGGTTCGCGAGCGCAACCTTTTCGCACAAAAAAGGAAGGAGAATTCGTCAGCTGCAGGGGATTGCATTCGGAACTCCCACACCTACCTCGACTGCTGGATACGCTCTTGTTCCTTGCGCTTTAAGCTCATCGCCATCATTCGCCAGGTCAAGTTTTCCATGCGCTCCTGGTTGGGTAACTGGGCTTTGGTCCTAGAGTAGAGCTTCCATATTTGAGTCGCCAACGGATCTTTCCTTTGCATCTCATCCGGACTGTCGATCCCGCCCCGCGGGGCACCGGACTTCCATTCCGGGAACAACGAGTCCTGAAGCAGGCCTTCCTGAACATGGGATGAATCCGGGGGGCTGAGAGGAGAACCGAAGGAGAAATCGTCGGAGAGCTGAGAGGTAGGAGGGGGGAAATGGGAGGCGGAAGACCGGTCGGCGTCGGCGGAATTGTATCCTGCAGCGGGTTGAGTCGGTCGCACGCCAGGGCCTCGACCGACGGTCAACCCGGACATGATCTCGTGGACCTCTCCCTTCTTATCTGTAGATCCGGGGAGGTAAGAGATTATGCGTGATAAGAAGCCGGAAGGCGACTAAAAAAAAAAAATAAAAAAGGAGGACTGCAGAAGACAGATAAAGAGGAAGACGAGAGATAAGAGAAAGCCAGCAACAAGAGGCGAGTGAATGAGGAGAGGGGAATTTGTCTGTGTGGGCGATTGGCCAGTCAGGAATTCCAAGTTACCCGCCGTTAACGAAGAACAATAATCAATAGTTGGAATCAATGAATGAATGAATGAATCATTCAGGTCGTAATCTGCGGGGACGATCCATTAGCGATGCATGGCCTATGCAGCAAGTAGAAATAGGACCCAATCCATCCATCAAGATCTCCTAATAGGTAGAGACATAGAGAGATGATTGGTATAGATGTGTTTTGGGCTAAAAATCATCGATGAATGGATGGATGGAATGGGCATGGAGAGGTAGATACGCAATATACATCATTGGTCCGTCCTATCCTCTTCATCCCTCACCTCCTTAGTTGTGTCACCAAACGAGAGAAACGTACCTAATCGTATCGGTTGCCAAACCCGACCGGAGAGCCCAAGGGCGGGAAAATGAAGGAAATCGGAAGACTGGAGAACGAAAAACGTCGACTGAATCAAATCCAGACGACGACAACCACGAAGAGGAGGAAGAAGAGGAGGAAGAAGAAGAGAAAGAAGGGAACGGGAATGGAAATGGATGACGGACTGACAAGCCTTACATACCGTCCGGAACCAGTAAGATTCGTCTCCTTCTCGATTTTTGGATTCCCGCCGTAAGAGGAGGAAAATCCTCTCCCCTGGTCGTTTTTCTCTCCCTGGCTCTTAATGATGGGTTTTATTCAACGTATGATTCGGACTTCTGTCTTTATATTATATTCTATCCCCCTGGAGGTTGGTTGCTACGTAGATTGATGAAAAGAGGACTCCAGATGGTCTGCTAATTCTCCAAACTATGGAAGGTATGCCATGCCAGTCTAGATGGGAATACAAGGTATTACCAATACCGTACCGGTGGCAACCCAATCTGTTTATCGTTGTACTGCAGTAGTGGTGGTTGCTTAGTGGAAGTCTAAGTCTAGGTAACGTAGCCGATGTTCTCGAAGCTCTTATATTCAGTATATATATATATATATATATTCATTTGTCACTCACTTGTATATAAATCTATATTCTCGCCATTCGACAGGTAACCATCAAGATCCTCGGCTGAACCTTTCCAAAGGTACGGCCAAGATCCATCACCGGCTCTGCACTAGTGAATCCGCCAATATCCGGGCTCGACCAATAAATTCGGTCCTAATACGATGGATGAATGATTCAGTGCGCATCCTAGGATTCACATCCTGGTTACCATCAGGTCAATCAATGGAACTGATCTTTATAGTCTATACGGAGTACAGGATATGTATTGAAAATAAATATCCATCAATTTGCCATCAATGCGCAGTGGACTCAGGGTATACGGAATACTTCCGTATTAACTCTGGGTCCGGAGCTAAAGTAAAACAAGTCGAGCCGGCCGCAAAACTTAGGCCCTTTGTCACGGGCGGACAAATGCATCTTGCATGCATGGCCCTCCTCCATCGGGCCGACGTGGTCTCGAGAAAGCTCCGTATTTCCTGCATGCTGGTCCGATGAGCGGAGTCATCGACGGATTGAACTCTCCCCCCACAGACGGCCAGCAGTTAGTCTCCGGATGTAGGAGTCTAGGAGAAACATGACAGACTCGTCGAATCCTTCCTCTGGCGGGGCGGACACGGTCGGACATCTGTTTGGTCCGGACGGGTGCCGAGGTCGGTCTCACATGTATTGTATGAGATCTCAATAGAGTCAATACTAGTCTAATGGCCTCTTTAATACGAATCGAAATCCATGTACATACTACCTAGTTACCTAGGTATATACATGTACTTACATCGGTCTGGATCGTTCTGCAGCTGTGAAATATCAGTATGTGCTGACCCTCGCCGAAGCTTGATCCCTATCTTACCCGACCCCGTACGGGACCGGTATTTGAGTGGTAATGATAATCTCGTCACGCCGTTTCCGTCCCGCCATACTTACCTAGGCTCTCGTCGAGTCCAGACGATGTACTACCCAGAAGAGTAAGTCAAGAGTTCCTTTGTGGCTTTGGCTGTAGGCACGCATGCCATCTTAATCCACTAAATCAAAACTGGCGAATTGAGATGGATCCACCTCTTCTTGCGGGGTCATTGCTCATCGACTCCGTAGATGCCTACTGAACCAGGTCACTAATTTCAAGGCCACTTTCTCTGCGTCCTCGATGCAGTAGTCACTCTCCGGGATGCTGGTCAATTTTACGAAAACAAGTCGAGGATGGTCGTCGAGAGTCGGAACACATACATATTGGAGATTCTGAAGGCCTTGAGTGGCAACAGACGGCAGAGGCCGTTAGGAAGATTGGACCTAGGAATTGCCCAGGAAAGTTAGACAACAGGCAGCTCCACTGGCACTAGAAGTTAGTTTAATAGTTAGCGCGTGATAATCTTGGGACTTTTCACTTTGCTTCCAGCCATGAAGTCTGATAAGCTAGCTGCGTGGTTGATAAGCCTGTAATTAGCCTTGGTCATCGCTGGATATAGTATCCTTCGCCGATCGGGGCCGCAGGATCGGATCTATTTCGGAGAATCTTTCTCTTGCTGTTTATTTTGTCTTCTTCTTGACTGATCGTGGCAAAGAGGATAAAGCCCACTGTCAATAAGGGGGCAAATAAAATAAAATAAATGAAACGAATTATGAGGCAGCCGTTGCCTACCATAAGCCGAGTAATTGTCTGGTGGCATGGCAGACCACGCCACGCACCATGGGTGGGATTGGTGGTGCCCTTTTGGACAGGATGCATCAGCGCCACTTCCGGTGAGGGGCTCAAACAGGAGGAATCCAGTGAGGGAAATATATGGCAGCGTGGATATGTTGAGTGCCTGGTGTCCATACTCCGTCGTAAAGCTGAGAAAACCGAGGGTAATCAAGTGTATGGACGATCGCCACTCCACATCTGCAAATATGGAGAAATAATAAGCAGTCCAAGACGAGGGTGAGTTACATGCCCTCGACCAGTGAGTGTATGTGCACCCGACAATGCCCATCTCTCTTTTCTTCCCCCAGTTTTTATCAGGTGGATCGAGACGGGATGCGCCGTCTAAAGAACCATACTCCGTACATTGGGAATCAATCATGTTGCAGATAATTGGTCATCATTTCGGATTTCCCTTTTCAGTCCTTGTTCTTCGTTTCTTTTTCTCTCGGTTTCTAGGTATAGTCGCATATCCAGACCAAAGAGTGAGAAATAGTGATCATCCCACCCTACATCGGTAGAGTGTAGACTCGAGACCATGGATTCCTTCCCAATCGATTCTTTTTTTGTCCCAACCTTTTCCTTTCTTTTCTTTCGCGGCTGCGGCGCATAGTCAAAAACCAGACCCCCTGTACAAGGCTGTGCTTCTGCATATTAGTATTGCACATACACCGCTCCAACTCTCTAGGCCGGGTGTATATTGGTGTGGTAGGTTCGGAGGACATGAAGGAGGGAACTGGTTGATCCATACTTGACGATGCGACCGTAGTAGTTTGGAACGAGACTATAAAATGGAGGGTGTCCCCACGCCTTGTTTAGGATATAAAACAGGAGAGACCGGGAAAATGAATGAATAAGAAAAAAAGAAGAAAAGAAAGAAGAAAAGAAAGAATGTTCATTCCAAAGGCCCATCATCCTTATTATATACTTATGAGTTCCCCTGGATGAATGTGATTGCCATCCATCACCCCACAAAATGCCGATAAGACGTGATGAGATAGGGGCGACTGAATGGTACCGGTGCAGTGCTGAAATGCAGGACCGAGATAAGAACCTCGCACCACGTCACGTCAGGAAGATGAACCTGGTCTACATCCATGCGTTACTGACCTCGTCTTATCTAGCTTGAGGCTGTCTCCACAGCCCAGGAGGAAAGGTTCAACTCTGGTATGGACGATCGCGATCACAAGTTATATCTGACCTCGGCCATCGTTCTGACCGACTAAGGAGTGACGACCTTTCCACTTGCATGACTTCTCGGACACTCTGTGGATGAGATTTATACCCAGGAATACTAAAGACAGAACCCTTACCTCTCCTCTCCGTCCGCAGGGATTCTGACTCTCCAGTACGCAGTCAGGTGCAAATTATCTCGACAGTGATAAGCGGTGCGTCCGTGACGATGCGATTGGCAGATATCTGTTATCAGTTCATGTTCTCTTAAGCTTTGCTTCGATCCCTTCATTGGCCATGCCCACCGCATATTTGGGATATGGTCTGCAGCAGCGGCTGTTTCAACTTGATATCTTACTACGCTGTGGGTTATCAGCGAAACCCGAGGTTCTCACCGAATCTTTGGCATAGAACATAGGGACACGTGATTTTGATAGAGAATCCCAGCTGATGTCCTTTCCATGATTTGAGATTCTTGCAGTGCGCTGGACTGCTGTTCCGGAGAGCCAATTGGTCAAGATCCAGTCTTACTATGTTCTCCCTTTGCAGATATATCTGGAGATCGCAGAAGGATTGGCTATCAGCCGTCTGTCGATCCTTTCTGTACTTTGTAGATCAGAAGCATGACTGGCGTATAGACTACACTTAGATAACCTAGTCATTGTCGGCAAGGTCAAGAGGATAGTTCAGAAATCAATGTCCCAGATGGTATGGGAGCATGTTAGGTATACCCAACTAAGTCCCCTTATGCAATTCACATGTATCATACTGGTAAATCTATCATTTCCGAAAGGAAAGACAATGTAGATATTCTATATGGCATGGACAGATGAAAGATGGGTCACGGATCTTGCAGAAAGATGAAGATCAGATCGACCAAGACATCACATAACGGCCTGTTCATCAACCAAGCCCCCGGTCCTCCTGCCGGTCCGACGATCAATCAAGACCTTTCAGCCGCACAGGGAGAATGAAATGACATGCTGGGGGACTGATCAGTTCCGTATGCCCGTGGTTCGGTTTCTTTGATCACGTCCAACATCCACCGACGTCATCAGACCCAGTATCGATGACATCCGCCCCGCTGGTGGCTTTTAACATAGCTCGTGAAATCAGACATGTCCAATATGAAAAGAATTACAAAAAATCTAACCGCCTGCCCGAAATGATATGCCTCGTGCACGTGCCGGACACCGAAGGAAAAGCAAAGGGCAAAAAATAAAGAAGCGAAATATGTAAAAGAAAATAAGAATGACAGCATCAGCATGAACAAGATAAAATGAAAATGGCTCTTATGGAAGAATTGAATGATGGAAAATGCCGCCCATAATCCTTTTGCGCCCGCTAATGATCAGCTGGTAAAAGTAAAGCCCATCCAGGAAAGGTGTATATGATTCAAGATGACGGGAAACAAGTGAAAGAGAAACGGAAATGTTCACGTGGAGGGGTATAATGCAAGAGACTTGAGATTCCTTTTTGACTCTTCTCCAAAATGGGGAGTCCCCATCATGGTGGAGATTGTCCTGAGCCTGGATGTCCCATGGGTGGAGGACTGCCAAAAGGCACCTGCTGCGTGCCATCCCCCGTGAACATAGGGTACTGGACGACATTCATCGATGGCATGCCACTCACATCCTGCCACGCCGCATACCCCATCACGGGGTGTTGACCGGGGTATGACACCGACACCGGGTTCGCCTGTAAATCGGCCGGCGAGCTTTGCGGATTAGCTCCGGGAAACGCTTGGGCCGGACTCGTCATTCTTCGTTTAAGATCCGGCGGTATCGGTTGGGGGAATTGGTTGGGATTGGGGTACGGCGCAGCTGTCATGTCCGCTGGCACAGGAAAACTCATGGATCGCGACGGTGGCACCGGCCAGACTGACCCGTCTGGCTGCATCGCATACGTCGCATTGGGATTCAAAGCTTGCGATTGTGAAGGAACTGTAGGCGTCCCCGCAAGAGTCGATGCGCCTGGCATAGGAGCCATAGGGTTGGGACCTGGATTCCATACGCCGGGGCCCATGTTCATCATGGCTGCCTTCCCCGCTGCAGACATGTTTGCGAGTACTTGAGGGTCTGAAATCGTGGTGAATTCGTCCCAGGGAACGGAGTGATCGAGCGGTGGGGCTGGTACAAACTCAGCAGACCCTACGTTGCGCTCTATTTGACAGATCTCGTCAGAATGCACTGTGCTCTTATTTCTCCTAAGGTCACCACTCACCTGGCGCATATGATGCCATATGATTGCCGGGAAAGGCCCCATGATTAAACGTCGTGGCATCAGGACCCGCGCCTAACGGTATAGGCTGGTAAGGGAAGTATGCCTCGGTCTGTTCCCCTCCACTGACTGTTGGTGGTGACGAAGATGCCGTGGACGGATCCGTCGATGCAGTTTCCAATCGAGAGTTGGGGCGAGATTTCTTATCGACCGGGGGCTGTTGATCGACAGGGAAGAACTGACACTCCTTTCGAAGCCGAATGCAGTTCTCGCAGCGGCCCTGTACATCGTCGGCCGCTACTAGGCATCGGATCTTTCGTCGCCGACAGTGAACTATCGCACTGACACTCAGCAAAACAAGTCAAGGGGAAGCAAGGGAAAGGACATGATAAGAAACAATGGGGACGAGAGACTGACCACATGCGACAGAGGTGCGATGATATCCCAGCTTGTTGCGCTTCTTGTCTGCGGTGGAGGATTCCATGGCTGGGCCTTGCGAATTCGGTGTCGAGGTCATATTTTCGACCACCGCGGGCATAGCTCCAGCGAGCGAGAGGGAGGAACGAGGCCCCAAGGTGCAGGGCGCATCAATCGCCGGAAGAGGGGAGGGAAGATGGAGGTTTCAAGGTGCTGTCCCCGAGGTTCCGGATTAGAGCCACCTAGGGAGAGGTGAATGATAACAGAAGTCTGAAACAACCGTCCATGCACGTGTGATCGCAGCAGGAGAGGGATGCAGAAAGCTGGAGAGGAACAACGATGAATGATGCGATGGTTGTCGATGGCTGTCGTCGTCGTACGTATTCCGACTTCCCCGTTTCAGCAATGTTACTCCACCCTCACTCAATCTTGGACCGAAAGGTAACCAACAAGAAATAATTAATAAGGCGATGGACAATACAGTGTTGGGGTGTTTCACACGATTAGACCTTGTAGGCGAAACCGCACTAAGGATGAGTTGATTTAGGCCTTGGGCTTTGCCTCGTTCTTCTCTCGCTCTCTCGTCCTCTCTTCCTCTTTTTCTCCGGGAGATATACTTCTTTCTTTCTATTTTATTTTTGATTCCGTCGTTATCGTCCAAAGTAATCACTGATAAGGACAAATTGGCCCACGGGAACGCCCGTTGAGATGGTTCCGCCGACGGATGATGACGATGTATTCAGGATATGAATGAAGAGACGGAAAGCGGGAAAGAGGGGGAGAAGAAAGATGTGATCGAGGAGGAATAGAAGATGGAGATGATGGATGATGAAAGACAATACAGTCAAATAGAAAACCAAATCAAATAAAAAGCGAAAGAAGAATACCAATAATTTACAATGGCAAAAAATAAAATAAATCGATCCAGGAACATAGAAATAAATCCTGGGCAATAATTATTATTAACGGCCAAAAAAAGAGAAAAAGAAAAAAAAAAGGCGGTACGAAGACTACTACTAATACCAGATCCAGATAATTATAGTAGTGGTCGTAATTAATCAAAGGATGAATGTGAAGTAATAAAATGGAGTAATGGAGGTCACGATTAATATGATTGAAGGGGTAAGGGGAAAAGAGAGGATGAATGGATAGACTGAAGGTGTAACTGTTCGGGATCGAGGATCTCGGGACTTTTTCGTCTTAGAGTAATGTTAATACTTGTAGGGATTGTTGATAAGTTGGCGACCCTGACATTTGGCCGTTTGTAGATTTTTAGATTTCTTTTTTTCTTTCAACAAAAAAAAAAGAAAAAATTTAAATAAAATCCATTTCAGTTACTCACAGATTCTAGTCTAGTTTTATTTTATTTTAACCTTTACAAGGAAGAAAAGAAACGGGATGGAAGATACAGGTAGAATGAAGAAGCTAAAAAAAAATAAAAAATAAAAAATTAGGTGGATATTGGATTCAACCAAAACGGTAAATAGTAATGCCAAAATCACGATAATTATAGAAGGTAAAGTGGGTGATGAATTTCCCCAGCTATGAGTAGACTCATGACATCCAATGGATTCCACTTAGGACCAGACCCTGAATAAAAGTTTGCATAGCTAAGCTGAAAATGCCCTCACTAAGCCATGATGAAACACCCACCTATTTTTATTTTATTTTTTTTTTTTTTTTTAAATTATTTTTTCCTCCTCACCCAAGTTGTCATGATGAGAATCGCCTAGGATTGTCGTCATCACCTTCTTTAGAGTCTTAGGGTTGGGCTCCATTCTTCCAATCAACCTGCCCGATAGGCTATATTGACAAAGGAGAGAGTCATGTCAGGCACCACACTTTGCAGTGGGTTGGAATGTGGCATATTTTACAAATACTGTATATGGAATGATGGATCTGGATGATGAGTACCTGACACATCGATAGAAAATCCCCCTGGCTTTTTTTATTACTCAATTAAGGATATCTTAGATGGATAGTCTATAGATATATGCCATTTCTCTTTTTAGAAATATTCAGAAATAACATTGATGTCCAAATCATACCATAAAAAGGGACGTGCAGTAAGGTATACATACGCTATGCATTGCACGCATACCCCTGATCCCTCCAGCTTGCGCAGGTGGTTCATTCCAAACCAAACTTAACCGTGGTCTCGGAGGCCTGTGACAGACACCTGTAACAGGTCTAGTGGGCCCAGGATGTGGGGAAGACTTTTTTGTTCACCAAAAAAAAAAAAAAAAAAGAAGAAAAAGAGATTAGGCTTCGTCTTTTCTTAAGTACATCCAACCATGGCTTTACTCTGGAGTAGAGATGTGGAATTTAAGGCCTCCATGAGTCCATTATTACGGAGCACCTAAGCTTAGCGAAGAAGGAGGAGGGGGAGGCTGAAGTAAACGCAAAAAAGTGATTACTTAGACCTGTCAGTCAATTCGTAGAAACTGGAGAATCTGGATTCTAGGAAAGTAGAAACAGACTAACCCATTGGGCCTTCAAAGGACTACTACCATCGCCTTCTCGGCGAAGCATTGAAATGAAGTAGTACTTCGGAGTAGGTCCATGGTTAGAGGTAGCTTGTACCTAGGTAAGTCTACTTTGTTTGGAAGCAGAAAGTGCAACATCTGATGGGTGTAACAGGCAACCAATCATTTCGGGGTTGGTGCATCGGATTTCCCCTTTCTGGCCGTACGAAGATTCCTGGCGGTGTCGAGAGGGCCCGAAGGGGATTAGCGCAGGGACAAAAGCGAAGTTTGCTGGGCTTCGAGAAGGTCGGGAGTCGTCATCGTTTGGGGCTGGCGGCGGGTCTGATTGGTGAGCCGGTGGAGGGGGATGGGGAAGAGACTAAACATCGTTATGGGGATTCCACAGATGTGCTAATGAGGATGCGCGTTTCATCTGCCTGGTTGAGTTAGGGTTTGTGATGGGACACTTACCTAGATTAACCGGTACTGTTCCATGGTACCTGGTAGGTACCTTGGTGCTCGACCAGAGAGCAGGGAGTAACTTCCTACTGGGGTGGATAATGGACTGGGACTGTTGAACCTAGGACCGGAATCTCGCTCGTTCGATTTTGGATTCATTCTGGCCCAAAATCTGTCTACCGATACGATACAGATCTGTCAAGGGATGGGCCTGGGTCAAGGTTTAATTAAGGGTCATATCTGCATCCTAGCGCGTCTTACAAGTCTTGGCTCTCCGCCTGCACTCAGTAAGGGGCCTGTTTGACCTGGCTTCTGGAATTGGCATTTGGCCTAACGACACTGGTTGAGGGTCATTTCTCCGTCTGCAATATTGGGGAAAGAATCAATAGACTGATTGATAAGCTCGGTCGTCCATCAGCCTCAATCCACAGGTGAAACTGCCTGTCCTGGGACTACTGCATGTCGATTTCATGGTTGCGCCTACTACTGCTACCACACCTACTAACTGCTACTACCACCGTGACTGGGTTCGGAATACGGAGAGGGATCTAAACTAATATTCAAGCCCTCTTCTCATCTGGCTACTACTTGATGCTTCAATTACGGCCCATCTACCCATGTATATCGTATGCACTCACCCAAATCAGGTCCAATTTAGTGCCTCGGATGAAACGACGCCATTCCTCCGCGGAGAACAGCCGAAACCTGACTCATTCGAGTGCTGTTCTGCGGAAGTGAGGCGATGGCATGTATGTATATAAGACTTGACGGTAGACGCCCGATGAGTATGTAGTGTGATCTTAGACTGCGTGGAGTCCATACACTAATAGGCGACAACGAACGGCCTTAATTCTCCGTCAGCGTAGAGGTTGCTACATTGGTCGTGCTGTGCATTGGTTGGCTAACTACGGAGTAACTAACTACAATAGTTAGTGGGATCGGGGGAGACATACGTAAGCCAGATCGTCGAATTAATCTAGACAATACGACCCTATAGATGGATTGGCGGTATCTACTAAGAGTTAGTGTTCTTACACCAGAGGTGAAACAAGACAATGCTATATGAGCTTCTTTAAGACTTATAAAAATACACTTCGACCTACCAGCTTGCTCCGTAGCCCTACAGCCAATAATTGCCCCTGCAGAAAACAGTGACAGACAGCAGAAATTCTCCGACACCCCAGTCGAAAAACCAACCATCGCGTCTGTCCGATTGGTTGGGCCGAGGTTCTTCCTGCTTTCCCTTACAGAGTACCTCCTCCGTCTGGGGATCACTCAGTGACAATGTAGGGGTCAATTGCGACAAAGTTAATCCTCGGTGTATACGTACGCTGCTTGGAGTGTATACAATTAGCATTCAGGTACGCGAGAATAGCCAAGAAGCTGCATATCCATCCTAGGCCTACTAGGGAGCGAATCGTTGATCCTGGCGGACGAACGGTGGCTCGATGATATGATAATTTCATCTGGCCCCAGAGATTTCACATGATAGTTAATATACGAGGTAGTTAACTAGTTACTAACTAACAATTACAGTCGCTTACTAATGCCTTCATGAATTAAATGAGGCCTCCATATTCGATAGACTGTCTCTCTGGCTGTTAACTATCCAGAATACAGATACTGGATACGCTGCAAGCGAATAACAACCACAAGAACTAAAGAGAAGAGGACGTAGAAGGATCGCATCTTCAGCGCGCCAAGCGCAAAACAAATCGGACAGTCGACTGTATGAGCAACTCCATCCACTAAGACTAAGCCTGGAGGCGGCGTCAGCCGGCCTGTTTCACCATCATCGGGCACTTGACTGGATTCGGACATCCTCTGCTTTGTACATGCAACGTGCCCCCTTACGTGTCCTGAGAAAGAGAGAACTAATGAGGGAAAAATAAAAAATCCATAGAAAAATAAGATATAGGCAGAGCAGGAAAGGTCTCTTGGTCCATGCACGGCCAAATCCATCTCGCTAAATACATCCATTCTCGTCCAGAGCTTGCTGGGAAGAGATATGATAGGATACGGCGATATTTCCCCTTGATATGTATGCATTTCTGGGCCATCAGTCCTCGTATGCATGAAGAGGGAGTGCCATTGCGAGGCACCTGTAAATTGTCTCGTTCTTGCACGTGGACAGTGCATCCTGTCAGGTGATTGTAGGTAGATACAGATTCGATCCGATGGAATCATCAACTGTTCTTCCACCCATTCCCGTTCACAATGTGGCTCCGTCCCGGAGATTCCTCCCACGATGCGCGTGACGCATATTTGAGGACTTTACTGTTCATTTGCCTCTTGCATCGGTATCGTCTGGACACATGGTGTTCGGCAAGAGGGACCATCATCTACACGAATCACGATTTTGACGCTAATGGCGCAGGCTTCGCGGATGCAACACGCTAGGCATGTCCGTCCAACCCTTCCGATAATAGCATTATATCCCGCTGATGCACACCACGCTCTGGCAAATGTTTCCTTGTCGCGAGAGCCGCGTGCATCCAACACGATCACTTGACGCCGTTCGAGTCCGGCAACGCTATCCTCCTCGGAAAACTTTTCCAGCGCATCCGGTTCGGCCAAGGCGTCAATCGGTATCACTTTATACGAGTATTTGGAATGCAGTGGATGCCCGGGGAGACGGTGGTGCTTGTGGGATGCTGAAGATGTGTTGTGGTTGGTCCCCGGCATAGATGGTGAAGCTGGAAGTGGAGCGAACCCGGCTGGCGGTCGGCACCCGTACGATGCAATGAAATTCACGTTGAATGTCAGCGGGAAGGAGACTGTTCGCGGGGATCTTAAGATGTCCGAGTTTAGGCAAAAAGACATGGAGGCTTTGTACACCACTAGATGCGGTTCGCCCTGTAGCGGTTGCTCATCGTGCCCGGAAAAGTCCAGCGTCTCAAAGGTTATCTTGACCTTCGATTCTCCGCTCATGGGACCATCGGTTGGTAAGGAGAACGCACCGCTCATGAGGTTGCTTGAGGGAAGGAAAGTTGAATCGAGGGCGACTTTCTTTCCTTGCTTAATGCGAGGTACACCTGGATTCCTTGGTGCGGGTTTTACGACAACCTCGAACCATCGGCTGTGTATATCCTCAGATGTCTGAGAGTCTCTGGGGAGAATGGGACTGCTGAGCCACCCCATACACTCCTTGGTGCCTTCCAGGCTGGCTAGCACTCGGGCGATGAAGCACTGTTTGCTCCACCAACTTCGTCCAGAGTATGAAAATCCGCCGTAAAGGTTAGCAAGCGGCCCAAGCTGAGCCATAGCTGCCGGGTCGTTCTCTAGGATCGTAGCCATCAGTATGTGACTGACCATCTCTCCTGGGATAACGAAGCCAGAAAGCCAGCTTCGTGTGATCCAGCCACCGATTTCCAGAGGATCTTGAGAGCAATGCAGCAACAATCGCCGACGCGATGGGCTCCGACTGTACATTTCGTCTACTCTGGATCCCATCTCAAGACCATCTGGTACGGCATTGTGGACAGGGCTATTGTACGCGTCTACGATCGTTCGGTTAGCCGTGAAATTTCCAATACTGGGACATAGCCGCTCCTTTAAGGCCTCCAAACCGGGCCAACCGATATTTTCGGCAAACACGAACAGGCCCTGCAGTTGTTGGCTGATACGGGTCGGGACGAGGTGACAGTTCCAGGAAGACTCGGGACCCACTTTCGATGGGGACGATTGTCTATGAAATAGGCCGTCGAAGACACGATGATGTTGCTTATCACTTGGATGTGTGGAAGAAAGAGAGTTGTCGCCAGATGCGATTCCTGGCTTGTTGGGGCTGTAGCTGGCATTAAAGCTGTCTACTAAGCGCCGCAGCACCACAATGTCCCAGTCGACTTTGGCGTTCCGGGTGACGTTGAAGTAGTGAATGTCTTCCGAGGAAATAGATAGCTCATTGGAGTGGCCCAGGATCCCCACACGGACCGTTGCGTCCAGACGCAGAAGCAGTTCGGCAGCAAGCAGCATCTGCACAAGGTACCATTTGCGTTCTATAGTAGGGTGCATCCATGGCTTCTGGCAGACGCTAGGGTCAAAAAAGTCACCATCTGCATGTGGCGCAGCCTCCCAGAGAAGCTGACCGGCGCGTAATCGCCACTCCACCAAGCTGAAGTCTACCCATGCCCCTGGCGTCGCTAGCACAACAGTCAGAGCCTTGATCTGGGCCTTGATCCCGTGAGGATTATCCACACCGCTCCACAAGAAACGAGGCAGTGGATAGAGGAATTTTGTGAACAGTTCATTGGACAGGTCTTGGGCCGATTCGCGCTCGAGAATTGTGGTTACCCTCTTTCCATGCAATATCTCGTGACGGAGGCTAGTCAGATTCTGTAGACGCGCTACCAGCGAATTCAGGTCAATGTCGCGAACTCCGATACTCCTCCAGGCCGATGGCCCCTCTCTGAGGAGCTGTTTCCTGTCATGTACGGTGCCATCTGCGCATCGGGAGTAGGGGTCGTTATAGTGTTCCATTAGCTCATACGCTTTAATTGCGGGCAATCTTGAAAGCTGCACATAATCCAACATTGGCCTCAGCCTTGCAGGGCCGATATATCGTGCTGAATCACTGACGGGAAGCTCTAGGAAATGACGATAGCCCACCGATCCCGGGTCTTTCCCGTTCATAGAAAGCATATTGGGAGTCTCGAAAATGCCGACATCAAAACTGGCTCTCTTGGGAGCTCCAGTCCGTTTCCAGGATTCCGGACGGATAGGGGTCTCCCCTCTGATTACCCATCCGTCCGGTAGCGGCAGGTGGGCATGGAGGGTGCATAATGTATATGAGGCATGAGCAAGGGGCTTCCTGTCCCATAAATTCTGGACGAAAGGGTCGTGGTCGTCAAAAGGGAAAATTACTTGTGGAGAAAAGTGGCCCGTCTTGTCATTCCCCTCGAGAAGGAAATACGGCGCCCCGGAGAATAGGACTGCGATGTCTTTATTGCTCAGCTGCGGCTCTGAAGACGTGATTACATGTCTATGACGGTGCGGTTTGGCAGTCGACTTCACATGGCTCGGCTCAGGGAGTTTCTCAGAACTGGCTTGCTCTTTTGAAGCCAATGCGGTATTATTTTTGTCCACCTATGACAAGTTACATTCCATCCAAGATCAGCTGGTCCCAACTGTCTTACCGTGTCGTGAACCCCCGTTACCACCGCAGGATCTGTTGCTTCAGAATGCTGATGTCTTTCGAAAAGCCTATGAAAGAAGCCTTGCTCGTGGAGACCTTCATTATGAGGTCGCAGAGTATGTGGCAGCGATTTCCTTCGTCTGCCGGAACTGGCGGGCGCCGCACCTCCTGGAGGTGGCGCACCTGAGACAGAATGCCGCCGACCGAAAAAGAACGACATGGTCGTGTCTTTATCTTCTTAGGAGGCCAATTGCTGAAGAATAGCTGATGTCTGTGATAGTTATTTCTCACCTGTAGATGCTAGATATCGTCTGCCGGCCACTGTATGGCAGAATTAGATTGTCCGTTGCTCGCATAGGCAGTCACTTGGATCAAGGCAGGCCGATCACAACGGGGGATCCATTGTTTCGAAAGTCGGCACAAACGTCGATTATATGCAACCATAAAATGGCTGCATTGATGACGTCCTCGTCGGCTTCCCGGCCCCGCCTTGCCTAATCGGTTATCACGGCAGCTTCATTTGAAGGCCGATGGTCTGATGTGCCGAGGTGCCGGTTGTCTTGACCCTGCATATTGATTGGTCTAAGAGTTAGCGATTGCTAGTCATGATTAGTATTGTATTTATTGATGTTCCTCGGAAACTTAGGCCGTTGGCATCAATGTCTATCTACATCGTAGCTTTATAGGGCTACAATACTGTGCCGATTGGAATGTCAACGACTCTGGATTACCATTCGGTCCTTAGCTCAATTTACTTTTTCGCTAGCTACAGTTTGAACATCAAACTCAATGAATATTATTATCCACGACGAGTCTCCAACATGGAGCCGACTAATTAAGCATGCTTATGGAGGAAGTCCAGCGCAGTTCTGTACCCCCTCTCATACTCCTTCCTCACCTCCGCATCATCCAGGTTCGACCGCGCTGCCATCCAGCCATGGATCTGGGTCGAGAACGTCTCCACGTAATGTGGGACCTGCAAGTTATTGCCAAAATCGGCTACATCCTGGGGTTTTTCATCTTTAGAGGCCAACATGGCCATGGGCACCGTGACGCTCTTCGCATCGTCGGGTGCCAGCATCGCCGGGTGGCACTGCACCGCTGCCTTGAAGATCTTGTTCTCCTTGCCAGCAGCCAAGCAGGTGATCTTGCCGCCCCAGCAGTAACCGAGAATGGACCACTCAAACTTCCCGCCGGGAGCGAGCTGGTTAGCCTCGGACACGACTCCGGGGATTTTGGACAGGGTGGATGACGGGGCCGCCTTAGTCTGGAAGAAGTGACTGAGCTTCTGCTTGTACTCGTCCGTTGTCGGCGGGAACCAGGTGATGTCGGCGGGTTGGCCCTCGAAGAAATCGGGCATAAAGACGCGGTACTTTTGCTCACTAGAGGTGGACAAGATGTCGGCTCCTTGGATGGTTTGGTCGAAGAAGCCGAAGATATCTACGGCAGTACATATTAGCTAGGAAATAGAGATTGGGGGGGGAAGAGGACGTACCGTAGATGACTAGGATGGCCTTGGTCGCGGATTCAGGGCCCGTCACGTCTGCGAAGTATTAGCCGTGTTTATATGACGATAGACACAGGTTGACGAGACTCACATGTCTTCAGGCCATTAATGGTCTTGTATTCACCCTTGGCTTGGTAGCCCTTGGGGACGATGGGAGGGATGCTGGGACGGGTCAGTATAATTCGGAAGGCCGAGAGAGGTCACACGTACGAGCAGCAGGCCTTGCTAACGCCCGACATGGTTGTCGAGGTACAATGAATTAGTCGGAAGTGTATAGTGCGGGGTTTGATCGAGGCAAAGGACCGTCGCAGAGGAAATGCTAGCTGCTTATATATCATTAGTGGAGAGTCGCTTGACAAACTGGAGAGAGAGGGGTACAAGAGACGCACAAGAGACGGGAGATGAAGCAATTGAATGAGAGTGAAGCAGCAGAAGAGGAGAAAGACGAAAAATAACCGGCACAAGCGCAACCCCGCCGCGTGACGTCATCCACTGTCGCTGATATAATCGTCCCGTGACTGTAGTGTAGTTATAGAACACCATATATACAAGGCATTATATACAAGGCATCGCAGCGCATTCTATCCTGAAAGACTTCTATAGGTAGGTCCAGTCCATTGCAGAGAATGACGGCCGGCTATCTCCCTAGGGGATGCACTCCGTACACACCATTGGCATTCGCTGCCCAGTGATCGGTCTACGCTGAGCACGTCTTACCTCCACCTCTTGACACGATCCTTGGCTGCAAAATGTCCGCCAAATGCCATCCATGCGGAGATCTTCCGAGACTATTGACTGGTCCGGTCCGGGGAGCAAGAAGAGGCAACTCGAGGATTGGATTGATAGATGCCGGTCGTCACGCCATCGCAAGCTGCGTTGACATCTTTCCAATGGCTCGACTTAAGAGCCTCGAGCTGGCTATTATGACTACGGCTTTGTCGTTCAAATTTAACCTTGCATCAATTCTGAATCAGCATGGGTATTGTCAAGACGCGTCGAAAATGGTATCGAATCCAGTGGTTTGCGGACCAGGATACCAAGGAGGAACGAAGGCTCATTCTGAAACTGGACACTTTGATCGTGCCCTATGCTTTCCTGGCCTACTGGACGAAATACATTGACCAGTCGAATATCAGTACGTGCTGCGTTGGCCTCTCAGACATGCCCAGTCCTCACAGATAGCACTGCTCTACAGACAATGCCTATGTGTCCGGCCTTAAAGAGGACCTCGGCCTCCATGGAAACGAGCTCGTCCATCTGCAGACCATATACACCGTTGGGGCTGTCGTGGGCCAAATTCCCTTCGCATATCTCTTCACCAAGTTTCCCATGTCATGGCTCATCCCATTCATGGATATCTGCTGGGGCATTTTTACTCTGCTGCAGTATCGCGTTGATTCGTATGGCGAGTTGATGGCCTATCGGTTTCTGGTTGGTTGGTTTGAGGTATGTCCAGAAATATACATCTTTACTCCCATCTATACCTCTCTGACCAACAAGGCCGCATTCTTCCCTGGAATGCATTACATCTTTGGTCCGTTCCACCATCCCGATCGATGACATTGTACTTATCCTCCCAAGGCGCCTGGTACCGCGGCGACGAGATCTCCCGCCGCGGCGGCTGCTTCTACGTCGGCCTCACGCTGGGCACCCTAACAGCCAGTCTCATCCAAGCTGGCACGTCCGCACGACTAGACGGGGTCAACGGCCTCGCCGGCTGGCGATGGATGTACATCATCTGCGCGATCATCACCATCCCCATCGGGATCCTGGGTTACTTCATCCTCCCAGGCACGTCCGACCGACCGAACCGAATCGTCCTGACAGACCACGACCTCTCCGTGTCGCAGACCCGTCTCCAGCGAGCTGGCCATGAGGTCCTCCCCCATGGCCACCGCGACGGTCACTTCACTCTCTCTACATGCACCAACGTGCTTCGCAGCTGGCGATTCTGGGCCCTCCTCCTCCTGGCCGTCTTCTTCTGGAACGGCAGCCTCAACACCACTACAGGCGGGTACCTCCTGTGGCTCAAAAGCCTCAACCGCTACTCAACCAGTCGTCTCAACTCCCTCGCTGCTATCTCTCCCGCCCTCGGCATCTTCTACACGCTCTTCATCTGCTTCGCTTCCGACCTGCTCATCGGTCCCGCATGGGCCATCACCCTCGCTCACGTCTGGAATCTCATCGGCCTGATCATCCTCGTCACCTGGCCCGTGTCGGAATCCGCCCTCTGGTTCGGCTTCCTGACGACTTACTCCGCCGTAGCTATGTCCAGCGTGCTCTACGGCTGGGTTAATACCCAGCTGCGGCATTCCCCCGTCGAACGCGCCGTCACTCTCATCGCTATTAATACCGTGGCGCAGTCGACTACCGCTTGGACTCCGTTGTTGGTGTTTAAGACGGTCGAGGGGCCTCGCTTTACGAAGGGTTATGCCTTTGTGTTGGGTAATGCGGTCTGTCTGATTGCGTTGGCGCATATCATTCAGTTATATTCGTCGAGGTCGTAAGTTCTCTTTCGTCTTTCTTTTCTTTTTACCTTTTCTCCTCTTTGCTTCCTTTTGTTTTCTTTTTTATGTATTTCCGGGGATTTGTATATGAAGATTGAACTGATAAAAGTAGAGAAAATCGCCTACCGACCATCGATTTAGACGAGAGAGATCTAGAGATCGTGCAGGTTGTCCAGACAAGTAAGGAAGGTTGAATTGGAATCCTAGTGCAGACAGGACTAGGTAGAATACTATAGCTTGGTAGAAATGTGCAGATACTATCTATAGAGACACAGATAGTTACCATAACTATCTCAACTTCTATACGCACCTAGAACCAAAATAGAAATCTTTAGATAGTCAGAGTTATCCTGATCCCTAGGTATTGATTAATAGGACCTAGACCAGCGCATTACCTACTTCTCGGCTGTCTCATAGACCGTCACGCAATCCACCCTATAATAATGCCATTATGCCATTATCCCCGCGTCACGCTGTCAAGCTCGTCAGTCAATTCTATTCCATATACGTACTTCGTAGCAAATAATATCCTAGATACGGTGACGCTTGAAGCGGAGAGAATTGCGAATTTACTACTGTGCTTGTGTCTATCCCATATGGGCGTTTGCCTACGTATGTGGTACTAGGACTCAGTCTCACGCGATGTTACTACAGAATGGCGTATGTGGGTTCATTATCGAGCGTCTCGTATCAGATAAAAGACGAACAGGACCCGCGCGAGAGGTAGTAGGGGAGAAGAGAATATCTACGATATCAATAAATCACCATGGGTGATAGTATACCCGCCCAGGATGGCCTCCAAAAACAGATCCTTCTGAATGCGTTCGACATGTCTACCGTGGGACACTTGTCTCCTGGACAATGGAAGGTAAGTGTCAAAATCTTCCCACCTGAGCAGACGTTAATGAGCAGCAGAACCCCTCGGACAAATCGGCCTCGAAACGGAAATTGGAATATTGGATCGAATTGGCCAAGCTGCTCGAACGCGGCGGGATCAATGCCTTATTCCTGGCCGATACCTACGGCGGGTATGATACATATGAGGGGAAGTTGGACGAGTGCATTCGACGGGCTGCGCAATGGCCAGTCACGGATCCCACTATTGTACGATCTCTTCTGATTGAAAAGAGGGCAAGAGTACAAAGCTAATGGTATAGCCCATCTCTGCCATGGCCGCAGTGACTAAGAATCTGGCGTTTGGAATCACGGCATCGACATCCTTCGAGCCACCGTTCCTGCTGGCGAAACGCTTTTCCACGCTGGATCACCTGACGGACGGGCGCATCGGGTGGAATATCGTCACGTCGTGGAAGAAAGCGGCATTCAAGGCTATTGGTTTGGATACGCCAATCGAGCACGACGAGCGATATCGCCAGGCGGACGAGTATCTGCGCGTGCTGTACAAGTACGGAACGTGTCTCATGCTTACAAAGACGCTAGCTGACTGTATCCAGGCTCTGGGAAGGTTCCTGGGCGCCTGATGCCGTCGCCCCAAACCCGCAGACCGACACCTACATCGACCCCGACAAGGTGCGTCAGATCAACCACAAGGGGAAATACTTCTCCCTGAACACCCGACACATTGCCGACCCGTCACCGCAACGGACGCCGTTCCTGTTCCAGGCGGGGACGTCCGCGGCAGGATCAACCTTCGCAGCCAACCATGCCGAAGCGATCTTTGTCTCGAGCCATTCCCCGGCCGTGCTCCGGCCCAAAATCGACAATATCCGGAAACTCGCTGCGGAGCAGGGACGGGATCCGCGCTCGATCAAGTTCTTTGCAACTTTCACGCCCATCATCGGTCGCACGGACGAAGAAGCGCAGGACAAGTACGAGGAGCTGAAGAAGTACGCGTCCGTCGTTGGGGGTTTAGTCCTGTTTAGCGGGTGGACGGGGATCGATATCTCGCGGATTCCAATTGATCAGGACATCACCGCGGCGGACTCGCTGGAGGCGCACAAGGTGACCAGTTTGCTGGACTCGTTCACGACCACGAGCGAGAATATCCCGAGATGGACGCCGAGGGTCGTGGCCGAGAAGGCGGCCATCGGCGGACTCGGCCCAGTCAGCATTGGGAGCGCGGCGCGAGTCGCGGACGAGATGGAGCGGTGGATCCGCGAAGCGGACGTGGACGGGTTCAATATTGGGTATGTCACGACGCCGGGGACGTTCGAGGAGGTGGTGGACCTGTTGATTCCCGAACTGCGGCGTCGTGGAGTGTATCCGGGGACGACGGAGGAGGGACTGACGGCACGCGAGAAAGTGTACGGGAAGGGACAGAAGGAGCTGCGAGCGGACCACCCAGGCAGCCGCTATAAGTACGCCGTGTATGAAGAAGAGGCAGCGTATGGGGGAGATGGTATCTAGTTATCTAGTTAGTATACCTAGAGATGAGGTTATCTTAAGCAGAATAAAGTAGGACGGACGATAAGCCACAACGCCTTTGCCTTGCCGACCCTTTGCTGGTGGTTCTAGACCCATTCCGAAACCCGCGTCTCGTGACTTGCCCAACAATTCCTCTCCATAGCACTAACTCGATCGGGTCAGTCGGCATTGCATTGCATGAGCATGAGGTGGTGTCTCTTGAGTAGGTGGATGTCGTATGGGCGGTATGATCTAGAACATATTCCTTGGTACGGAGTACTCTCCGTAGAAAGAGGGGGGGGGGAAGGAATGTCACCGACTACAAAGACAGAAGAACGATGGAAGGGGACGATGATAATACGGTATGGACCATAATATTCTGTATTTTCTTGGGCAATGAGAGAGAAACCCCGCTAACTCAACTAGGAGAATCATGGGATTACAGTAATCCCGGTACAGCTAGGTACTTACATACAGTAGTCCGGTCTAGTCGATATTAGCTTGTTTGGTTTGGACATGCTAGCGATTGACGGAAAGGATCGGAGCAATAGTATTGACTAAGACGAGGATAACTAGTTAACTATGGAGTACCTAGTTTGTTAGACAAGTAGGCAGACAGAGAGGCAGACAGACGCACAGAATGAAAAAAATACTTGGCATTGTATCAGGTACACAGGCCAAAAAAAAAAAAAAAAAAAAAAATATAATAATAAAAACTTTCTCCGACCCCACTTGACTCCTGCAATGGAACAAACATATGATTTCAGTTATGACGGCCTTGGTCCGAGACGTGACCTGTCGACCACGGTAGTACTTCTTACCCCAGAGACTGTACTGACACTTAAAACGACGACTTTCCATGCAGAAGATCGACTAGACCCAGCTGGTTCAGTGGGATGGAACCCGGACGCGAGGGGAGGGGCCTGCAGGTCGAGAATGAACTAATAGTATCTACTGATGTATGGTGAATGGACCGACTGAGGCTGGCGGGAGACCCGCTGGGCAGGGTTATCTGTCATCTCTCCCCAATCGCTCCGTAGTTCCAAACATACGGACAGACGGACAGACGGGCAGAACGGACATCTGGCTCCTGATCCTCCTCCGTATGTACTATTTACCTCGGGAGAAAAGAAACGAATGGCGTTGGTCCCTGGTCAGGTAGTATCCATCGTCTTTAGTCCTGTATGGACGATGGTGTCTTAGGTCTCAGTACTTGACTGAGACCATCCTCCTCCTACTACCTACTACCTACTACTGCTACTACCGTATGTACTACTACTGTATGGATGCCCTTACTGCCCATGGGCCATTCCAGGAATCGGTCACAGACTTTTAAGACTCCAGACTAGCAAACAACTAGCCGGGTTAGCACCGTGCTAGAGATCGTCTGACAGCGTCAACCTGACTCTAGCTGACTTTAAGAAATGGAGCGAGTGCTTGAGTGCTCCGTAGAGAACTTATCTGACCGCAGGCGGATCTTAGTACAGACATACATGTCCAGCTTAATTAAGTAGTAGCAACCTAATATCGTGTGGCCGCCACCCAGATCTCCCGCGTACACTCCAGTCCCCGCCGACACCGACAGGCTGGAGCTGTCCGCTGCCGCGAATGAAGTTAAATGCGGTGGGCGTTGGCCACCCCCCCTCCTTTCCTGAGTGGTGTGAAGAGGCTGTTGCCATCTTGGGTACCCCGCACTCTCATTGGCCGGGGGCCTTTGATAGACGAGAGTTCAGCCAATGGACGGGCCGTCTCTCTTAGCGGGGACCAATGGAAGGTTCCATATTTGTGGGCCATGCATCGGCTTTTTGTTGTGTGTAGGAGTAGGATTATTTTTATTATTATTATTATTGTTATTTTTTAATCTCTTCACTCTTCTTCATTTTCAAATGATAGATACTAGAATGACTAGAAGCACAGTACAGGGTACGGATGATTCAGGGGCAAATACGGTCTAAGTCAAAGAACTTGCAGGAGCTGACCAAGCTGCGAGTAGACCAGCAGGGTAAGTTCAAGTGGGTCCTCTCGAACGAAATCTCTTGGCGATAACCCCCATCAATCGTAGTCCCGAGAGGTCACTTAGGAACGACCAGCCAACCAAACGTCTGCCAGCCATGCACCCAAGACCTGGTGCCGGACAAGGATTGGAGAAACTTAAACCAGCTTTAGTCCCTGTGGTTCCGAGGGTACCAAGCGGGGGATAATGGGACTGAAAGGGATGGAAGGACAAATCTCCTCGTATTTGTGAGTTGGGTCGACTTGGGTTGACCTGACTTGAACTCCATCTGACTCGACTGCGGAGTAGAGGAATTGACAGGTGACCCGCATCGCGTGGATTGGGATGAAACTGAAAAGCTGGGAATTGGACTGGAATGAGCTGGAAGGGACGGCCGACCGGGCGAACCAGGGTCCGTTTGCCTTGGGACGGAGGGGTTCTTTTTCTTTGATGGAGGAGGAATAGGGAGGGGGAAATGGATGTCCGTGCGTGGCAGTTCTTGTAATAGGGAATACGAGGAGTAAATTAGAATAGCTAACTAGTAGTAACTATTGGGCAAATTAACACTTAAACGTATCTACTGTACTCGATACTAATCATAGAATCACCTCAAGATAAAAATGGAAAAATAGATGCAGTCTATTTCATATACTCCGATGGATCAATTACGTACTGTCGCAGCTGTATGGAGTAGCCGTACTGCATAGCTTCTGAGATGAACTGATTGATGCCTCACCTCTGAGCCCTCTCAGTTCTCCCTCCATTCCGCATCGGCCATGCATTCCCCGATGCAAGGGAGCAGCTCAACGCTTGTCGACCCCTTTTTCTGACCATCTGTCTGTCTGCCTGGAACATCATCCCACTCGGTGTCGTGTTTTCTTGTCCTGGAGGGCCTGATTTGGGTTTCAAGCGTATTTTTCCTGCTTGGCTATATTATTTTATATTTATATTATTTCTTATATTTGTTTTTTCTCGTGTCCTCAATCAAACCTGCTTCCCTTCTGACACTCCAGATGCGTCGATCCAACTCTGATCCCTTCCCAGACGCAGAACCGATCGTCCACCACTTGCTAAGCTTATTCTCTGCTCCACCAAACAGGAAAAGCATTCAGCCAGTATTCCCTGCTGGGTCGGGATGGCCGATCCAGACTGCGCTCCACATGTCTGACTGACTGACGATGATTTTATTTTATTTTAATTTTAAAAGATTTTACTTTATTTTAAACTTTTAGGGACGTGCGGACGGTGAAATGTCAGCTATCCATGTTACGAGGCGTCGGTATTCTCTGGAGTCACTTCGGAGGAATTCTCACCTGAAACAAGAGAGATGGAAGAGAACAGTTTTGTTGTGCAGATGATTCATGACTATTGCTCTTTAGCGTTCATCGGGGGATGATCCAGCTAATTATTGGGTATTATTGTCATGGATGAGATAAAGAAGAATAATATAATAAAAGTATTAAAATAAAATATTTCTTTCTATTTTTCATTGTTTATTTATTTTATTTTATTTTATTTTATTTATTTATTTTTATTTTTATTTTTATTTTTTTTTGGTAGTAATAACAGTCTCTATCCGGCACCGACCATTCCAGCGAAAATAAATTGCGACCTTATACCTTGACCGTGGGTGCCGCTGAAAGGTGGAACGCGCTGGGACTTGGACCTCTGGCCCTGTCAACCACGTTGTTGTTGATCAGTGGTGTTAGGTAATAACCTAGTATTGTATCTTACGCTGTACTGTATTGATAAATAAATAAATATATACTGTTGAGAGAAATAATCCTGCTAGTATTTCATCTGAATATAGCGTATCCTCTGTACAGGGTACAATAGATAATTTTTTTTTCTCACTATTCCTGTCATTTGCCATGATGACTCCTAGAAATCCTAGGGTATTATTAAAGAAGTTTCCCTCACACTTGGTTGGCCCAGGCATCATTCTTGACTAGAGCCGACCAGCTTGTTTTTTTTTTTTTTTTTTTTTTTTTTTACGAAGTACCTGGTACTTATTTCTTTTTGTTTTGGTTCGCTCTTAATTTTATTTTTTAATCTTATTATTTTTCATTTCTTTTACCATTTGGTATTTTATCCCTCCTTCAACCCCCGCGCTGGCCAGGCCCAGCGCTGGACTGGTCTGGATACGTCTCCATTCCGGTCGTTTTTTTGGTTTTTTGGCCCTCGAGAGTTAAGTTTTAGTCGCCTCAACCCATCATTGACTGCCTGATACTCCCAGCCTATACAAACCCAATAATAATAATTCCTCCCACTTACTTTCCGCTCTTTTTCTTCGATCACCATCCCCTTGTCCGTGCTCTCCGTCCATTCTTCCTCTTCCTCTTCCTCTTTTCTTGGTTCCCTTATCCTATATCATTCTTTCTTATAACTATTGCCAACGCAGTCGTTGATCGCGTCGCTTTTCTACTCCTTCCGTTCTTCCACAATTGACCTGTCCAAAGGAAATGCGACGGTACTAAACCTACATTGCCAATCTTTTTGGCCATTTTACTCCGCCGTCCACTGTCTGGATATGTCTACCTGAGACTCGGTTGACACGAACGAACTGCAAATCCATCACATTGACGTCTGAATATCCCGAACCCACCAGTACTGTCAGCGACATCTACAAGGAATCCCCCTCATCTGCATCCCCCGCCAGATCGCTAGACCGCGATCATCGCCCCTCCTGGATTCCCCAGACATCTCTGGGAGCCTGGCTGGCAATCGATATTGGGCGTTGGGCGGCGATACAGTCTCGTTCCCTGTCGGTCCACTGGCATCCTCCCTGACCACTCCTCCCTCTGTGGTAGCGGTCGATCTCTTTCAACCGGTAGCCTTTTCGCGCGAAAACTCCGTCAACCTGGCTGCCCTTGCGATCCCTCCCTCGGGCATGGGGACGGCGCTCGACGCGCTGGCCAACCCGTCGTTGAACTCGCGCAGACCTTCGGCTGCGCCTCTCCCCAGCTTTGAACTGCCGCTGCCGAACTTCCAGGTCCCTGCCCCTGGCGCGAAACTCCCCTCGCATCCCTCGAACCCTCATCCCCCGACCAACCCGAGCGTGAGCAGTCTTCTCACGCCCCCAGCCTCGACTCAGTCGAGCGACGGCCACGTCTCGACCACCGCGCCTACCGTGGCGGCGACGACGACCACCACCACCAGCGTGTCTGCCTCCCCCGACCTGACTTCATCGTATGCGTCCTCGTACTGGCAGGGCCAGAGTGCGTACGGCAATCCTCCTCCCCCGGCGGCGCGACAACCCTGGAACCCCGCCTCTTATACCGCTCGCGATACGTTTTCCCCCTCGCTGAACGCTTTGAATCGCACCCCCGCAACATCCTCCCCGGGCAACGACGCCATCTCGCAATCGTACGAGATGAACCAGTTGCCCCCGTTCCAGCAGTCCCTCTCGGTGTCCACGGCCAGCGCAAACCAACACCACGCGATGGCGAATGCCATGCTGACGGCGCAGAACGCGCTGCCGAACCCCGCGTCGGCGCCCCCGCTACCATTGAATGATCCGTACATGGCCAAGTCGTCATCGACGCCCGCATACACGGGGATTCAACCGATGTCCAGCCCACCGGGGGGGTATCCGCCTCCGTACGGCCAAGCCAGCATGGGGATGCCCGCCCCCGGACGGGTGTCATCCAACCCCAATCCCAGCACCAACCCTAATCCCCATCCGTCTCATCACCATCTGAGCTACCAGCCGCGACAGCCATGGCCGTCATATTCGCTCCCGGCGATGAACGGTCCAGTCATGACGAACGTGCACAACCCGGCAAATGGCCAGATGTCCCTCCTGGGCAGTCTGCAACCGGGCATGTCACCGGGTTTCACGAGCGGTCATCTAGCGAGCATGCAGCAGATGTACGGCGGTCATCTCCCGCATGGGGTACACGGGGGCCCGGGGCCCAGTAATGACCGGCCGTTCAAATGTGATCAGTGTCCGCAGAGTTTCAATCGGAATCACGATCTAAAAAGACATAAACGCATCCATCTCTCTGTGAAACCGTTCCCGTGTACGCATTGCGATAAGAGTTTTTCGCGAAAGGATGCGCTGAAGGTATTTCTTTCTTCCTTGGCATATCTGTTTATCTATGTATAAGCTAATGGATTAGCGACATATTCTGGTCAAAGGATGCGGCAAGGACGAAGCGAACCCGAAGCCCGAACGCACGGTCAAAGAGGAGGAGAAAGAGGAGGTAAATGGTCACGGTTGATCTGTTGGATATTACATGTTGGCGTTATGGACGGTGGTGCAGCCTGATTGTACTGTGTATGGCTGGTAGGACATGGTTTTTCTATCTTATTCCTTTTCTCTCTTTGTTTTCTTTCTGCCTTTTCATCTCTTGTGAATGATCATCAGCGAGGCTGGATGTATGTACACGTAAGTAGAGGGCGTTGCGGCATTGGTAATATCGATTCCCGGGACCTACGAGCTACACTATGTACTCGACTTATATCAATTGCCTAGCTTAGTTTTGAGGTATATTCCTCGACCAGACCACGATAATCCTCCATTCCATAGGGTTCCCACCATTTGAGACTGCCCTTTCGATTGATATCCATTCCCAGATCCGTCAACAGTGAATCAACATACGGCACAGCATCCAATACAAAATCAGGATTCCGTTTCCCAAATCCTGCTGGGTATCGATGGATCCCGAATTGACTATGCAGCGTCGTTTCCCAGAGCAGATCGATATCGACATCGGTTGATTCGCCGAGCCCAGAGCGGAGGATTTTCTCTCTCACCTCGTCGGGACATCTCTCCCGAGACTTCAACGCCATCCCATCATCAAAGTACGCCGCGATCCATAACGCCTGCACCTGCGCGATCATCGTCGTGTTGATGGTCATGGTCATGCCCATAAATGCCAGCGAGCGCTGCTTCGCCAGCGCCGGCGGCACCATGAACCGCGCGAGTCGGAACGGATGATGCGCCGTGGCGGGGGCGTCTGCTCCCACGGGTGTGTATGAGGCTGGTAGACTAGGCTGGTGAGCCAGTCGTGGGAATCGTGCGAGGATCTCTGAGTCTGCAGCCTGCATCATTTCCACGGGGATCGGGTCCTGGTTCCACGGGAATCCCAGCTGGTGGGCTATCGACGCGGGTCGGAATTCAATCGGAGGCGTGGCTTGCCATCCTGTGCAGCAGATGAGCGCATCGGTGGGTAGGATATTGATATTGATATTCTTCTTCTCCTCCGGGGAAGCAGAGGCAGAGTCACAGTCCAAGGGATGAGCGAGATGAACACCCCGTTCCGAGAGACGATCGATATGATTGATATGAACGCGTACCTGACCGGAGACGATCAGATCGAAGAAATTGCTCGGGTAATTGAGAATACTAAGCCCCGATGCGATCCAGAACGGACTACTCCATGGCTGGAGTTTACGCGTCTCCGGATGAGCGTTATATCGATTCAGGCCGACGATATCACCCGCCAGAATCGACCAGAAGAGATCGACGATCTTCCGACCCAGCCAGGACCCATGTAACCAGGTCCGGAGACGCGAGTGCGCTGGTCCCCAGATACACGGACTCATCCAGGTGATCAGACGCGTCGTCACTAGTTTCTCCAGCCACAGCTTGAATGGAGTCACGTACGGCGGCGCCATCCATACCGGCCCGTGCCCGTTGTCGCGGATGATCCAGTCGACGCGCGCGCCCGCCGTCGCAGCCGCGTACACCGCGTCCCAGGCGGATTTGGTGCCCCCATAGACGGCGATGCGCTTGTCGGGCTGGAGAAGACCGTCCTGGTGGATGGGGAGGTCGCGGATGTGGAACAGCAAGGCGTCGAAGCCATCCTGTCCGACAAAGCTCGGGAGATACGGCTGCGAGGTGATGCCCGTGCAGACGATGAGTTTTTTCGTCGCTATCGTCTGCTGGGATTCGGACTGGGATTGAACGTCAGAGACGGTGAGGACCCAGGAGCCGTCGGATTGGTGATCGGCGACGTGGACGCGAGCATTCAAGCGGATGTAAGGGGTGAGGTCGAAGTGCTCGACGAACCGCTCCATGTAGCGCTGCACCACCGGCCCCGGGACGTGCTGCCCCGGTTGCACGCCAAAGGATTCATCCAGAGGGAAATCGCTGAACTCGTAGGTGCCTCGCATGTTGTTGGATTTGAGACCGGCATATAGACGATGTTTCGCCCAGACGCCGCCGACCGACGACGCGGCCTCCAGGAGGAGAATGGAGGCATCGGGATGGAGCTGATGATAAGTTTTGAGGGCCGCGAGACCGTGCCATCCTATATAACATTATTATATGATTTTTTACGATTCTCTATTGTATATTTGGTGTATACATACCAGCACCGATGATGGCGACGTCGAGGTCCATAATAAAATAAGATTAGAAAATGGGAAAAGAGAGAAAGGAATAAGGAGTAGATAACAAATTATAAAATGTAGAAAAAAGAAAGAATAAATTTAGAAGAATAAAGAAGAGTAAACAGAGTGCCTAATACGGAGTGGAGTGCCTCAGGATCCAGTTCCCAAATAGGCAGTACTCCAATTCCAAACGTTTTTGTGGATTCTCAATCGTAAAACTTCAAAAGAAGAAATAAGTAGGGTTAGGGGATCCTGGATAGAATCCACCAAGACGGTTCGACTATCGAGAATATCCAACAGAAGGCGACGAAGAGAAGAATCCCCCTGAAAACGTCCCTTTTTGTGCAACACCACGACTCTAGCGTTGGCTGGCGAGTGGGGCATGTGAATTGTTAGTCTTGTAGAATTTTAGGAGATTTTAGCAGCTTTTTATTAGTTCAGTTTAGTTGGTATGAGTTAATTTCGTTTTCTGTCATGCAGCTAACTTTCGGGATTTGCTTGATCGGACTTATTCTCTATATCTCTCTCGAATCGATGATCTATCATCCTATCGTCTCAGTCAGTCATCATCATCTATCCGTCATATATCTATTTATCTATCAATCAATCTATATAGATATAGATTATAGAGATGGATTAGAGATAGGTAAATATAAAGACCCATCTCTGAGGAGATTCTCCAACGGTTGTGGATCGACCCCATCTCCTGTCCTATAAATATAGCCCTGTCTGCTAACGATAATCCCTGTTTCTACGAGCATATCATATATTATATTATACGATGGGAGATTTCACAATCGAAGCATTCACCCTCCTGGCCATCGCTATCGCCACCATCGTTCTCCGCATCGTCGCTCGCTACATCACAGTTGGATTCAAGCAATTCAAGCTCGATGACTACTTAATGCCTCTGGCGGGGGTATATCAATCCTAAGGCACATAAAAATACATACTAATATATATGTGTATAGGTGGTGTATGCCCTCGAAACCGGCGCCGCCTACTGTGTCGGCGCCTTGTGGAAAGGCCTGGCCAACAACGCCATGACCGACGCTGATCGACGCGCTCTTAATCCCTCATCTGAAGAGTATCGTCTGCGCGTCGGTGGTTCCAAGACCCAAGTCCTCGGCTGGTCTCTGTACACCACCTTATTATGGCTCCTGAAGGCCTGCATGGCTATCTTCTACGCCCGTCTCACGGCCGGTCTGGTCAACATGAACATCCGCGTGCGCATCGCCTATGTCTTCATCGCTGCCACTTACATCGCTGTCATCTGCTCCATCCTCTTTGGCTGTCGTCCCCTGCATCGTAACTGGCAGATCTATCCCGACCCCGGGAATCATTGCCAGCCGGCTGTTTCGCAGATCGATGTCTACGTCACGGTTACGTTGAACGTCGTGACCGATCTGTATCTCATTTCGATTCCGACTCCGATGCTGTTCAAGGCGCGTTTGCCTTGGCGGGAGAAATTGGAATTGCTGGTTCTTTTCAGTGGAGGTTTTTTTGTCATAGCAGCAGGGATTTTGAGATGTGTGTTGATCGTGACGGTACTCCTCCCTTCCTATCTCTCTCTCTATATGTATCTAACAGAGTATAGGCCGGTCAAAACGGCGCCTCCCAAGCCGGCAGCTGGGCCTGTCGCGAGACCTTCGTGGCCGTCATTATCGGTAACGCTCCCATGATCTATCCTCTCATTCGACGTCTTGCTCGTCGCGCCACCGGATATATCTCCACCAAGGGAGCCTCGTCGCAGGGTTATCCTTTGTCCGAGGGTGATCCCTCCACTCTGCAGAGTAAACGCCGTCGATTCCGTCATCCGCTGTCTCTCCCGACCCAGTGGAATACCATCAGCGACGAGCATATGGCTCTGTCTCGTCAAGAGCCGACGACGTGCACGGTCTGGGATGGGAATAGTACCAGGAGTGAGGAGGGGATTAAAGTTGTGAGGGAGACGATTGTACAGAGGCAATGATATTTATATATTATAAATAGGTATAGGGATAGGTATATGTATTACTTGTCAGCAACTTCAATGATCCCCTTTCTCTTCGACGCTTTCACTGGATTCTTGGCCTGGAATATCCCTGTCAATTCCTCCAGCGTGCGCTGGCTCGTCTCGACAAATAAAAAGTATATCACCAGAAACTCCAACGTGTCCCAGAAGATAAACAGGAAATAGTATTTCCATCCCGCTCCGCTGAAGGCAATCCCGGTGACAAATGTGTTATAGAATGAGGCGATGTTCACGAAAAACTATCATCGTTAGTATACCCTAGAGATAGAGAGGGATAAGATAGAGAGAATACATTGTTCATCGCCATCCCCTTCGCTCGACTCTCATATCGTAAACACTCCACCGGATACATCGCCTGATTCGGCGTCCATCCCACCGAGTAAACAAGTCCAAACACAAACAGCATCGCGATCTGCGCCCGCGCCGCGACCCCCGACTTGGCTATGGGCTCGCCGGAGGACTCGTTCACCACGTTGGTCGCGTTCAGCGCTGTGATGATGGCAAATAGCACCACGATGAGCGCGGTTGACACCAGTAGCTGTGGTCGTCGTCCGATGCGGTCCGTGATCAGCGCCCCGATGACCGCTCCGATGAACTGAACCACGTTCTGCAGTCCCTGCAGCAGCAGTCGGGTGCTGTTGTTTTCGATCCCGGCGCCGCGCAGCATCTGCGGGTAGTAGTATGAAACGGGGCCGTTGCCGGACCATTGGCCGAAGAAGGCTATACGTATTAATAAAATAAACAGAGTATAGAAGGGATAGAAGAGATAGAAGAGATACCCATGAATATGACCAGCATTGATCGATATTGCGTCTCTCGACAGTTAAATAACTCGCGGTAATCCCACCATCGTTTATCCGCCCCCGTCTTCGAGATGTCCTCCATCATCTCGCGGTATTCTAGCTGCACAATTGGCGCATTTCGATCGCCTTCTCCGTGGTACTCCGCGAGAACCTGCAGCGCCGCTTCGTGTTGATCCTGGGAGATGAGCCACCGGGGGGACTGACCTGTTAGCTATCATATATTATGGATATGGATATGGATGGGTATACCTCCGGTAATGTAAAACAAAACAACAACACCATCCCCGAAAACACCATTTGCAACCAGATGGGAATGCGCCAACTCATCGTCCCCTCGATGCTACTGGTCCGCCAGGGGATGAATGTCCCCGGGATACCACCCCCGAACCACAGCACGTTGTACAGACCTGTCATGGCACCGCGGTACGCCGGATGGGCTATCTCAGATACGTACGCCGGTCCAGCCGTCGCCGACGTGGCCACGCCAAAGCCCAAGATGAATCGGCCCGCCATGAACCCGCCCAGGTTGTGGCAGGTAGCTTGCACGATGGTGCCGATGATGATAAAAATGGCGCCGAGGGCCATGCCGACGCGGCGGCCTATATTATCACATCATTATTATGTCCATATCAGAGAGTAGGACAGGTCATGATAGATCGGAAAGGATATGTATGTATGTACCTTTGAAATCAGTAAATGGTCCCGCAGTAAACGAACCCACGATATTCCCAATCGTGTAGATGGCATACACAATGCCCGTCGACGGCGTTCCTTCGTCTGGATCGAAGCCGAAGTATGATCGATACTGCTCGTAGCTATTGATGGATCCCATCAACGAGCCGTCGTATCCGTTAATGCATGAATTGAGCATGGCTACGGCGATGCACCAATACAACTATTAGCCACCGTTAGATATAATAATATACATTACATCTAGATAGAAAGAGAGAGATACCTTGAGCATACTCTTGCTGAACAGCTTCGGCTTCTGCTGTTGCGTGGCCTCGGCCAACGCATAAACCTCCACATGGGAAATCTCAGGATCGAGTTTTTCCGTCATGATGTAGAGTCTGTACCCCGTGGGAATCTGATATGGAGACATCTGGAGAGGAATTAGATGGATATATATATTCGATCATGATGGTTGATGCAGTGAAATTGAACAAGACCAATTGTCCAGGATCCGCCAGTCCGCTTCCAGCAAGGAGACTCCGTTCCCGATTGGGTAACTCCGTCTATAGCTTCATTCATTCTCTATGGCTCTATACCTTTATGCCTCTATATCTACTAAGCGAGCTTCCCCAACTCCTACGGGTTTAATACCAAATGTGGAGTGTACGATAAAATACCCCCAAGTATCTTCCAAGTAATCCAGTGGGTCTATCGAGTGGTTCAATTGTCTAATATAACGATTATATAGACTGCAATAAAGCCTTCTCCTCCCCACTAATATACAAACTCAACGTATAATATCGTCCCTCGATCATCTCCGACTCCCCCCGGGGATCCCCCGCCAACGCCAGTCTGGTCCCTCCGGCGAAAGGCACGCTGTACCACAGCGGTTCGCCCTGCCCATCCGCCCCCTCCCAGTACTCCGCGTGGCACGACATGCTGCTCCCCACCAGTAACGGGTTGAACCCATTGCAGATCGCCTCGGGGATATGCAGCACCTCCTTGAGCTCGATCACCCGCGTGTCGCCAGCCCCGCCGGGTCTCCTACACACCGTCAGCTGCACCGTCCCTACCCCCGCCACGTGGAGTTCCTCGTGAGGGTTGAAGATGTTGTTCCGGAGCTGGAGCTTTTGCGATGTCGTCCGGTACGTCTGGAACGCTGCCCGGTCGCGTGCGTAATGGCAGTTGCCCGAGACCACCATCCAGTCATAGCAGATGCCATTGGCCGTGTGGGAGACTTTATTGCGTTTGCGTGGTTCGTCAGCTTCGTCGCGGTCGTGAGTATACATCTGGGGAGGATGGATTGACAAAAAAAAAAAAATAATAAAAGAAAAGAGACAAAGAAAGAAGTGGATGAATGAATGAATGAATGAAGAGAAGAAAAGGAATGAAGGCCGAAAGCGGAATGGCAGTATGTTGAGAGTAGCAGGCGGTGTAGTATATCTTCGAAGCCCAAAGCGGAAAACACGTGATGCACCTTCCATCTATACTTCCTCTCGTCTCTACGGAGTACAACAAACAATCAGCTCAATCCACCATATATGAATGATCTCTCACTTCCAATAACCAAAGACTACTACCAAATCCTCGTGGCATAGTTACCCTCCTAGCTCAATCCGGCTCTCTCAGATCATTTGGTCTTGAGCAAAAACCTGGAATTTGAGTAACTCTTCAGCTTTCCCAAAACAACTCGCAGCAAATACTTCAGCTTGTAGAAAATATACCCGTCGATCTCAAGGTGAGGGTATGATGGGTTCACTGCTTGGAAATTACAGTCGATCTGTGCGACGAGCCTAACCCCTGCACACGGGCGTTAGCAAAGGAAACCCTTAATAATAAGAGAGAGGCCTTGCGAACCGGAATGCCCAACTACTTCCGGGGGGTTTCCAGCCCCGACTCGTAAATGCGCACGATTTTATGCAGGTGCTCGGTCTCCCTGTGAAGGCACTCCACCCGCACATCCTTTGTGGCGTTCTCTTGGTGCTGCTTCCCCTGCCCACAGACCAGTACGTATTAGTCAGTGCCTGCCTATCTCTCATGACGTCTTATCTAGAGCTCTCCGACACTCAATTTGTACAGAAACCAGCGGATCTGGTTTTTGACCCTCCTGTTCCCCGAGAATGGGTCGGTGTAGGACCGCACTGCGTCTGGCATCTTGGCGGAACGGAATGGAGGTTCGACCCCATAATGACAACGGGTGGCCCTTACTGATGGCCGGAGTGAGTTGAAAGCCGCATGGAGGGCACCATATGCAATTGCCACTTGGCTATTCCATAGCAAAGTGAGCGACAAAGAGGGGGGGTAGAATAAAGCTGTCGAGTGCTTTACGTGTCTTTCACTTGATGGACCATATGGCTGTCTTGGGCAAAATTTCTATATATCTCATTGTAGAGGTGATCTGACTGAGAACGGCCGACAAGAAATATTTTCTAAATCTCGTTATCCTTTGACTGGACGATTCGATTCCCGACTTGAGAATGGCCTATAGAGTCACATTAATGACTTAACAGATTATTCATGCCTTTGGCTGCCTGAATCTGGTCACTGTTGAGAGAATATATTTTGCTAACAGCAGGCTCGAAAAGGCCATATAAATCGTACCTGGTGGTCCCCAGAGGGAAACAGTCAGCATGAGCATTGGATATAGTTCTACACCTAACAGCTCAGTATAATTGCTGACCAGCGCATATCGAATCCCACGGAGATCGGCGAACTCGGAACATCCAAAACGTGATAGAATACTTCTTGGGGGTTAGCTTGTGAAACCTGTATTTAAGATATTTCAAACCAATTCATTAACTCGCTTCCCGGGGCCCGGTAGATTTTATATTCCTCGAATTCAAAAAGAAGAAAAAGGAGTAGGGTAGAAAGAAATCAGATAGAGAACCATCGTGGAATTATCATATATTCGCACAGTAAACCTAGACAGAAACAAACTCAAATTTCCCAAATCAATTCAATCTCTCCTGATACCCTCATCACTACCTCCATTAAACAGAAAATTTATTATTTCTCTTTTTTGTCTGACAAAAAAACTGAAGCACTCGAATAATCAATTAAAAAATTAGTCTGACAAAATTCAAGTACTGGAATAATTCCACGGCAAAGAATTAAATATAGCAAAAGCGTCACATTGTTTAAATCTCCTCGCCTCGAAGAGAGAAATTCAATGCCATTTTCTCCCGCACGGAAGTCCCGCTTTTAATAATGTGGTGGAGATTGCGTCGTTCATTTAACCACTTGTCTACGTCCATTTCTAGTCTGCTGTTTGCGTACGAGATGGTGATTTCGACGGTGTCACCGGAGATGTCCTGGCGGTCGATTTTGAAGGCGACGCGGTGCAGTTCTATTTAAATTCTGAGTTAGTATATACGTGTTTGTTTATTTATATATTTATGGGTATACCCACCGGGAATGACCTCGTCCTTGTTACGGTCATACCGCAACACTGCATGAGTATACCAGTATTTCTGCTCCCCGGGCACCACGGCAATAGTGTTCCGGAGGAGACGCAGCAAAACGGAGAATGGCTCCGGGTGCTTGGAATAGTGGCTCAACAGCTCACGCAGGATTGTGGAAATCACGTCGTTTTTGTCCGCCTTCAGTTTCTTGGGCTCGGAGGGTTTTTCTTCGTGGACGTTAAGCCTGTATGCATTATTAATAGGTGAGATTGTACATGTTTCTAAGTTAAAGGCTCCAAGTGAGGTAGGACGTACCATTTTTCTTCATTCCGGAGATTATCGATCAGTCTGCCTCGATATACCGTCCGCTGGATGCGGGAGTCCACCGAGTCGTCCTTGGGCAGGGTGCCCTGGTCCATTTGCTTCTGGATCTCGTCCTCGGTTTGTCCCAGTTCGTAGGCATACATGTCTTGGATCTGCCTGTGGAGTTCGTTCAAGTCGTCCACAGAGTCAGGTGGGACCTGGGTGATGTAGTTGAAGTAAAGGGCATTGGGGGTCCCATAGTCCTTGGTGATGTCTAAGTTCTGCATGGTTTGGTGAGGTAATGAGATTGACAATGATAATCCTATATTGGTGGTGTTAATCCTAATAGTGGTATTAATTTTGAATGAGGAGGAAAAAGAGAAGTGATCGTACAAGCGATGAATCGACTTTAAATACTTTTCTGGCACGAAAAATCATCAGCAACCTGGCCAATGAACTGTTCTGAGCATTCGGAAGCCCATTCCATCCAACAGAGTTTGAGGGGTCAGGTATCTCGATCTAGAACAACGCCCTGAGGTCACGAATTCTTGTATGAAGCTCTCCATTCCTGAAATATCGTATAAGAACGTCATTTGAGAAATGCCCTTATCACTCTCGTGAAATTGGTTGGCTAAGTGTAGAACAGATGCATATTGACAAAAGAATCGGGACTAATGACCGGAAAATAGCCCCGACGAAAGGAACCATACACAGATTTCTTTCCCCTTTCTGTTGTTGACCTCCTCGTTTCGTCCGTGGCGCTCCTGAATTATGCTGTACGTGTGTCTTCATGAGGCGTAGCTCCAACAATGAGACCGGGCTACCAGTCTTGATACTCACAAGCACTTTATATCATGGAACATTGCGTACGAGTCCAAGCTAGCTCTCGATTGGACCAGGTCTCTACCCTCTGGATGGATCTCCATCGGCGATGAACTCCGTGAGTGTCTGTGTTTGAATGAAAACCACTCGGATGTTTGGAATATAGTTGGTACATAATAACGTTAACTTCCGTTGTACCCTTGGGTGGGATCTTTCATGTACCCATGGACGTCGGAGATATATACTTCAATATCGTTGGTTGGGACTATATGCTCCGATCGCGGCGACAGATGAGTTGGCCAAGAAACCAGGAGAATTTGTTTATCATTATACGTAAGTACACGTATAGTGTAGTAATAATGATGGTGAAAGGAGACCAAGCCTATCATAGGGACGTCAGTCAGTCTCCGAAGTTTGAAGCAATACCCCACCCTCTGACGATACCGCGTCGGAAATCCAGGCGTCATCAATAGGTCAAGTTTTCGAATGCATACCTAGTGGAAATCGACGGTGGATGGGTACATTCGGAATAGAACTCTGCAGCGTGTAGGGAAGGTGAAGGAGAATGGCGATGGGAGTTCGGCTTGCGACGGTTATTCCCAAGTCAGATGACGATCGAAAGAGGAAATATTTCCCATTGTGATATACGTCGGGGTATCAAATGATTCATTTAAATATACACTAGATGAAGCTGTGGGGGGAGGCAGTCAGAGTAATACCCTTTGGTGATAGCTTCATGGTGAACCACGGCTCCATTTGCTTCATCTTCTACAAATGCAGTTATCGTCAATACAGACTCATATCTCTCAAGACTGAGCACCAGGGCAAACTATGCACCATACATTCTGTGAATATGGTAAGCCGACTTCGATACAGGTATGGGTAATATCAAATCTACCTATTGTAAATTACTATGTATGGGTAGATAACTAGTTGACGCATCCAAAGGACAATTGATAAGCGCCACGTTGTCCCAATAGTGCCGCAGGTGTTCAACATCCTAGTATATCTATACGAGAGTTCAACTGTTCAACCGGGCTATTCCTGGCGGAAGTAACCCCCCCCTCCCTCCCCCCCCCCCCCAAGCAATCTACTTAAGTGCCTGCTGCCGACCCGACTATTTTTGGTGGATCAGATGCCCAATTGGATCCCTGTAGTTGGGCAGGAGAGGATTATAGTTAACTGGTATTTGCCAAGGCTAGTGTAGATACAGATTCAGGGAACATTGAAGGCTTCCCTCTGCCATAATGAGCCTTACCGTCGCTTCCTGTCTGAAGGCATTTTGGTGGTCATATGGCCACCTCACGAGGCCATGAGGTGCAACGTTTAGTATAAAGCCACTGCTCCCCTTCAGATTGAATAGGTTCATAAGGTTGCAGCCACTCAGAATATGCTCCATAGTAGCTGCATCCTGCAGGTTCGACTTGAAGATATAGTCCACAAACTTTGAATGCCCTGGGCACACACTGCATAGGAGTCATAGTTGTCTGGCTGGTATACAGCTCTTGCTAGTAACACATACAAACTGAAGCTTCCAAGTTACACCCCAGGATCTTGCGGCCACACCAATCTCACTTCGGGGCAGTTTCGGTGGAGAATGATCCTTGGTAACCACTGGATCAATCAACCGCAGAGTATGGTCAGTGTTCGTAAGAGGATGGCGAAGTTACCTGGAAATCTGATTCGAGATTTCATGTGTCTGTTGCGTTTTTAAACGCCTCACCGATTCTGCCATGTCTCAGAGGTGCGAGGTGTGCCCACGCCACCGTGATCCAGAGATGATTGCCTTGTTCACCCCAAGTGAGCTCTTTTCTAGGGGAGTCAGACTCCGGTATTAGAAGATTTGCAAGACTTCTAAAGGCACCGGGCCATAGGCGTTGTCATGGTTCCTACACCGAGCAGTGCCTGACGTAGCCGACCGGATGGGTCAAAACAGCACTGAGTATAGGTTTAAGCTGTAAATGAGCTCAAAATCTCCTCTCGGATTCGACCCATTCATTATCTTCTCAACCTCCGCCCAAACACGCTCACGGCTAACTTTCGCTGAAACTCTGCATGAATCTTGGGATTTTTTACCGACTCCCGCGGCTCCTCAATTTCAAATCCAAGCCCGCTAGCAAATCTGACCGACCGCAATATCCCGAGGGGGTCATCTACGAATGTCTGACATGGGTCCAACGAGGTGCGGAGGATCCCAGCAACCAGGTCCTGCAGCCCCTTCATCATATAATTCTCTATTTGCTGACTGTCCACATTGTGAAGTAAAGCATTAATTGTGGTGTCTCGACGAAACGTGTCTTCCGCAGAAGTCGCAAACTGAACTGGATGATTTCCGCTTTCTTCCGTATGGACTCCCTTCCTCAAGCCCACAAAGTTACCAATAAACCGAAAATATGGGTGGTGCCAACCTCCAGGTGTTTGGACTTCTCTGGCTTGCGGTCGCTTCGGTATATTCCGGTAACGGTAGATGGGACGCCGGCATGCAGTGCTTCGTCTGCATATTTTGTAACATTCTCGTCGAAATAGTCCTCCAGAGCAGTTAAAAATTGCGCTCCAGTCAGAATACTGAGGACAACATCAATTGTCGTGGCTCTGGTCTCCCAGCAACTTATCGCGGACCCAGATTCAGGTGAACCGAATATCCAAAGGGGCTAGGTGACTACTGGAGAGATGATGTTCTCGATACTCGAGAAGGAGCCGTTCAAGAAGTTGCGCTGCGGGTAAAATTTCGACAGTCTTCCGGGCCGTGCCATGTGTTGATCCACTGGGATGCATCAGCCACAATGGTCGGTGTAGGAACAGAGATATCCGGTTATACATACCGTGGGAAAGCTTCACCCTTTTTGCAGGCCATTTGATCGGGCGTTGTTTTCATTGTCGGAAGGAAGTCTGGGTGGAGGGTTGTCACTGCCCAACAGCATCACCGCGAGCGGGGGTCAATCGGCGCTCGATCGATCTTCTGCTGTGGATATTGAGATATTCAAATCGGGACGATGATGATGGGACTGGTCGACGCCATCTCAACTACGATTTGTCCCATGTGCTGGTCTACATATATAGCAAACAAAGACCCATGTGCTTGACTCATGCTCCCTAATCCGAAACGGGCGATCTATTCCCGGGTCTAACAATATGGCTTGCTCTCTAGGTGCACGTTGGACTCAAGTAAATACCACGATACGTGTTGGGGATGGAGTGGGTGTTTTCTGTCCAATGACTGGATCTAAAACGAACTAACTAGATATACAGTATGAAGTTAGTGTCTGCCTAAGATGCGGGCAAAATAGGCAGTTTATCTATTCCCAGTCCAGTGCTACCTATTATCTGATCTCCCCCACTCGCAAATAATGGCGCACAGAGTCCAGCGCCACGCATCCTGGAGCAAACCAGCAGCGCGAAACAGGGCGAAGTGTTTGTGCTCCCCGTCGCAACACATGATGTTGCTGATCAGCTCGATACACAGTACGTTCTGGTTTGCAATATGCGGCCCCGACGTATCTCCGTTTCCACCGAAAGTACCAGGCCCTGTAGGACCTGTTAGGTCACTACGGTCTCTGCCTACCAGAGGTACCTAGAGGTGGCTCACTGGGCCTCAAGACGGATGCTATCCCAAAGTACCATACGTAGTACAGTGACGATACTTGCCCTTCTCGACAGTTTCTTTCACAATTCATCCCTCCATCACCTGAGAAGCGCGCCCTACGACCAATCATCGGGCCATTGTTGACTCGTTCTGGAACCCCGCTAGCCATTTCGGTCGAGTCCGGTCGAGTCCAGTGGATCTCTCTCAACCAATGATCACAGTCTACAACGCTGATTGGCCGGCTGAGACACCCGCCCAGCAAATTCGTATGGGGCCGATCTGCACGGCGCCCAAGATTGAAATGCACGTCCCCACCGAACACCGCTCCTGATTGGTCCGCGGCATGCCAGATCTTAGGCCTGGCTGGTTTCTTTTCTCGGGCTGCTGTATTTCATTGTCTCCACGGAACAACGCAGTCGGGAACTCCTGTCGGGATTTCACCCGAAGTCATCAATCAGTATATATAAAAAGCCTCACAAATCCTCCGGGTCATGGCATTAAGGGTGAGATCACTTGGAATTCTACATGTCCAATTCTCAGTCGTCGTCACGTCCACTTGCCCCTTTCCCAAGTCCCCTGCCAAAATCCAGCAGTCCCGATGATGTAGTGCCCAGTCGGAAGCATAAGACAACCGCCTGCCGAGCATGCAAGCAGAAGAAATTGAAGGTGCGTCCCCTCTCTCCGCCTCTCCATGATTATATCATATGTAGACGGAGAGCTTGTTTCTAATCCGACCGCCTAGTGCCGAGGGGATCCGCCTTGTGAGCACTGCGTTGCCAATGGTCTCGAATGCCACGTCGACGAAATGGCCGACATGCGCCGGAAGTTTGCGATGAAACGGAAACTCGACCGGCTCGAGATGGCGTCGGACGTCCTCCTGCGGCTGGTTAGCGCCCTGCGAGAAAGCGACAGCACGCGTGTCGCCCAGCTGTTGAATCTGATCCGCAGCAACGCGTCGTTCGACGAGATCCAGGTGTTTTTGAAGCAGAAGTTCTCTCAGTACGAGATTGAAGGATCCCCGGAGTTGCGCGAGGTTCAGAGCCAATTCTCGCGGCCATCCGACGACGACGAAGACGGCCCTAGCCAGCGCAGCGGTCGACGTGTGCTGGACGTCAATCGACTTACGGATATCCCGGTGTACCGCGTGCCGGCCAAACCGTGGACGACCGTCACCGACGACGATGACCTCGTCTCGCATTTGGTATCCTTGTGGCTGACCTGGTCCTATCCATTCTTCCACTGGCTGGACAAGGATGCGTTCGTGTGCGATATGCAGGCGGGCAATCTGCACTGCCGGTTCTGTTCACCGTTCCTGGTGAATGTGATTCTCTCTGAAGCGAGTGTATGTGGTGTAGCCGTGCCACTACCGTACGAGCTATGGCGTGCGGGTTATTGATGATTGAGTGTCCAGTACTATTCCGACTATGCCGAAGTTTATACTATTCCCAACGACGCCTTCTCACGGGGCAATCAGTTTTACGACGAGGCGCGGCGACTACTAGAGGAGGAGGAAGAGGAGGAAGGCACCGTGAGCCTGCCCACCATCCAGGGGCTCCTGATTCTGTTCATTCGGTAGATATTAAAAAATCGTATCGTTCCTGGCTGGGGACTGGCTAACGAACCGGAGGTTGGTCCTCATGGGAAAAGACCGCATGGGATGGACATACCTAGACCTGGCCACGCGATCCGCCACGGAGTATGCTGCATCTCGCCCGGCGCAACCGACGGACGATAGCTCCCTAAGGGGGATCGAAAGTGTGGCAAACCGGACACTGTGGGGGACCTTTTGCATCGCCTCGTACGCTGCCTCGACCCCGTGGCTTTGGTTGGTACTGACTTATATCGGGTAGCACTTCGGCCGTGTCACTGATGAAGCATATCGATGTGCACCCTCCACGGCAGCCACGCGTGCACATTCGCCATGGCGATCCTCGCGATGTGTGGTCGCCGTACCCGAAGCATGATGAGCCGGTCCCTGGCCACCACAACTGCGTGTTCGACCGATGGTGCGATCTTAGCTGCATCACGATACGGTTCAGCCGTGCTTTTCATGGCGTTAGGGACCGGCTGCCCCAGTCTTCGATGGTTTCTATCGTCAACGACATCTATCAACAGCTGCAAGGCTGGCATGCCAATCTACCGGAATGCCTGCAAGCCGAGACGGCCATCGTGCCGCATGTCCTCAGCATTCAGTGAGTGGGTACTGTTAGGTCCTAGCCATAAGTACTAACGGCGACTCAGTCTCTTTTACCACACCACTGTCCTACAGATCTTCGGCTTCCTCCGCTTCAACGGCGCCACCACTCCCCTCGACCCAGACACAGCCGGCTGCGCGCGCACGATTTGCCTGTCGACTGCGCGTCGCATTGCGTACCTGCTTGGCATCCACCGGGACAAATGGGGTATCGACCGTATGTCCCCGTCGACAGTCCAGTGGATCACTGTCAGTTTGTTCACGTTACTGGAGGCGCTGGACACACCGGAGAACCGCAATGCATTCGTCGAGTTGTGCATCATCGCGCAAGCGTTTTCGCGCCGCTTCACGCTCGCCAAGGGCCTTCTGCGCATGATCCAGCTGTCAGCAAATCAGCAGCAAGTGAGGTTACCTGAGGAGACGAGCGCGCTGTTTACGGACTTTGAGAGTCACAGCTGGCGCAACAGCGATGCGCAAGAGTTCAGCAGTTTCTACCCGCATTATCTGTCGGTGATCCAGCAGGGCTCTGCGCGACAGGCGGATGTGGCTATGGATTCGTTTTTGGAGAAATGGGATCATTTTGGCCTTGGGGATAAGCATGAAAATGACCGTAATGATTTATGACACCAGCAAAACGAGATATACCAGAGTAGTTTTGACCAGTTAATTTATTATTGTCTTTCTTGGGTGCGAATTGGCCAATGGGGTACTATTTGTAGAGCTACTTGGCCCAGTAAGTATAGGCTATATACGCTATACTAATAGCCTAACTTGGATAGCTAGGCAGTCAATATCTCTGCCAAATAATTCTACGGCTACTTGACTGTCTTTTATGATATCGATTTGGAGTGTATATACACCCGGCCAATTCTGTCATTTTTGTTGAGCTTCAGACTTAGCGAGATGTGAATCCGTTGACCTTTGGCAGTACTAGGTACCCCTTTCCCACAGGCTGAGTGTTAATGAAGCACTCGACGATAGGCACGGGGGTCCAAACAATTAATTAAGCACTAGTTCCCATGCCGACTCTGAGCCCGTTGCCAAGCTCATTATCAAACCTGGTCTCGCCTGGCTTCACTGGTTAACTGATATGATGTCTTTCCATGTTCGGAACTACCTCCATGAAAGGATCTAGCATATGAGTGATATATCTCACAGAGAATGATTAGAAGAGGATATCCAAAGCTGATCGACAGATCAGATTGCACCTTAACCTTATTATGTATTCTCCTCGGAGAATTTCGACCCATCAAATCTGCATAACATAAGTAGACTATACCCCTTGCATTGATCAACCTCCCCTGAATAAGACGCCCGAACAGACGTTATCTCAAACGCAGCAATATCCAAAACAAGCCTACCATGCCCATACACACTGGTCATCCGGATATGTCGAACCAATGGACTCCTGAAGATGAACGACGACTGATTCGTCGCATTGACATGTAGTAAGCCGCACCCCACGTGTCAAACGGCGCTGACTCTCCAGTCTCATGGTCCTGTGCACCCTCCTCGACGTGATGGAAAGTGGACCAGGGCCTGGTTTCTCCCTAATGACTAGCACGTGATACACGCCTCGCGAATATGTCCTACGCCATATGATCTAGACAGCGGGAAACCAGGCGGGCGAAATCCTCGGCGCATTGATCTCTTACGGCGTGGTGCACTACACTGGCCCATGTCCACAGTGGAAGATGCTCTTCCTCATCCTGGGATCGATTACAATCATCTGGTCTGTAGTTCTCGGGTTCGCGTTGCCGGATTCGCCGCGTCAGAACGTCTTTCCTGTCCCCGATGGATCGAGAACTGGCATCTTTCCGTCGAAGAAGTTCCAGCGTATGTCTCAGACTTGGAATCCACTTCAGGCGAGGGAGACTGTGCGGTATTTCAGATGTATCGGTTTTTCATCATGGGGTTATGCTATTTCTTCCGAGTGATGGAGTGACTAGCGTGAGTATAGTATCCTAGTATCCTTGTCCTGAGGGGTGAGAATCTGCCAGTAGATAGGTAACAAAAGAAACAGTTCTCAACAATCATCTCTAGCTTTGGATTCTCCATTCCCCAGACAGTCCTGATGGGCCTCCCCAGCACCACCATCCAACTCATCTCGCTCTGCATTATCAGCACCATCACGTCGACCCTGCATAGCACACGGCTCCCCAGTCTCGCAGCGCTGTATGTCGTGGCCCTCGTAGGGTTTCTCACAATCATGCTCGACAAAACGCAGCCATGGTCTCGACTGATGGGATTCTGGCTGTGCGAGCATACGCACCCATGTTTCCGATCGTGTTGTCCCTGGCAGCGAGTAACACGGGCGGATTCATGAAAAACTCCCTGCCGGGGGCAATGCTGTTCGTGGGGTACTGTTTGGGGAATTTCTCGGGGCTGTTGGTGTTCAAAGCCAAGGAGGCCCCTGGGTATCCATATATGGCGATTTTGGCCTGCTTTGCTATAACGTTTGTCGTAGCGCTGTGGATGAGATGGTTTCTACCCCTAGAGGATTGTTGGGGCGATGAACAGAGAGAGGTGGGTGGTGCATGCGGAGGATAAAAAGGTCGTGCATGTGCGTCGCGATGGGGGTTAAAGGGGGTAGATGAGACGGACTGGGGAGAACCGAGGATTTCGACATGTTTTATAGATCAGAAGATTTAACTGGTTGACTAGGGAATGCCTGGTATTAGTTTCATATTTCCTGTTTTGGATTTGATCTACGGAGATAAGATAAGATGCTGAGTCATCATCATTACCCACCCAAGCAGACAAACGGAAACAAACATCAACAGAGACACTCCTATCGCCAAAAGACAGAATGGACTCGAATGACGGACCTGCGCTCCCCCCACGCCCCTCAAAATCTCAATCCCAGGAGAAATGTCCTCCTCCCTCGCAAGACCTGCCTACTTATCCCTTCTCGCCATATGACCCTCCCCCACTCCCTCCGTACACCCTTCACACAACGCCGGCTCTAATCCGGAACCAGGTCTCTGACACTCCACGGAAAAGACTCCCTTGTGTGATACCGCGTACGATACATATACATATATAGAGATAGAGAGTGAGTGATCGAGAGCTAATCTAATTAATGATAGAGACATCACACACCTTCCACGGCACCATCTACCGACCGTTTGCACGCGCCTATCCGCCCGATCTGACGACGACGACGCTGAGCTACAATGATCTCACATCCATGCAATCACCCGACGCCTTCCAAGGACCAGGACACCCTGGGACGGGGAGTATCAGTGCGACAGACTTCCTAGCGTTCATTGATGGCTTGAACGCCGTGTGGCTGGCACATCCGTATCTGCAGACCGCCAGCGCCACGAGCGGGATCTTCAGCTTTGTGCCGCTGCTGGAGGTGCAACTCGCCGCGCTGGGCGTGGCAGTTGCCACAGAGTACGGATCGCACAAGTTGTCGCAGATGCGGACGGAGGCGTACCTCCGTCTGGCGAATGAGGAGCTGTTCGTCCCCCGGGGACTACGCGTGCAAATCCTCAAGACGAGACAGATGATGGAAACGGTGGGGATTTCCGGGGAGGTGCTGAAACTAGGACGGTTGGAGGGGAGGGATGAGGTTTTTCCTAGTAAGGAGGAATGCGAGAAAGAGAAGGAGGCAGAAGCAGAGGCAGAGAAAGAGAATGAGTTAGGGAAAGACAGATACGATCCTCAGATGCGCCGAATGGACGTGCTAAAAGGCTATGTGTTACCGCTGGAATTCGGCCACGAGAAACCCCCGTCAGAGAACTGGATCAAACGCGCCTCGGAAAAACAGGCACGTCTCTTCGCGGATCGGCAGAACTCGCAACTCGTGGGCAAACGTGACAAGGCTACGAAACTGGTGGAAGAAGCACAAGAGGCCGAGCGCGAGCTGAACGCGAAGGTTCAGGAGATCGAGGCGGCGAAGCGGGAGGCGCGCGCGAGAGCCCGCGAGCGCATGGAAGGTCCCTTGGGAGAGTCCAATACGGGGAAACTCATGGTCCAGGAGGATCTGGAGAAGGAACTGAAAAAGTTGGGGAAGAAGGGGGAAAAGGTGGACAAGGAGCGAGAGAAACGGGTGACGCGCAAGTTGCAGCAGAGTCAGAAGAGCATTCAACGGGTGGAGAAGAACGAAGAGCGCATTGCGCAGCGAGTGATGTGGGTGGTGGTCACAGAAGATGATGGACGAGGGGAGAATCATCTCTGGGATTCAGATACTATCGTGACTTGATTCTATCATGTCAACGAGGTGAAATATATGTCCCAAATTGACAGTTCTTGCGAGCTGCGGGTCGAGAGATTAATCTACGCTAGTAGAAACTAATTAACGCTTGAATATTTCTCCTTATTGTAAGCTCTCAAGTGGATCCTCGCAATGCCTACCGTTTTGGTTCTCGCTTCCGTTGTATACAGATCGGCATTTTAGAATCATATTAGTTATAGAAAACACTTGATTTTGATTATCTGATCCACAATATCATATTCTATTGATTCTGTCACATGCATCTAATTAAATGGAGTGGACAATCCCATATACATTACCTGACTGAGTCACGATAATTCTCTCGGAGATTCTCATAGAGACAAAGAGAGACAAAGAGAGAGAGAGAGAAAATGAAGCCATCCTATCTCAACACCAAACATGGTAAAAACGCCATAGGAGCTAATCGGGGACCACTCAAAGAATCTAGTATCGCACACGTGGAATTGGCCACGACGACACTTCACGACCAGGGAAAGCTACGTCGTCATTGGGCTCGATTCTGGTGCTGCTATGCCTTTGGAGGTATTCTCTTCCTGGCGATATTCCTCCCTTTATTGTAAGTCTGATCCAGTATGAGAGAATTATCGAGTAGACTAATGATGAGGGGTCAACTAGTTTCACGGTTATCATCCAAGCCATTTCTCAACGAGTAATGGACAATGCATCGCTGGTTCTTGTCAACGCCAGCATCATGCATCCCCAGCCGGACTCCATCTTCTTGAGCATTCAGACGGCACTGTCCCTCCACGTCGATATCCCCGTACGTCTCGATCCCAATGTTCTCCATCTGTTTAATCGCGACCAGGCGGGGAATAGTACCTATCTCAAGGTGTATAACGATGCCATCGTCGTCCGAGGGAATACCACTATCGGGGTACAGAATCAGTCGAGCCCGGTGAATCCGGAACCGTGGAAATATTATCTCCATAATGTGGTGTTTCAGTCTCATGCGCCGTTGTCGGCGTTTGGAGAGACGAATATCTATCTGGGGAGGTTGAAGAGTCATGTTTCTCTTGTGAAAGATTTGCCTCAGAATAGTAAGTCATGAAAATATCCTGATGGTCTAACTAATTGATTGATTGATTGATTGAAGCTCTTAATTCCTTCGCTGGTTTCTCAATCGACGATCCACAGATCCTTCTTCCTCCAAGAGAGGACGGAGTTAATCTACTTGCGAATGCGACATTGCCTAATCCATCTGTTATGACGATCGAGATTGTATATCCCCCCTCCTCCTCTTCATAATATTATCTAATAATAGTATAGGGAACCATAACCATGGACCTTAAAGCTAATAATATCACCATCGGCAACGCCACCATTAACAATCTAGTCCTACGACCAGGGAACCACTCGACGTCTCTTCAGGGTGTGGTGGACATACATCAAATTCTCGACAATCTGAGCCCGATTCTGCAGTCCCAGCGAGAGTCGCTGCGGAATGGACGCCTGAGTCTGGATGCTGTCACGCGAGAAGTCATCTACAATGGCAGGGTGATTCCTTACTATACTGAGGTTATGCGAGATCTGGTTCTTTCGGCGAAGGTGCCGATTAGTGATTTGTTGACTAATTCAGTGGAGGGATTTTTGCATAAGAATGGTTCGGAGATACGGTCGATATTGAATAAAATAGGGAATGGGAGGTCATAGGTGATTTGTATTGATGAATAACGAGTATGAGAATGGGATGGCTTGGTTGATCTATAGAATCCAATTGTCTTGATGTGAATTTAATAAACTAGGGTGGATCCACTTGGTGATATGCAGCTTCAGTATAACAGTGATTGAATGGTATATTCTAAGAATAGTTGTATACAGTCATACACCAATAAGTAGAAAGAAAAACTATAATACGTATCGAAAAAAGGGGTTCTCTTTATCCGTCAAATCCTGAAACGCCAACTTATCCCGTTGACTCTCATCGACCTGCAAACGATCCCTCCGACGGTTCTCCCGCCACAGGAGGAAATATAGCGACGTGGCCGAGGCCATCGTAATCCCATAACAGATGATAAGTCCCGTCCACAGCTCAGGATAATGTCGATCCACCGTGCGACCATTAACCAGCTGTGGTCCGATGATATTGCCCACCGTGTACGCGACAAACACCGTCGCAGCCATGACCGTCTTCTTCGTGGCGCCGGCCACATTGCTCGCCCCCAGCGTGATGATCAGACTCACCACGGGGCCAAAGAACCCTGTCAATGCGTATCCGGCAACCGGTGTCGCGGGTTTATATCCCCAGGAGGATTTCCAGATCATAACGCACCCTGCGATGACGGGAAGACAGCAGACCAGGAGCATGGGGATGCGTGAGTTAGGGATGCGTGATGAGATATATCCACAGGTTGGGATGAAGATGATACAGATCGCGCCCACGGGGAACTGAAAGAGGATCGAGTCGAGGGTGTTGAATCCAAAGGTGGATACGATTAATGGACCGAAGCCAGAGATTGCTCCGTTAATTGTATACCTATATATCCTTAGTTAGCTAATATCAAACAGAAAAGTGCCTTAGCCAGAGAGGCTAGACCCACGCAGATGCCATCATAACAGCCACCAAATACATCTTCACATCTGTAACCGCCTCCTTGATCTGCCCCCATTTGATCTGATGACATCTTACGCCGGTCTGGCTCCGACGCAGCCTCTCCACGGCGACCACGCGCTCCTCGGCCGTCAAGAACCAGGCGGAAACCGGTGAATTTGGCATCATGCAGCACCACAGACCAAACAGGAAGGTCAACACGCCTGCAAAGATATAGATATACTGCCAACGAGTCAAAGCTCCGGAGTCGATCTGTCCAAAGGCATAGTTCATTGCGCTGCCGATGATCGTGAACCATCCCGTACCGGAGAACCACCACGCCTGTCGCATGGCTTGTTCCTGCTGCGTGTAGTATCCACTGACGATGGTCATGAATCCGGTGGGGACTACACTTTCCACAAATCCTACTTCTATTAATATATACCCATGAAATAGAAAGAAATGCGAATACCGAGAAAGAATCGCTGTACAAACAGTCCCTGCCAAGTCGTCACCCCGGCCGTCGCCGCACAAGTAACAGCCCACAGCAGAACAATGGGTCCAAACACGAACCGGACTTGGAACCGCTGCAGTACAAACGTCATGGGATACAGACCGGCCAACATGCCGAAATAGAAGATCGAAGTGGCCCAGCTCAGTCGTGAGGTGTCTCTCGACGGTGGTGAGGTGGACTCATCCACCACCAGCAGCGAGAGGTCCGCCGTCATGCCGAATAACGAGGCACTGCCGAGGATCGCCTTGTCCCAGTAGACAAATCCATAGCCTAGCATATCTAGTCAGTATGTGATATTTTATATTGACGGAGGAGGAGGAGACCGATCAGCATGGCGGGCATGAAGAAGAGATCGATTTTGCGCATGACGCGCTTTTCCACTGCTGGATCGAATTCCTGCGCTTCGTCGCTAACAACCGCCAATGCGGCGTCTTTCTCCAGGACATTGATCATTGGTATATTAGTATTAATTTGTGAACTGGTGACAGTCTACAGAAGGACGAGTTGACGCGGATGAAAATATCCTTTCGGAGAAATTTGCCGTTTAGGTCGCTCCGATACGAATAGAATATTATAGTAGTATACAGTAGCTCTTAGATAATAGAGTATACATCTCAGTCATCTATTAGATATTATTAGATAGGACGGATAGGATAATCATTGTCCTTCTGGGCCATTTTTCTGTGGAGATGGAGACCTCTCCAACTGTCTGCGCAACTCCGTCAGCGTCAACGTCTCCGTCGGATTCATATACCAGTAGTAAGTTCCTACAATCAATTAACATGAATATATCAGAAACAAGAGAGGGATAGCATACCAACAGATAACCTCCCACCCACAGTATTCCCCAACAATGTCGGGATGATCTCCTTCCAGACATACAACTTAACGCTGATGGGTCCCCTAGCCATATCGCCATTCTAATAAAGGTCATATTGCCGACCACATAGTCAAATACCAACGACACAAAGGCAAAAATCGGCAACTAGATGCCTAAGATCTTCGAGGCGAGGTCCAGTCCTTGCAGACCGAGGAAACAAGCGAGACAGACGAGCCAGTTGCAGCCAATGCCTCGCAGGAAGATCATGTGGAAGTCGGGGACGACTTGTTTCTTGGTGGCGAAGGTGATGATTTCGGATTTGTACGGCTCGGGAAGATATTTCCATCTAGATTCGACGATTCGACTAACATCTGCTCCATCTCGAAGTAGGGGGAAGAGGTACAGCCGAAGATAATCGCCACAACAAACAATGACCCAGCCAAATTCTCCAGAAACGTCACCACCCACTGGATCAACATCTCCCACCAGGTCAATCGGCGTCGGAGAACAGCCACCGTGGTGAACATGAAGGACCCCATGCAGAGATCCGCCCCCGTCAGGGTGATCATGTACAGCCCTTAGGGACATACTAAGGCGCTCACTGTGCGGATCAAACCCGGGGCTTTCTCTGGAACCACGAGGCGGTGTTGGTGCTCAACACGGTACCACAGGCAAACGCCAGTAGACATCCGACCGAGTGAAGAGACTTTGTCCAGACGCATATGCATCATACTTGAGATGATGGCATGGGAATAAAACATGAAAGATATTATATAGAGCGGAGGATAGTATCGGAGGGATTTGGTTATCGGATCGGCAATGGACGATCTGATGCTCTTACCACCGTCTTCTTTCGCAGTGATGCAGATGTATGCATCCATAGATGCTCATTCCATGGGAGTCTCCAGTTGATCCGGGTAGATCTTCAAGCCACCAGATAAACCTGCATCGAAGTGAGACGACAGCTAGTAATATCCTGTACCATCCGTGGCAACAGTGGACTACGGAGTGTCGATTCTGCAGGTCCTTCGTCGTGCCATCACCACCGCGATCCTTATCTCTGGCATGTAGTATGAAATTAGTCACGATCCCAGTTGCAGATGAGATTGGACGTTTGTCTTGTTTATTCTGACTGTAAATATAGTAACTTTAGTACTATACCCGTGGTTAGTTTACTGGCAGTAAATAGAGAAAGCCGAGTGATTACTGATCAGCCGAGGATAATCGACGATTAAAATCCCCCGATATTCTCATCGTCTGCTGCCCATTTCATCTCACAATCAATCATTTACCCCAGATCCTCTCCGACCAGTTCTATCCAACGATGCATCAAACCGATCGCGTGAAGAAACGTGGAAGACCCAGGATGCCGACCGAAGCAGAAGCAAAGGTGACTACCCATATTCATATAGTTCCTTGTAGTAGAGCTGATGGTGCAGGATCGACGTACGCAAGTTCGTCACGCACAACGCGCCTATCGACTAAAAAAAGAGGCCATGTTCCGCCAGATGAAAGATCGCGTCGCGGAGCTCGAGAACGCCGTCGGCCGCATTTCCGACTCGCTGTTTCGTTTCCACGAAATGGCCATCCAGTCGGATCTGCACATCACGCATCCGGATCTCTTCCAGCAGATCAACAATACTCTGGCTCACATCCAGATGGAGAGTAAAGAGCTAGGCATCCAATCCACAAATCATCAGTCCCCTGCGCTTCGGACGAATGACTCCGGTCCCAGCTTTGGCTACCTGATCCACCGGGATCAACAGATCGACACCAACAAGTCCATCTCGTCCGTCCCTAGATCACTAGCCATCGGCACCCTCAGTCTCCACGAGACGATATTCTCGCGACGCCTGCACCGCTACTGTCTCGAATACGCCTGGCGCCTTTTCATCGACGCGCGGTCCAATCCCCAGGACGTCTACCGGGTATTCCGGTTGGTGCCTTGCATCCGATACAAGGACAAGATGACGCCGTATTTCCGGTGTCTAGTGCGCGGAGGAGCGCACGAGTCGCTGGATCTCCCCGCTGTGCCATTCTACTGCATCGGGGGCGCAGGCACGCACTATCCGCGGAAAAAAGACGACGGCACGCCCATCTATCCTGAGAATATGCGTCTTCCGCGACGGATATTGGGTCTGTCGAGTTCGACGTCCGGAGACGCTCACGACGAACGGGAAGAGAAGCTGAAATCATTGGGGTTGCATGGGACATGGCTCGATTGTCATGATGTCCAGGGGTATTTGGAAGAAAGGGGACTGGTATTGGAGCTATCGGGTGCTAGGATGGATGTGCATGGACCGGATGGTCAATCGCGATTGACGCTCCATGTGGAGGAGTTCTTTCGATGTAAGTCATTCTGGAGTTCTTTTGTCCTGGCTAACTGGTTAGTGCTTCTTAAGAAGATGATGATCTTAGGTCGAGCCCCGGGGTTTCGCCTCGATGATGTGGAATGCGCCTTCCAGGAGACTGCGAGGATGTCGGGTCCAGCATGATCTATTATCGAGGTTGAGAGTATATGTAGGTCTGCATGTGATTTAATGATTTAATCGTTCTAACAGCTTTCAATCTTCAATCAAGTTCCATGGTCCTGTTGTAGCAAGTTCTGAGCCCTAAACGTATAGATACCACATGCGGCAGATAGTTAAGAACATACAAGCCCAAGGCAGAAAACATAACTAAGTTGAACGAAATAGACAATCTCTCTGGTTATATACTTCTGCGTCTCCATATGATTCAATATTGTAGTTCGGCGTAGTCCAGACTAATTCTCCCATGTTATAAGTCTCGGACGTCTTTATCTTGTAGGAAATTAAGCTGTACCAGGATAATGGAATATAGCAATAACTACACTACCAGACATCATGAACAAGTTCCGTAGCACAACTGCGGGACTTGCAGCCGGATCGACACTGATACCACCGTTTAACCGCTCGGGCATACAGGGCTATTAGGAAAAACTACTAGAATACCATTAGAAAACTATTATAAAACCATTAAGATAATATTCAATCCATCTAGCGTCAGTGATGTATAGTTGTAGCAGCTCTCTCGAGACAAAGCCGATCAAGAAAGGCCGCGACCTCAGACGAGGACACCTTCAAAGCCAGATAATGCTGATGGCCCTGCGACTTGTCCTTCATCTGCCATGTATTTGTCCCATTGGGATATACATGGCTATATCTTCCATCATTCCCGAATTGAAAAATCTCCCCGAACACTTGAATGGCGTGGAGCATGGTGAGAGGATCCCACGACTTGCACGACACATTGTATCCACTACAAAAAAAATCCATCAGCAGCGATCTCAGACAATAGATGTAAAAGACAGAATTATACCACCGGTACGCTGCATTTACCGGATCAGTCGACACTCCATCCACTATCAGACGGATTCCAGAATAGACATCTCTGCCCAGTTGAACCCGGAGAAGACGGTGCGTCCTGGCCATGTGTTAACCGCCTCTGCGGCGGCTGTGATGTTGTGTTCGGCGAAATTGAATTCACGTCCTGAGTGATATTCTCCGCCCATTATGACCAGCCCGGAGGCTTTTGCTGTCACCAGCTCTCAGCCAGAGAGAGACTAGTATGATTCTGGTGCAGGTGAAAGGAGACGGAGAGCTATATCGCAGAATGGAGGAACGTGGTTATTGGTATAGTCCTGAAAGTCTTCCATGTGCACTCACATTGTCAAGAAATCCAATACTGGCAATTATCACGCTTTCATCCTCCTCGTTTGATAAATGCTTGCAATACCCCCCTCATCTGGCAAATTCTGGGACTTGGATGGGGACAGTACATTCTTGACTCGGCATCCATAGAGCTTGTGCTTTCTGACACTGTTGAAAATTTCCTTAAATTTTCAAAAGAATATACTCGGTTCCGCTGAGTGCAAACATTGACCCTAATTCTAAATGTGCTGAGAGTTTCTTCAAGGGGAATCTGACAGCCTGTACAGCAGATCCCATTCTGAACACCGTTTGTTTATATAGCGAAGAGGTTGCTGTCATGTAGCGTAGAATAGTAGCCGCGTCAGAGCGAATCCCATGTTGTCTTTCTCCTTCAACAATTAGGCGTTCTGATGCTTTGGTAATATAATTTGCTGATAGAACTGATACCCTTCTAGTATGTAATCTTTCGTCCATTGAATACGTTCCAGGTGGTGTTTTAAAATGGGAACAGAATTTAGCAGAAGGCTTGAGCTTAACTTGAACTGCCTTTTGCGTCCACGAGATACAATAGGCTAAACCGAGGGGCTGACTTAATATAAGGAAAGCACTATCTCATAAAGAATGGAAGGAGGAGAAAGCTACCAAAGGAGCCACAGACATGACAGTCCCGTGTGCCGAGAGTATCAAACAAGTCACGTAGAGTAAACCATGACGCAATTTTCATCTGGAGAATGGCACAAAGTGTGTCAAGGGCATGAGTTACTATCTCCCGATATCCACGGGCTTTGCTGACAATCTGCTGAGCACGGCGATTAAGTTGACGAAATCTAAATAAAGTTTCAATATCCAGGAGACATGTTCCATAAAGAATATTGCGGGGATAATGTTAAACTGCCCAAGAATAGCCTCTGAGGTACGGACAGACTGAAGTCAAAGGCTGTGAATCCCCTCATGGTCGCTGGGATTTATCCGAATGGCAGCAAGAGCAAAATCTCGACGACGGTAAGAGGCGACGCGAATTATGTCATTTTAAGTGTTGTCTCTGGTCGGCATCACGTTTGTGCTTCTTGCGCATCCATGTTATGCTAATCAGTTGATATGCCAGAAGCTGACCAACCCACAGGTTTGTTGACTTCAAACTGTATCCCAGCCTAGACAAACTCTTGAGGAACAATAGCACTCTTTCAACTTTACCCGGTATAAACTTCTTTGGCAAGCTAACCCTTTCTGAGCTTGAGCTGCGTCTCTTGGGGTGCTTGTAAAGCCACCTTGAATGTACTATATCTTGGCTAGCAGCATGTTACATAGCCTTGCAAACCCACTCTAGTAGTATCACTCGGAGTTCAATTTGTCATCAGTTGCAATCAGCTTCGAAAGGATAGTGCGGGGCTGGATTCCACATCTTGCCTTTCGAGTTGAATTCCACGGGCTGACGTGTCCTCGTATCTGTTCTGTCCGCTATGGGATGTTCGAGGCGAGAGATAAGGAACCACTGTGAACCTTTGCAGTCGATCTCCCGGCTAATCTTAACCTTTGCGGATGGGCCCTGGCACGTGTCTTGGCAGCGGGGAAGGGTTTGCATAGTATTTATTTAATTTACAATCGTCCGTCCCAAGTTCGAAGTAAACATTCACTTTAATCTTAATCAGAGTCTCCCCGATATTATTTCTTTGCACCCTGGTTACGTATCTTCACCATGGCACCCTCTTTGCATCCATTAGACCCCTTGACGCCGAGGGAGATTTCCAAGGTCAGGTCCTCGAATAGTGTCAATTATATGTACTCATCGTACAGCAGGCAGCAGACATTGTCCGCCATGCGCTTCCTGGAGAAAACCCCAATTTCCGTTTTATCACCCTGAAGGAGCCACAGAAGCAGGATATGATCCAGTTCCTAGAGCGGGAACATTGCCATCTACCCCTGTACGCACATCCTCCAAGGGTCGCTCGCGTCCAGGTGGTAGTTCAGGGTTCGGGTTCGACCAATTTAGTGGAGCTCCTGGTAGACCTCGACAGTTCTACCATCATCAAGCAAGACGATCTTGTGGGGAAGCATTCTTACATTGACTCCGCCTACATGCAATCGGTGGAGAAGGCATGTATGGCAGACGAGAGAGTCCAGCAGGAGATCCAGAAGCTCGATCTACCTATAGGAGCTTCCGTTATTGTTGAACCATGGGCCTACGCAACAGACGGAATGAACGATATGTCAGACCGAACCACAATGGTAGGATCCACCGCGTCAAGCAGTCAATAAACTGACACCCTGGTAGTGTTGGTTTTACATGCGTCTTATCGACAATCCGGATGCCAATTATTACGCCTACCCCCTTGATTTATGTGCAGAGGTGTCAGAGCATCTCAAAGTGACCAAAGTCTATCGGCTTCCCTCATCTAAGAATGATCGTATCCACAACGATTCGCAGCCATACGATCACCGGAAAGTCCATTCCATAGAGGCCAGCGAATACCATCCTAGCCTGCGGCCACCGCCACGCACTACTACAAAGCCTTATCAAGTAGTGCAGCCCGAAGGCCCTTCCTTTCAAACACAAGGCAATCTCGTATCGTGGGAAAAATGGTCCATGCGCGTAGGATTCAATTATCGAGAGGGGCTGACTCTCCATGATATCCGCTACGACGGCCGGAGTGCCTTCTATCGCCTGGCTTTGGCGGAAATGTTTGTACCATACGGGGATCCACGAGCTCCATATCCCCGTAAAGGAGCTTTTGACCTGGGCAATGACGGCGCCGGAATCAATGCTAACAATTTGCGGCTTGGATGCGACTGCTTGGGTCATATCAAGTATTTCGATGGCTGGCACAATACTGCTTCGGGCGAGCCCCTAAAGCTCCCCAACGTAGTTTGCTGCCATGAACAGGATGATGGGATTCTATGGAAACACACCAACTTCCGTACACAGAACGCGGTGGTGACCCGGTCACGGATCCTGGTTTTGCAGACAATTATTACAGTCAGCAACTACGAGTATATCTTTGCATTCCATTTTGGGCAGGATGCATCCATCCACTATGAGGTCCGTGCGACGGGGATTCTGTCCACCTGCCCTATAAATCTCGATGACAAGGTACCGTATGGCACAGTTGTTGCGCCAGGCGTGTTGGCACCCTATCATCAACATCTATTCAGTCTTCGCATCGATCCCGCTATCGACGGACATGCCAACTCCCTTCAAGTGGAGGAGTCCCACGCCATGCCTGTCAACAACCCATCGATTTATAACCCGTTCGGGGTGGGATACACAACAAGTTCCAGCATCATCGAGCATGAACAAGGCCTTGATCTTGATTTCAGGAAGAACCGCACCTTCAAGATTATCAACGAGCAGAAGGTGAACCCGATTACCGGCACGCCTGTTGGATTTAAGCTTCTGCCATGTTATAGTCAAATGCTACTCGCGCACCCATCATCCTACCACGCAAAACGCTCCGAATTCGGCAATCATGCCATTTGGGTGACCCGCTACCATGACGATGAGCTATTTCCGTCCGGTCGCCATACGATGCAATCTCTCGGCGGCGAGGGGATCGCGTCAGCGATCCAACGCCGCCAGGGGACATCTATACGCAATGAGGACATCGTGATATGGCATACGTTCGGGTCCACACATAACCCCCGCATTGAGGACTGGCCGGTCATGCCGTGCGAGAAGATGATTGTTGGTCTTAAGCCGGTCAATTTTTTCACTTCCAATCCGGGACTGGATGTAGCAGTGTCGACACAAGAGAAGAATCGAAGTGTACTAGTTAAGGGTGACGAGGGCTCTGCTTGCTGTAAACTGTGAGGTACAATCATCCAAAACGTATGATTGTCTGTGATAGACTTAGAGCTATACAGTCACCAGTAGTATAGAATATAGCATCGGCTAGAGAATCTAATGATCAATCTCCATACATAGTAGCCATCCTCCAGCGCACATTTGATTTAGTTGAATCCGTGATGTCCCTTGCCAAGACTGGAAAGAGAGGATACATTGCCGGGCGTCGGATGATCCTGTTCGTCGATGCGCATCCGGGGCAGTGGGGCATGCGGTCATGGAAGCGCCACGACGAAATATAAGAGAGCCAGAATCCGCAACAATTCAGAATATTTCTATTTCCACGTCAATAATTATTATTCTATCTATAACGCTGCAATGCCAACCCTCACCCAAGCCCGCACCTCAAATGCCGCCATCAGCTCGCATACACCCGAGCTGGTGGCCGTATTTGTAGGAGCCACCAGTGGCATTGGCGAGGCAACAGCCAAGGAATTTGCCAGGGCAGTCAAGAAACCGACCATCCATCTAGTCGGACGCAATCAGACGACAGGATCCAGGATCTTGGATGAATTAAAGGCCGCGAACCCAAAAGGATCGTTCTACTTTATTCAGTCGGATGTGTCGCTGCTCAGGAACGTTGATGACGTATGTGCGAAAATCAAGGATAAAGAGGATGCTATTGATCTTTTGTTTATGACGACGGGGCATTTAGCTGGTTCGAAAAATGGTATGCCTTCCTGTCTTCTCCTTCGTTCGGGGCCAGGGATACTAATAATGCCACAGACACCACAGAAGGACTGGAGAATAACCACGCACTTCGATACTACTCCCGTATGCGATTCATCTACAACCTCCTCCCACAGCTGAAAGCCTCTGAGGGTCCGGCACGAGTTGTCTCCGTTCTCGGAGCAGGCCAAGAAGGCAAAATTGAGCTCGACAATCTCGATCTACAAAAGAAATGGACGTTCCTGACGGCCTCGACCTATGCCGTCACAATGAACTCCCTCGCCATGGAGCACCTCGCCGCCCAACACCCATCCATTAGCTTCATTCACACGTTCCCGGGCTTCGTGCGCACTCCTCTTTTGAATAATACTCTAGGGTCCATCGCAGGTTCCATCGTTGGTCTCCTCACCCGGCCTATGTCCATGAGTCCGCAGGAAAGCGCCCAGCGGAATCTCTACCTCGCTACCTCTGCGGCATATCCGCCCAAACAGCCGAAATCAACCTCTGCCATCGGTGTGCCCCTTGTCGAGGGCGTGTTGACATCCATTTCGTCGATAGGGAAGAGCGGAGGCGGGTCGTATATTCTACACTATGACGGGAGTGATTCGACAAATGCATCGTTAATGAATGGGTATCGTGAGAGGGGGTTTCCCAGGAAAGTATGGGAGCATACGTTGGAGTGTTTTAAGAAGGTGATTGATCCTGCGGAGTAGGTCTGCTATCATACATTGACTAATGTAATATTCATTCACTGGACTCTACTATTATACCTTGTAAATATAGTTGGAGATATAGTGACGTCATACACGGTTATTTCCCCATCAGGAATCCGGAGTGTCTATCTATGGATCATTCGATCCACCTGTTCCCCTTGGCATTTGATTTGATTTTTATTTAATTAACGCATGTCTGGAGGTAGCATGAGCTAGCATCGTCATAGTTCTTTCATTTTGCAAGATCCTCTATCACGCCAATCCTTCCACTACAAGAACCATATATGCATACCAAAACATAGCAAACCCATGGGCTTCAACCTGGATTACTCCGCCCTGGCCCCCGGTCCAGCAGGCACCACCACGTTGGGCAAAAGATGATCTGGATGCAATAGCCCGTCGTGCACGAGAGCGTCAGAGACGAGAGGCCGAGGAACAAATGATCGAAACAGAATGTTGACACAATGTCTGGGGTGAAGTTGGATGCGCAGATCACCAGGGATAATTCTTAAACGGAATCGTCAGTTACTGCAATCCGTGGATAAGATGGATAAGGGCCAGGGAGATAGTCCTGAGGTGAGGAGGGAGGAAATGAGGATTCGAAGACGGCCGAGAGAGTGGAGGAGAGGTTTGAAATAGGATCCATTTGATTTGATTTGATTTATTTGAGATATAGAAAGTAAGCATGACAGGAGATTGTCAGTTAATTCATTCAGCCCATCCATTCAAACAAGTGAAGCTCCCGAATCCGACCCAACAACCCGACCGGTTATATTACTATCCTTCATCAGGTAGAGATACGCCTCAGCCAAAGTCTCAGGTTTCGTGACCCTACCAGTCGGATACTTCGACGCCATAAATTGAAAGATACCCTCCTTCTGCTCCTTGGGCATCCCATCCCACATCTCGGTTTCCACAATCGCCGGAGACACCGCATTCACCCGCACCGGTTTCATATCCAGGGCCAAGTTCCGCGTCAGACTGTAATACGCACCCAGATACCCGGACATGATAGTCCAATCTGGCGCCGGCCGCTCCCACGCTTGTCCCGTCGTCAGGGTGATCGACGACTCCGGGCCCGCGGAGAGATACTTGGAGCCGACCTTGGCCACGAGGATCGGCGCCACGAGTCGTATTTGTGCAGGTGCGAGGATTTTCTCGCGTGTGATGTCCGCCAGTGGCATCGCCAACGGCTTCTCTCCGACTGTGAAAACGATGTGGTCGACCGAGCCGACCTTCTCGAATAGGCTCTCGATCTCTTCCTCCACGTTTTCACCGCCGAGATCGCAAGCGTAGCCTTGCACTTGGGCCCCCGGAAACTCGCCCGTCAACTTGGTGACGGCGGATGAGACCCGGTCTACGGAGGAGGACGATACGGTGACTCGTGCAGACGAGGCCAGGGAGGCTTTGGCGACGCCGAAACCGATGCCGGAGGTGCCACCGAGAATGAGCACATGTTTGTTGAGGAGCTTGTTGTAGATTGCGGACATGGTGGGTGTCTAGGTTATATTTTAGAATATCGTATTGGGAGACCAGGGAATGAAATGTGAAATATTAGTCATATAAATATCAACTTGGATATCTGATAAAGCTGCATACGTGGGATCTTTATACCTAGCCACTGGGGGCCAAAACATCATGGTCATATTGTTGTTCCGTACTCCGGCTTATATCCGTACTTTCGTTCTCTATTAGACCAGTTTCCTGCGTTTAGTTCCGGTTTCCGGGAAGGTGACAGGCTCGGATTGCGATTCTTAGCCAGGGGAAATTAGCTAGATTTGGGTTCTCGGGGATTCTGTGACGGTTAGTTGAAGTTGGAGGGATTGAAAAAAATTGGGGAAGTATATGTGAAGTATTCAGATTTATACTGTTCATAGGCCTTGCTGACTTAAGATGTCATTTTATGCAGGGAAAATATAGGCTGGCCCACTGGCAAGGCGCTTGACTACGAATCAAGAGATTGCAGGTTGTCAGTACTTTTTTATTTTTATTTCTGCGCTAGGTCCAGCTTATTTAACCATCTTTATGCATCACCACTATTTAATGTGTGTACCGGCAGGACTTGGTTGCTATACAAGTAAAATACAGACAGCTCGTACATGTTCATCTACCTATCATATTCAGTATTCTATAACCAGCTGTATATGAAAAGAATCTAGTAATCAGCATTCTTATCCCTTACTCTTACGAAGCCAGTAAGGGATAAGGATTGTGTTTGCTAGGTAGACAGCACACAGTGACAACCTCGAACCAGAGACCTTGTTAACTTTACGTTAATTATATAAAATGTTACAATTCACTAGAGCCTTCTTGCTAATGCATTCCTTCGCCGTCTTAATGTCTAAGCAAGAATATTTGTTTTTAGCTCTTGTGTTAGTCTGTCCACAGCATGTGTGATCTTGAGGAATTACTTGACAGTATTTAAAAACAAAATATGCGACAGTCAAGAACTATATTAGCAATATAAACTCTTTAATCCACTAAATCTGGACCTGCTTAAATACCATATGTCCTCGAGATTTTTTGATTGGGCCACCTGTTATGGCTAGCATGGGATGCCAAACTTAACACTGTTTAATGATAAAGATCTGAAACTCAGAGATCTTCTTTCTCTACTAGGAATTTCTCATACCATAATAATCCAATTAGTGTAGTATAGTACAGAAGTGTGTCTAGTCTAACCCTAAAGTTTGTTATCGTAAAATCTTAAGGATGCCCGCGATAGCATAGGCTAAGAGAGTAAATCGCGATTCGCGAATATGGCATACTTTATTTGTATTTGCACCGTACCCTAGAAACCATTCAAAGAGTGCTATGTTGCCAGGAATATTTCCTGACTGTATTAGTTGTTTAAAGTGGTTGTATGAAATCTGGTAGATATAACTCCATACAAAGGGCTTATGGGTTCTCCCTTATTGACTAGAGTGGGTTAAGACAGCGGTACGACGTCCATATGGCCTTCAGTGCTTAGGTTTGCTTAAGTATTTGGCTAGAACTATTTGGGATTCACAGATGGTCCGTGTGATTTGGGATGGATCAGCTCCATGTGTCCAGGGTGATAATAATAGCCTTTTAAAAACGTGGCAAGGCTCTTGACTGCGAATCAAAAGATTGCAGGACAGCCCGGCGTCGGTCAATATATTTTTTTTATTCTCCCTTTTTATTATTGCAAAAATATATTGCCTACTTAAATCTGTATATTTTTCAGACATGGTCTGATAACTACGCAGAATATACAAAGGATTTCCAAGGCAACCGCTACTGAAAGAAGACTAGATATTTTGTGTGGGAACCCAAGCAAAGTGGTGTCTTCTGTCGTCATCCAGACATTGTACTGTGTTTATTGTGATAATCACGAGGTATCTACTACATATATGCTGCATGTACTAAATTAGTAACAGCCAACCACAAAGAGTATTAAGCTTTCCATTCTCCGTACAAGGGCTCTTGTTTCGTTGGGTGTAATTTGTTGGCCGTCTCAAAAGGGTATCATTCGATACCGAATCTGATTAAAAAACGTAATATGCCTAAGCAATGGAGCGGTGTTGTTGCCCAACTCATGTACAATGATACAATCCTCGATGGCCTTTCCCTAAACAGCCCATTGTACATTGGCGATATGTCTTGGCATTGACTGGGGCTTTGTATAGCTACAGAGCTTGCACACAGCAGCGTGCTGATTTGTCCAAATGTTCATCTCCATGTGGAGCAAACCAGTAGTGGGTTTGCCATGATGGCTATGCTGACTGGGGAGCCTATTTTACAAAGGGGATTATTACGTACTATACTCCATACTGCGTAGTGTGTTTCATATCAATCATGGGTTTGCCGATCCTCCATATGGCTTCATCGGTGTCTATGTATACTTCGAACCTACCCAACCTGTTTTACGAACCCCAAAAAAAGCGGGAAAAAAGGGAAAAAAAACAAAAAAAAAAGGAAAAGGTTTGGACAAAGAAAAGAAAAAAAATACGTTCCATCCAACCATATCTCTGAATCCAACATCCTAATGGACCAACTTGCTTTCACCATCAGTCAGAGCGATGGCGTGTTCTACCGTCCTTCCCATTGGCGGATGGCTGCACGCGGCAATATCCGCCCTGCACTCAGGGCGCTTTTCATTGGTCAACAGTCAGTGCCATCGCTTATATAGCACACTTAGTAGGCGGTAGACTCGAGCAGTATCGTCGATCGAGATTCTCCAACACGATTGTTCCTCGTAAATCTTCATAGCTCACAAAGCTTCCCCCTCAGGTGGGGTGCAAATTCCAAACGACACGCTGCTCATTGATTATTCATGATGCCACCTGCCGTCTCCCACACTAAACCAGATGATCGAGAACAGTTTCGTCAGGCTTTCGTTGGAGATATCAGGATGTTCACGGGCCGCGGACAACCATGGGCCAGAAGACTAAGAGCAAACCCTGCTCCACGGCTTAACGTCACATCTTCCTTCCAGACCCCGTCATCTATCCACTCTTAGCATCTCTGACAAGCTTGTGACTCCCTACAGGTTACGAGAGTGCAGTGTCTCCCGTCTGCGGTGGATTTGATATTCCTGGCGGCGTTACTTACTCCATACTCTCTTGGCAATCTGGACCAGGGCTCTGTTGCTGTGTATTTCCTGTCTCTCCTCCCCTTCATAGTGTATCTCGGGTCTTCTTTTTTTTTTTTTTTTTTTTTTTTTTTGTTTGTTTGAATCCCTTTAATTGTGGAATTTCCTTTCCTTTGCCTGGTTATTCCTCATGAGATTGAACCATTACAATTCACCCTGCTTGAACATTTAAACAGATATCTCCCGTCACCGAGCCCTGTAGTTGTACCTGTCACGCTGCTACAGTTCGATCATCGGTTGATCAACGCTGCCTTTTCCATATCGTCAAGGCTCCCACTGGCAGCTTCCATTACCCCCACGGGCGATCCGTGTGTCTATATCTATACTCTTCAGACAACACGAGTTGAGGCATCGAGCTGATCTCTGAGGGAGCTTGCTTTTTAAAAATTCATCTTCCCGCTAGAGCCTTTTGATAATCCCTCTAAATTCCAATTTGTCGCAGGTCGAACATCTGTCGGTGCCTTCTTTGCCTGGCTTGCGTCACGACACCTTATTCTGAGTCCTACATACCCTTTATTTTTCTTTTTGGACTTGGCACATTGTGCCATTTCGTTTCTTTTCAATTTTAATTATCCTATTGTGACCGTGGCGCAGAGCTAGCAGTTATTCGCATTATCAGCCTCTGATCACGACATCGCCTTAGTGTCACTAGGCCTCCCTTAAAGATACCCACATTTCTACTTTTCTTGATATCATTTTTCAAGCTCACAATGACATCTTGAGCCTCTATTTTGATATTATTGTTCTCCTGACCAACTGGGAGTTCCTGGTTATTATTATTACTGCTATTCTTCCGTTTCTCTTTTTTAACGTCAGGCTTCAAACCCTTGGCCAATTATCTGCTTTTTCTTGGGCTTTGTCCCATCTTCAACCTCGTTTCGGTTTTGACTATCTTTTGTCCGTCCCGAATCGATCATGTCGGATGACATTAGGACTAAGGTTGGCCATGGCGTAGCTAAGGCCTTGGGTATCAAAATTGCCTATCGTGACCCCCTAGGAGCCAATGCGGACCCCGTTACCAGAGGCGAATCAACCTTCTCTGTTGGAACGGTGGACACCTATTCTTATCTCGAACCGGAGCCCACAAGCTTTGAATGGGTTACGGAGCTATGGCCTACCTGGGGCCAGGTGGGCAGTTATATCTACCGACTCTTCCCGTTCCTTTCCTGGATCACACGGTATAATTGGCAATGGTTCATCGGAGATTTAGTTGCTGGTAAACACCTCACTTCATCGAAAATGCTGGAAACCATGTTACTAATGTTCATCTAGGCGTGACAGTCGGGGCTGTTGTCGTACCACAAGGAATGGCATACGCCAAACTTGCAGAACTCCCTGTACAGTTTGGTCTTTACTCGTCTTTCATGGGTGTCCTAATATATTGGTTCTTCGCCACGTCTAAAGATATTACCATCGGCCCGGTCGCTGTCATGTCCACACTGGTCGGAACTATAGTACTCGAAGCAGAGAAAAAAATCCCGGATGTTGAACCGCATGTAATTGCATCTTGCATGGCAATTATCTCTGGTGGTATTGTCTGCTTCATGGGCTTGGCTCGTCTCGGATTCATCGTGGATTTTATCCCGCTTCCAGCAATCTCAGCATTCATGACGGGGTCCGCCATCAATATCTGTTCCGGTCAAGTGAAAGATATGCTGGGAGAAAAGGCAAACTTCTCCACTAGAGATGCAACCTATATGGTCATTATCAACACCCTCAAACACCTTCCCTCAGCCGGAGTTGATGCTGCTATGGGCGTCACTGCATTGGCTATGCTGTACATTATCCGCGCAGGCTGCAACTACGGTGCGAGACGATATCCTCACCGTGCTAAGATCTGGTTCTTCGCCTCTACTTTGCGGACAGTCTTTGTGATCTTGTTTTACACGATGATCAGTGCGGCTGTGAATTTGCACCGGAGAGATCACCCAAGGTTCAAGCTCCTGGGCAATGTTCCTCGCGGTACGTTCAAGGACTAACTGGCCCTTTCTCGTTGCTGTCGCTAATATTACTTCTCATGTCAGGTTTCCAGAATGCAGGATCCCCGGTGGTCAACGCTCGAATCATCAAGACCTTCGCAAGCGAGCTTCCCGCTGCCGTGATCGTCCTACTCATCGAACACATAGCTATTTCAAAGTCCTTTGGCCGTGTCAACAACTACACCATTGACCCCTCCCAAGAGCTGGTGGCCATTGGTGTGACCAATCTGCTTGGACCGTTCCTTGGTGCCTACCCGGCTACCGGGTCCTTCTCCCGGACGGCCATTAAGTCGAAGGCTGGAGTCCGAACACCGCTTGCTGGTTGCATCACCGCAGTTGTCGTCCTGCTTGCTATATACGCCCTGCCTGCCGTCTTCTTCTACATTCCTAAAGCGTCCCTTGCCGGAGTCATCATCCATGCTGTTGGTGATCTGATCACGCCGCCCAACACGGTCTACCAGTTCTGGCGCGTTTCCCCCCTTGATGCGATCATCTTTTTCGTTGGTGTTATAGTCACTATATTCACCACCATCGAGATTGGGATTTACTGCACCGTCGCGATAGCTGCAGCCATCCTCCTCTTCCGGGTTGCTAAAGCCCATGGCCAATTCCTCGGTAGAGTTACTATTCACTCCGTGGTCGGCGATCATTTGATACAAGGGGATGGCAAATATGGATCTTCTAAGTCGCCGAACACTCCTTCGGAAAGCAACGGTAGCTACCAGCGTACCATTTTCCTCCCTCTTAACCACACCGACGGGTCAAATCCCGAAGTAGAGGTGGAACAGCCCTATCCGGGTATCTTCATCTACCGATTCTCGGAAGGATTCAATTACCCGAATGCCAATCACTATACCGACTCCCTCGTGCAGACGATCTTCCAGAACACGCGACGCACCAATCCTTTTGCCTATGGCTCTCCCGGAGATCGACCGTGGAACAACCCTGGCCCGGCCAAAGGCAAGTCTGAGCCCGACCGCTCGCACCTGCCCACCCTCCGTGCTATTATTCTCGATTTCTCGTCGGTCAACAATGTGGATGTGACCTCTGTGCAGAATCTCATTGATGTTCGCAACCAGCTTGATCTTTACGCTTCTCCGCAATCCGTGCAGTGGCATTTTGCCCACGTTAACAATCGGTGGACCAAGCGCGCGCTCGCAGCAGCAGGCTTCGGATACCCCAGCCCAGCCTCCGAGGATGGGTTCCATAGATGGAAACCCATCTTCAGCGTGACAGAAATCGAGGGCAGTGCTTCGGCAGCGGCCCATGCAGAAATGGTGAATAACAAGCACGTCTACCAGGCTAGTAACAAGAGTGGAGACCTTGAAGATGGGTTCAAGCATGACCCGAAGACTACTGAGCGCGAGACGGCGGGAATCGAAGTGTCTTCTGATGGAAGCAGCACGCAGGAATACAAGTTGCAACGCGACCTTAAGGACAGCCAGGCCTACAAAAATCGGAGGAAGATGGCTTTGGTGCAGGGCATCAATCGTCCGTTCTTCCATATTGACCTAACCAGTGCTCTGCAGAGCGCATTGGCGAATTATGAGGAACAGGAACTCTCTGTTAGGGAAGCTGATGCGTGAATGGGCCTGTATCGTTTATGACCATCCCTGGTTGGAAGGGTCGAGATAACGACTCGTTTGACGATATTTATTCCTTCATTTCTCCTATTTAATATTTGGATTTTAAAGCGAGTCAACCAGTTTTTAGTACATTATTACACCTCGATGTTGATACCTGGATGTTAAGTCATACCCCTGAGATCTAGCTCACTGTATGGAGTATATAGACAGATTCTGGCATGAATAATATCTTTTTCCCTGGTTGGGGAATCAATCTTTTCTTCTCCATTGACGAGGCTGTGGACCTCCAGTAATCTCGAAGGATCGTCGGGCAAAGCTTTTCTAGGGCAACGGTGGATATTGATGCCTAGGATCGAGGGGTCTCGCTATTCCCAACTCAGTAATTCGGCAAGCAAGAAGCCGCAGTTATTACCGGATTTGGGCATCGCGTCCATCACGATGGCTTAACCTAATCACCAGCGTTCGATTCAATGCTTGAACACGATGTGGCTGAGACTACGCCTTCTATTAGCGGTTGCTCGCAGTGTATACTCCATAAATGTGGGGTTGAAATTAGTAGTTGCCTAACCTTATTGTAGGGTATATATACACACAAGATGTTGGTCCCTGGGGATTATTGTCGTCTGAATCAGCCCATCCTTCATATTCACTGGACCCGCGCCCGTTGCTATGATTAAGGCTTACAGATATATCCGCGAAAAGACCGGGGGGCCGTCTGAGCCATCGTCGCGAAAGACTCAGAAACCTCTCTGCTCTCATCTCGCGCAACAACGACGACAACGGCAACAACACAGCCAAGATACCACCATAAGGAGTACCGAAAATGAAGTACCTTTGCAGGATATGGGAGCTAGCTCAGTGCAAGAACAGAGGAATATATTGCAGGGATATCCCCAGAGCGGAGAGAAATGCCAGGTGTGCAAGGAAGAACGGCGTCGCGAGCGGGTTTACAGCTGGAAGCTCATCGGTGGACTTTGCTTGCCATTTACCCTGGCGACGCTGGACTTGACGATTGTGGCCACCGCGGTGCCATCCATTGCCTCCCATTTCAGTACATTTGTCTTATTCCCGTGGTATACTGCTTGGATGCTGATGTCGCACAGACAAGTTTGACGAACTCAATTGGATCGTCACTGCTTTTACATTGACATCGACGGCGTTCATCCCGATGTTCGGCCAGCTTGCTGATGTCTTTGGCCGTCACGCAGTGCTGCAGCTGGCTTTGTTCCTGATGCTTATTGGGAGTGTGTTGTGTGCCGCGGCGCAGACTTGGGGTATGCTTCTGCTGGGAAGAGCTCTACAGGGGACGAGCTCTGCCGGGCTCATGAATATCATCATGATTATCCTTGCAGATAAGGTGTCGTTGAAGGTGAATGCTAAGAACAATTCGCTTTTCGCGTTTGTCGGTGGTATAGGATACTCTATAGGACCGGTGATAGGGGGGTAAGTGATGTGATATCCCGCTGTTTGCTCTCTCAACTAACAAGGGATTAGATATTTAACGGATGTAAGGCTTCGAATTCTGTCCGGTTGGAGAGGTTTCTAACTTAAACAGGATAATTGGAGATATTGCTTTGTGATACCCATACCTGTATGTCTTGGAATTCTCTATGAAGAATATCTATTGACGCATACAGATCGCTTTCTTCTCCCACATTTTGATCTATTTCCTGCTGCGAAAAGAGCTCGTCGAGGGGACCATTTTCCGCCGGGGGTCCAGGATGTCATCTCTTCTCCCGGCGCTTGCAACACTGGATGTATTCGGATCGGCCCTGTTTATATTCGGCATCGGTCTCATCATCCTGGCCACAGCATGGGGAGGTGCCGCATACGCTTGGACGGCCCCTCAGGTCCTTGGTCCCCTTATTGTCGGAGCAATATGCTTTGTTTTGTTTTTCGTGTACGAGTATCTGCTCGAGCCGGGGAGGATACTCTCGCGAGTGTTTCCGACGCAGGTCCCAATGATTCCATATAGCATGTTTTCTCGAAAAGATACTATATGGCTGATGATAGCACAGGTATCAATTGGCGCGTGTACGCCCCTTCCCTCTCTGTGTGACCAGTATATGTAATTGACTCGCAATAGCAATGTTCTCTGTCTTCTACTTCATCGGTATCTATTTCACTCTTGTCGAAGCGTACCAGGCATCTAGGGCTGGCCTTCAACTCTTATACTACATTCCCGGCCTAGGAGGTAAATAAATTAATATATTACAGTCTCCCTACTCGACGACAGACAGCTGACTCGGACCTACTACAGCCGGCGTCTACACAGCAATGTTCCTATGCAATGTTGTACCGGCGCAGACCTTCTTCCCGTTAAACTTCGGGTCCATCATCAGTACAATCGGCCTTGCGGTCATACCATACGCGATCCACGTCCAGAACACGGGCCTCCTCAACGGAATGATGGCCCTAGCTGGCGCTGGGACTGGTCTCCGCTTCATGCCTGCCACTCTGCACGCGGTGGGCGTATGGCCTGAGAGAATCGCCCCGGCGATGTCATTGATGCGCTTCGCCATGCCGTTCGGGGGCACAATCGGTCTAACGATCATGGGCAGCGTTTTTAATAACAAGTTCGGCCCATCTTTGGGCCTAAGCAGTGCTGGCAATGCTAATTTCAATGTCCATGATACGTCTTCTCTTTCCGTAATTACAACACTATCTCCTGCTGCGCAGAAGGTCGTTCGTATGGCCGGGAAAGATGCTATCATGTGGGCTTATATATCCATATTGCCTGTGATGGGCGTGAGTCTTATCTCGGGACTGCTGATGGGGAATGTATGGATTAAACCCAAGTCGAAGGATGAAGACCAAGAGCACGTTGATGCGGAGGGGTCAAGACATAGCGAGGTGGTTTACGTATCGTATTTGTGGGCTTTACTAAAGGTATGTCTTCTTGTGCCATTGGTACTAGGTACTAACTATAGTAGGGAAATGTCACTTCCTACAAGCAGATCAGCCGGCCGGTGGCGGAGAGAGAGAAACAGTGATCGCTCTAATTGAACATAGAAGGACCGGCCATTAATGCATAAAACTTTGTCCACCCATGAGCCCATGAGTTGCGAGATATGGTATCCCCTCTGCTCCTGTATACATAGCTATCGACAGGAAATTTGGGAGGTGTTATTTGTAGAGCAAGATCAGCTCGATATAATGTTCTCAGTGATAGAATAATTTGGCTATACCTTAGCTCTAATGTCTACATGGTTATTCTCCGTTATATTGACTAATTCCATCTGTTCGGCCTATCCCCGTCTCAGTCACAGTAGTATACAATTCGTCAACACAAGGAAAGAACAAAACACGATATATAAGGAGTATCTCAAATTTCTTAGATTAGATCTACTCCTCTATGTATAGTAGTTATGCGAACATGAGTCTGACACATCCTCATCGCCGGTGTTGCCAGCCACATGTACGTCCCAGATACTTACATCCTACCTAGTCCCCAAGATTCGAGCTTACATCCTATATACATACAGTGGAGGTTCTGTTCTCTCGTCGCTGACTTCGTAAACATAAAAGCAACATGATCGAGTCAGCACAGATGCATGCCATCGTCCGGACAGACGAGCAGTCGACGAGCCTATCACCGCTAGGTATCAGCTATCGGCTTGCTTCGTGTGGATCTCCGTGACAAGCCAATCTCTGGCGTGTTGGAAGCCGACCTAGAATAGCGAACGACTGCTACAGAGATGATTATTAGGACTGGGTCTGCCAAGGATTAGTCCCTTGGAGACTTTGAGACCGAAGTGATTTTTTCAGTGGACGAAGGCCTGTAGAACAATATATGGCGAGATCTGTCTATCCGACTAAGGGCTATGAGCACAACGCCAATATCGACATATAGTACAATAGCACCCCTCCCTCATCATCATTATAATAACCCTTCTCACCCACTTAGAGACCCATCCCCAGGACCAACCACCACCAATCCAACACCATAAACGACTCTGAAAGAATCACCTTAAAACCCCCCCAACTCCCGCCCACCCCAGAACAAACCCCGACAACGCCTCACCCAAAACACCGCCCCCAAACCAAACATCCTTCCAGGCACCCATCCTCTTGACTCCTGTCGAACCAGAACCCAAACCAGCCGGTATGAACCCGCGCTCATTAACGCCCTCGATCTCTCCCGCGTTCGAGCCCGGAAAGAATGCTCCCGCGCCGACGCCGCCGGATCGCGAAAGCAGCACCAGATGGAATACCCCGGAGACGAAGACCGTTCCGACAAGATAGAAGATAAATCCCGTTGCGGATTGGAGGGCTAATATACCCGCTGTGAGGCCTAGGAGAAATGAGGTGAGGGAGTGGAGGTTGGAGAGAACCTGATTAAGATAGGATTACGATTAGCTATGCGGGATAACTAGGTGAAGAGCTGGAGGGTTGAAGCATACGCGATTGTTGTGTTGGACGGATTCAGGGACGAGAGGATTAATCAGGAGGGAGAGTTCTTGTTTTGTTGGTGCCATTTTCTTGCGTTCTTTCCCTCTCTTAATGGAGGATACGGAGCAAAGGTAGGTGAGATGGAATTGGAGATGCTTCTAGTTAGCGTTTTGCCATTTTATACCGCCTCACGTTACTCTACGGCAGAAAGATGCAATATCAAGAATATTTAATACCCAAGTCCGCGAATAGTCTATACGTAAAACACAACCCTCCCCGCCCCGACTGTCCTCCCGACTGTCCCACTAGATCCCCACCTGGAGTCAACTAAAACAGTGGATAAAAAAATATGAACAGCTGACTGGTGTGTCGTGATCTCATCCGTCTCATCAAGTGCCATAGCCCCCCAACATTCCCAGAGAACTGAAAGAAAAGAACATTATGCATGGGAATCAAAGCTTATTGATGGGAATGTAATAAATGAAAAGAAAATGAAATCGCCCGGATCATCTTCCGAATCTTCGGTACAAACGCCTTCGCAGCATATCATCGAGTAAACCAAAGAAAAGTCAGTTGTACCAGGGCCTGGAATCGCCACTACATGGTATCATAAGCGAATTTCATCAATGCCCCAGCACATAAACCACATCCATCACCCCCAGAGATCGTTTTACTGTGATGCGCACTGCACCCTCTCGGCACCAGGAGGAACATCTTCATCATCCTCGTCCATTGCAGCCGCACCGTGCGCGCGCGCTTGCGAGTATTCGCTCGAGTCAACATCCTCCAGCTCGAAGTCCTCCACCATGGAGTCAGCGGGCGGCTTAGTCTGCTCCATCCGAGCTGGCAGAACCTGCTCCAGGAGGTTGAGGTTCCGAAGCTCATCCGTTTTAGGGAACTTCACATCGAACTGGATGTAAAGGTTGCCAAAATCATGATGACGGAACGAAGGCATACCCTGGCCCTTGATAACCTTAATGGCACCTAGAAAGGGTTAGCCAAGTTCCTTATTCGGAGACTAAACAAAGGGAACTTTTAACGTACCGGGTGTAATGACCTCTCCAGGAGCAATGTTTACCGTCAACCACCGATCATCGAGATGCTCAATATTGATGGCGCCACCACCAAGAGCGGTGAGAAGATCGATCTCTGCTTGGAAGAACAGATCGTCATCCTTGCGCTGGAAACGGGGGTGAGGCTTCTGCTCTATCTCAAACACCACATCTCCGGGCAGAACGCCAGGCATCTGGTCACCCTCTCCACGGAACTCGATCTTGTGCCCATTCTTGACACCCTTATCGACGTGGACGTGCAAAACCTTCCTTTCCACGACCGTCTTCTTGCCACTGCAGCGCTTGCAGCGGTCCTTGTCACGGACAATTTCTCCCTCCCCGTTGCAGTCAGGGCACACAGTCTGGAAACGCTGGATCATGGGGCCCATCTGGCGCATCATAGTCTTCATACCAGAACCATTGCAACCGGTACACGACTTCACTGCACCTTCTTTACCACCCCGGCCATCGCATCCAGGGCAAATGACGGACTTTTGCAACGCCAATTTCGAGACCTTGCCACGGTAGATGTCCTCCAGGTTAACCTTGTGAACGTGATGGATGGTACGAGCCTTCTTGGGGCCCTGGTCACGCATGCCGCCGCCGAACATGCCTCCAAAGCCACCACCGCCGCCAAAGAACTGAGCAAAGAGATCCTCAGCACCCATTCCACCACCGGCACCACCACCTTCAAGACCCTCCTCACCATACTGGTCGTAAATCCCTCGCTTCTGAGAGTCGGAAAGGATCTCGTAGGCATGGGACAATTCCTTGAACTTTTCGGCAGCTTCTGGGTTGTCGGCATTCTTGTCTTTAAACTCCTGTCAGTCCCAGTCCTGGTGCACAAGATCCCTCTTAAAAAAGAGTTCTGTGAAGGCAGATCATGTCAGACAAAAACGTACCAGGGTGATACTTTAGTGCACCCTTCTTGTAGGCGGTCTTCAGTTGAGCATCAGTAGCCGTCGAGGGGACCTAATAACCTTCAGTCAGTCTTGAAGTCTCGATAAAACCAATGTGAGAAAGAAATTTCAACGTACCCCGAGACAATCGTAGAGCTTGGTATCCTTAACCATTGTGATTTGAGTCTAAACAAAAGTGAGGAGGTAGGGGGAAAATTATAGAAACAAGAACTTTTTGAGACAAGAAAAAAGGAAATCCACAGGACCTTTGTGGCCGCAGAATCGAAAAGCACTGAAAAGAGGCAGGAGAAAGTAAGAAAATCACAGGGTGATTCCGAGAGGAAGAGTAAAGTCTATAAGCAAGGATAGTGCCTCGATTCCGGGGGATTCAGGTTGGGACAGTTGATGGGAGGAAGAAAAAGGGTTGCGAAAGGCCCTTTCTCAAGATTATCAGAGAGCGGCGACAGGCTGGCTTACTGGAGGTAAATGACTGGTACGGTAACTGATCTGGTAAGTAAGGAAAGTAAGTAATCCCAATACCAATAACAGAACCAGGCACCAACGGATCTTCTCTCCACTGTCGCACCCCTCTCTAATCTGTCTACGCTTGTAAAGGCGATGGTAATCTATACGGGAAATACGATAGGGCCGTCGAGGTAAAGTAGAGAATCGTATCTCTTGCAAAGATTTCTTCGAAAGTAAGAGACTGAAGAGAAAGAAAAGAGCCTGAATCTTCCGTGAAGGTGGTCTCAGTCTTGCTTTTCAAGGATACCACCAAATCTTGCCGATTATGACATACAGGGCTGATCTTCTCACGGTTTCGATCAGTGTGAAATTCAGGGCCCGAGCGCCGATTCCATTCGATTCTTCGACCTTCCACTAGCTTCGCAGCAATTCTGTGGTTGGTTGTGAAATGTAATTACAGAGTTTGTGACGGTTGGTCCTTTGAACTGACAACGCCTTGGGGTGTATTCTATTACAGATTTTTTATACATAAAAGTAGAAATAAATTCCATCTGCTTCTACAATCACCCCTGACTACGGTGATACAAAGAAAAGCAGGTTCTGTTTGTATGCTGAAACGCAGACAGGTAGAAACATCACAGTGCTAGCAGATTACTAATCTGTGCCTTATTAAGTGCTACTGATAAAGTTTTTTTTTATTTTTTTTTTGGGTGGCGCAGCTGATGCCTCAGGACTGAGAATGGGCAATTTCAAGCAGGCTTATCGATAAGCGATAGTGCAGCCCAAAGCAGAGTCCTCCTGTTGTGTTTCGAATTCCATATTTGTCACTTGTCATTCGGAGACCCTTGACTGTCATATGAATTAGTCGGTCCGAAACCAGACTTTAATGGCAGATCCTGTCTGATTTGCATATCAAAAGGACGAGACGTCAGACATAATAGATTAGTCTAAGCTGCAAACTATAACAGCTCTTCACAGAATACGCATACTCCGGAATATCTCTTATTTATACAGGTCATACCAAGGCCAAAAGGCGGCCGACCAGAGAAGATTCTCATGTCTAAGCTAAATACTACTTATGCTTCAACTAGGTTCCATTCTTGCAAGCTAGACAGAGAATGTTAGTATAAATATAATTGGTTCTGTAGTCTATAGGCAGTATATCTGCTTCTTTGCCTCTGTATGGACAGATCACCTGACCTGGAGTTCAGTATATAGTCTCTGAACTCCCAGCATCATTATCTTTTCCAATACTTAATTCTGATCCGTTCTGTCATTTCAATTTCATCTCTTTACTTGAATCCACTAATGTTGCCATCGCTTCCTCGATCTTTACCCCAGCTCGGACGGACATGGTTGCCCCTTGATTTCTCCAATCTAAACTTTGTCCTAATACCTGCAAGTCAGAAAATCGAAGAAGAAACCATCCCGGATATATTGCTTCCACGTATTATCCTGTTCGAATAGGAGGAAGCTTCAAGGGCCGATATCAGGTCGTAGGGAAACTACAGATATAATCGCCATGAAGCGACTCGCTCTCGCACTATTACAGCTGTCTTCGTTACGTTATCCTTAAAGTCTATGTCAACTCCGCAGCCTTATTTGATTTCGAGCTCAAGATATACAAACGTATAGAGAGGCCCTCGAAAAGTCATCCAGGTCTTTGCTTTACTGGCTTGATGTCTATGGGCCGGATGACAAGCATCGATGTCTAGTGCATCCTCCATTATAAGAGATTTTGTTCACCTTTGTGCACCGCAATCTGGTACGTAGGCTGCCTGAACCAGTCTTGGTATATGTGCTTCAGCGCCTGTTTTTGGAACTAGACTACCTCCGTACAGAATGCCAGATTATACATGCTGGTACGTGCTCCATCTTTGTCTTTCTTGCTTCTGTTGTTTACTTGAGAACTCCGCTAGACATCGAGGCTGGCAATATCATGTTCGGGATCGTATATGGAAGAATTATCTACGTATACCAGAACTCAGAATGCCCAGAGAATGGGGTCCCAGTCCTTTGAGACTTTGGATCAGCTACGCTCAGTAATATAGAGCATCGGAGGTGATTCTGGAAGCCCCCTGGACGTACAGAGTTGATATATATGGAGCGCGGGATGTATGGTAAGACAAGAATGTCCGGCGATACTGGTACCGCAATTATTAAACTTGTATCGAAGATTTAGGACCTTTTCGAGGGAGCGCCCTTGTTCACTGGCCACTACCCAGAATTTCAGACATAACGAAGTCGAGCTCACCTCGCCGAGATAATTAGTCTTTTTGGTCCTCCGCTCAGCCTTCGGTAAGCCAACTTTTTATCTGGTGAATCTCAGTATCCACTCACTACATTTAGCTTTCTATGTAACTTTTACGATGAGAATCGCAAGATCAGATTCCACTCGAAGAGAGGGATACTACTCTCGAGGGTCGGGACAAAGCAAGTTTTTTACACCTATTTCCGAAGATGCTGCAGGAGGAGCCGGGTAAGCGTAGTTCCGCTACGGAAGTAGGAGAGGAAAGGACGAGTGGATTCGTAAGCATTTGTAAGTGTAGTTACACAATCAAATCTAAGAGTGCTGTAAGGATAGTCTATTCTGAATTGGCAGTCGACAAGGGATAAAGAAATAATGGTGTCGTGTAGAAGCGACTTCCATTAGCCATGGACTTCCAATTCGATGCGGGAGGAGAAGCTGACCAGACTGGATCTGTGCTTCTCTTACTATGTTTAGCTCTTTAGTTACTCCTCCCTGAGCAATACTCTGTACATCTTGGAATAGAAATAACGTAACCATAAAAATGCTCACAATCTCCAGTCCTTATCAGCGTGGTAAACCCCTCGGTGTTCGGAATGAAAGGCCAATCATAACCCCACCAGTCTCGCTGATCGGACCAGACAAGTTCTCACGAAACTAAGATTTCCCAGTCGCTAAGATCCCAACCAAAACCTTGCTATAGATTCCCTCTGTCAATTCCCGTGTTCCCTTGACAATAATATCCTGCATTCACCATACACCACATCCTGTAAATCATGGACCAAGACCCCGGGTTTATCGCCGCCTTGGAAGAAGCTAAGAAAGGCGCTGGGGAGGGTGGAGTCCCCATTGGAGCTGCTTTAGGTATGTCTTTATACTTGATATGTTCCTGTCTCTATTATACTGTGACCAGCCTAAAAAATTGATGTTGTAGTCTCCAAGGATGGTAAGATCCTCGGTCGAGGACACAATATGCGCGTCCAACAAGGCAGCGCGACGTTACATGTTAGTGACTGGGAGTCCTTTCATATCTTATCGACCTTGGCAAATGAACTTACGTCTACCCATGTAGGCTGAGATATCTGCTCTCGAGAACTCGGGTCGTCTCCCCGCTTCCGCCTACGAAGGCGCTACCATGTATACCACCCTGTCTCCCTGTGACATGTGCACGGGTGCCTGTATACTCTACAAGGTGAAACGCGTGGTCATTGGCGAGAATGTGAACTTTGTCGGTGCGGAGGAGTATCTCCTCAATCGCGGTAAGGAGGTTGTATTGTTGGATAACGAGGAATGTAAGCAATTAATGGGGGATTTTATCAAGGAAAAGCCAGAGCTTTGGTAAGTTTCATTCTTTCCATTATCATGATACATGCAATCAAACCGTCTTTTGGTACACTGCCTTAAAGCCTAACGAATACTGCTTACAATATGCCACACTCAGGAATGAGGATATTTCCGTCTAGACTTTTATGCCTTATAATGGACATGCCACCAACATTCATTGATGGATTATGAGAGGAGGAAGTTGCTGTGTATATAAGAATTGAGGATTGCGAAAGCCAGTCGACGCCATGTTCACATTTCAACGAGCTCTTGCATAAGACTCTGTCGATGGATCTCCTGAAAGAAGAATTTCAGATCATCTGGGTTAACAAAAGGGGTAATACCTGGTTAAATTAGTATTCCATTCACTAGGAACAACAATACTAGACATCGTACCGTGACCCAAGTTAGCAATCCATCCTTGTTTGCCCTTCTGGAATCCCTCTACCATGTTTTCGACAGCTTCGCGAATAGCCAGTCGGCCACCGTAGAGCACACCCGGATCGGCATTACCCTGGATTGTCACTCGGCCATTTGCAATCCGCATAGCCTCAGCCGGATCATGCAGCCAGTCCAGCCCAACCACGTTATAACCCGATTCACAAAGGTCCTCAAGAGCATACCATGCTCCTTTGGCGAAAACCGTCATCGGCACCGGCTCCAGGCCCATCTCCTTTAGCCTCTTAGGCAAGTTTGCGGAGATATATCGCAGATACGGGAGTGAGAAGGACTGGAAGGAGGTTGGAGACAGCTCACCAGCCCATGAGTCAAAGACTTGGACCAACTGCGCACCCGCAGCTACCTGAAGGGCAAGGTATTCTACACAGATGTCTGCAATCTTCTGCAGCAATGCCTGTGACTCCTTGGGATACCTATAGATCCACGTCTTCGATTGGACAAACAGCTTGGTTCCTCCACCTTCAACCATATAGCAGAGCAAGGTCCACGGAGCCCCGCAGAAGCCAATGAGGGGTACACGGCCTTGTAACTTGTGGCGGGTGAGCGTAATAGCCTTGTAAACGTAGTCCAACTCTGACTTGACATCAACTTGCTTCTGCATCACTTTCTCGTATTGTCCATCGTCCGGCGACTTGAGCGGCTCTGGGAAATGGGGTCCTTTCTTGTCAACCATTTCCACGACCATTCCCATTGCCTGAGGAATAACTAGGATGTCCGAGAAGATAATAGCGGCGTCAATAAGCCCTGCATATCGCTCTATGGGTTGAATGGTCAACGTCGAGGCGACTTCCGGGTCGCGGCAGCATTCGAAAAAATCGCGGGCCCCCTTGGCTTCATGGTACTCGGGAAGGTAGCGTCCAGCTATAGAAAAAAACAATTTAAAATTTAGCAGCCGTCGACTTCATTTGTATAGTTGACTCTAGAAGAAGAGAGAAGAGAAGTGTTGCAAAACACAGCGCAAGCATAGCATACCTTGCCGCATGACCCATATGGGAGGGCGGTTTACCTTCTCACCTACAATGACATCAGTCCCTGGTCATGCTCCTTCAGGTATTGACGAAATAATCACCTCTTGCAGCCCTCAGCAAAAGGTCATTTTTCAATGGCGCGAATTGTTCCTGCATTTTGGCGGGGAAACGACAGATGGGATGCGGAACGAGGGGAAGTGAGTGGGATGAGGGGAGCACAAGACAGGCAGAGTCTCGGCGCCTCGGGCCGCAAATCAAGCGATGCTCGCTGGAAGGAGCAGCCGGCACAGCATGCCACAATATTCGGCAGCTCGAGTCCAGCCTGGCCCATGGAGACATTTTCCGGACGCCATGCTATTGGAAATATTTTCTTTGATATATACGTAGTTGTCTGGAAGGTGCAGACTTCTGAATAATAATAGTATACTAGATTACAAGAGTATTCGCCTCAATCGTCCTCACCCATGTACCTCTTACGCATATTCCCCAGACCATATAGAGAATCATTCATTTCCTTTCGTTGCTTTGCGTCGATGCTCGCTGGTATTTCAGAAGTACCGCTGGCGTTTATGGTGCCAACTGTCGACTCTGCCACTGACTCCCACACCAAATCGTCCGTCTCGGGCGTCGCGCGGTATGCTTCAATCAGAGTCGTGGTCGGACTGGATCGCCATTCTTGGGTTGATCCTGCCTCTCGGACATTATCAACGGAGACAAAAATAGTACTCTCCTGTGCATTGCTGGTTACATCAAGAACATTACCAGATGTGCTAACAGGCTTCTGTACTTTTAATGTGCCGTTGGATTCCAGGGCAAAGCATTGCAGCTTCGAAGATCTTTTTTAGGCAGTCAGAATCTTGCAAAATCCCTTCGGCTTCCATGGTTTTGATATCCACTCACCCCTCAATTCCAACCAGAATCAATCGCAACGCCCCCGAAGGATTTTCTGTATTGCCAAGCGATGTCGCCCAGATACCACGAACGGCGATGTCTGTGGACTCCGACGCCTCGTCCACAAGCGGGACCTTCTGTAGCACTCGGCTTTCGGCCCACTTCCAGACAAGTAGGTGGTTGTCACCTCCACCAGAGATGAGATATTCTGGGGCCCACGTGGGCACGCAGAGTGAGCTGACAAACGAAGTGTGACCCAGACAGTAGTTCTCGATCACGTGTGTTTGAGGGGGACCTCGAGAAACACGGATATGTTCATCTCGATCTGCAGTCAGAATGAAAGTGCGCTTCTTGCTAGTAGAAGAGTCCACTGGGAGTGAGACAAAAGCCAGGTCTGTGAGAAGCGACACATGACCGATGAGCAGCTGATGTTCAAAGTTGAGACTCGGTTTCTCTTCGCTAGTTTTCTTAATTTTGGCTTCATATTGCCGCTTCTGTTGCTCCAGAGATGCCAGATTACCCTTGGTGTGCACCGTCAGGGCAGTGGCAGCGGGCCAGCATTTCTTCGATTGGCGCGAAGTAGCTTTCGACGCCACATATGCTTCATTGGGAATAAGCGGTAGTGAATAAACGTCCCCAAATTTATCACCACACAGGATGATGCTGTCATTGTTGGCCAGGGAAAGAGCACAACCCCTCTTTGGCATAACTCTACATACTGGATGAGCCATGCTTTAGTCATAGGGTTTCCTTGCGCTTACCTTTCACTTAATTGCTCCAAAGAGCCATCCTCCCCTAGTCGAAAAACGCGAATGCACTTATCCTCTACGGTCATCGCAACCACATATCTGCCGTTAGTGGATGTCACGAGGAGAGGAATGCTCGACCAAGATGCAGATGTGGGCTTTCCTGATCCCCCATCCATAGACACCTTTCTCTTTTTCTCCGGTGGGCCTTGACCGTCCACGCTGGGCTCAACGTCCATTGCTGTAGGGGCCGCTGCATCATTGTGGTCTACATCCTGTGGCCAACTAGCAAGCCGTTGCCCGGTCTCGGCAGCGTAGGAGTAGAGTTTTGAGCCGGCGGACGCTACAATGACGTTCTGATGGCCGGCATGCTGCCTGTCCACGAATTGAACCCGCTGAAAAGGGTGGTGGGAATTGACGGCCATAACTGACTATTCGGTGGCCAAACAGCACCCTGACAATAAAAATCTCGCTGAATAGAGGGGCCGATGCGAGCGACTATGTAAGTACTAAAATCTATGGCCCGCTTATCACCCAGAGCCGCACCGCCGCGGGTAGCGCCCACGTGACCGCACTAGGCGAAGGCACAAGAAAAGAAAATGCCAAAATCCAAATTTCTTCCGACCTTCAACTGTCGCGACTTCAATCGGACACCATCACCACGTTAACCTAAGAGGGAACATTTTACTTGCCCTTAAACATCCTATCTTCAGCCCAATAAGAAGAAATGGGGGGCAAGTCTGCTACCAAGGCCGCTTACTTCGAGAAGCTCAAGAGCCTTCTCGATGAGTACTCCACCGTCTTTATTGTCGGTGTCGACAATGTCAGCTCTCAGCAGATGCACGAGATTCGTCTGAGTCTCCGTGGCGAGGCTGTTGTTCTGATGGGAAAGAACACCATGGTATGATTTCCGGCTCATTCGACTCTGCCGAACGTCCATTGACCGCATTGTTCAGGTTCGCCGTGCCATCAAGGGCTTCATCACTGACAACCCCGAGTATGAGCGTCTGCTTCCATTCGTCAAGGGTGAGTTAATTGTTGAAGAGTAATTGAGTTTTGGAGAAAGGTGCATCCGCTGACTATCCCTCTCTGCACTGCAGGCAACGTTGGTTTCATCTTCACCAACGCTGATCTCAAGGCCACCAAGGAGAAGATCTTGGCCAACCGTGTCGCTGCCCCCTGCTCGTGCCGGTGCCGTTGCCCCTGCAGATGTCTGGGTTCCTGCTGGTAACACCGGTATGGAACCCGGTAAGACCTCTTTCTTCCAGGCTCTCGGTGTTCCCACCAAGATTGCTCGTGGTACCATTGAAATTACCACCGACCTGAAGCTCGTTGAGACTGGCGCCAAGGTCGGCCCCTCCGAGGCCACCTTGCTGAACATGCTCAACATCTCTCCCTTCACCTATGGTATGACCATCCAGCAGGTTTACCAGGAGGGTCAGACTTTCAGCGCTACTGTTCTGGACATCACCGAGGAGCAGCTCCTCCAGTCCTTCAGCTCTGCCATCAACACCATCACTGCCATCTCCCTGGCTACCAGCTACCCTACTCTGCCCTCCGTTATGCACTCTCTTGTCAACGGCTACAAGAAGGTTCTGGCTGTTGCGGTTGAGACTGAGTACAGCTGGCCCGAGATCGAGCAGCTCAAGGACCGTATCGCCAACCCTGAAGCTTATGCTGCCGCTGCTCCTGCCGCCGCCGCCGCCGCTCCTGCTGGTGACGCTGCCCCCGCCGCTAAGGAGGAGTCTGAGGAGGAGTCCGATGCCGACATGGGCTTCGGCCTTTTCGACTAAACTTCTCGTTTACTACACGAGATACGAATGCCATGTATTAGATTTTTATGTGCCTGATCATGACGGTTGGGGGGGGGGAAATGGAAATGAAAATCATGGTAGCAATATTCTCTTCCCTTTATTCAATAGATATGGAACGTAGTCACGCTCCATCATCTTGATCAAAATGGTGAGTTTCTGTTTTTTTATCATTACCTACCCTTGATATTTCAAGAATCAACATCCATCACATCACTGCGAATGATGATATTTTTTAACTCGGAGCAATACACCCTTGCGGGGTGGCACTGAAGATTAAAAACTAGCAACAACAAACACTCTAATTTTTTGCTGACGCCATACCCTCACTTCAACATTTTCTGTCTCACGCTTTTGCAACGTCTGATTGCTAACATTTGTTTCAGTAGGCGCAATTGACTGGTCACTTCTTGTGCCACAGAGCTTGAACGTATTTATTGCATAGCATCGTAGTGATGGAGCCACCAATGAGGGCCGTAGTTAATACTACTTCTACGACCACCACCCTCAGCTAGTATAGCATTTGCCTAGATAGGGAGTATGTTTAGGAGGCATATCTAAAGAGAATATTTAAACAGATATATGCTCATTATATTATATCCTCTAGTCCTGTAATATCTGCAAGTAAGAGTGGAGCAGAATGTTAGTTCGTAGTTGACATTCCTGTTAATGGTCTAAATATTCTCCACATGCATAGGTATGTGCTGCATTTTCTACATAGTAGACACATTTTAATGCTCCGGCTTCACTGCCTTTGCTTCTGAGGGGAGAATGTTTATTGTCTGAAACCTTTAATTATCTAGTAATATGATGGCTCAGCTAACTATGTACATAACTAGTTCCTGCTTTGGACAAAAAAGACTCGGCTTAAATTTATATGCAAACAAAGTAGACTATTTATAGATAGCTTGAAAGGTAAAACACTGACCAGGTAGAAACAGTTTGATATTTATTCTCTTCCAGTATCGCACAAATATATATATATATTTCATGCCAAAGAACTACAATGTTTGTCTGGTATTCATACATTACAACTTGCAAAACACAAACTCTCACAACAATGATCTATCGCTGGACCTATGCGGAATACATCACATGAATCGAAAGGAATTAATTAATTGCCATCATCACCGCTTCTCCCGAATCGACCGCCAAAACCGCCCAAATCACGACGAAAGAACTTGCCGATGTTCTTCAGGTTTTCGTTGAGGTTTCCGGAGGTGCTGCTCTCGCCGCCCTGGCTCAGTGTCTGGCTCACGGGACCGGAGGCAGTGGACGGCGTGGTAGAGGTGGAGACTGAGCCAGGCCCAGTTGTACTGGTATTGGCTGGGGTGCCGAATCTATCAACGCCGTCCTTGGCGGCCGAGATGATGGCGGATCCCAGCATGGAAGCATCAAAGCGGGTAGGGAGATTGGAGGCGCCGATGGACGCTGCAGCCGATGTGCTCAGGGTTCCAAGTCCAAGGCCCTGTGATACGGAATTGGAGGAGGTGGTGTTGGAGGTCTGCATCGCTGCTAGGACGGGATTGTTTTGCTGTAGATTGGGGGCATGACGATCGGATGCGCGGTGGACCTGGAATAGTTCCACGAGGTGGTTCTGTTCTTGTCTGCTGCGGATGCCTTTGAGATCGAGGATTTTGCGGAAATTGGCGTTGTTTCGGTCCCCGATGTGGAGTAAATATGCTTGCACAAGGGCCTCTGGAGGGGATGGTTGTACCTGGACCGTCTTGAGAAGAGTCTCGATCTTTGCAAAGCTGTTGTTGACGCGCTTAACGAAGCCTGCGGGGGCAGGAGCGGGAAGAAGAGACGTGAGACCGGTTTTGAGGGTGTACGCGTCTAGTAGCATCTGCAGAGAATTCCGTGTTAATTGATCGGTGAAGACTTGGTGCGTATAGTCCGAGATGGGGGCATCTCACCTGTTCCGCCCCAGTCTCCGAGATAGGCTTGCATTGGGAGATACTTGTGATGAACAAGTTGCATATCAACTCCACAAGATGGTCGCTAAAAGCTCGGGCATACTGCTGCTTATGCAGCAGTAGCAATATTTCGGAGGACCTAGTCTGGGTCTTAGAAAGGAGCTCACCAACGTACGAGCTCTGATCGTTCACGGCCTCCAGGCGATTCCAAGGAGTATTACGCATCTCCCGCCAGCAGGGCTCTAGATCTATCTCGACCTGGCGTACAAGTCCTCGGACGGCTGCTGAGGCAATCCCCATGAACGAATCCGCCTGGCTTTGGAGGTCCACTGATTGTTTCAAGTTCTTGTCTAGCCGGCCCTTTATCTTCTCCTCTAGTTGGTTGCAGGTTGTGTAGCAGTAGTCTGCAGTGTTGAGAACTGAAATAAGCTCTTCTAGGGTCGGTATTTTTGATGGCGTATGGCCGGTAGGCCGTTCACTAATGTAGTATAGAAGCACTTGTTGAGCATATTGATCGAGGTATTTTGCGAAGACTTTAGCAAGATCAGCTAGACTTCCGCCTGTTGAAAGTTTGGAGCATTGTTGTAGAGCATGTCGATAGAATGTGAAGAGCTCGATTGACGAGGATATAACAATATTGGAGTGGAACTCTTCATCTGCAGGTCTCAGAGGCTGTTGCCGATATTTTGGAATAAGAGCAGCAAGCTGCTTGTCTTGAGCTTCAACCCATACACTTAGATAGGGCTCAAACGCTTCTGAAATAGCCTGACTAAACACCGGCGCTTCGGTGGAAGCGAAAGTATCTGTCGAGGGCCGGGATGGGCTAACAAATCGTCGCTCAAGAGAATGTTCGAAATCAAGCGTTTCTTGCAAGCAAGACAGCAATAGGTTGACATCGATTGCCTGCCCATTCCGCACAGACCGAGAAAGAATCCCCTTGAAGTCATCTCGAGTCCCTTCGCAGAAGACATTTGCCAGAATTTCATCGACGCGCCAAGATGCCGGGAAAATAGCTGCGTAGTCCTCATCGTAGATCTTCAAGATGCGCTTAAACCACGAATACCTCCGAGATATGTTGTCTAAAGAGCCTGCTTCCTCATTGTTCCGGAAGACCTGACGATATTCACGTAACTGGAAATTGCAATACCAGGTCACTAACCTGGACTTTGCGTGTTCTCCCAACGCATCCATGACCAGGCAACCCTCCGAGAGAGTCGTCCTTTTCTGTGTCACCTCGCCTTTAACAAATGTCAGCTCGAAATCTTCACAAATCTGCTCCAACAACTCCCGTTGTATATCCGCCACATTCCGACTGAGAAGTGCGATCTGGTCGATTGATCGGTACGACTTGAAGTGCGCCATCAATTGAATAACCGCCTGTAGTAGCTGAGCGCAGTCCCGGTATTGCCTTGTTTTGCCAAGAACACGGAGCTGATCGTACGCAGTCGTCAGCATTTGAAGCCTTTTCAGTGCAGTCATAGACTGAGTGAGGTTCTTCTTCGCATTGTCAAGCTGCTTGATATCCGCCGTCATCTCCGTAATAGCCTGCTCCGTACTAGATGCGCGGTCGCGGACATCGTCGATTTTCTTGAACAGCTCGGTCAGATCTGCTTTGGCGGTCTGGATACGCTCGACGCTCTCAGAATTTGAAACAACCTGGTCCTCAACGAGCATTGCAATATCATTGTCAAGCTCATCTTCGTAAGCTTGGAGGGAGTCAGAAACTCGAGACACTGATGACAGCGTGGAGGGGTGGGAGAAGATCGCGTTCAAATGGTCGATTGGATCGTAGTCCGCTAATGAATCGTCGTATTAGTCATTTATTCCACCACAAATGCCTCCATTGTTCTCACCTGCATCCAGGGGATCGAGATCGGCCGCTCCGTTGGAGGGCATATGGCCGGTGGTTGTCGTAGTGGTGGACATTCCATTAGTTCCTCAACATGGACGGACACATTGGCATTTAGAGTATCCACCAATGCACCTCTCTTGTACTCAATAAGCAAAGCCAACCAGCAAAGCCAACCAGCAAAGCCAACCAGCAACGCGAAAGGCCGGTGGCTTCTAGACAGTAGTTGACCGAGAGAATCAGGGCGGGATGTTAGCGATTGGCGAAGCGCAGGGCTGCATTGTTTGGTTTAGCGCCCGCCAAGCCGACCAAATTGTCGCCCTTTGCCTACGTTGTGACGAATGTTCAGTCAATGAAAGTGGATCAGGCAATATCTCTTTGTTGGTTTTCTTTTCATTCTGATAGTTTTTTTTCTTCTTCTAGCGATTTTCTTCCCCATCTATAAAGACATGGTCATCGTGGTCATATATGAAATACAGGAAAGTGAAATAAGTCAGAACACAGCACTCCTCCCAAACAGCCATTCGCCTAAAGCCATGCAAAACAGCAAGATATCTATTACAGAATAATACACCATTCAATCAATAAAAAGTGCTACCAATTTCCTGGGATAGACATGTGGAAGTCTAGACAGCCCCCGGAAGGAAGGCCTCTGGGGGTAATTGCCCTTGAGTCTAGTAGTGTTGTTAGTGAAAGAGCGCCCCTAACAAGACAGCCAGACTTACCTTCAATTGCTCAAAGTTCTTGAGAGCAGCGTCCATGTTCCAGTCATTTCCAGATAGCGCCATCTCCGAATATTGTAGCGTCATTCTTGTTTTGGCACTCATTTCCATCACCAGACGTTCCTGCTGTACTTGCGCCTCCAATTTCGTGGGTGCTGGCGCCCCATAGCCGTCAGGTGCAGCAGGGGGGGCTATCTGTTGGACTAGTGGGACTGACGGGACTGGCGGTGGCTGGGATGTCTGTTGATCCTCCGACATCCATGCCTCATGTCCGCCGTATGCTCGCAGGCACAGTACATCATTGATTACCCGAATCCCGCCCATTCCTCCACCGGGCCCAAGAATGAAGGTCCTGTCGAAACTCCGCGTCTCAACCTTCCCCGTGCTAACCTCTTCAAATTTTCCATGTACCATAATAAGTAGTCCCCCGACGCCGGTTGCACTCTGCCCGGAAGGATCCGGAAGGCCGGGAATCGGGAAGCATTCAATGAGCCATTCTTCCGGGTGTGCTCCTATGTCAGGGTGTCTTGTCTGGGGAAGGGTCTCCCATAGTTCGCGGATCTTCTCCGGCCCAGCATATGTACGTGACATCCTCGCGGGAAGATGGTTGATTTTGAGGAGGTTCCTGCTTTTCTTGATATAGGGATCCCAGCCTGCAGTCTCGGTTTGCTGGGCTCTCGGAGCAGATGTGTTGACATTGAGTGAGAAGGTCGAGTTCTTGTCGTAAACACCGCTGAGGAGCTCACTGCGATTGTTGTCAAACCCCACAAAGAAGGCCTTGACAAAGTTCTCTCCAATTTGAGACTCATCCAGGAAATGAGGCGCCTGAACAGGAATCGGGGTCTTCTTCTGCGCCGCCAATTCCTCCGCCGTTCGAACCTCTACATTATTTAGCACTCGCAGTTTCGGGTACCACTTGAGCATGGTATCCTTGAAAGTCGGATCGGCGCTGAAAGGAGTTCCGGTGAGATCAAGAAACTCGAGATTGCGAAACTTCCACCGCCACCCGATGAGAGCCTGCGCATCCTTGAAATTGTTGTTTGACAGATCGAGATTTTTCAAATCTGGAACCGCTTGAGCTAGAGTGGTGACGACGGAGATATTTTCAAGCTTGTTATCAGCAAGACTGACACTTTCGACTGCCTCTCGCCGAGCCGTGGAGTTGTCGAAACTCATTTCCCAGACTTTCATTAGGGCCGGGAAAAACTTAGATTCTGTGGAAGTGCTACTGAAAATGCCCATGGCCAAGAGTTCTGGATCGCTGCCCAGCTTTGAGAGGTCGAGCAATCTCGACTGTTGATAGTAACGCTTGCTCAGAATAGCAGTCAACTTGGATTTAGTGTCGGCCGCAGAAGGCGTGCCACCGTTTTGCGAAATTTCCGACAGCATTGGCTGGTCCAGCATTCCATTCCCACGTTTTTCGATCGTAAGCGGCGCACCTGCAAAACTAAATCCATTGAGCTGAAGCATTCTATCCAACAACTCCGGTCGGATGGATGCCACAAGAGCATCTCCTTCAACCCGTGACTAGTGAACGTTAGTAAGGCGTAAGACACCCTTGGCAGCGCAGTCACTTGAAGCAACAAACGCCAAATAAACAAGTCCGAGCAAGTGCCGATCGTCGCCCTGGAGTACCATCCCTGAAAACGAGAACACACTGGAGAGAACGACGTTGCGAATTCATGTCGGTGAGCGCCAGTTCTGGTGTTGCACATACCTTTGTTATCCTTGCGCGTTGGCCAGTTTTCGAGTCGGCTGTGTTGAGTTTTTTCTCGAGAAAGGTGATGAGGCTCTCAAGGCCGCCGTCCCGATTCGACGCCGCCTTGCTCTGCTTCCATCCACAAACGATGACCTGCTCCAGACCAGCCCCTCGACCACCTTGTCGGATGTTTGCCTGAGATTCTGAGGTGTTGGATATGGCTTTTTGAATAGCATCAAGGGCCCTATCGCGCGTTCGTGGCCCTACCTGAACTGACCGGCCGGGATCACCGCGCGACTTCTTCCCACGGTTTCTAGCAGAGCCCGCATCCATTGCCAAATCACCATCTCGGTCAATCTTTGTAGCAGCACCCCTCTTGCGAATCCCCCCGCGATCCGAACCACCGGAGCGGCCACGGGAGCCTTTTCCGTTCTTCATGTTGATCGCAGATGTCTATGGTATTCGTCAAAACAGTGGGGAGGTAGCAGATCTTGGTTGCGGGTCGTATGTGTGGAAAAAAGTTTCTTTTATCCGGCGTACAAAGCGCTGCGCGCGCCTCAATTGTACAGAAGCGATTCTGTTGACATGCAACAAAGGGCGGAACGTAACAAATATGTAAAAGAGAATGTGTGAGAGAAAGAAGACGCCTCTAATAAAAGACACAAGGTGTAAAACTGGATTGTCCGAGGGTGTCAGGAGAGTACAAGAGAAACCTCGAATGTGAGGCTTTGAGGTCCTGGTTGAGGCAGACGGCGATGCAGAAAAAGTGACGTGAATCAGGCAGCGCATCACGTGGTCACACCAGTTGGATGCCTGCATATGCACGTGACTTTGCGCCAGGCACCCAGATGATGGGGCACGTAGGGGCCAATGAAAGGCTGCAGTTTGTCCTTTGGCGTATCTGCAGGTAATACACAATACCAATGCACTCAACCCTGCGGGATCAATACATCATCCATCAGGACAGCTTGCGAGCTGAACAAGGCAATTGTTTCTCTGTTGCTGTTGGTCCACCTCTCAAATCCCAACCAGAGTGTGAGTGAGTTCTATCTCTCCTTGATATCATCCTCCAATGGAAATGGATTATACTCCCCCTCTCGTATACAAGGCTCCTGACAACATCACAACTATAGACAGTTCATCCCCGCGCGCCCTGCCGTCGATTCTCCAGAATCATTCCGTTCGTTAACACCGTTGCCTGGTTGATTCGCCGCCGCATGATCGCCAAATAACTGAAGAGATGCCTGCGAAATCGCGATTTACGAGACTAGATGCTTTTGCTAAGACCGTCGAGGATGCTCGCATCCGCACCACCTCCGGAGGAATCATCACCCTAGCCTCGTTCCTGATTATATTGTATCTCGTCTGGGGAGAATGGATGGAATACACCCGGGTGGTAATTCTACCAGAATTGGTGGTGGATAAGTCAAGAGGTACGACAAGTCATTTCTACCTGTTTATCGGGTTCATTGAGAGGGAGGGGGGCTGGAAGAGGAGGATTGAGAGCTAATCGGACGCTGCGCATTTTATACAGGAGAGAAGATGGAGATCCATTTGAATGTGACGTTCCCTCGACTTCCATGCGAGCTCCTTACCCTCGATGTGATGGATGTCTCCGGTGAACAGCAGGTTGGCGTCGTGCATGGGGTAAACAAAGTGCGCTTGAGTTCACCCGCAGAGGGTGGCCGAGTCATTGACGTTAGATCTCTGGAACTGTAAGCAGTGAACCCCCAGCCACCGCTCATACCGTACCTATTCTTGGTTCCCTCCCTGTTAATCTGTCCTTGTCGCATATAGCCACTCGGAGAACGAAGCGGCCAAACACCTCGACCCGAACTACTGCGGCGAATGCGGCGGCGTCCCTCAGGACGCCAGTGAGAAGCGCTGCTGTAACACCTGCGAGGAGGTCCGAGAGGCATATGCACAGCACCAGTGGGCCTTCGGGAAGGGCGAGAACATCGAACAGTGCGAACGTGAAGGCTACGCGCAACGAATCGAGGCTCAGCGCCGAGAAGGCTGCCGACTCGAAGGTATTATCCGGGTGAACAAGGTGGTTGGAAACTTCCATATCGCTCCTGGTCGTAGCTTCACGAGCGGGAACTTCCACGTACACGATCTGGAGAATTACTTCGAGCCGGGGGTGGCCGACAACGAGAAACACACCATGACCCATGAGATCCATCAGCTTCGGTTCGGACCCCAGCTCCCGGATGAGTTATCCGATCGCTGGCAATGGACAGACCACCATCACACAAATCCTCTAGACAACACCAAGCAGGAAACCGACCAGGCCGCTTACAACTACATGTACTTTGTCAAGGTGGTATCGACCTCTTACCTACCGCTAGGCTGGGACCCATTGTTCTCCTCGGCCATACACAACGGGGAGACTGATGCCCCACTGGGCGCCCATGGTCTGGCACTAGGCAATCAGGGCAGTATAGAGACGCACCAGTACTCCGTGACCTCGCACAAACGGTCCCTGATGGGCGGAAATGCTGCCGACGAGGGCCACAAGGAACGGCTGCATGCTTCCAGTGGGATTCCCGGCGTTTTCTTCAACTATGACATCTCCCCTATGAAGGTAATCAACCGGGAAGCGCGTCCTAAAACTTTCACCGGGTTCCTGACCGGTATCTGCGCGATCATCGGTGGTACTCTGACCGTAGCAGCTGCTGTAGACCGTGGTCTGTATGAAGGTGCCCTACGGGTGAAAAAGCTTCACTCTAGTTAAGCTCAAAATGTGGTCAAGAGACGAACCATATATCCATAAGACTTAAATAACGGGAGAAAAAGAAAAGAAAAAACAAACCTAGATAGTCCCCTGCATAGAATGTGCGTGGCGGATGCAGCAGTTCGTGCTTCGGAGATCAGAGAGAAGGACAGGGAAGGATAGCGATTGAATGAATACCGTGGGAAAGGGACGGGATGGGAGCCAAGGCGTTTCGGTCTGTATACACTTTGACTTTCTATTCTAGAATTCTTCCATACTTGGTACTGTTGGCGCATTGATTTACATGACCAAGCACTTGGTCTTTTTTGGGATTACTTTGTCTACTTGTAGCGTAGACTCCTAGGTACCTAATTATAGAATAGCCAAGGACTTGCTTGGATTACTGTCCCCATCCAATATCTGCATTCTGCAATCTCATCTCAGTAAAGTAATATGCACCTGTATTTACATGCATAAAAGCCAGCAGAAGATTTATCCCATAGAAGCTGGAAAATTCAACATGCAAAAAAAAAAAAAAAGGGATGAAAGGGAAGCAAAGCTGCGAATATCCCTAGGCGCCTGACCTGTTCTACAACTCCATCTGATGTGCGATGCACCGACAAGGAAAGAACAGCAACAGACATTCCAGATGTATGGCTCTAAGATGAGCCGCTACTTGAAGATCGAAACGATAGTAAATGATATAAAGGACAGGCCGTCACATAGAACAGTAAGACAAAGGAAATGCCAAAACCAGAGCGTTTGAAGGAGCACAAGTTAAATATTCGCAACAAGAGTGTAACAAAAAAAAAAAGGAGCGCAAGGATGGCTTAGATCAATAATGCATTGCGTTAGAGGTGCCAACGTAGCCAGAATGCTGGCCCAAGAGCTGGTTTTGCTGGTAAGTTTGAGGCTGTTGAGAAGCAAACTGGCCATACCAGGATTGGCGGCGCGGCTCCTCTGGCCGATAGGACTGGTTTAGAGCATCCCATGTGTGGCTTGCGGTGGGTAGATTGTAGACGCTATGACGACCGCCTTGGACTCCATATGACTGAGTTGGGGGGCTAGAGGACATTTGTTGCTGCTGGAAGTGATGTTGGCGTTGAGCAATTGCATGCTGCACCATTTGATTGGACATTCCCTCCATAATGCCCTTCTTCTCCCTCTCGCGCGCATCGATCGCCCCAACCAGGCCCATTGGGTTGACTTTCGTTTCCTGCTTCTTCTCACTAGAAATATTGAAGAATGACGAGCCCGTCATCCGAGCGACATGCTCCTGTTCTCGGGCGGAGAGATGGGAGGATATATCATTGTAATTCATCATACTGCTGGCGCCGCGAGAATTGGGCCGAGGTGGCCCATCTCGGCTAAGGTTCATTTGTGACTGAGAACGAGTATGTGCCATCCAGTCCCCGGAAACCGGCCGTGCCGGTGGCGGTGACGCAGAGGAAGTCCGGTGGTGCATCTGGACCGGCGGACTAGGAGCAGCCCGTTGTTGCACAAATTGCTCAGGGCTGAGACTAGCTCCCGGTGTCGTTGGACGTGCACCAGCCATACCGGGCTGCCACAAAACACTTCGCCGGAATTCGTCTTGGCTTGGTGGTCTGGAGTGAGCACGGTCCATCTGCTGCGTAGGGACGGAGATCCGTTGTCTTTCGGTTACATCGGAATCAGTCTTCTGATGACCAAAGCTTTTCAGCGCGTCCGAAGTGTGAGGGCGTCCAGTGGTGGGTAGATAAGTAAGAGTCGGCCCAAAGTCGATGGAGGGAATATCTGGGTTCGCTTGTGATGGCTTGTCAAGAGAGTAATGAGCATCTCCAATAACCAGATCCTTGCTGGGCGCTGTTCCGACCGTCTTCTTGACTCCCATTCTGGGCTTTGGTATTGACTTAATAGAACGTTTGCTGTAAATGGACCCATGAGTACTGGCGTAGTCAGGGGAAACAGTGGATGCGTCATCATAGACACTCTCTTCATCCTGGTGTCCTTCCTTGATGGGCGAAGGAAGCGACGGGTGGTGAGGACCGACTCTGTTAAACGCATCTTCGTCAACTGTGTGGCGTAGATCATCAAAACTAGGCTCTCCCACAGGACTTGGAATTCCGAGTTCCTTGTTTTCTTGAGGCAACGGTTTCCTCTTCAAACTTTTATTAGCCTGAAGTTGGATATTTTGGCCACTTGACAGGGCTGGAGGGACACCAAAAGTGCTTGATCGATGCTCAGCCGCTGGTGGGGCTTGTTGTTCAGGGACAGGCCTTTTGTCATCCGAATCAAAATATATGGGAGGAAGGTCAAATCTATCAGTGTCGGAAAGATAAGAGGTTTCAGGAGCCGATTCCTGATTTTGCTCATGAAAATGTTCTTCTGCCTCGTGACCTTCTGCCCGTGAGTCGATGCCAAGGAGGTTCTTATTTCCGGAAGCCGCGACAAGTTGGGAAAGTGTACCATGAGACATCCTATTGTTCGCTTTTCTCAGATCAGGTGAGGGTTGTGGTCGTGTCGATGGCATTTCTCCTGGCCCATGGGTGAAGGCCGGGGGGATAACTACTGGAGAAGGAGGAGAAGGAGGTCGGAGCTGCTGTCCAATTGCCTCAGCCTGAGGATCCGAACGTTGCCTCGAGTCGCCTTCGGAACTGCTTTGGTCGTAGTAATCATTAGTTCCAGGCCGCTCTCTGCCGTGATGTGCCAAATCCTGGGCGGATGATGATGGCGAACTCTCCGCAAAAGAACCTGGCTGGTGTTTTGAGAGGGGAGAAAGGCCTGTTGTATCAGAAACACCCCGTGTATGATGAACGGCAGAGAATGACTCATCCGGAGTTTCTTCACGGACAATAGCATCGGTGGATTGATTGAATCCAGGTTGACGTGCGGGAAATGTGGCATTATTGCGTTGCACTGGACCAGTGGGTACATTGCTGTACCGGCTTGGAAGGCTGGATCGAAAGCGCGGTTTGCCGCCTGACATGCTGCTTGTTCTGCTACCACCAGCGGCCATTCGGCGTAAAGTTGCTTCTTTAAGCTGTTGCCTCCATTCGGCTTCACTCCAATTCTGGCTTCCCGGTGTTTGCATTAAGCTCGCAATATCCAAGATGTCTAAATAACCGTAGCGGCGTTCGTCAGGAAAGGCAAACATAATGCTCTTAATGTTGTTGACGGCCGCAATGAGGCGAGTTGGACGGCCGTATAGATTGAATGTGTCGAACGTGGGGATGAGGAATCGAATCATCATCTCAAACCCAGGAACAGCAGGGTGGACTTCCGGCATGACGAAAACAAACCCTTCCGACGTTGCCTCCGGTTGTGAATGGATTGTAACCTTTCCTTCAATCTTGACCAGAGTTGACTGATCGATCAAGGGTTTAGATTGAGGATAGATAGCATAAGCACTATAGGCATCGGTGATCGTCGCAATGGGTTTCGCTTTCTTGGTCTTCTTCGTTTCATAGAACTTGATGTCTCCTGTGACCAGTCTAGGTGTCCGGTCATAGGCGGATTTCTTCTTGATCGACTTTTGAGCCTTCTGGAGTTCTTTCTCATTTGGAGGCGTGATAACAAACCAGCACCGTCTCCATGGTGTCCCAGCTCCGAATCTAACCCGTGCCCAGTCCTCGTGCTTGAATCGGTTACGCTCCAGGATACCCCGGATATTGTTAAGGCTTTTGCCTTTACCAGCAATGATCGACCCTGTATATGCTTCATACAACGACGTGTGCTCAAACAAGGCTAGACGGATCGCGGCCGTCCACTGTGTCAGCGAATGGAACGAGTTAAAATGTAGAAGATAGCGATTCTGGTTCGCGGAACAAATGCTCAGAACATTCTTCAGAGACGGGGTGGCTCGATTTCGAGTTGGTAACGTTTCAATCTATGCCAGCAAACCGTTAATACAGGGCAACCCCAATAGCAACTCTTAGTGCCCGAAGCTCACCATTTTGATCGACGCATCTGCCAAATTGATGAAAGTTGGGGGAACATCTCCCTCTTCCCCTGCTGCGTCCAGCGCAGCAGCATCCCAAAGTGAGAGTGCGGTTCCAACGAGCTGTGCATAACATTCTACCCATTGGCGATCAGCGCAGGGCCGGCCGTCTATGACACATTAGCCTAGATGTCTAGTTCGTTTGCCTCCTGTGTAGATCACATACGAGTGTCCAAATCATTCAGTTTGAGAAAATACCCTTCATGATATAATTTGTTTGCGTGGCTATTTAGAAAGGAAAAGATGGGCTGGAGCTCTGCAGGAATGTCTTTTGACACCTCTATAAAGGGAGGGTTGTGGGAGAATAGTGTCGAACCTGGCCGTGAGGCGCGGCGATCGGCGATCGATGTAATCCCAGCTGGCGAAGCATCGGGAGGAGTGGGTGTATCTGTAGAGGATGTGTCTCCTTGTGATGGAGAGGCATTTAGGGTAAAAGACGCCGAAGATGTCCAATGTTGTTTTCCCGAATTGTCTTTGCGGGAGGGGCCGCCGAATGCCGATATAAAAGACAGTACTGCAAAAGCAAGGGGCATTCGTCATTAGGGCCGAAATATTCAGACAAGTATAGATTCTGTCACTCACCACGCGAACGAACCATTATGTCTAGGCTTTCGTCTTTGACCAGACGGCAGCACTAAAGATCAGGTTCCAACTCACTCAGGCGAGAGAGTTGCTATGCAGCAGGCAGAAATCTAATCCACGCCGACGAATACAGTAGCAACCGTCGTAGAACTAATATACTGAGGCGAAGGCAGAGAGGAAAGAAGGGAAAGCAAGGGTATCTTGAATCTGGTGGCTCCGCACGGAGATGACGACAATGTGTCAGGGCCCGCGAAAATTAGGTATGGAAGTTGAATCCCATGAAGGACCAGGTGGGATTTATTTTCAAGAGCGTGTTGAAAGAAACATACGCATAAAAAAAAGAACGACTATTTATAAAAAGAATGGAAAAGGTCGCTGTGACACCAAATCAGCAAGTGACAAATATTGGCGCGAGGTAAGCTTCCAAGCGCCTGACTGGAATGGGCAGTCACTAGGACACTTCAATGTCTCAGTTTAGCGACAGTTGGTAGACGGATGATGGTAGTAGGCAACAATTCGGTGGAAGACACAATAGAAAGAGAGGGAAGACAGAGGAGAAAAGAGTTGTCAAAGTAGGACAGGAATGAGCAGAGATCAAGTTTAAAAAAAAGGGCTATGGAGATGAGAGAAAGAGAGAGGCGAGTACCTACTGTGTACACTACAAAGTCATGCGTGGGTCTGGATGTGAGGGTGTAACAACTGGTACCAAAATCAATCAACGGATTTTATTGTTCAATAGGTTTCTTGTACGATGGATGTACGTCAATATTTCAGGAGAATGACACTGGCACAATCGAGAGAGAGAGAGAGATAGAGAACGAAAGAGGAAGAGCAAGAGCACCGGGGATCTGTCCAGAGGATGGAATGGAAGACATCCATTCCATCGGTTCCCTCCAGCTGGATGTGAGGTAATACCGTCCGCTGTATCGAGTAGGTACCGTACTGGAAGTGGTTCTAGGCTATGGGGATGTTTTTACGGAGTACATAGAGGCTGTCGTCATCGCATTGGTTAAATTCCTTCTCCCTTTCTTTTTTATTTTCTTTTTTTTTTTTTTTTTTTGGTTTCCCTTCCACAGATCTTGTTCTATGTAAAACGGATCGACATTGACTAAGTCTGCACTCCATCAAAAAATATGAGGAAGTTACAGAGTATAGAGATTGGATGGAAAGGCATACAAATACTCTTTTATCACGAAGAATTGTATTTTATCTTTTTCTTTCTATGAACATTACCTACAGTATCAGTAGGTATTATATTTGGTACCTACTTAATTCATGTTGGTATTCGAAACCATGGAGGGGAAGTATTGTCCGGCGTGTGTTTCAGTCGTATGGTATTGTACCCCGTACGGAGTGCCTGCTACCACCTACCAGGTCCCTTAGGGACTGGCGACACCATAGCTGCCAAGGGCGGCGAAAATGATCGTATCACCTATTAGACGGAGATATGTTGGTTAGACCGACGGAAAATCTCACCTGCACCAAATATAGTAACGCAATCCTGCATGTCTTAGTTGACTGCCGTACCCCCTTCCTAGTTCCTTGTCCTTTTTTGTTTACCTACCCCCCCCTGTTTCTTTTCTTCCACGAGGGGAGAAGACAACCTAAATGCCAAGCACTATTGAAATACCGTTGAACCCTAGTCAGCGGAAGTGAAAAGTTAGTATATTATTCCCCCAAGCGTAAGGACCCGAGTGGCCACTTCAACAGGGCCGATGTACAGCCACACTCCTATCGTGCCACAGATCCGGTCTCTCTTTTTATTAATTTAGTTTAGTTAGTTAATAGTTACGTTAGTCTTATACCCTTACCTAATATTCCAGTCTAGTCTAGTATGTAGTTATTTGTTTGCCTGATATACCAAGCAAGTCTATATAAACCCCCTACTCGGGTAGACCACCCTGGTGGCAATCGGGGAAATCTGACAGGGATTGGAATTGTATTGCGTCTAAGGTGCATAAGATTAGTACCTAAATTTGGCTGCATTCATAGATGCCATGAGCGTAAGAGGCATTCTCTGGCATGTTGACCATGATTTAGTATATGACATGGCTATGCTAGTGTCGATTGACTAAGTAGCTATCTAAATTAGTAGAGATGAGGGGTGAAAATCTGGGAAGAAGACCACCATTTCTAATTCATTGGGTAGTTTAGGGTGAGTTGTGGCTTTGTATGACAGAAAGCTTGCTTGGAGTCTTTAAGTTTACAGTCTAACAATCCATAGATACAATTCTGGTAAATATGGCCTGGCTGACTCCCACCGTTTCTCTCTGCTTGCCGCAGCAAGCGATCAGTTCCCATACATCTAGGGTATGAACAACGTGTAGTTGCCCAATAGGAACTTGATGCCGTTTCACAGACAATCGAACTGCGGAGCGCCCGGGAAAGACAAATCGGATCTGACACGCACCCTGACAGCGATCATTGCTCTGAAGGGTTCTCTCATGCAGACATGACCTCAGCGGCGGGTTAGCTATGGTCGAATCAATCCACTTTTTTTTGTGTTTTATTTTTAATTTTTAATTTTTCTGAGATCGTCGGATCCACTCACTCGCTTCATATAAAAACTATGCTTCACAGCAGTCTTGATGAAACAGTTACCAGTTTCTGGATATATCTGAGATTTTCATTTGGCCCCCCCACTTTCCCCCAAGAGCACCAAGTGAATCCACGAAACTTCTGAGAAAGGCACTGACAATTCATCTTCTGACGCAATTCCGAGCTAATCTGACTACTCCAGTATGAGGATCGTAGATCTCCCATACATTCTCTTCAGACCCACCCTAAGGCCCTTCTCGGTGGCGGCAAATGCCTGATCCGATCTATATCATGCTAGCTCGTATACTTTGAGTATTATTGTTGATATTTTAGCTCAGGGAGGTCTCTAGTCCCTGCCAAGCCTGCCCTTTCGAGAGCTGTTCGGGCAGCGTATTTAATGCTATCCAGTTGGATAAAGTCGTATTGACAGCTCATTATTTCTGAGGCAAAAAGGCACATCTCTAGTATTCCCATTTAGATTTGGCTTTTGCATATTTAGATCTATATCCATATTCCCATCATGATGTTACAGCTCTGGCTTCAACTAGAAGGAACTGATTATTAGACTCCATTACGCATACAATTAATGACAGAAGCAAAACAAAAGTCTCCGGTAGTTTATATTCACAAATGATTAATACGCCTATGTGGTAATCGACAAGTTCACTGTGTGCACAGGTAGGAAGACAGCCTGGTTCCGTTGACTACGAGTCCTCGGTTGAGCCTTGCTCTTCGAAGTACAAAATGCCTTTGTTTTCAAGGACTAATTAAAGAAATGCCTGGTAAGTCTCTTGTTTCTTTCACTATCAAGTAAAGGGGGAGATACCCCAGAAAGTGTAGCAAAGGACTGGGTATATTCATTGTTTGATATTCACTGCTTCACTCTCCCACGCATCCTTATCTCCCCTTCGACCCAGTCATTATCTCTTTCTCTTTCATCCTCCTATTGTTGTGTTGATTTGTTTTCACACTAGGTTACCTCCTTTTCATAACATGATCACAGACTGAATCCCCCTGGGGAGGGCTTATTCCCACGACCAAACTCTCAATAGAGACTAATTTTCCCTTGAACTTCCTTCTTTCTTTGTTTACTTTCAATATCCATTGTCTCTTTTTCTTGCATAGTTCTTTCCGCTGTTTCCCTTGTATTAGCCTAACAAACAAAGCCCGTCGAAGCCTGGACCCAAGGAGATCTATTGGGAAAAGTGCTTAAATTGAGCTTTCAAGATGAACGTGTTCAGTTTCTCTCCTTCCATTCTCTCGGAAAACCCTCAAGAGGAGAAGACTGTTGGTCCTCTTAACATTCCATTTGATGAGCATTGCGATTCCTACGCGTTGGCGGACGAGAAGTCTAAGGAGATTTTGGAAGCCGAGAACAAGAAGGTTGACGAGCTGATGAACAGGTTCACTAGAGGGTTTGACCCAGGCGCTTTCATTGCAGAAGTCATGGCTTGGATTCCCGAGTTGTCCAAAAATCTGTTCCCAAGCTCCTATAGTCATCTATTCGTCCTACTGCTTGAGACTCACGGGAACATGGAGGCGGTCCAGATTAATCTTGAAAAGTGGCTCCAAAAGCGTTACCAGAGCATGCTGGTTTCTCTCCCCGCCAATAGCAACATGACGGATCAGTGGTTCTTTCTGTCCGAACTCGAGATGCTGAGAAAGTTGCTGGCGCCTCTGCGTGGGGAGGATGCTAAACCCATCATCTGGATGAATAGCCGACGTGTATATGGAGCGAAGGTCTGTCAGCAGCTCGAAGCATCCGCGAGGGTCATTGAAGAGTTTAAACGAGACGTTGTGAAGGAGCTTAAGAAAGACACCGAAGACAGTAAGTCATCTCACCCCTTTGTTCCTCGACTCTAAGTCTCCGACTCAGATCATGCTAATCAGTACGAAGGAACCTGCTACAGCTCACTCCCCGTTTCGACGGAGCGCAGCTCACTGATGAGCATGAAACAGCTGCGAATTGATGCATGCAGGGCGACACTCAACTGGGATGGGTTTAATCAATCGGATATCGAACTCACATCATTCTATCATTTCTACAAGGACTATATTATCAAGACCGAGCCCGCGAAAGCCCGTGCATCCGGTTGGCTTCCACCTCTTACCACTGAAGTGCCTCACTCATCCGCTGAAAAGGCTAAAAAGGGTGACTTGGTAGTTTGGCCATCGCACGGATGCAAGGAAGACGTGCTGGACCTGCTGCTTAAGACTGCACTGTGGCTCAGCGTAGCAAGAGGGCTGGCTCCCGTCCATCTTTTCTGCGATGTCGCCAGACTCTTTACCATCCATAAACCCTCCAAGACGGCTGGAGATACGTACGTCTCCTTCCTGCGACATCTTACTCAGATGCGAATCTCGGATGGAGTCCAGTCCCATGTTTCCACCCCTGTTCCGTATCGCGATGTAAAGCTGGCCCGTCTAAACCCGGATTACTTCGACGATGTGTGGAAAACAAATCGCACCTTGACAGCTGGGCTCACCGAGCGTCTGTCTCTCTTGGAGAAAAAGACTGCTACGGACTTTAAAATGTCAGCGCCTCCTACCTCTCGTTCCCTTCGCAAAGAGAAGAGAACTCTAAAGGAGACGCGCGGAGGTGCGGCTGTAACCTGGCCTACGGCTATCCCTACTCATGACGAGCAGGAAGTTGGGGTTGAAGACAGGGTACATGATTTCAATCGTTCATTTCCCTTTACCTTCCTTTTGTTACTCTCGGAAAAGGAACTGTACTGATTATTCATTTCGTCTATGACAGACCGATCAAGCGGTGTCATACCCGGTGGATACTAGCCCCAGAACCGCTAAAACCCCCCAGGAAAAGGAGCGTCTTTTGAGAAGCACTGAGTTTGATATAGGTCTTAATCAGAACTTACCCAGCAAGAATATTTAGGGTCTACATGATATTTCGAAACGTTAATTTCCCGACGTCAAATGAGAACTATTTCGATCATCAGTCATTTCTCTCCACCACCACGACCACCGAAAGACATGACATAAGAAAGATAGAAAAAAAGTTGAAGATATCGATCGGAAAGAGATTGAAATTTCAGCCTTGGAAAAGAAATCCAGCGAATACAGCTTAGTAGCTTTGAAAAGCATCTACTTCAGTCTCGATAATTTCTTTGGGTTGCTATGGTATGGTTCTTTTCTATCATCCCAGGAATCTTGACATATCTCTTTTTCGGAATCGTGATATCTTAGGATACAAACCTGTCTAGTAGACGTGATAGTCAATCAGGAACAACTGTCACTAGCAAGATGGCTTGAGGTTGTTGAAAGAAGGTAGGATCTTAATACATACCTAGGTCTCTGGAAGAGAAAGAATCAATAATACTACTTAGCTATTTTTCCTACCCCCAAATCAAAGCAGGCTGGTTTGCTTCTTTGTGAATGCATGATTGCTCTTTTTTCTTTTCTTTTCTTTTTTTGTTTTCCATTCATTATCACCTTCCCTGTTCTGCTATTTCAACGTTACGCGGAGAAGATTCTACAACTAATGACTTTCCTACCAAGTTATACTATTATTACTAGTGCGTGTCTCTAGACACCTAACCTATTGTGACTCCTTCACAGGGTAGAGGAAGTCCCTGAATCTGTTGCTATTTTGGGAATCTAGCTCTTGTGTGAATGCTAACTCTTCATAACAGGATGTTACATTTGTTTGTTGACAGCTAGATTAACAGTAGTACGTTGTATACTATTTGTGGGATCATTGGGGAATGATATTGGGCTGATAGATAGGCCCATGCGTTGTGTTTACCTGGGATTTTAGCCAGCATTACTGTAAGAAAGGGTTGCTACGGATACTAAGGAGACTTATACATTTGATTCACTGGCTATATGCGCTCTAGGTATGTGTGGAAAGTTCAGGGATATTTTATAGATAAATATTAGGAGTAATAGATAGTTTGAGCTTTCCAAGATTATTTCTTTCTACCCTATGCATATACTATCAACTGTATGAACCCGAAATTGAGCTTGCTATGCACCCATCATATTATAAGCCAACGAAGGATCAACCATCGCCATATCATCGGAACTGGGTATCTTGGAATCAAGGTCTTGCATCATTATGTCAGAGCTATAGTCTGGTTTCTCGGCCAGTTCTGTCGTGTTGAAGCCTGCGTATGAATTGGCAGCATTCATAGGCAGGGTCCCGATATCCGGGATCTCTTCTAGGGCGTACGGCTCGTAAGGCGAAGGGTCATCATGGTCAAACTCAAGTCCATAAATCCCAGGCATGCTATCGGGGATGAATTCGTCCTTATCGGCAAGTAATGCCCGCTGCATGAACATGTCTCTGATCTCATCTTCCGAATACCCATGTTTACTTCCCATGTGCACCCAGAGATCGTAGTCGCGGTGGAAGCGATGTGGACAGGTCTCCACAAAACAGGCAATACGACGACCTGACTCTTCGGCATATCCCTCGCCTGTGAGTGCGGCCAGCGCCGACAGGCCAGAAGGTGTGGATTGGGTATTTTGTCGTCCCTTAGTCAGGCCCAAACGTTGTCGACGCTCCGCTTTGGCGTTCTGGAATCCGAGATGTGCTGTGCGAATATGCTCCTCTAGAGCTAGTTTGCTGCCGTACCGTTTCCCACAGCCGTCGCCGTTCCACCCAGTTACCTTTTTCGACGCCGACAGGTCGGTCTCGCCACAAACGAACCGCTTCTCGCCTTCGTGCACCGTTCGGACATGAACCGTTAGGTTTCCCTTTTTGGTGAAACTACGGTCACATCCAGGAACCGCACAGGGGAATATTTTGCGGTCCTCAAGGCTTACATCGCCGTGAGCTACTTCAAGATGGCGGCGAAGTTCGCGAGACGTGGAACAGGTGATAGAACAATTGGGGCATTGCGGTGGGTGTGCAGATCTGATATGAGCCTGTAGAAGAGCGTAAGTGGGAAATGCTACCGTCAGCGAGTTAGTTGACGGGTGAACGTTCGAGGCGGACATCGGATCTGCTTGCTCGGCATGCTGGGAGCACTCGGCACAAGTAAACCGTTTTTCGGTGTGAACTCTACTCTCGTGAGCGCGGAGATGGCCCGCGGTGTCGAATGCCATTGGACACTTCCGACCGGTGTGCGGATCGGAATGTTGGCACTGGAAAGGCTTTTGCTTCAAGTGGACAGTCATGATATGCTTTTGAAGAGTCGAGTGTTTTCGGAAGGTTTCATTGCAAGGTGGATGTTCCGTGCAACGATACTTGTCTCTTCCATCGTGAGCAGCCAAGTGTCGACGCAGTCGGGAACCAGTCACGAAACTCTTCCCACAGTCGGGTCGATCACAAACATACTCTCGGATTCCGGTGTGGGCACTTTTAACATGGTGATTCAAATGGGAGGCTCGCAAAAAGGACTTGTCGCAATCGTCATGGGTACACTTAAATAACCTTTCATTGTTGTGTGAACGTAGGTGCTCCTGGAGTCGTGCTGGACGGTTGAACGCTTTGGAGCAATCGTCAAAGGGGCAGCGGTGAGTTTTCAGCTCGGATGGATACTTGGCTGAGGTTGTCGAGAACGGAGTTGCTGGGGTATCATGGAGGGTAACAGTGGTTACGACACTTTCATCCGATGAAGCGTAATCGATATCTGAATGATTTTCTTCGTATATTGGATCTAACAATGTCAATATGAGGTGAATTTCAATTGCCTTAGGTCGAGTGCCATGCGCGTACCACTGTCATGCAACGCCTCCTGCTTAAGGGCCTTTTTCGGCGGTGGACAGCCTTTGGAGGCCTTTCTTTTCTGGCCCATGATTCAACCACAATTCAACCACACCTCAAATTGGCGACCTGACAGCTTTCTAAACGACGAAAGAAAAATCGCTGATGGTGAAATAGTCCCAATTTTGCCGAAAGCAAGGTCGAAAGCGGTGAAGGAGGTTTCCCAAAGGGGATTAGCGGAAGCCAGGACCAAGGAACTTTTTCCGCCGCCTTTTGATCGCGACATCGAATTCTTCACCCAGAAAGCCCGTCGCAACGTCGATATTTTCGCTCAAACCGCCTGGGACGCGGTCGACATTCCATTCGCTTGTGTGGTTACAGAGGCATCTGCTCTATTTTTTTCCTTTGTCTATTTGGGTTGCTTCTGAACTGTCGCCATGTCTGATTACGGTGATCACGACGCTGAAGAGACGTAAGAGACCATTTCTCCACAGTGACCCTCGGTCATTGCAATGAAGAAAGAGAATTGGGCCCCTTCAGCTCTTTCGGGACTATAGTTCTGTTTTAGAAGTGATATTTTGTTCTTTCTGACTCGACATTTCTCTAGTTATGACTACGAGCCTGCGGAGCAAGAATATGACGATATCGAGCCCGAGGATTTCTTAAACCCCGATGATATCGATGGTGCAGATGGGCCGGCCGATGCGTATGGCGAAGATTCCTATGCACCTGCGGCCAATGGCGACCATGTCGTCGTTTCAGGTGACCCCAATGCCGGTTACTCAGGCAAGGTGATGGAGCAGACGCGAGAAAAGAAAGTGCCCAACGACCAACGCACGACAACTCCCTATATGACCAAATACGAAAGGGCACGAGTTTTGGGCACCAGAGCCTTGCAGATTAGGTTTGTTGGAGAATGAACGTCCAATATACATAGGGAGCCTTTGTTTTTAATTGACATTGCTACCAGCATGAATGCCCCGGTGCTTGTCGACCTCGAGGGTGAAACGGACCCCTTGCAAATTGCCATCAAGGAGTTGAACCAGAAGAAGATTCCTCTGATTGTGAGGCGATATTTGCCTGATGGATGGTAAGCGTCCTCATCGATGCGGCACCCATTTCTAGAAGGACCCGATCTAACTGTCATGTTTACCTTGTCTAGGTACGAGGATTGGACTTGTGAAGAGTTGCTTTAAAAATCCGGAATGGGAGAAGAGGATGTATATTGAACTTTGGGCCCTTTTTGCTCTTTTTACATTTTTATCCTTCTTATACAGCATAGCGTGTGGAGTTTGGGAGTAGATAAACCGACCATAATGGCTTTATCGGCCGCTTGGGTCACAAGTAAGGGAGAAAACCAAAAACCTACAACATAGCGCAGGGCAGGCTTCTAGAACAAAAATGAAGAAAAAAAAGTTTGATGTTTGACTCTTACTGAATCGAATAGCCACTTGAGATCGTCAGATGAGCTTTAAAGTAACCATACTTGTATCTATTCACAGTCTCTAGTCTAGGTCATCGAGGATATCAACAACCCGTGTCGTGGAGGAATAAATCTAGAAGCAGGAGAATGAGAACAATCAGATAGGTCTCTTCGATGTGTCCACTTCTAGACAATCTTAGTACCGGATGAAATGTTTCCACATCCAACACTGGGTTTACCAGAGAGCAGATGGTAGTTTGAAAAGAGAGTACTCTCTAAGTCGACATAGGATGGATTACATCAGCTGATCAGACACCTGACATGGACTGATGATCTATCTACTGGTCATCCTGCTACTTCACTTAGTTAACTAACTAGTCTGGACTGCTTAGATATCACCCCTTTCGCTGCAAGGACTAAATTCCGTTGTGGATACCAGTCTTCTTGGTCCCAAAGAAATATGTGTCAAATTCCAGTCCTGATCCAATCCCGTCCAGGAAACATTAATAATCGCAGCCAGCTTTTCCCCGCTGGATAAATCGGCACGTTGATGTTACGAGTCAACTCAATCTGACTGTCCCCTGGAACCTGGTACAGACGTTATGCAGTCTCCAGCGTCCATAAGGCGCATTTATGAGGATCAGGAAGAAAAGAAGAAAAATAAGCATAAACAAAGCGTTCACAAACCTCACCTTTCGTGCCAATCTACCATCGCATCTGGACACTCTCGGCAATGTCTGGGCCTTCTCATTCCCGAACCCAAGGCTCTGTTCTCGGGAATCCACTCGGTTTTCGGTACCCCCATGTAGGGCCAATTCCGCGAATGAGTTTTCAGTCCCTTGTTCCCTTGACTCATTCGTTTCTGCTTATTGGCATGTGCGAAATCTGAGTCTCCTCGTGATTGTGGGCCTTTTGTCATGAAAAGTCCAACATACCGGCCGTTTATCTTCTGGTTTCTGGCTAAGAAGAGTGCTTCTTTTGCTCTTGGATCCACAACGAAAATAGCACTGTTAGCGTCACCTTTCTAATCTTTCTTGTGCTCTCTAGGATTCGGACCGCGGCTGTCTGGTGATCTGTTCTGGTTGTTCGATCTCATTGAGATCTGATGACGGTTTTATCAAGAATCATATAGATCTACACTAACCGTCCCGACTAAATTTTTTTTAGTTGCTCAACGGGATTTGATCCCACTACCAAAGTCTATCTGTTATCAAGGACTGTGGGAGGAGTTTCTCCACAAGAGCCATGTTTAATTACAAGGTCAATGGAACATGTGGATTGATTTTTTACCTACTGGAACCCACCCATCCAAAACAATACTAAAGGGAAAAAAAGAGAAAGAAAAAAAATTAAATTTTTAGTTAACACTGCTTGCTAAGCTATAAGGCACTAACTAGTTAGTGGGGAGGGGTCGGTTAGTTCTCCTGCCCGTTCCACTGGCGATCAGCTCAGACATGCGGTTGCATATATAAGACTCACGTCGCTTCCTCGCGTGTCTCCCTGAGTGCCGAATGCATTTTTTGGCCTTCGACCAGGTTCAAAATGGGAACTAGTCCTGACACAGACAAGGCTATTGCCGAGTCCCTAACCGCTATAGATAACAGCAGCCATGACAACGAACAACCAACTCACCCAACGTATCCTGCGGTCGACGAGAAATCTGTAGAAGAGCCGACATATGACGTCGGTCTTCATGCATGGTTGCAAGTGTTGGGCTCGTTTTTCCTGTTTTTCAACTCATGGTAGGCCCCCCCCCCCCCCCGGCCCTGTGCCTGTAAAGGCTGTCTTTTTTCTGGCAGCTGTACTATAGTACTAACCATAGGCTCGTGACTCCCTAGGGGTGTGATAAATACATGGGGTTCATTTCAGACATACTATACACAGAACACTTTGTCCGATGTGCCGTCATCCTCGATCGCCTGGATTGGATCACTGCAGTCGTTTCTTCTCATGCTCTTCGGGGTGGTGACAGGGCCCCTGTTCGACGCGGGTTACTTCCGGGGTCTGCTATCCTTCGGGACCTTCATGCTCCCCTTTGGGCTCATGATGACCAGTATCGCCTCCAAGTACTGGCACTTTATCCTCGCTCAAGGCATCTGCATTGGCTTAGCCAGCGGCTGTCTCTTCGTGCCATCAGTAGCCATCCTACCGCAGTACTTCAAACAGAAGAGAGGACTCGCCAACGGACTCGCTGCCTCGGGAAGTAGCATTGGTGGCGTCGTTTATCCGATCATGTTCAAGCAACTGATAAACAAAGTTGGATTTCCATGGGCGACCCGTGCGGTGGGATTCATGGCCTTCGGGACCTGCTGCATATCCTATTCCATCATGCGAATGCGGTTCCAGCCCAAGGAGAAGCGCAAGCTGATTCAGATCGCAGCGTATAAAGAGCCGGCCTTTGTGATGTTCGCCGTCGCCATGTTCTTGGGCTTCTTGGGATTCTACAACTTCTTGTTTTATGTGCAGTCCTTCGCTATCGATGCGGGGATTGTGGATTCGTCACTGGGCTTCTACCTTCTGTCCATGCTGAATGCCGGATCGACTATCGGACGGATATTGCCTAACTTCATCGCGGATCACACTGGCCCGTTAAACATGCTCACCCCCGCCGCTGTCTCTACCGGCATTCTCTCCTTTGCCTGGATTGGTGTCCACAATGTTCCCGGAATTATCGTTTTGGCGATCCTGTATGGCCTCTGCTCCGGAGGATTTGTATCGTTGCCGCCAGTCGTGATGGCCAGTCTGACGAAGGACATGCGTGATTTGGGCACTCGCTTGGGCATGATATTTACGACTACATCCATCGCGCTACTAATAGGGACCCCGATTGGAGGGGCGATTCTCAACAACACGAATTCGTATCTCGGAGTTCAGTTATTCACCGCTTGCTGTCTCATCTCCTCGTCCTCGATATTCGCCGCCTTGAGGATCTCCCGCACTGGGTTTTTATTACGTAGACGTGCCTGAGTCATCGCAGGAGCTTTCATTTTCTGCCAACATGTTTTTCTTTCTCACCGGGACAGTCCAAATCCCGTGAATTCTCAGATATCAGCAAAAGGGAAACGGCCATGGTACGGTCTACTGCTTATTCCAGTGCCAATCTGCGATTTCTGTGCGCCACATATATTCCAGGGGCAAGTCATGAGAGTTTGGAGTAACTCTGAACTACTGCAATATCTATTAAACCTCGATCAAGTGGACTCTGGGCTAACGGGAGGACGGGTTATCTTCGGGACGATACATTTGCATTATATCCGGTGTTGGGTTTTAAAAGATTGATTTGCATAGTTCTATAGAGCATAGGGATTTGCTTTTCACACAGCTGAATCTACATACCCATAGTTTAGATAGCGTGGAATTCATAATAAATCAACGAAATGGCTTATCATGCATTCAATATGGCGAGAAACGTTTTAATCTAATAATAATCTAGACCAGTAGCAGAAATATATCACACGATGCGTTCGTTATACACCTATTCACGTCTAAAAATCATCGAATGCATCGACCGACCTTGCCGTAACAACATAAAAAGAATAGAAGAAAGAACCCAGACACTCCCCAACACCAATAATGCTAGAACCCATTTTGAATGATCTGGAATGATCCATCCTTCCCTTCTATCCACACTACAGAACATCCTCCGGACTAACGGGGAAATCCTCCCCATTATCCCGCACATGTTGCAGTTTCTTATCCCGACTACATGGTTTGCGCATATCAAATGCGTCTTCGCCAGTATCTGAGACCCCCGTCGGATCATCGCTGTAGTAATTGACGACTCGACGGAATACAGAGTACCTATAAATTGTGAGCATCCTATTGGATGGAAATTTACAGAGAAAATAAAAACGAAGAGGCTGGGTGGGGGAAGAGGAGAGACATACCCCATGCCTTTATACATATCCACAGCTACTTTATTCCCCGCCCTAACGTAGAGGTCGACAAACCAAGCATCATTAATATCCGAGCCGCGCTCCAATCGCTCAGTGAGACGACGCGCATGGCCGAGCCGGCGCGATGCAGGCGCAACGGTCAAAACGGTGATATGTCCGTGCCAGGGGGTGTAGTGTTCGGAGTGGCGCATGGAGGGGTGCTGTTCCTCTAGCTTTCCCATGACTGTGATGCCGTGTCAGGATCCAGTTCCTCAACTGTGTACATGTATGACCTGTCTCCGTTCCGGTGGACACGTACTGTAGCCAACAATGCCTTCCTGACGATCTTGAACGCTACTGAAGAGCGACGGCCACCGCATGAGGTAGTTGAGATAGAAGCCCAGGTCATAGTTTTCCGTCAGCGGGTCGAGGTTGGTGAGATTGAGGGAGAGTAGGTCCATTGGGGACATGCGCCGAATGGAGCTCATTGTGGAAGAGAGAGACAACAATGGGAGGAGGAGAGGAAATGGCGCAAGACGAAGCTGAATGAATGAAGTTAAAGTGTCATCGGCGCGTGGGGAAAATCACAAAAGACCTAATTGGGGTTTCGGCGGTCACGGGAATCTGCCGCTCTCGGCCCTGCTTTACTCCTTTCTTTTCCTTATTCAATCATTCCAATCAATCTATCTATCTATAGACTCCTTCCTTTGTTCCTTCGATTCCGTCAGCGTTGAATGGTCTTTATCTGGTTCATTTTATGTCGCTGCGTCCTGGTGATGCGATCGACCACTGTTGACGTTTGCTGTCCCTTACTGCTGCTGTTCCAACAACACATTCCCATCGGAGCTTACCTTGCAGGCGCAGTTCGCGGGTTCATTTAAGGAGTGTTCAACGACTTGTCTTCGAACATTACATTCTCTTTCTTTCTTTTCTGGGACCTTCTCATATCCTGACGTGATCGACCATTCGACTTCTCTTCCATCATGCCCTCCATTCCCCCATCTCCCCTGAGATTGTCTCACCGCCATACTCTAAGTCAGGCATCGAGCGTTGACTTCGACCCCATCTCTCCAGGCACTCATGCTCCAAACTATTTCTCTCACAGTCCTACCCGGTCGCCTCGGTCTCCTCGCTCGTCCGCCCCTCCTTCTCCGGGAGTACCCCGCCAGCATCATCCCCATAGTGTAAACGGGTCCAGCCGGATGTCGGTCGACTTTGGAGGTACGGCAGACATGGGAGGGGGATTGGGGAACCTAGCAGATGAACTCGCAGACGCCTGGGAAGACGAAGAAGGCGGTTACGGATACGCCTCGGGACAGGATATGGAGAATGTCCCGGTGAATCCACACCGTCAAGATCGCAGCGACTCCGAGGATGAGTACCACACGGGCACCAGGACTCCCTCGTCAAGCTATTCTTCCGGACAGGCTTCTTTGCAACCTCCGAAGCCCAAGCTACGGAACGGCACTCATCGACACCGACGATACGAGTCTCACTATGACGGGTCCGACTACGGGAATGAATCGGATCTGGAGGAAGCGGATATATCGCCCAGTCTGGAGAGTCAGATGGCGGAGATCGAGAGCTTGGCTCGACGCGGTATTGAGAACAACGGGAGCGAGAATGACCATGTTATCCAACGTGCGGTCGAAGCGTTGCGAGATCTGGGTGGCCAAAGTGGTATTGAAAATAATGCAATGAGGTATGCTCTTTTCGCCTCGGACTGTCCAGTATTCCCTCAGCTAACTTTTGCAGGTTGATCACGGCACACTCATCCATCACATCACACCTGACACACCAGACTCGAGCTCTTCAAACCCTCACTCATCCCCTTCTTTTCTCTTCCTACCCGATCCTTTCTCCGGATGCCATAGATTCTCTTGTTCCACTCATCGATGAAGATCTCTTGCCCAACCTTCCCTATCCATTCCCTGGCCAGTCTCGCCAAGCTTCAAGTCCCGACACTTCACAACCTCACTCCCTCGACCCTCTTGCATCCCTCCAGACACTTATCTCCCAAACAGCCGATATTACGCTCTCTTTACGCGGACTGAACGACACGCTGTACGAATCGCGCCAGCTAACATCCACCGCCTCCCGACGACTCCGATCCGCACGAGAACTAGTCGCCGAACTACGTCGTGAGGAGGAATGCCGCGAGGAGGGCACCCGGTGGATCGAAAAAGGCAACTGGGATCGCCGATTAAAGGACCGGGAAGCCGGCCGTGAGTGCGGCGACGTCGTCAGCGGATTCGAGGCTGTCTGCGGCGAGTGGAAAGAAAGACTCTTTGGCACCGCCGGCGCCGAAGTAGCCGCTGCTTGATTGTGACGATTTCACCTTTCATTTTTTCTTTCCCCTCTCTTTCTGTCTATTTCTTTCCACTGGACACTCCTCACGACATAAATACCGCTTCTACATGATCTCTCGGTTGATTCAATCCAAGGTCGCGAACAGAAACACTTCGTCGATTTTCCTTTCAACAGTATATACATAGATTTGTTTCCATCTACGTTATAAATGATGTATTCTGAATCCTCGATTACCTATCTATCTATCTACCACTTACCTTTCAGGAATTCTATCTGAATATGCGATCTCCATACCCGTACACATACACATACATCATATGTTGTCGATTACCGGATTTTGTCACTAGACCGACAAGTCATCTATCATGTCATTGCTGTTTTTATTTCCTTCCATTTGTCTATTTTCAGTCTATTTCTACGATTTCTCAATATATGTCTCTTCGCAGGTCGAGATGAACTCTCTCTCTTCCTGCTATATTTTAATCTGTGAAGGCGGTCACTTCTTTGCTGTAAATGTCATCTTTGCAAGTGGAAAAACATACATGAAAAGCTGCTTAGAATAAAGGTTTATTAACATGTTCACCAGTCAGGGAAAGACAAGGAAACTGATGGCATTCTACATATATCTATCATATTTCAAACGAAGTAGTCATTCAGTAATTCCAAAGAAAATCAAATTAAACGAAAAGAAAGCAAGCTAGCTAACCTCATTTAATGAAAAATAAAATGCATTTATCAAACATGAGATGGCCCGGAGAACGGAACTACCAGGGGACAGACATTCAGTCCCGTAATATCTCCGGATTCATAAAGAAAAATAAAGTTGGTAAAACTAGGACTCAAAGAAATACCGTAGCATTCAGAAGAGGATGTGACCGTGGAGAAAAGAGACATTAACAAAGAAAAGTCCACACATCCCTTCCCGACATTCCAAGAAACTTTTCTATTGTAAAAACACATTATTTACTGGCTCTGCTGCTGCTTCCACCGAGGTACCCACTTCTGGGCACCACCCTTGGATTCTTCGGGTTTGTTGGAGCCAGAGACGGGCGTTTGCGTCTGGGACGGGGGATGGGAGGAACCGGACTCGCGAGAAGGACGGGACCAGCGATCCGAGGCACCGTTCGATGGAGCAGGAGTAGGAGCAGCTGGGGTAGCGCTGGAGCCGGCACGGAGATGGGGTGGCACATATCCACCGGTCCTCCGGGGAGCTGGAGCGGGAGCTGACTCTTCCTTAGCGGGCTCTTTAGCGGCTTCCTTGGCGGTTTCCTTGGGAGTATCAGAAGGAGCCGACTCCTTGGCAGCCAAGCGCTCTCTCCAGCTAGGTCCACCACCACCAGTACGAGGAGCAAGGTTAAGACGAGGAGCAACACGTTCAGTGGGAGCTGTGGAGGAAGGTTCGGGTACAGCAGTGCCGGCTTTCCTGGCTGCAAGTCGGGCTTCGGCCTCTTCTTCACGCTGCTTCTGTTTAGCAGCAATCTCATCCAGTTTCCTGCAGATACCGGTTAGCAACAGTGCATAGATATAGTAGAGCTAAAGGTCTTTGATCGGCAAACTGACTTTCTCTCTTCTTCGCGCTTGACCTTCTCCTCGGCCAGAACTCGCCGGCGCTCTTCTTCCTTGGCAATTCTCTCTTCCTCCTCGCGCTTGGCGCGTTCCTCTTCCTCCTTCCTGTGGCGCTCAGCCTCCTCGCGCTCGGCCTTCTCACGACGGCGTCGATCCTGTACTTCCTTAACACGTTGCTTCTTCTTGGCCTCGAAGTCTCTTTCAGCGGCCTTGCGGCGCTTCTCAAACTCCTCGTGACGCTTCTCCGAAACCTCCTTGCGGAAGCTGTTGAAATGGGGCACCAGGCGGCTCAGACGATGCTTCAATGCAACAGCCTCCTTATGCTTTCTCACAGCCTCCTGGAGAGTCTCGGCTTGCTGGGCCTCATGATGCTCCAAGTCACGCTTCTTCTGCTCCTCATAGTCCTCCGGAATGTGCTTCAGCTCCTCGCGACGGAAAGCACGCTCCAGGTGGTCAATACGCTTGGCAGTAGTACGAATACGATCGTTGAGCTCGTTCTTCTCCTTTTCAAGCTGGGCAAGCTTAATCGCACGGAGACGGTTGGCATCCATATCCTGTAGATCGATCTCGCTGATGTCAATGCCCTTCACCCCGCTCTTCAACTCTTCCAGCTGCTTCTTCAGCTCCTGGTGACGGATGCGGTCCTGCTCATCCTTGATACGCTTCTTCTCTCGCTCTCGATGCTCATCCAGCAGACGCTGCTTCTCCGCTTCCTGCAGCTGCTGAGTGCGGATGCGCTTGCGAGTCTCCTCCTCACGCTGCTTGCGCTGTAGAGCATCGGTGGCCGCCTCCTTCTTCTTCTCGATGATGGCGCGGCGAGCCAGGGTATCCTCGTGCTCCTTGACAACACCCGCCAGAGCGCGAGCCTGGGCAGACTGCTTGGCCTGAACGCGGACCTCATTGTAGGACGCATCGACATACATGCACGTGACGTGGAGGGTCTTTGCCAAGCGGGTGAGCTGCAGGCGAGCGATTTCGGCCGGAGTGTTCTGCAGACGCTGCACAGAGCCCACCTCGCTCTCAGCGGATCCAGCAGCGCTTCCAGAGTGCAGAGCCTTGGCGGACGAGAAGACGTCGGTGTCGAAGGTGAGGACACCAGAGATGTGGTCCACGCGAATCGCAAGGTCGCCCTTCTTGCAGCCATTCATGATAAACTTCTCGATCATGGCGGGGGTGATCTGGAAGGGATCGGGGAACTGGGCAAGCTCGTACACGAACTTGAGCTCGACAGACTCGTAGACCTGCGACAGCTGCTGGAAGAGGCGGGTGAGGATCACCTGCTGCAACGGTCCGACGTACTTCTCCATCTCCGGATCGGCGCCAATCTGCTTCAGGATGGGGGTGATCTTCTTGCAGATCGACAGGGGGTGGAAGTCGACCTCCAAGATGTTGTAAAGATCACGAATCTCTGGACGGGCGCGCTTGAGCAGGCCCTTGTTGAGAGCATCCTTGAAAAGAACCGCACGGGTTGGGGGCTGCGCCATGCCCAGCAAGTTGGTCAGGCGGGTGTTCTTGTTCTTGCGAACCTCATCCACATCGACCAGAGCACCGCGGGACCGAGAGGTGCTGATCACTGGAATGGCGAGGGCAGACAGGAGGACAAAGGAGGCGGCCTTGGTCATGTCGGCGTCGGAAACGGAGGGGTTTTCCTTCTTGGTGCCTTGACCAGCCGCAAGGGTAGCGGCAGACTGGCGGAGGAGGTTGTAGTAGCGGCTCCAAGCAGCAGCGTGGAAGAGATAGTTCTCGCTGACGAGGAAAATCCTGGCCAGCTTCTCGTAGTAGTTGGCCATCATCACATTCTTGGCCGGGCGTTTGCTGAGACTCAAGAGGGTGTGGATGTCCTCAATGCTGCGGAACGCCTCCTGCCAGAGTTCCAGCTCGACGGCAACATTCAACTGTTGGAAGCGGGTGTCCAGGTGACGCTGAAGGGTATCCGGGTCGCTTAGGTTGATCGCGTGCATCTGAGCGGAATACTTGGCGGCATTCTGAACGTGATTCCGTAGGAGTTCACAGAGTCTGCGGAACTCGGTCTTGCGAGTGTACTTAAGGCAGAACTGGAAGGCCTGCAGAGCGGTGGACTGATACATGACCTCAAGACGGGCGTTGTTCTTCAAAATCTCCAATACGGTACGGTAGGTCTCCCAGAGGAACTTCAGCCATGGAGTCACAACAGCACGGTCGGTGCGATCGCGGGACTGTTCCCCCGAGACGGTGGCCAAGAGGATAGTTTCAGGCGTCTCGATAGCTTCCAAATCGTCCACGTTGGACGAGGGGGCTGCGGAATCCAGGGAAGACTGGATCTCGTCGGCCTTGGCCTGAGCCTCGGTGACCTTCTTTTCAGCCAATTCGATGAACTGCTTGAGAACAGTCTGTAACAAGGGGAAATGTATTAGCCATATTCCTCCAGTATTTCCGCACATATACACACACACAGGTGTGACTTTAACGAGGGGATGGTCGGCCTACCTCGATGGTCCCCACGTTGGTGTTCTGGGCGATATTCTTGTACTGGTACAGTCCATCTTTCGCAGCTTTGCCCTTGCGGAGGTCAACACACAGCTCCACGAAAAGGAGCATCACAGGCTCGAGCGAGGCGATGGGGCTGCTGCGTGTCCTCTTGGAGGTGACATGTTCGTGGAGGACATTCAGGGCAGCCGGAGACTGGCCCACGGCGATAAGTTCCTGGGCCCGCTGGAGAGAATATATGTTAGATCGTCCCTTTTTTTTATGTCTTTTTGCCCGGTGTGGCGATGACCACGACCACAGGACTCACCTTCAGGACATTTTCCGGTTTGATATGAGGCGGAGGCGGCATGGTGGGCGATGGAACGAGACTTTCGTCTGGGATAAGTGACTAGATGTCGAAGTAGGGCACAAAGACGACACACAGACGCACAGGGTGAGAGGTGGCACAACGACGTGGGCGGGCAGCAAAGAGTCGAAGGCTTCGCGTGCCTGGATTGAAAAGACGCTGCCACGCTACGGTCGGTGAGATGGCCCAGATGGGGAGGATCTTTGGGGTAGCAGGCAGGCTGGCGTTCAGGTTGTGCGAGAATCTCAAAAAAAACACCCCGATGGGGTTCCCACTTCGGGTTAAGCGATGTGATCACGTGGTATACCCTCGCCTTTTCTTTGTGGCCGCGACGGTGCCACAAAAATAATATACAATATGGACGCAGTATACGAACTATCTTCCAGTGATAGTGAATGCGCACCGTTTCGTCTCCATAGCTGATACCCTCGACAACACTGGGGATGCTGTTGTCGCTGTCGACTCGACTCTGATCTCCGCGTTCCGACTGGCCGGTCACGTGTTACATCACTGCTGAGTCAGCTAATATGACGACGTTACCTGACCAAACGTGCCAAGAAGCGCCAGACGGCAGCAGAGACCAGTAGTACTCCGTATTACCACGTATGATAGGTCGGGATGGCTACACGTGAGACGCATTGTATGGGTATTGAGTCCACCTAATTAACTAAAGCATCATTCAGCTCACTCTGTATTTCTATTAATCAGTCGATTGGGTCAGTCGGAGTGGTGACTGCTCGTCTTTAGATTCATTCCTTCCAATTGCCTCCAAGTTCTCCATCAATTCCATCCGAGTCTGTGCCAGAGCCTCTCTCTCTCATCCTCAGGGGAACGAACGAAGATCGCAGCTATTTTATTTTATTTTCTTTGGCGGCCGGAATTAATTAAAACGATTCCCACTCACAGACCACTCCCTAAACTTCTTCTCCTCTTTCGAACCGTTCACTCTCTTTCATTTCGTCTCGGGGGCCTTTTTTCCCCTTTCGTTTCCTATTTTCCCTCCTTTCCCTCTTCTTATTATTATTCCCATCCACTCGCTCCCTCTTACCTCCCAGTGATCCTTAAAAAAGGAAAAGAGAGAATCTCGTGAGAATTAATCACCTACAGTAGTTTCCCCTCCTTCTCCTCCTTTTCCGTCGCGCCCGCCTTCCCGTCCTTTTTTCCCCTTACCGACCGACTCCAACGCGCAACGGAGAGAGAGCTTTGCTTGTTGGACCTCTCCACCCGCCCACGCACACAGCCTTCACCAACCCACTGTACCGTCGTCGCATATACCACTCGACGTTACGTTAATTATTTAATTAATTAACCCGTCTGCCATTTTCATTTCTATTTTATTTTCGTGCTTCGATTTTCTTTGTCTCTTTTCCGGTCGTTAATTTCAACCATCCAGTCGACATGCCTGCCTACGAGCTCCGATCGGGGGGGGATGTGAAGAACAAGAAGCAGAGTGTGGCCGATCTCAAGTACCGACGATTGACCGAGCTCAATGCTCGTCTGAAGGAGGACCTGGATCGCCCTCGAGTGAAGGTGTCGGACGCCGCAGGGTCGTACGTTGCACCTAAATTAATGCGCCCTCGTTTTGTCCTCCCACGTGTACTGACCAGCCTCGTTTCCCAGCCTGATCGAATACTGCAACTCAACTCGCGATTTTATGGTGCCGTCTGTATGGGGTCCGGTATGCGATTCCCATCTCCTCTGCGCACTGTTCTTGGAAAGGAGACCGATCGCTAACCACGACACCAGATCACCAAGCACGATGACCCGTACGCTCCTCCCCAGCAAAAGGGCTGCTGCACTGTCATGTAATGGCTTCATTACATTCCACGTCTTTTGAATTCAGATAGACTGTCGGGTCGCAGTTCTTTCGCCGCATATTATATCCTCATCGCGATGACTTTTTAACCTTTCTACTACTTAATTTTCTAACTCTTTTTTATTTATTTTTTCTATTTTTCTTCTATATCGAAGATGAGAGGAGAAAAAAGGCTAAGGATCTGGGGTGTCTGAGGCTGAATACGGGCCCACCGAAGGAGCGTGCGCTGGACTTGCATAAACTTCGGATGTTAACAGGTGGACAGTCATATTGGAATTGTTTGATGGCATTTCTTTCCCTTTTTTATTTGGTTGAAAACTCGGAATCTGATCTCCAATTTTTGCTGTTTCCTCTCCATTTTCTTTTTTTTTTTTTTTCCCTAATTCTGATTCCTCAATATTTCCTTTGTGAACGGTGTGATATGAACAGGCTAGGTGGCTACAAAACCAACCAGGAAAAAAACCATTTTAAATAAAATCTCGAACGGACGGTGTATACCATATCTAGTGTTTCTTCAGCGGTTGAATAATTGCTCCTTAGTCCGCATTGAATCTCAATAGATTTGTCATGTACGAAGTACTTTCTACTAGTTAATAGCTCTGATCCGGAGAACAATAGGAATATGTATATAAACTGCTCAGCAGATTTTCTCTGCTTTGACAGGAGCGCACGTTCCACCTTGCATGGAAATTGCCACATGTACTCAGAGACACTGGTGGATGACTTGAAACGAGATGAAACTAATGTCCTGCCGCTGACATCATCAACCATTACTCTTAATTAACTACTACCTCCTCCTACAAAGCTTGAATTCTTCCAAATCATTATTCATTAATCTGTTCATATTCATACACAACCAAAAACAAAAACTCATTCCCAGAAATAACTAGAGAGAGAGAGAGAGAGAGAGAGAGATAATGACAGAACAACAAGAACAAGAGCAAGAATATGAACAACCAACCCAACATTCCCCGCCCATCGCGCATGCAACCACCGCAACCACCGAAGATGATCGTCCTCGCATCGCAATCAAGTACTGTACGCAGTGTAAATGGATGTTGAGAGCTGCTTATGTATGTTCTATTCTATCCTGTTATTTCTTTTCTTTATGCTCTTCGTTGTTTTCTGTGTCTGTTGATTGCTTTGTTTTCCTTGGTCCAGAATATGATTTTGTGACCTTTATACGTACATTCTATACCTACATTATACATATATTCTATATACAGAAAGAACTAACAAGCAAAGTTCGCCCAAGAACTCCTCTCTACCTTCTCTACTGATCTAAGCGAGGTCTCTCTGATCCCAAGCACAGGCGGAATCTTCACCGTGACTGTTTTCCGCGCAAGAAACGAGTCCACGGTATTGTGGGATCGGAAGACAAATGGGGGATTTCCTGGTACCTCTTTCTTTCCTTCGTTTTCTCCCGGGTTTATTTTTATTTTTTATACTGATGATTGCAGAGGTCAAGGTGCTCAAGTCATTGGTGAGGAATATGGTGGATCCGACGAGAGATTTGGGCCATACGGATCGGGCGTTAAGACAAGGATCGGATGGACAGAGACAGTTACAAACACAGGAAACTTCGGAATGTCAGGATTGTCGATAGTCAATCAACTGTCAATATATATCCATTCGCTTGACTATAGTCATGCTAGTATAGAAGAATACAATGCAAACTATATAAGAAGGGTGCCATGGACAAACCCCTCAGAACGCCAGATACACGCCTCGACTCTATACCTCCAAACCCAGAGCCAGTCCCCATTGCAGTAGCAAAGACGAGACATGAACCGTATGTATGCGCCAACTCCGTGCGTGGTTGCAGTCATTGAAAACCATCAGAAATCATCGGCCATCCCCGTCGACTGATCGAGTCAATTCTTCGGAGCCTGTCGAGATCTCCCGCTATTATTCGTGGACAGCATCGTCAATATCATAAACGGAGGATCCATTTAACTCGGCCCGTGCAGCTCATGTCGCGGGTGAATTCAAACGGCCTCCCTCCTTAAAAAAAGAAAGAAATAAAAGAATGCTTTTTGGCTGGCATGTTGGTGGGTTTGCCGAGCCTATGTCGTGAAAATCATGCAATTTCATCGTAATCCCAGCCCATCCATGAATGTTCACCATTCGTGAGCCCAGTGCCAAATGCTCTCATTGAATTCCCCATGGTTCCCAGTCGCAAACACCGTTTAAAAGAGCAAACGCATCAAAACAATACTGCGAGGGTAGGATGTCCCTCGTGAGAAGTAGAATGAAGGAACTTATGACCCTCATGATTCACCGCTCAGCTCATGCTGCGGTGAATGGTGATTTTTGCGTCTCCAAAAAGCCAACCGAAGACGACTGCGTCGTTTCGGGAGCTTATGCTGCGTCTGCTCGCCACCCGCCACCTCGTCCCAATGCGGACCTGGGCTCTTGTTCTTGACACTAGCACTCGTCGATGTCGAATGAGAGCTGCCAAGTCCATTCTCCAGTCGGGAGGGAGTGTTTTGTCTGTTGTTTGCGTCATTCCTCGGATGGGAAGTCGGGCTACCACCAATGTTGGGGGTCCCGTTCCAACTCTCGTTGACAACACTCGACGAACTGGGGCGTCTCTCACAGTCGTGGTCACCTCTGCTAGTACTATCCCGGGGAACACTGTTTTCATCGCCGCTATCCACGGTCAGAAAGCTGGTTGCATTGGTAGCGGGAGAGATTGGGGTCATCGTATTGCTGTAGTTGCTGAGACTATGCGTCCGAGTACAACTATTCCGCTGAGAATTCGAAGGACCAGATGTACGCCCTGACGAGCCGGTGTTGGCATGATGGCGGCGATATGGAGCGTTCCGCGAACTGCTGGGCCTTTCCCCGGCAACCTCGGCCAAACCTTCATGGGCACTGGGGTGATCTTTAACAGCAGGATCACTTGAAGAACTGTCCCCTTCATCTACAGCGTGGCTGTCAGTATGGCCATTGGAAGGTTCCGAGTTCGCGCCTTGCTCGTTAGGAGAGATCATGGGAAGGTCAGGTATAGTATTTGACGACTTGCGCGAGATTGATTCGGAAGGCAAGGGGCTCCCAGTAATATCCATCGCGGGACCAGGAGTATCCGGTGACACAGCAGGGCTAATGGCATTTTCGTTGAAACTGTGGAGCGATTCAGCCGTGGAGATCGACGAACGAACCGATCCGAAATAATCCCTGGTTGGCCTCTGAGTCTCAGGATCACTTCGCGGAACTGACGATCTAGCGGGAGTATCAGATCCTGGGGTTGCCAACGGCCCTCGAAGGCTTTTAAGACCCTTTACACTACCAGCCGGGCTCCGTGTGCGAGGAGAGAGCACATCATCAGAACCGAGTTCAAGTTCACCTCGCAAGGCCCGTTTCCTTTTCTCTAAATCGGCAAGGAGATGCCATTTGGACTGGTTTCCACGGATGTGTTCAACAGTGAAGCGCATACCGGGCAAGATGTCCGCCACACCCTCAAAGAGAGGAAGAGCAAAAATCGACATGAATCCAATTTGGCCCGTGGCAAGTTTATAAGTATTCCCAAGTTCCGGGGGACCGCCGAAAAGAGCCGTTTCCATCCCAACCTCCTTCTCCATCTCTCCCTGATTGGCGAATTCCTCTTGCAGGATTTTAGTCCACTTCTCTGCCACGTCCCACGGCCGCGCCACGTTACTGATATCGGCACACTTGATCAACAAACCACAGAGCAGCGTCTTGTACATTTCAAGATCCTGAGGCTTCCAGCCGTCCAAGGTTTTGCCGTTCTCGTAGAACTTTTCCTGCAACGATCCAAGCCTTTCCATGAATTTTTGATGAACACCCATATCGGTGGCCAGGATGGAGCTGATAAGGAGCTTGCGGAGCTGCTTGTCTTTGAATGCTGCGGGCCAGTAGCGGCGTAGAATCTGAGAGAAAGCGGCACAGTGAAAAGCTTCTAAAACCGAATTATCATTGTAGAGTTGAGCCAATGGTGCATTAAGTTTCACCAGAAAGAAATTATTCACGCCGGGATGGCCAACATCATGGCCGATGGCGGATATTAGCAAGGTTAGGGTATCGAAAGGAGTGATGAGCGATGCAAGTGGGGACATGGGCTCGAGGTCCTGGGAAAATGATCCGTAAGGTGGCAGAGCGCCAATGCGGAGTAGAAAACAGAAAACGGATTGCAGTACGTCGATGGCATGGCGAAAATTATGGTAAAGGACGAAGGAGTTGTAGGACGTGCGGCAGGCGAGTAAAAAGGTCACGAGCTCATCTGGAGTGTTGTTTCATGTCAGTAGGTTGCCATGGCTCTTTGGACGATATCAATAAAACCTACCAGGTGTGAGCTGCCAATGTTCCAGATTTGGCAGCGTGAAGGCATGCTGAATCATCTCAAAAGCAGCTTGTACGAGTTCATCATCAGAGAAGTCATGGCCATTGAACGTCCAGCTTCCCACTTTCTCTTTGATAAATTCCAAGCGTTCGGGGCGTACGTCCAATCCCCTGCCATCAAATCATAAGTTTTCTCGTCAAACAGTAATTGGAATGAGTATGCGTACCGATTCTGGAACTCTTCAATGAAGTCTTCCGGGTTGCATATACCCTTCATAAGCTTTGAGACCCTGCATTTAAAGAAAGGTTAAGAGTTAGAAATCGCTTAATTTAATTGTCTGACCGAAGCCGGACGTCCATCCTGGGAAATAAACCTACATGGCCTCCCTCAGATAAGCATATGGTTGCTCGTCATGGACGCCTACCCATGAGTGCTTCCGCAATTTCTTCCTAGACAAAAAGCGCGACTGTTCCTTGAGTCCAGATTTCCGAGCCCTATAAGCGTGGACCAGAAGACCCTGCACTCTGGCTCTGTCCAGCGGCGCCGCCAAAACGTCTACCGCGCCAGCATCCAAGCACCTAGAGATTTGGTGAGGCTCCGGGATCGAAATGTCAGAACACTGTGGGCCGGTAGGGGCACTGGTAGGAAATCCGTATGAAGAGCGCAGAATCGCAACCGGTACGATCAAACTCGGGGACTCTTGAACCTGGATATCGGCGGATAGCCCGGATAACAATTTAAGATCGTATGCGCCCTCTGACTGAGAGGAGAAAGTAAACCCGCGGTACAATGACGTCGGTGACGGAGGAGTCACTTCAGGCCACGACCCACGGCTGCTCTTCCGACGAGACAAACCGGAGTCTTCGCCACCAATGTCAATATCGAAGAAGGCAAAAATAGGCGTGCAACGGCTGGTGGCGCGCTCGCTAAGTTCAGCCAATTTTGACGCGAGAGAGGCTCCCGTTTGACAAAGGTAGACTGTACGGGAGAAATAGGTTAGCAATGAGGACCATGAGGGAGCCAGAGGACCGGCAATGCATACTCTGATTACAAACCCCCAACAAAAGATTCAAGTCTGTGCGAAGAGATTCGGTCTCGTCAGAGAGTAGGAAGGTGCTGGTAGCATCTGGTGATACATCGGATGGGGGCTGGTACACCCATCGCTCTGAACTAACACGACGATCAATGTAAACGGCTGTGCATTCAATGCGATCCATGTTGTTGGATGGATTCGGTGCACTGAGAGCCGGAGGGGGTTCCAAGCCAAACCTCTGAACAACGCAACTATGAGAAACGCGAGAAAGAGCAGATGACAGTAAGTTCTACTCAATCAGCACTCGATCTCATATGGTTATGAAGATAGATTGCCGTTCCAGGCCGAGATCAGACAAACGAGCGGCAGGCGAAAGGTACAACGGAAAGCGACGAGCAGAAGGAAAATCTCAGTAAGGGAAAGGATGCGATTTTCGCTCTATTTGGTCGGTATGCTGCGTCAGTAAGGCCAACCAAAGAAGTAGAGGGTAATTAAAAAAAATCAGGTATGTGGTCTATACAGGCGATACGACGTGATAGCTGAGCGATATTGCGACTAGAGAACCGGAGATCTGCGATGCAGACCGAGTCAGAGGCACTCAGTCGAACAATGTGTTTGTTCGCTGCAGCTGTCCTCCGGCGGGGATAATTGAGCCATTGGGGAGACATGCGACCTAGCCCCAATCCTCTTTACTGAGACAATCCAGTTCTCGGTACGGAACGCAATGTCGCACCGCCGAACAGGTGACCACATACACATACGCAAGGTCACTCACATTTGTTCTTTAAAGTTTAAAGGAGTCGATAAGGAATCAAATATCAAGGGGAAGATCGGGGAATTGAATTGGCCAACAAGGACGACGAGCCAAAAAGAAAGTAATGGCTGTAGTTGGAGCTGCGAGGTCGTCACCTAGGTCGTTGATCACGGAAGTTAAGGGTACCGGTAGAGTTCAATCGGATAATCGCACGGTCTCGCGACACATCCGCAAATTGATGTCCAGTCGGAGTAAAGAGAAAGCCAACAAAAATACTAGGGCGCCATGATGGGCCACCGACAGGGCTGAATGGAGGGAAGATGACACGAGACACGAGTGGAGAGAGAAGATCGATCGGGGGTGAAGGAGAGCACGGGTGGTTGTCAGAGAATAAGGGGCCCAATAGCTTTTGACAAAGAAGACAATAGGAAAATCAGACCCGAGACAAGGCGGGAGAGAGATCGCAAGGGGTGGTGGAGTGAAGTAGTAGTAGGAGTGAGTGTTAGTTGGAAGTAAAGTAGGTCGTGACCTTCAAAGGGAGCGAACACGGCAGGGGAGGGGAATGGGAGTTGAGGAACTGGTGACCCTAGAACCGAGATAGAAGACGGAAGAGCAGTGGAAGACCGATACGATAATTCGCGATCACCCAATCGTCGCAAGGAGTAGTAATAGTAGTAATAACGAGTCAGGAAGGGAGAGAAGAAAAGAAAAGGAAAAGAAGGATGGGAAGAATGAAACGCAGAGAGAGTCAGGGAGAAGGGAAAAAAGTGGAGGAAGAGTGGGCTACTGAGGTTCTTTGGGCAGTACGATCCAAGGGCCTACTCGAAGGCAGCGGATTATCCCAATAAGAATGATGAATGGCGGAAGGAATCAACGGGGAAGCTCGGAGCCTTTTTTTTTTTTTTTTAACTGATATTATTATTATTATTATTATTATATTAGTACTAATTTGTTTTTTATTATTTTTTTTCCTTGGATTGATTCCTGATTGTGCTGCTTCCTGTCGCCCTTGGGGCGTTCTCCAAGTCTTCCAGAAGGTCGCGGCAGAGCGGGTGCAGGCGTCGTCAAGAGACTCGGCGGTGGGGCCGATCCGGGTACGATTACGGTGTATTACCGGACTGGTTTATTACTAGATTACTAGGTATCGTACCACTTACTACCTATTCTTATACTGGTACCTACCTAGTATTAAATTAATACTATAAGTACTGCCTCGCCCGCAAGTTTCATCGCGACGATCAGTCTGGGTTCATCTAGATTCCGCCATCCCCTCACTGGATTAGGGTGGACTGGTCGTTACTTAGTGTGTCGATCGATATACTACCCTTTAAATTGTTGTTTTGTAGTCTCAAACCAAGATTACCCATGGATAGTCTGAGTACAATAGGCAGGGAAGTACCTATTATTATTCAAAACAAATAAATAAATTCGCATACCTTTAAAGGGTCAAATCCCAAAATCAAATCATAGTACCTTTTTACTGTAAGAAAAGTAACCAACTGTACTCCATACTCGGTAATAACTTGACGGAAACAGGATTAGGAGATGGTTGCATAACAGGTAGGCAAAATAGGTTTGCACCACGTATCTCGGACCCCGAGAAGTACTATAAAAAAAAGAAAAGAAGGTCGGGAAAGTACCTCCAAGAAGGGGGTAATTTAAAAAATAATAAAAAAAATAATAATAATAAAAAACCCTCAATTAGCCAGCAAGATAAAGTAGAGCGGAGAGAGTGGAGCGGGATGACGCTTAAGCAGGCGACCTAATTAGCCCATTGCCAGCTCTGTGGGTTTTCTAGAATCTCGTGGGCTGGCGCAGTAAGTACTAAGAATAACCTCCGCAGAGGAGTATTGTTTTATTACTACGTATACGTATGGTTGTAACTGGGTCCCGAGGCAAAAATCGTGGCCTTAATTTCAACAAATCCGGACTGGGCCAGTAGATTTCTCTGTTTCCTGCCACTTGCACAATGAGGGGACGGGGAACCAAAAGACTTTAATTTTTTTTTCTTTTTTTTTTTTAAAGAAAAAATAAAAATAAAAAAGACATTGTCAGAAGGTAAAAAAGACACGCAAACAAGTTGACGATCCGTTTCTAGAACTTCCATCCACATTCCTGCAGCCGTTAATATCCCAGACTCCAGGAGTGGCAACTGACCACTGACGTCGATTCCAAAGTCTGGTTCCAAGTAGAAACAACAAACTCTGTGTGATGCATGATGAGATAATCTGTTCATGGGACAAAAGTGGCATGTGGTCGATGGTCTCACACAATTGTTCAAGTTTTATTAAAGTATTGGCAATTCCATCTAATTGAATTGAAATCTCCTGGGGATGCATGCGTGCGAGAAACCATTATCTGCCTGGCTGCCTGAGAACGAAGGGCATTAGCAAACCCGTTTTGCCGATTCGCTGGGCCCCCTCAGCCAATCAGAACGGGAGCTGTTTCCCTATCGTGCCTCGATCGCATTCATCCTGAGTACGGTACATGTACATGTACATAGAAGTGCATGAAGAACCCAGTGGTCTAGGTAGGGAAGGTAGGGAAGGTAGGACGTGGATGGACGTGCCTAATACCTGGTAGAAAGCATACTTCCACATTAATGCAAGGAGACTACTGCTGCCCCGCTAAACTCTATATCTCACAATCCAACATCAGTTGACAAGGAGCAAGGTAAGTGAATTATATATCTATCGCTCTCTCCCTTCCCAGTGCTCTGTAACTTTACACCCTTCCTTCGGAACGCTACCAGCCTCCTACCCCTCCTCCAAGGGAGTTTACAATACTCAGTCTGACACTTTTAGTTCTCTGCAGCCTAGTCGGCCAGCAAATCGTTGCTCGAGCTTTTGAAATGCCACCTCCCAACATGGACAAGGCTGGTCTCGTGCCTTTCCACCTTATTCACAGCTTCCACTCCTTTCACACTTCCTATTAGCCTCTCGCATCCAGGATCACCCCATCGACCCTCTGGGTCCATGTCAGCTACAAAACAGTCTGGACTGCTGCCATATGTCGCGCGTTTTTTACAATTTAGTCGGCTCCTCTTGTATCGACAGATACTGTCGTTCTACTGTATATGCTACCCCGCATTTCGAAAGTGGACCTGCTCTTCTTCTCATTCCTCATAGACGTAGTATTTGTGTAAATGCAAAACTCTGAACGCTGATGGACAGAAACCAGCCCATGCACCTCTCCTCCCAAACCAAACTAGACATTGCTATGAATAACGGTGTAGTCAAGACACATCTCCCCTGTAGACCGACGAAGGGAAATATATCGGAAAATGAGGTAGTAAAAATCACTCCGCACAAAATGAAAAAGTGGGAGAAAGAAAGAAAAGGCAGGACATCGATAATAGGTATGTCTAAAAAATATCACAATGATGGCAATATCCCAAACCCCACTTTTAAATGCCACAGACAGAATCAGGGAGCTAAGGATTTTTTTTAAGAAAAAAAAAAAGGGTAAAAAAGAGCTATCATACATGGTTGGGTAGTATGGATTCCTCTATACCAGCTGCTCATGACAGCAAGTTCTTCAAAGATGGACTGGCACTGGCACCAGACCCTCCACTCGTCCCATTCATGGTACTGGTAGGTCTGTTACTGCTCGTCGGTGCGGGAGTAGCTAGGACGGGCGTCTCCTCTAATTTCGCTGGGGTAGGTCCCCTGGGGTCAACGTGGGCCTGTGAAATTGGAGGCGACTGAGTTGGTGCTTTGAGAACGCGGTCAACCGAATACACACGTGGCGGAGGCCCGCCGTTCAATGCGCTGAGCGAATGCGGAGGAGAGTGCCCCACAATCGTCGCTTGTACATCTGGAGGTGATGCCGACGGGGCGTATGCTCGCGGTCCTGCTGTGTGCGACGGATGAGGCGACGGCATAGAGACAGGACCATAAGGGCTTTGGTGGGCCGGGTACGATTGTGGAGGCGGATGGGGAGGATGGGCCCCGCCGGTGTAATGAGGAGGGGGGTGGTGTGAAGAAGAGGGTTGATATCCATTCATATGGTGCGCCGGTGGTGGTGCTGGCCCTCCACGGTAGCTAGGAATTGGGATGTTATTGCGGATCTTGCTGTCGCCATAGTCACTCGTTCGTTGCTCATAACCTGGATACCACTCGGGTCCACTATGTGCGGCACCGATCGGTCGTGGAAGGACCCCCGATTGAGGCTGAGGTGGATGCGCATGAGGCCCATAAGGATGGCTATGATATTCTGGAAGCCGGGGAGCTGGAAGAACAGGCCGTTGAGCCGAGTAGGGAGAAGGCCGCGGCTCAGGAGACGGCTGAGCCGCTATTTTCTTGAGATGGCACTTATGGCATTCATATAATGTCTGACTTTGTGGGCCTCCAGGTCCATCAATGCTGCTCGCTGGCCCACTCCAATCTGCAGGGCCATATTCCCCATTAACTTTCGGGAGAGGGGGCTGGGAGGGATGGCGATGAAGGTATGGGGGGCTTGCTGAGGCTGTATTGGGGTATCTAGACCCGGCAGATTCATTCAAACCCACGCCGTTAAGCAAGGGCGCCCTATGGTCGACAATTGTCGCTCGCCGGGACTTGTCTATAGGCCACCATCTCGGGCTGTACGCAGTAGCGCACCGCACGCATTTCTTCGTCAAATCTGCTCCAATAATCTGAGCAGGCCTATGGCTTTCGGAATCAACCTCCATCTCATCGGGAGCTTCCTCTCGGGACACAGTGGCATTCTTCTGGCTGTCCTTAATAGGCACCGATTGGGACGCAAGAACACCGTTAGCACAAGCCGACCGTCGGCTTACAACAGAACCCCCGTGATGCGATGCACCAATAGACTGTTGTACATATGCTGCTCTCCGAACAGTCCCGGTTAAGCTAAGATCTGCCTGTTTGTAAGTTTCAACAAAGCGCGTAAGTGCATTTACGCCCTCCTCCTCCGTTGGTTCATTTATCTCATGAACAACAGATGGCACAGTATGATGGGCACACCAGATCCCTGCCGTGGCCACACCTGTCTCATTACCAAGTTTTATGCTGTTCACAGTATCTTTCTTCGAGCCCTTGATAGGTGTGACGCTGAACCCAAAGAGGTAGTTTGCCTGAAGCGCACAGCCAACGTGGAACTGGGCATTGCAGCCGTTGAACTGGCAAGGAACACATGCGCCATTGGTAGAGTTGCAAACCTTACAGACCTCACGGTGCCTGTCCATGGGGATAAGTCCGAAGGCCTCCGCAGGCTCAAGCTCCTTCGCATTGCCAAACTTGATTTCCGGGGTCCAGACCGCGCAAGTAACATGGACCCAGTTATTACCGGCCGTTCTCTTTAGCGGTTCCCGGGGGCCGACAGGCTTACCCACGGCTTCTTGCCTTTGCCGGTAGAGTTTGATGGCCTCGTTCACCATTTCCTTCTCCAGCCTCTCCTTTTCTCGATCTCGTTCAGACTTTTTCTTATGCGTTGATCTCGGTGCCTCCATCAGTTCATGTTCAGTCCAGGTCACCGGACACAAGATACATTCGTAGCAAGTCGAGATCATCGGATTCCTATCATTCGAGCACATATCACACAGCCATTTAACACAATTGCGAGAAGGGCTGATGCCATAGCAACTTCGGTGGACAGTCAAACGGCAATCCCTGCAGGACAGATGTTGATTCCCTGCGGGTTCCATTTTGTTGCAGATGGCACAAGGGAGGGTTTTAGCCTTCGGCGGGTCTGGAACAATTGGTGGCGGTTCGGGGACCTTTTCAGTGGCCGCTTTCTTTTTTGGTGCCGGCTCTACTGATGTAGCAGTCGAGGTTGCCGCACTATCCTTCTCATTAACGCGCCCCTTCTTCTTGGTAGATTCTTGTTGCACTTGAGGATTGGCATTCACTGGAACGCCTATCGCGGCTGCCGTGGCCGCAGTCGCAGGGTTGATACTGATTGGGGTCTCGGTTGAAACAAGTAGTTGTGTCAGTAATTCTTCATCTACACGCCGACGCCATGATTTGTTGCCGCTCTGGGCAATCTTTTTGGCAACCTCATCGACACTCTCCCACTGAATTCCGTATTTCCTCCATAGCAAAGCGCAACGCAAACAGAGAGCCACCGTAAGCTGTAGTCCCTTATCACGCTGTCTGGAAGATGGTTCATTTGGTGTTGTGGTGCCGGGCGGAATCCCAGGAGCACGTCGCCACTGGCGCGACGTCCGCGTAGAGCAGAACTTGCACTGAAAACCGCGTTTCTTCTCAACCGCCTTATCATTATCGTATGCGGAGTCATCGTGGTCATCTGCCACATCATCCACAAGCTTCGAAGAGCTGCTTCTCCTGGCTTCCCTCTTGCCCCGCCGACCTTCGAATACGCCCCATATTTGGCGCCCACGATCTGTCTTCTTCCACATGTAATAGAACCGCACAATTTGATAATGCGGCACTGTCCCAACGTGTTTAGTCACATTTCGCAGCTCCGACCCATACTTCGAGACACCTTGCTCGAACAGTTTCACTTCTTCGGGGCGCAGATGGGGTTCCTTGAGATCCTTATACTTGTTCATTTGCTTCAATTTTGCAAGGGCAGTCTCAGTGTCGAAACTGTTGGAGTAAAGTAGCCCCAAGGCCTTGTCCAGGAAATTGGTAGAGTATGTTTCGACCCCCAGACTGGGTGCCATTTCCTTGGCCCGTGTCATGTACTCATCAATGAATTTCTCTCGACCTGTGGGGCTAAGATCCGCTCCTGGGATGTCATCCTCGCCCCGAGAGGAAAGCTGGCCAACAGTAGGCATTTTGAATGATATTTCCGCGGTTCGAACCTGCTTTCCATTGACGTTGACAGGTTCGTCTTCGCCTCTTGGAACGTACCCAACCGGCTCATCCATCACCCATTTTGGTCGGTTGGCCCTTTCTTGCTTCGCAGCTTCGATCGCAGCGTGGGCTTCTTTTGAGAGTTTGGAGTCCTTCCGACCGCCGGAGCTTTTCAAGTATTTCTTCTTGATATCAGTGGGCTTAACGTACTCCACAGGATGCCCGTGCCATGGATTTACAATGGCCTGGTGACGCGGCCCCAACCGAGAGCTTGCTCGAGGATATATTCGGTCATCATAATCGAGAGCATCTTCCACGCGACAATGGATACCTAGGTAGCGATAAGGCCACATCCTGGCTTGCGCTACCTGTTCTTCTGTAGCTGGACGAACAGCCTCCTCCTCGGCTGGAATCGGTGTACTGCCTGCCGTACCATTTGCGACATTTGGTTCTTCCTCCTCCTCCTCGACGATTTCTTCTTCTGCCTCGGGCTGAGAATCACCGAGAATCGGAGTATTTCGCGCCTCAAGCTTCCTCTCTTGGGCCCGACTGCAAGCTGCACATGCCCAAGCGAAGCCTCGTGCCGGTTTTTTGGTCAGAACTGGTCGGACACAATACATATGATATGTATTGTGGCACACAGCACAATCAACGGAATCAGTGTTCGCTGCATACAAGCTACACCGTTTACAGGTTTTGACGGCACTGGTCAATTCCTTTCTCTTCCCAATTTCCACCAACACATATCGCCAGCGTCCATCGAGAACCTTCTTGACATTCGCGGGAACATTGATCACTTTCTTGGTGGGAATTACCTCGTAATACCGATGAATGTAACGGTCGAACATCTTGTCATACCAGAAACAATCCCGAGTCTTCCTATACTCATCAAAATCTTCAATTTCCGATAGATGCGTGATCTGGCATTTCCCGCGTAGTGAAGTAAGCGGGCATGTGTCGGAGTGCATGGATGCAAATACGAGCCTCGTGTCCGCTACCTTGCGCTGGATATCACGTGGTCTGTAATACCAATTCACCCGCAGGGCTTCGATCGGGCCGGATGGTACATTTTTGGATGGAATAAATTCCATTATCCGCGCAAGGTAATACGGCTCCCCAGGTGGTTCACAAATAAGATATACATGATCTATGGAAATATCAGTAAAACAGGATTGGTTGTGTGGATGCAGGGTTAAAAATAGTGGGAAAATAGGGAGAGAAAAAGAAGACAAGACACCCACCATCTATGCCAAATGTAGTGCCATCATCAGCTTTAAGCTTGCCATTTTCCAAGTAAGCACCACAGTTCTCAAAGGAGACCATGTTAGAATCACTTTGAGCCTGCGAAGAACTCGGAGCTGTGGTGAAGACTTTCTTGGTCGAATTCCCATTTGTGAAATTAGAATTCGTGGAGCTTGCCGGTTGTTTCCGTTTTCTTGAATTAAATGGACCATTGGCCTCGTCCAATTTTGCTGAAAAGGAAGAGGTACCAGGAATGGCGTCTTTGGCAGCGGAGACGAGGCTAGACGACCCATTCACCGCCGTTTGATTTTTTTTGGCGCTTGAAGAAGAAGACGATGGTTTTTCACTCTCGTGTTTTGAGCCATTAGTTGCGCTGATAGAGTTGGGGGTGACACCACTAGTTCGCTTGCCGAGTTTATGTGCGGGTTGGGCAATCTCAAGATCCATATCGATGTCACGATCCTCCGCGTAATTGGGGCGGGGAGCGGCATTTCTACCTCTCGAGCGGGTGCCATAGGGAGCCGGAGTAGTGGAAGTGCTGGGGGGCTCTGTACCAGCAGCCTCCGAAGGAGATGCGCTGGCCGTCATGGGTTGAGATTGCGGGTCATTCACGGTGGCGGCCCCTTGGGGGGTGGGAGATCCCGTCCGTGAAGGTTGAGTAGGGGTGGGCATGCGACGTTGGCTCACAGCAGTAACAGCACTTGACGAGGGAGAGTCGGCTCTCACGTGTTGCTGCGACTTCTGGGGCGGTGACCTATCCGAGGCCATGACCAACCCTCAGGAGCGATTAAAAAAAAAAAAAAAAAAAACAAAACCAAAATCGGGTGGAAGCTGCAATGCACCTCCAGGATTAAGACGGGGGCGTCTTGATACGGTAGGAACACCAAACGCCTCGGACGCGGAGATGCAAAGTTCAGCAACGGCCCGTAACAGGTAGACGATCCCTCATGAGATGTATGTTTGCAGATGTGGTGCCAAACAGCATCCGCCAACTATCAAGAGGAGGGGGAAGAAGGGAGGGCAAGAGGAAAAGAGAGAAAGAGGTTGAAAACGAGGGAGAAAGAAGCCGGGTGATGTCTGCCCGAAGGACTGGAAGAGGGCACTCGGTTGCAAAAACCCAGTTCGTTAAGTCGTGGTTTTTTTTTTTTTTTTTTATCTTTCTCCCTGCTTTCTTGTTATGTCTTCGGTTTCCCGCAAGGGGAGTGGAAAGGTCAATGGTGTGTGAGAAAACGGAAAAAGCTGAAGGTGACCCGACTCTATCAGGATCGACAACCTTCGGGAATGACAATCGTGAAATCTACTGGCAGAAAGAGAACCAAATCTTGAAGACCTCGGAAAGAGAGGCTAGAAGGGATATATATGTAAGGAGGTTTACATGCGAAGAGAACTTGGGAAATAAAAAAGACGAAAGAAAACGATCTTCCAAGGTGGTTTTAGTCCAATGATAGTAGCAGTGGAAGCAACCCAAGAACAAAGCCCTTGGACCGATTGGGGTGAGAAAGCAGACCCGTGGCGTGAGGATAATGAATAGATAGTAGTAAACGGGTATGGGTAGGACGCAGCCGCCAGTACGGAGTAGACTCGAACTAGTGGATAGTCTGACCGGGGGTATGCAAATGAAGGGAGTTGGTGTCGGGGAGGATATGGGATGATACACCACAAGAAAGGGAGAAGAAGAATGGGAAGAAAGAAAGAGACGGAGGACAAGCGTTCGGTGGATCGGTGGAGTCGGGTAGGTAGAGGAGGACAAGAAAGAAACGCGACTAGCCAAGAGTGGCAGAGAATCGCCGACAAGGGAAGAGAGGAAAGGAAAAAGGAAAAGAGCGAACGAGAGGGAAGAGAGAGAGAGAGAGAGAAGAGTGTGAGAGAGAGAGAACAGAAGAATCAGGAAAGCCGTCCAGGATCCCGACCAGTCCACGTCCTCGCCCCTAGTCCCGATGTGTGAATATGACGGATCCTCCATCCACCAAGAACCAGACAAAAATCGTGACAATTAGGTATCTCTCCTTTCTCTTGCGATGGTTAAACTGGATAGTTTATACATGGGAAGGGCCCCGTGTGCTGGTTCTCTTGTTGGTGTTCCCGCGCCGTGATGGCTTTTTGGTATTACTTGAATCTTGATACTATTTTTTTTTTTTTTTGGTTTAATTTCCCTGTGAATATTAATACTGCCGTTTCTCCTGTGGAGGGGATAACTATAACCGCCAGTAGTTTTGCTCCCCTTACTCTCGATAAGGCGTGCTGCCCTGTTGGGTGATCTACGTAGTTACTTTTCCAGCGGGAAATACTTTTAGTGGTAGACGGACACCTAGTCGCTGGTTTGGTCGAAAGCGATTCTGTGTGGACCGAACCACCCGATGCAAAGAATGATGATGATATCGGGAGGGGTTCTGGGGAGGATTGACGGGATGAGAGGAGGGGGGAATGAAGGGCAAAATGAAGAAACAGTAGGCAGACGATTTAGGGTACCTATGGGGGAGTTTCTGGATTATATTTGATTGGGCCAGGGCTGAATTGATTTGATTTCTCACCCTGATAGACTAAATTAGCATCACCTCAGTGCAAAGACGACGATGGACCCCAAGGGTATGTGCGGATACATAATAATAATTGTGGCAGGAATGTTGTCACGTAGGGCAGCGCATGCGCGTAGGATCTAAAATCCAATTTGCCAAGCCTATCTATCGAGTTAAATGGTTTTGCAGGCGCGGACACCGAAAACTCCTTGTTGCAGCGGGATGATGGTCTGTCAGGTTCGTTGATCGTGGCGTTTATTTTTGTCGAACTCAACTGGGTCTCTAGTGTCAGTGGGTATATCTTTGTGAAAGGTGGTTGAACTCCGAGGCGAAGGAGACTTAAGGTTTATTTGTACGTGGGTTTTAAAATCAATAGGTTTCAAGTTATACCAGCGTGTTTCTGAAAATGACGGGAAAATTTTCTTTGCTTTCCTTCGCCTTTTATTTCCCGCACTCTTCTTGTCTATGGAGCAGATATAAACAGCTAGCTTACGATGTTGCATGTGAATGAAATTTTAACAATAGCATCTTTGAAAGGATGTTTATGACAACTTGCTAAAAAAAAAAAAAAATTAAAAGAAAATAACCCAGCTCTACAAATCCATCTTTACAGTCATAATCAAAATGTGCCGGCATTAGACACGTTTCCTCTGGCGTGAGGTTGATAGTAAAAACCATCAACCGACTACGGTAAAAACCCAAGAGCATGAAGGGGCATTTTGTAGAATAGCTTCTGTACGACAAGGGAGGGAGAGAGCCTTGAAGGCGTGGATGGCGATAGACTGAAAGTGGTAAAGCCTCGGTTTAGACGACAGAAACTCGGTTCAGAGACCACCACAGAAAAGGGTGTATGGTACGCGGTTCCACGGCTCCTTTCGGCCTGCAGTGCTAATTAACAACTAAGGTTGATTGATGAGCAAGCTACTACGGAGTACATTGTAGATCCTTGGCCACCGGCGAGAGTTCCATATGCGAACTACGGGTTGTCCGCTATGCGCCGCTGGAGAATGGATGAGTGATGGGAGTTGCATCGCCTGTGATTTACAATACTATGACAAGGGGTGGTAATCATTTCTGCCGCAGGTGTTGTGCCAGCATGATAGTCGCATGTAGTAAAGTTGAGGTGATGATAGCACAATCTGGGTGGAAACGCCTTCGTTAGCGTTCCTCCCGGAAACCCAGTCGATACCTTCCTTAGTATGGGCGACTATTAGGCAGGGTATTGGCGACTGAGCGTTTTCTCCGCGAGGACGGACCTTTCTCTGCTAGATTTTTCTCTGTTATCAGCGGCAGTCCGGCTGTTAACACATTTCTATGGAGGTAATCCTTACGATGGTTGAATTCGACTGAGCCAGGAATGAGTAAGTAATCTCACCATCTTCTTCGTCCCAATTTTGAAAGTGGTCAACCGACTTACGTATGTATACGTACCTTGGGTACTTCCTCTGGGATCATATACCACTCTGCGCCTGGGCCAATGATAGCCACTACTGCAGAAAAAAATACCTAGGTCCACGGCCGGTGATTTGCTGCCTGGTGACCGTCCCAACTTCTGTGTCGCCACATTACGGCCGCCTAGCCTTCCACACCACAGAAGTGTTCCACGTCTAATGGCCGATTATAGCGATGCCTCCTACATCATGTGTTTGTAGCTGTACCTACTTTAACAGGCCTATGCGAGTCTCGTCTTGAATAATGCACCAGTTCCGGACTGGCAGACGACATTGAAGGTGTTAAACTTATTAGGAATAGCTGCGGCCCCTAGTTAACTACGGAGTACTGTGTTATATAATCTGTCCGTTACACCCATATCATTGTTGAGCAAAAGAATGGTTCTTGGTCCGAGCGCATTTGAACTAAGAGCGGCACTGAATTACGGTTCTAGGAATCGAGTTGCCATTAGAATTGTTCTCTTTAGTACGGGAAAGTCAGGTGTACTAGAATTCCTATGGAGTTGACCTGGACTAAGTAATGGGGTACATATGGGTACATGAATCCGTCGACTGGTATAAAAAGCACCAAATCCAACCAACCATTGATGAGCTAGTTCCACATCGATGAAAATCGACACATTTTACACAGTACGGTAAACAGTGTTGTATAAGGATGCTCTTATTCAGGAATGATACCGGGTGACAGGGTAAGTATTTAGTTTGTAGGCAATATCTTAACAGGTCGAAGCGAGTTGTATTTGAGCAGATGTGGTCAAACTTGGGGTGGATCCTCCATTTTTTTTTTTTTTTTTTTTTTCTCTTGCGGAGGAAAGGGGGGTCTGCTATTCCTCCGGTCTAGTTATGAATGGTGCTTCCACCGAGATATCCGTCCCTGGGATGAATTTTATGTACTTACTCTACGGAGTACACAGTCGTTAATCCAGCGTATCGCTCGCGAGTAAAGAAGGGCATGAGCACATCGGAAGTGAGGGGAGACTCATGTTGGAACCATCGGCGTCAAGGGGGTGCCAATAGCTCTCTGTCTGGAGTTAAGCCATTCGTGTTCGGAGCGGCACACTACTAGGGTTAGGACGGTAGTCTGAAGACACTGCCAATTAGGCCACCATATTAGGTGACCGTAAGTAGTCCAGTGGTCAACAAACTTTGGGGACGGCGCTGCAGGGTCAGGTTACCAGAGAAAAATAAAACAATTCTGTATTCAAAGTACAAAAGTTGTTCCCTCGTAGACAGTAATTACCTGTTTCTAGCCTCTCCACAGCTTGGAAAATGTAAGCTTGGCGGAGGAATGTGGGTTGTCTGTGCTTAACGGTTGTCCGACTTATTGGATCAATGGAACCAAGGCGGGTGCTTGGTACCTACATCTTGTCATTTCCTCGTAGTGGTAAAATATGCTTACTGCCCTCGTATAGAGTAGCCGCTGGCTAGTAAGCATAAGACGTAATATAGACAACGATAATGGAGATAATATTCGCTCTGATATTGATAATTGGGTTACTAAATAGTGCTTCAATCTACATAGTACTCTACCGTACATCACTTACTGCCCGATTTTTAAGTCGACCAGGAGTGTAGAAATGAAACTATACAGCCACAATTAAATGATATAATGATTAAGAATAATAGATTTAAAGAAGTTATATAGCTAATTTCATGTCACAGAATCGCTGGGGAAGCCGTATTTGTCTTCCCGCGACTATTTACTATAACAGATGCCTCCTCAACAACTTCATCGACTCTACCACTAATATCGTCCTTTTCCTTCGCTGTAGTTGGCTCTGTGGCTTTTTACTTGTCTTTATTAGACTGATTAATATTATGTTGAAGCTATACAATAGCTTGATTTGCAGGTTTCTCCTTTTTTTTCTAGTGTTGCTTTTTCTCTGCTTCCTGCATCCGTACACTCTTATCAAAAGCCCTTATTTATTTTGTTCTTAAATTAAATATCTCTTCTCTTCTTTCCCCTGCTGCTGACATCTTCCTCTTTAACAGCCTTATTAAGCTGTGTGGCTTCTACCTTCTGTGCTTGAAGATCACGTGCTCGTTAAATCTTCTTTGGGCTATAAAAGAGTGCATTACCATCCTCTAGAGCCTAAAGTTAAGGCTGTAAAGGCTACCCATGCTGGCGCGCTGTAATTAAGCTATATTTTAAAAAGAATATTCTCTGTAGAAAGATGCATCATCGTATCATTCAGTTTCTGAATATTTGGTTGTAAATACTAGAAACAACTTGCTTAAAAAGCTTCTTAATACAACGCTGGTTTTCTGAGGTCGCCAACCCCATTGTCCCTTTGCTTTTGTTTCGCGATCAAATAGAGTAGAAGCCATGCGTATCCCAACTCATCATTTGTCCAGCGCTGTACAACCTGACTATATAAAGCGAGAACAGTTCAAGGACGTTGTCCTTAAATACTGGTCTTTGCTCCTGACGCAGCGGTTTTCTCGATCGAATGTTCCCGACCGAGTAGGCCGTGACAGCCACTAGGCGATGATGTAAAAGAGTAGTGGTAGTTGTTAGGATTGACATCATGAAGCCATGTATCGTGAATTTTCCCAGAGACAGCCTGGTATATAAGACCACGAGAAAAAAAAAATTGTAGTAATCCACACTTTATTCCGTCCTGCAGGCATTTTTTAAGCCCTCCCTGCTCATATAGCGTCGTGAAAAAAGTATTTTTTTCCCTTTTGATAGTACGCTGATGAGAAATCCTTTCTCATCCATGTTGTACATAACTTCAGGTTAAATCTTATATTCCTCAATCTTTCTTTCATAAGTCTGAAGTATTATATGCAGAATCAGCCCGCTTGAGTGAAGAATTATTCCCAGCAGCATAATAAAAAATAAGCTAATTTTTATGCTTCTTTAAGAAACGGTTTGGCCGACATACTCCAGGCTTCCAGTAACTTTCTTGACAGAGCTTCGCAATATTGATGAAGACGGTAGTATGCCACGCTCAGTGAGATTATTAATCTATTTAATAAGCTCTGTATACCGTGGTAGTCTGTATACCGTGGTAGTATTTCGACAGTGTTGACCAGTCAACGCCATAATTTTTAGCCAATTTTGTATAATCAATCTTTTCACCTGGCTTCAGGGATTCTATATCAGCAATTGCTTCTTCGATTGAACTCATGTTAATGGTATTGTGGTCTATCTAAAAAGTCGGTGTGTAGATGAAGAACGAGCGTTGAGTGATATCGGGCGGTGGCTGATTGGGTACGATATTTTGCTTTGGTGGGTAGACGGCCGGGACAGCAATGTACACACGGACAGCAACGTCAGGTGGTCACAAGTCGGTTAGGTAAGTCCCTCTCCGATCCATCCGTATGGGAATTGCTGATTAGCAGGGCTCCGATTAGCGGATGATGAGACGATCCGGGAACGTTCCGCTTTGGAACTCTTACAGGGTTGTCTGCAGTTGTCAGGGGCCTTAAGCTGCTGAGCTAACTTTGTTACGGCAGTTACCTAATGACTAAACCGCTTCTATTACTATTGATGCCTGAGGCTGTATAATTCATGGCCATGCGCTTTCCCGAAACGCGTCCTTTGTAGTACCCGCGTTATGTGTTTCGGTTTGCATGATTGTCCTGTGACAGAGCAGTCAGAGCCCTTCAAATGCCAAGGACCCTTTAAAGATCTCATTGGCATCATCAACTGTTGTTTTCGATACAGACCCTTGTCCACTGTGAAACTCTTGGTTCTTGAATATATTTAGATCCCTGCAGTCTAGTCACTGTGTACAAAGTACAGACCGTCGACGGGATCCTTTTGGCGCTGACCACGAGGTAACAAGGAGGCATTCAAGGCATGTCCGCACATCCCGAACAGCCATTCCAAACCCATGGCTTTCAAACCTCTCTGGATGTCGCTCGTCAGCAGGCCTATTCTGTAGCTTCTGTGGCGGGACACAAGCGACTTCCGGATCGCTCACCGGAAAATTCTCTCAAAGTATCAAATGCCAAACATTCTGCTCAATCCACGTATCTAGTGGATTTCACCCGTCCTGTGGTGAACCCCCCTAACAGCTGTCTGACTGCTAGTGAGATCCGTCCTGTAGAGGCTGTCACGTCGACGACCGACGACGAGCAACAAAGAGCTGAATTTTTCAATCAAACATCAGTCAAAGATCCAACTCTATACCTGAGCAATCCGAGATATGGACTATCAAAAAAGTTAGTAGCCAACTTTGCGGCTGTCGGTGTTAACAACATATATCCGTGGCAGGCATCATGCCTGCTTGCTCCAGGCCTCCTCGAGGGGAAGCGACATCTGATATATACAGCTCCAACAGGTGGAGGTAAATCCCTCATAGCTGACGTCTTGATGCTGAAACGCATCATGGATGACCCCACGCGCAAAGCGATCCTCGTTCTTCCCTATGTTGCTTTGGTTCAGGAGAAGTTGAAGTGGCTCCGACGTATTGTGCAGGGTCTTGAAAAACATGTCCATGATGATGACGACGACGACGAGAAAACGGATCTTGCAAAACCTTACCATCAACACTGGAAAAAACTGCAGAAGTCGATCCGTGTTAGTTGCTTCTTTGGTGGAAGTAGAACCGCCGCCTCTTGGGCTGATATGGACATTGCTGTTTGCACCATTGAGAAGGTTGCTCCGTCAATTTTTCCCACTGTCTAATCACGCATTGATCTGTATTTTTTAGGCCAATTCAATGATAAACACTGCCATCGAAGAGCGTATAATAGGGGACTTAGGGGTGGTTGTTCTCGATGAGCTGCACATGCTTGACGATGAACATCGCGGCTACCTCATGGAATTGATGGTCACGAAGCTACTTTTGCTGCAGCAGAATATCCAAATTATTGGTATGAGTGCTACCCTCTCGGTATGGACCCATTTCCCTACCAAACGACTCCAAACTTATGGCTCAGAACACCGAAGTGCTGGCCGAGTGGATGGATGCAAGGTACTATATTTCGACCTACCGACCTATCCCAATAGATGACTATCTAGTCTACGAGAATGCAATATACCCTGCTACATCCATACAGCTGTTCCGGACAATGGCTAAATTAACCTCTACGGCAATGAGTTCTTTTGCGGATGCTATGCCTCCACATCGTGTTGTTCAGCCTTCGACTTTTCGCCAACTTTCGAGCCCAACAACGAATGCAATGGTTGCCCTTTCTGTTGAGATAGCTGTGGCAGGATATGGTGCATTGGTATTTTGTGGTAGTCGACAAGCGTGCCAATTCCATGCGGCCATCATAAGTGAAGCAATGCCGGTGCCCTCCGCAGTAGATCCAGAGGAGCTGAGTAAACGACTGGATTTACTTGCCGAATTACGAAGCCTTCCTAGTGGTCTCGACCCTGCCCTAGAGACTACTCTCATTAGGGGAGTGGGCTTTCACCGTGAGACTTTCGCCCGCGTATCCTACTACGTTTCTTGGTAGCTTTGTAAACTGATAGTATTCTAGATGCAGGAATGACTGCAGAAGAGCGTGAGTTGATTGCGCAGGCTTACGACCAAGGGGCTTTGAGTGTACTGGTAGCCACCTGCAGTCTTGCTGCGGGTGTCAACCTCCCTGCGAGGAGAGTTATCATAAATGGGGCACGTATGGGACGGGAACTGATCGGCCCAGTAATGCTGTAAGCAACCAAATAATGAACATTGCACTTTTTGTACTAATCAGGGAAGGCGACAAATGTGTGGAAGGGCTGGTCGGAAAGGAAAGGACGAGGCAGGCGAAACTTATCTTATCTGTAGCAAGCCTGATTTAGAAGCCATCTGCGACTTGTTGGAAGCTGATATGCCTGCTATTGAAAGCTGTCTTGCTCCAGAGAAGAGAGGTCTCAAAAGGTGAGCACCCGAAACTATGGCCAATATGCAATTATAATGCTTATGTATCATAAGAGCGCTTTTGGAAGCTATAGCAACAGGCCTCGTCTCTGGGTACGAAGCAATCAAGGAGTATGTCAGGTACACTCTCCTTTATCGGATGGTGAACAAAGGTTTAGCTTACAGTATCATGCACTCGGCGCTTCGAGAACTAATCGACGAGAAGTTTCTTCTCGAAAGGGATGACGAAGCGTATGAAGCGACACAACTTGGACAAGCTGTGGTGGCTTCTGCATTTTCGCCTGAGGACGGACTTTTCGTCTATGAGGAACTGCGACGAGCGTCGCAAGCATTTGTTATGGATGGTGATATGCATATCTTTTACATGTTTACTCCACTCCAAGTGGCGATAACTACGCAGATAGACTGGCCCATCTTTCGGGATCAGCTGGATGGCCTTGATGACAGTGGTCTGCGCGCTCTGCAATTTGTTGGCGTACAACCTGGCTTTGTAAACTCCATGTACATATATGTCCGCCGGCTTATTTAGAACGTCTGGACCCGTGCAAAAGGCTAACCATACAACAGGGTACAAAGCGGCGCATCTCTGAAAGAGAACACCCCAGATCAGGTCAAACTATCCAGGATCTATCGCCGTGCCTATACTGCGTTTCAACTTCGAGATTTGAGCAACGAGGTACCCTTGTCAAAAATCGCAAGTCGGTACCGAATCCCGCGTGGAGCGGTTCAAACATTAGCCCAGCAATGTCATGGCTTTGCGGCTGGCATGGTCAAATTCTGTCAGCGGATGAGCTGGGGCATGCTTGCTGCAGTCCTAGAGCATATGCGAGATCGTTTAGAGGCCGGTGCTCGTGCTGATTTACTGGAAATGGCTCAGGTGACCTATGTCAAAGGCTGTACGGCAAGATTGCTTCGAGATAACGGATTCCGGAACTTGCGAGCCCTCGCTGAAGCAGAAGCGAAAGATCTTGTCCCTGTTTTAATGATGGTATACGGATAAACCCGTGATATTCGTAAGCGATTCATGGCTAACTCGCACCAGCTTAACCCACGCAAGGCACAGAAGAGCCATTTGCATCCTCTTGAAGCTGAGCGTTATTCCAAAAAACTTCTCGCCAAAGCAGAGGTTATTGTGGCCTCGGCAAATAAGATCTGGGGTATGTATACCCTTTAAGATCATCTCTAACAGTGCTAACGAAAGAGTTGGGTGTTTCACAGAACGCGAAATGCAGGTCGAACTAGAAGAGTGATGTATAATCTCGTATAAAATTAGCATTTTGGGGGTTTTGTACAATTTTGATGTTGACTGGTGTTGCTAATTGCATGTTTTGTTGCTATAATCTACCATTGACCGTGACGTGCAATGCATATACATATCCGCGCACTCGCCACGGTTGGAATCAAGTGAGGGTTGAGCTCTTGAAATAACCTTTTGCTCTTACTTATTTTTTTTTTTTTTTGATTAATTGCAGTGCTGAAGCACAGGGCTACTGGGAAAGAAATGAATATTGGGAACAATGCTCTCACTAACAAAAACAAAAAAATTTGGACTAACGGCTAAAGAAAGCGCTACAGTCCATTAAGCTTATCTTGTGCCTCCATCACTTTACCCTGATCGACAAAATCCAAAAGGACTACATTGGGCAGTCGACTATGTTCGGATTGGCACAGATCAGCCTGGGCTCCGATGCTGCCCTCCCCGGAGACAGCATTAGTCTTAGGAGCACGGATACGATCCGGGATCAGCACTCCCAATATATCCACGTCCAGGAAATGGTTGACTATATACATGCGCCCATCGGGTTTTGCACCAGGCGGCCGATCGACGCTGCAGTTTGAGAACGAGCGATCAGTCACATCGAATGGGGTCTCAAAGTAGTAAGCGAATTCATCGAGGATATACGGAACTTTGCTGACATCGGCGCCATAATCTAGTAATGATGAGCGCTGACTGTGAAGGAAGCTGGTAACTTACCCAGGAAAACCACAAGCCGGGTGCCTTTGCTAATCAGCTGTCCAAAGGTCGGCCATGAGTCCATGGATAGCACCTCCGACGAGGGTTCCGGCACAAACACATACTCCTTTATGTCCGCCTCGGCAAATGTCTCGTCAAATCGCGACACGGGTAGGTTGTCCCCATTCGTTAGGAGCAAAGTGACCACCTCGTCCGGGTGATCATCAAGCCACGACTTGACCGTGATGAGGAAAGACTCCAGGGTCCCGGCGTCTTCCAGCACGCAAGAAGTATGACACAGCCGAATGGCATCGTCGTTTTCTACCTTATGAGTTTGGCCCTGCAAGTATCTGATACCCAGATCAAGTTGTTCAGTAACATTGAGGTTCTGGTTCTGCTGCGGAAGGGGTCCAACGAAGGGGGAGTCATGGGCACCCAGTTGAGTGACGCTAGAATACTTGCGGTCGCAGAACACAGGCTGGCCGTTGCAAGACGATGCTTCCGCATCCACGGATGGGGAGAACAGGGCGAGAGTAAATATGAAGCAAGTAATTAGAGAGGAAAAGAGCGACGGCGGATATTGAGCGTGAGCCATTATAGCGGTTCGATATCACCACGAGGCCCTATCAGATATAAACCCTAAGCAATATTGGCGTGGATGATTGATTTTCAAACCCCATCCACTGTAGGTACTAGGTAGCAGAAAATTATGATTCTATTTCAAGACAGAAATCGCCATTGTCGCTAAATCCCACAGGAGGGGGAGGCGCCTTCCACTTGTTTTTCTTATACCTCCAGGATGCAGGAGCTCCCCAGCCACAAATGATCAGATCAGTCGCAGTCACCGTGCGTGTGATCCCCACGACGGGGATCGTCCAACGAGGACCAAAACAGAACCAAAAACCAAAAACAACAAGCACCCGATCCTTCAGTCCCAACCGATACTACCTCGAGCGGAATGCTCGTGCATTAGCTCTGTTCCTTTCGCCTAATGGATTCGGTCATGTTGGATCGGCGGGTGATGAGAGTCCGCCCAGGTCGTGGGAGTGACCTATTTGTCCGGCGTCGAGGAGATGGTTACATGGGCATTTGTGTCAGAAGCTTGGCTTGCATGGTACTACAATGAAGGTGGTGGAGATGGTGAAGTTTTGGTGTCTTGCACAAGGATGAGTGATACTTTGTAGTTCCTTCCGGCTAGTGGTTTGTCCAATTTTTCTATACTGGTAGTATATTTTTAGGTAAAAAAAAAAAAATCATGAAAAAAAAAAATTACTATGCCAACATATTCTATTTCCCGTTTTAGATAATCAACTTCCCTATAACTAGCTATAAGAGGATGGAAGTTATTCCCCTCAATAAACGATGCGATGATAAATACACACAACATAGAACCGGCTGAGAAGGACCTGTAAGATTACACCAGCCGTGTTCATCCATATATCTATGCATATAAATCCTGCAACAAGTCGGACACTTTGTTCAGCATCGATCAGATGGGATTTCCGACTGTGCAAAGAACGACTACATATGTCAAATATTTACAGAATGTACTTTCAAGTGTTGCCCCCAAGCATGCCCCAGGTCGACTTTGAGATTCGCTTTCATCCCTTCCGCTTCTTTGGTAATTTCCCAATATGCTCTTTCCACTGTTCATCAATGCTGACCCTCTCCACGCGAGGGATCCTCTCCCAAGCTTCCCGTTGTGCTTTCCTGGCCGATTCCCAACTTGACAGCTCGGCGTGGATAAAATCAGTACTCGCAGCAGCACAATCCGCAACACTATCCATGGGAATCAAATGGCCACTCGGAAGGACCAACTCCTTCACGCGTCCCTGAGAAAACCCACCACTACCCCCGATGCCTGTACCGGTTGTCTGCATCTTCTCCTGCCGTGCGACGGGCGAGGACAGTACCGAAGACTCTCCAAACATGTACAAAACACTCGGCTTAAGATCCGGGAGACGACGGAACATCTGCGCAGGTTCCGGACGATAGAACGGATAATCATCGATTTCAGCTGGGTGTACCTCACGATGTGGATCTCCGCGAGGCAGTCCAGATCGCCTGTCAATATAGGCTGGCCGTAAGAAGGTGAACAGTTCCTGGGCTTTCGTGGTGGTCAATGTGACTGTTTGTTGTTGTCCATCTTCGTCACCTTGGGGGTAGAGCTCCGTGGGAGTATCCCGTAATCCATATTCAACCCATTTGTCCAGGACACGGGGATCCCAGTTTTGGTAGAACGAGCTGGACTGGAATTTTTGGGACGCTTCTTCTCGCGACGGCCATAAGTCGCGTCGGTACGTGGATGGAAGCGCGAACTCTTTGCTCGGGTTTCCTCTTTGGATCACTGGTTCGATTAATACAAGGGCCTGGAAAAGCGACGGATGCATGAGCGAAAGGTGTGCCCTGCGATTCTGTAAGTGAATGATTTATCCATGCGCGCTCGCAAGGGACTGGTCATACATACAGCTGCATTCCGCCCATACTGTGGGCAATACCCACGATGGGATGCGGCATCTCGTCCTGATGTCGATTAATAAGGGAGAGGAGATCACGACCATGATCCCACCAACTCGCTAGGACGGACATGTCAATGGAGAAGATCTTCTTGAATGACACGCCTCTAAACACGTACGGTCATCGCCCAAGATGGACTCATTCAATACGCCACTCTGGCCTTGATGAGCAGCGTCAGCAATCCAGATCCCCCGAATTCGTCGATTGACGGCACGAAATCGTTCATATATTTTATCCCACAAGGGTTCATACATTTCCTGCGAATCGTCAGCGGAGCAATTTGCTATGTCTCTAATGAGGTCGAACACAACGATCACCAGACCTTTGGGAAGCCATTTCCGTGGCCTGCTATAATCGTCACGTCGCCTTCCTGCGGATGAGGGTTATCCTTTGGAATGTACTGTTTTACCGCAAGCCTGAGTCGATGCTCATGACCGGGCTCGACCGCGCCTGGACGCTCTCGTATATGCTGGCATCGAACTGTATGTCCAATGACCTTAAAATTGGATATTTGTCGGGTAAAAGGTACTTTTCGGGGAGAGTAGATAGCAGGCCGCAATCTACTCAACATGATGGGCAGAGCGTGACTACGTAAATCAAGCACATTACAGAATAAACAGGTTAACTATATGTGGTTGACGCCCAGAATGAGATGAGTATTCATTGTGGATCGGCCATCTTGCCGAGGATACGCCAGGGCGATTATCCCGAGTTTTCTGTGTAAGTCTAAAAAGGAGCCGAGGGTTCCGCGGTAACCGGCGTGTTCGGGTTTGTATGCTGGCGGGTTGATATAAATCTGAACAGTACTCTAATTGGCTGGGTAGAAAGTATATAGAATCTCTGAATATGACTTCATCCTGAAGATGAAGTAATGTTTTCATCGGGCGTGTTAAAGAGAATGGCTTCGAATGTATGGAGATTCGTTATCTGGGGAAGGCGAATCTATCGGGCGTGACATTGCCGTTGTTTCCATAGTACACTCGAGCAAATCCATCCCGAGCTCTTGCAGACAATATCTAAATCCTTGTTCTAGACAAGGTAACAAACTAACTAGCTGTCCAGTGGAAGCCTCATGCCGATGCCGTCAGGAGATTCACAGGCAGAATAGCGGGATGTGGTGGTATCGAAGGCGCAGTGGATATACGGTGCTCTTACCGAATACAGAGCATTTCGATCGCCATACTGGAGTTGCCACAACAAGCGGTGTCTAGAGCGACGGCCCAGGTACAACTACCGTTCGATTGATCTTCGTGCTTCCCCAACCTTCAACCCGCCGAGCTCGTGGTCTCGTTGCTCATCCTCATATTCGAAGCATTATTAGGACCTCCGTCGCGAACCTCACCCTATCGCCCGTCGAAAATCTCTAGATACCCTCTTGCTGTCCGATTCCTGTTATTTTCGGCCCCCCTCGATCTCCGGGCTTATCCACCCACACTCGGTCTGACTTCTCGCTGAAGCTGTCGTAGTCTTTGGTTGAGAGACTGTCATTTTTCCGTCCAGACTGAATCGGTGCTGTCCTTGCTCTTGATCGTCTCGCCTGCTACTTTATCGCGAAACCGTGAGGGAGCGATGGTCATTCCTACGCTCCGTCGATGAGCTCCATGATTGAGGGCAGTGATGACCGGGCACGAGAGGATGAGCTCGACTTGGGCCAAGAGAGCCAGCATTACTCTGAGCCGACGCAAAACGGAATTCCGGAGGACCCGGAGTCAGGGGTCGAGCTGGGAGATACGTCAATGGCACACGTCGATGCGGATCTTCCAGTGGTAGCTGCCCCCAACCTTACCTCCGAGAACAACACCACCTCCTTAGTCGAAGTTGATACGACTGATACTCCGTTGTCACCCTATTCTGGGCAGCCTGGTGGTCCCGGTAGTGTCGATGAAACCGCCTCGATTCCGGATGATTCCCCTTCCTTACATGTTTGTTGCGACTCATGTTCTTATGGCCCGTTTTATTCGCTGATTGCACTAGGGCTCCATACTGTCCTCGCAAAGCAGCAGTGCTTTGGCACTTCGAGGCTCTCCTCTCCCTAGTCCCAGTCCCAGTCCATCGCATCGCCCTTTCGACCTGCGCTTCCAATCCCGACTCTCCTCTTGGTCGTTGAGTGCGTTTCGTCCGTCGTCCCCGTTTCTGGCCCAGACTCATTCTCGAAAGCCATCCCGCACAAGTCGACTGTCCCCAGCCATCGCTAATTCCGATACTGGATCCCTGCAGGGCCCTTGGGATGTAGTACGGTGGACCAAGCTGAGGAAGATAACCGGGCACGCATTCTCAGAGGTCGGAAAACGAAATTTTGGCTACCCGACTTGTTTGGCAGTTTCAACCACCATCGTGATAGGGACGTCTAAAGGTATCATTCTGGTGTTTGACTACCAGCAGAATTTACGGACAATCATTGGGTCGGGAGCAAAAAGTATGTCGGATTCCTGTATACTTGCTGAACAAATGACTAACTTCCCTTGGACTTAGCCACCGAATGCGGAGCGATCATGTCGCTGGCGCTTTCTGCGGACCACTCGACAGTCGCTGGAGGCCATGCATCGGGCGACATATTCACATGGGAAATATCAAAGTCAGCACGACCCTTTCTCCACATACCGCCTATTTCCATGAACCAGGTCGACAGTGGCACTTCGGAAGGGCACCTCACTGGATCTTCAGTGATCCACGTGGGATTTCTGGGGACCAGACGCACCGCGCTTGTATCGGCTGATAAACGAGGAATGGCCTTCTCTCACTTAGCAACCCGAGGCATGGGCGCCGTAGGGAGGACGGTGAAGACGACTAGGATTCTAGGGCGATACCCACAATATGTAGGACCTGGCAGTCGGCCGCGCAAGCCGAGCTCGGTGCTTGCGTTTTCGCCTCTCCCACTTGGTAACGTGGAACAGCCAACCGATTCTCTGGGTTTGGTCGCCATGATTACACCCTATCTCCTGGTAATCGTCTCCACGACACCCGTGGCTCGCACTCAGCACAAAGCACCACGCCCGAAGGACGTTGCCGCCCATGGCGCAATGACTGGAGCCTTGGCCTGGTTCCCAGCAATCAGACTCAAGGGTAAGGATGCCCAGACATCCAAAACCAAACTTGTCTACTGTTGGTCAAATGTGTTAACCGTACTGGATGTGTCTGAGTTTGATACGGACGAGCCACCGGACAGAGACAGACCTCCAAACCTGGAGTTCAAGGCACGGAGCCGATGGAAAGCTGAAGAAGCCATCGTCGCCGTGCAATGGTTGAGTCGCTCCGTGATGGCCGTGCTCACAATCACGCAGCAGTTACTTATCCTTGAGGACTATTCCATGCGCGTAACCGACGCTATAGATATCCTCAGCCGACACATCTACCATGTTGACTTGTTCTCATCACAGCTGCACTCGCTGGTTGAGCAGCTAGACGAAGACAATACATCAATGCATAGTGTTGTGGCGGACGCATTTTTCATGAGTTTTCTTTCCTATAAAGGTCGCTTGTTCCTTCTGAGCCACAACGACGTCTTTATAGGCGGCCTCTCCAACTGGGCAGACCGACTTCTAGCGCTCATGGAGGCAGGTGACTTCATTGGGGCCATTCGACTGGCGACATCCTACTACCAAGGTATCGGAGAGAAGCTCACTGTTGGTTTACCGGATGAAGATGTCTTAAGGCAGCCTATGGTCCGGGAAAAACTCCTAGAGATGGTGTCGGCCTCTTTGAAATACGCCTTCGGCCGGAACCAGGAGGCGGGTAGTGAGCGACTGGGAATCCGCCAACTCGAGGAACTAGCCGAAGTCTCCATTTCGGCTTGCATTTGTCTGGCTGACGAGGAGTTTCTCTGGTATGAAGTATTCCATTGGTATGAGGAAAATGATTCACAAGGGATCTTTGTTGATGCACTTGAACCGTATATTATCGACGGAGCCGTGCGGTCTCTTCCCCCTACGGCAGTCAAAGCACTTGTCAGCCATTTTGCAACTAACCATACGGCTAGCCGTTTGGAGGAAATAATCTGTCTGCTTGATACGACTACTATGGACATTGACCAAGTTACGACGATGTGCAAGCAGTACAACCTATACGATGCATTTATATATGTCTGGAACCGCTGCCTAGAAGACTATGTGAGCCCACTGCAAGAGCTCTTGGCACTCATTCCTTCTCGGGGGGCCCTGGTCAACGAAAATTCCGTAAACGAACTCAGGCACTATACGAATGCTGTGAAAATGTTTCCATACCTGTCATTTGTCCTCACTGGCCGCATCTATCCTACAGGGGATGATATGGGTGAAACCGAAGCAACCCGCGCCAAGACAACCTTGTATGAGTATTTATTCTCAGGTAATTCGTCTGACACAGGGACAGCCATGCCCCCTGAACCAAACGACTCGTACCCTGACCTTCAGGCTATGCTGAAGTTTGATACGCCTGGGTTTATGAGCATGCTCAACGAGGCGTTTGAAGATAGCTTCTTGAACGAACAAGAAGCCGACGAGACTCCATTCCACGGAGTAACAATCAACCGACAGTATTTGATCAGCTTGTTGTTGCAAATCATGGACCCTTCAGTCTTCCCGTCTTCTGATACCATTTACCTGGACATGTTTATTGCTCGCAACCTTCCGAAATATCCCCAGTATATCCTTCTTTCCGGCACCACGCTTCACCAGGTCCTGGAGCGATTGTGCCAATATCCAACCCAGGAAATGAAAGAAGATTGCGAACTCAGCGCTGAGTATCTACTGTCCTTTTATCATCCTCCGGACATCCAGAGCATGATCCCGCTGTTTCAACAGGCACGATTTTACCGGATTCTCAAATCCACCTACCGATCGGAGAAACAATTTCCGCAGCTGGTATTGACTTACTTTGAGGATCCGAGTGATCAGAAAGCGATTTTCACTTGCCTACAAGACTGTCTTCGCCCCGGTTCGCGATTGGGTAAGAAACAGAGGCGGGATGTCATCGACGTAATCAAGAGCCGTGCTGGTCAGTTAGTGGCGATTGATGTTGAGGCGGCTGCCCAGACAATGCAGGACTTCGCGCCCGAGGCCCACGAGACGCTGTTCAATTCACTGAAAGACGATACCTACGGGCAGTATCGGTATTTGGCTATCATCGTTGAGCCTGCTACACAGCCTATCGCCGAGAGGCATGCCTCTAAAGCAGTGGAGAACTGGATGATCGAATGCTATGTGCAACTCCTCTGCAAGCACAATCCGTCGCACGTCGCGGACTTTGTGGATGAACTCCGGGTTGGTGATGTGCGGCTCGATGAACTGCTGCCCGCGATGGAAGAAAGTGGAGTTGTGGATGCAGCTGTCATATTGCTGGCTAGACAGGGCCAGGTTCAAGCTGCCATGGGCCGTCTTGTTGCTCACCTGAGAACGCTAGAGTCGGGTCTCGTCGGAATTCTTCAGAGCATACGGGACAGTCCGGATTCGGCCAGTACCGTAGAGGCGATCGATGGCCTCGTCGAATCCTTGGACAAATATGCACGGGTTGGAACATGGCTCTGTCAGGGTCAGACGAAGACGGCCAAGAAGCCGCGACCCGCCGAAAGAAATGGTGGGAGAAAGACTGCCGTCGACCAGCCCCTTTCATTTGATGAGAACCTCTGGCTAGACCTCATCGAGGCCGTCGTCCGAACGGCTAGTAGCGTTTTTGCGCTGATCCAGGAAGAACTGCCGGACCAAAATCAGACACAGCTAGGCCCGGTGATCTCACCAACGGGACACAGCGCAGCGCAACTCATGCCATCCTTCCGTCGGCTAGTCCAGCAAGTGTTCAGTGCTCTGCTCTCCAGCACCGTCCGGGTTGGGGGGGTCGTCGTTCACGGAACCGAGTGACGTGGCTTTCCTTCGCATCTTGCGCGCATTCCTCACGCGTGCATCACACTGGTCACCCTCTTTGCTTGAGTTACGTGCCGTTCTTGCGTCAATATTTTGGGCCTACACATATGAGAAGTCACTGCTGGCGCTAGCTAATGGCATGCTGGACCGCGACCTCTTTGTGCATGTGGACGAGGTAACGCGACTACGCCAAAGGGGATGGCGGCCACGGGGCCAAGTCTGTGAGATCTGCCGGCAACGGATTTGGGGGCCAGGGGGGTAGGGTCCCAATACTGGCAATTGTGGGAAACAAAGCAGACCGATGCGCAGCAGCGTCGCATCACTCGCCAGTTGCACGAACGACCTGACCCGGTCACCTCCCGGGGCAAGGGTAAAGCGGCTGCAGTACCGGAAACCAGTCAGACGCTACATCCTCACGAGGAGCACGCGGATTCGGGGTCCCTGGATGGTGTTGAGGAAGGGATGGAGGGGCACCCTGGAGAGGGCCGTGAGATGCCGATAGGGCCTGCGGTGGTGTTCTCCTGCCGGCACCTTTATCACCGACAGTGCCTGGTGCAGTTGGCCCCATCGAAGCTGACGCATCACGGCCACTACGCGCCCGAGGGATCAGGAGGGGAACTGTTCGCCTGTCCAATCTGTCCTGTACATACCGTTGACTGAGCCATTTACTCTGTTGCTGACTGAAAAGATCCCGTGAGCCTGAATTCAAACTATTCTATTTAAGATGTTTATTTTTGTTTTCTTCAGCCACCTCTCTGCTGGGTCATGAGTGGTTGGATATACTCCGTCATGGTAGAGGCGGGAACCAAGGATGATGACCCCGGTCGTAGATTGGGAGGAAATGAATGACATGCCGATCGCGAAGGATTCTACGAGCGAGCGAGGGAGACACAGAAAGAGAGAGAGAGAGAGTCAGAGAGAGTCAGAGAAGGCTGAGCTAAAAAGGCTTTGTTCTGCTTGGATCACATGCCATCTGGATTGGGAAAATGGACGTCTCGCCGATCGTCTGTACTTTTTCTTTCCCTTCTTCTCCTTCGCCATCATTCATCCATCCATCATCCATCATCTGTCCATCGATCATCCCTTCTTCTGACTCGCATCGTCACGGGCAACCCGGATCGTCCCTAGTCCTTCCTCTCTGGGTTCGCTCATCATTCTGGACCGCACGAGGCCTTACACAGTATCGCTCCTAGCAAGCTGAGTGGTCGCGACCAAATTTTGCATCTGATTTACGACGTGTCAGAACGCTCGACGACGTGCAGAATGACCTCGATCTAACTCCCTCCATGTCGGCATTGGGCAAATGAAAAATATCCGGCTCCACCAACCTTATTTCGCCATCCCTTTGGTTGATGCATCCTGTCGCTGAATTGCCGGCTCCCTTTGCTCAGATGTGCCGTCTGGCCCCTGCTCTGGTTACACTATGTAAATCCGAAAACCAATCTTAGGGGTCCAGGAACTTGCCCCCAGATCCATGGATTGGCTCGCTGCGCGCCGTCATGATCCTTTTCCCCGTCCACATGGGTTCTGCAGTAGGTCTCAAGGCTTGATCGCCTGGGCGCATCATGGCGGGAAGCCACCCTTCACTCGCATCGTCCCCGGTGTATACTTCGTGTAGGAGTATATATCTAGGACTGTTGCCCATGGAAGGCTAAAGAGAACACTGCTTTGTGACATTCCTTTATCTGCTGTCTGTCGTCCTCTCCTTTTGTTTTCAGGCTGTCGGGCTAGATGCCACCGTTCCTTGTATAACCATTCTGAGTATATATACATTCATCGCTTCGCATCCACATATCCCCTTCCCATATTCTTTCTTTTGAACTCCCTCCGTTCCTTCTGCTCTAGACCAAACGCAAGATGCACGTCTTTTCCACCCTTTTCCCGGTCCTGGGATTCTCGGCGCAGCTTGCTACTGCAGCCTACACTCTGAGGGATGACTATGGGCCTTCATTCTTTGATAAATTTACCTTCTTCACGGCGCCGGACCCTACCAATGGTTTCGTCAAGTATGTAGACCGTCAAACCGCCCAAAACAGCGGTCTGATCTCTACGGATGGGTCTATCCGCATGGGCGTAGACTCTACCAACGTCGCTCCCGGCGGCCGTCAGAGCGTGCGCATTACCAGCAACCAGGCCTACGATCGTGGTCTGTTTATTTTGGATCTCGACCACATGCCTGGCGGCATCTGTGGTACCTGGCCTGCCTTGTAAGTGGTCCAATCTCCATATTATATCCATATCCTCTTCTATACACACACCGCCTTCTAATATCCCCTATTCAGCTGGCTTGTCGGTCCCAACTGGCCCAACAACGGCGAGGTCGATATCATCGAAGGTGTCAATGATCAGAGCAAAAACAAGATGGCCCTCCACACCAGTGATGGCTGCAAAATTGACAATACCGGCTTCTCTGGCTCCCTGACTACTAGCAACTGTTTCATTTCGGCTCCAGGCCAAGATGCCAATGCGGGTTGCGGCATTGAAGCTCCTAGTCCCCAGTCTTACGGCACTGGTTTCAATGGCAACGGCGGCGGTGTCTTTGCCACCGAAATAACGGGTAGCGCCATCAGTATCTGGTTCTTCCCTCACGGTCGTGTCCCGGGAGATATCGGCAGTGGGAACCCTAACCCGTCGTCCTGGGGCACCCCCGATGGACGGTTTGCCGGTGCATGCGACATCAACGCTCATTTCAAAGGACTGCAAATTGTACGTTTCTCCCCTCCTTTAGACCTCCCCTCTTTCCATATCCACAGTCCCCACACTGATCCAATAATATTCTATCTTGATCCCGAACTAACGCAGGCCACCTAGGTCTTCGATACAACATTCTGTGGCGACTGGGCCGGCGGTGTCTGGGGTAGCAGTGGCTGCGCCTCTAAGGCAGGTTCTTGCCAGGACTTTGTCGCCAACAACCCATCCGCCTTCACAGACGCATTTTGGAAGATCAACTCCCTCAAGGTGTACCAGTCCAACAATGCCGCAAACGTGCTGCAGCAGACATCCCCAGGCAGCGTTCACATCCCTTCGTCCACTCCGAGCAGTACCCCCACTACCACTACTTCGTATGTCAAAAGACATCATCAAGGTCGACATGCTCACATTATGTAAATAAATAGTCTGGTGGATTGTCGATAGTGTGATAATGATAGTGATAGTGATAGCACTGTGTGTTTTCGCTTTCTTGTATATGATTTTTTTTTCTGGTGACTCTTGGAGATAGGAATGAGCTATGTCGTTAGCTTTATACATATACCATTCTTTTTTTTTTCGATCCATTCGTTTTCTGGTGATGATTGATGATATACATGGCTATATCTTTGGGATATGGGATCCGCTGGCAACATCTGTAGGATCTGGTTCTTTCTCGTTACCGTCGTACGATGATGCATACGTCGGATTGATGGGTCTGATGATACCTAGTATAGCATGCTTGTAAAAGCACCCTCATTATTTCGCCGCCAGTGACATGTACAGCCGGCAACAAGGTGAGACGGATAAATTACCATCAGTAAAAAAACAAGATGGCTAGCATGCTATGCAAGTAACAGGACTATCGACAAAAGAAAAGGCAGAAAAAAAATATAGAATTCTATGGTCTATATCCAAGCATATCTCTTTGATCGTCTGTGATCCGACCCCATTCCAGAAGAAGTCGAAAGAAGTATATCTCCATATCTTCTTTCCGCAGGGCCTTCTCCGCCCACTTGCGCCCCTCTTCGGCGATCCACTGTCCTTCGGTATTATGTGGTTCCATGAGGACTGGGAGCTGGCCGCTACTATCTGTGCTAGTAGACATGCTAACCCCGGCAAAATAGGCCACAGTGCTCCAGAGTCCATGCAGACGGAGATCAACGGGTACGAAGTGAAGCCAGGGCGAAAGACGCGAGTCAAACCATTGGCGGAACAAACCGGTTTTGAATGGAAGGCTGCGACTCTTCAGGAAGGGGAGGAAACGGCCGCTGAAACCGGCGCCGTCCGAGTCAAACAGATATCGATGGCCCCAGTGGCTTTGGAAATCCACAGAGGGCGTCGTACCCAGCTCCTGTTTTTGCTCCTTGCAGTCGTTTCGGCAGCGGACGACGTTGGTCAGGTGCACGGTTGTATCGAGACCGAGTTCCTTGGACGGCGTCCAGCCATCTAGAATCTGATAGGAGGTCTGGTTGGCATTCACAGGTAGTAGTACAGATACCTTATTCAAGGTGTTGTTGTTGATAAGGTGTACGAGGCGCTGGCGCGGTATGCCCTTCCATTCGCCATTGCGGCTCATGCCTTCAGATGTGCTGCCAACCCAGAAAAGATCGTTAATTTTGTCTGTGTAATCAGGATCAGGGTGTTTATCGGAAGGATTGTATTTGATTTTATCCACATAGTTCCATGGACTGGGGAATATAATGTCATTAAAGCCAGAAATTGAGCTTTGGCTAAAAAGCGGTATCAAGTCCTGAGTGACCTTGAATGATGCCGGAGAGATGAGGAACCCATGAAGATAGGCAAGGTCAGGCTGGTGGCAGATATCGGACGCAGCAGCCCAGTCCGAAGGAAATTGGCCCAGTGAGTGGGGACGAATGCAGTCCAGGCATAAGTTGCGGCGGTTCCATATTCGTTGAGAACGTGCTCTCGAAGATGGCGAGCAAACAAGGCTTGCGTAACGGTCGAAAATATTTTTGAAGGAGCTGTCCGTGAACATGGTCTCCATTCTTTGATCAGCTGGTTCTATTGGGCCCCATTGTTTTGCACGGTCTGTTGACCACTGTGTCACAATGTTGTCGCTTGATGGTGGTGCCTGTGACTCTGCCTGATCTCTCAGGATAGACGCTCTTTCCCAGGGGACTGCAACTCGAGGTTCATCGTTTAAATTGAAAACCACATCCATATCTGGGAGATATTCGACGAAGTTTGCCATCATTTTGGCTGCGCTGTGAACCATCCAGGCATGGGTTGGCTTGATATCCTTCTGGACCCTTGCCGTACCATTACGAATACTGACCGCGCCAACTTCATTATAAGGGTTCGTGGCTAATTTTTGAGTCATACTTCGGATTGTATGTGGCGGTAGGGCGCGAAATGGGAGCAGATTTGAATGGATTTGATCGAATTCATCAATCACAACTGAAGACCTGTTCGTGGCATACTCATACCATTTGTCGAACCCCCTGAATGGATATTAGCGTAAGAGCTCAAGGTTGCTAACGGTTTCGAACTCACGGGGGTGGATGCTGTTTGTACTTCACTCGGTACTGCTCAACAGCTTGTGTTAAATTCTTGCTGCTACTGGCTGTAGATGACCAATTTTTATGATGGAGTCTCCCTTCGTACACAAGTAAGTCGATGGGGTGGAGATTGACCACTCCTGGCTGATGAGTAACTAAAATAAGCCCAATGCCAAAGAATAGCGCGAAGAGGCATCTCATAAAAATGTTAAATCCATGTAAGAATTTCGGTTCGTCCTCGGACGTTGTTCGGGCAGAAAGAAATCCAACCACTCCAAGAAATGTGAGAAGAAGAGCAATGAAGGCGCGAGAGGCTAGGATGGGCGGGAAAGGCTCTTGCCCATGGAATAAAGCCGAAGACAATGTGAAATAGATCGAGATGAAACCCGCCAGTATGGAGAGTCCGGTTGCACTATAATAAGGAATCTAAAGGGTAAGCATATGAACGGACGAAAATATGGCTCATAGCTCTCACAATTTGAGCCGCTGAAATGATGACGCAGGTCACTAACAACCCTTGGCCCGCGGCGCTTCTCAGATAATGGGAATTTACCCACTGGCCATCCTCAGGAGGAAATACAGCCTTCAAAATGAGCGCCGTAATTGTCCAGAATACACCAACACCCTATTAAGGTATGGTAGTTAGAATAAACCCAAGTTTAAGATAGCAAGGAAACCTACAAGAAAGCTGTAACCCCAGGAGGTTAAGGCTTGCTTCTTCTGGGCGTCTCGACTACCAGCGACGTCCCGAGATAGTTCGGCAGCGCTGATCACAATCAACGAGTCCAGAACCGTGTTAAGAATACTGAATGCACGTAGGCGCGGATATTGTCCAGACAGAGAAGAGCAAACGTAGGTGGACTGGAGGCCTTCACTGAAGCTGGATGTCAAATATCCGCCCGTTGTAAGAAATAGAGCTGATATTATATATCTCAGACGACTTCGACAAAGAAAGTGGAATGTGCGACTGGTAACGAAAACTGCAGCACAAAAATATTTAGCTGAAGGAAGATCCGATGCAGTCGACTTTGAAATTGGATGATAACGTTGATTGCGCAGAAAATCGTAAATTGAGACGAGAAACGGGATTATATACTATACCGAATTTATGATCAATTAGCTCATCTCGATGCTTACAGTCTGGGGAACCGGACGCTTACCGCATATCCAGCAGGCGCGCATTCGTTTTGAAGAGTGATCTGGCGGTACAGTGCTATCCGCAAACAACCAACACTGGAAACCAAAGTAACTTTTACCCAGCTTACGGGATAACGTGTCTCCACATCGGAAGAGTCACTAGCAGGGTTGAGAGGCGACGAAGGCACCCCTCCAGATGGTTGGCCGCGTTCTGTGAGTGGGATGGCGGAATATTGGTGTGTAGTCAAAGAAGTTTTCGGTATATAGTGGATGAGCTTGCTTGATATCAAGAGCGAGATCCCTGCCAGGAAACATGCAAATACGGCCGAACCCAACGGATGATCTGGTCCGGGAACTTTCCATCAGTTGTGGACTTGTCCAGAGGTGGTATTTGCGCTGTGTAATGGAAGAATCACTTCTAGTTCTTTCAGGGTTTTTTCTTTTCTTTTCTTTTCTTTTTAAGTCCCAGCTATTCGGTTGAACTTACCAAACGCGAACGTCGTCGAGTAAGAAGTTGTCAATAACATGCAACTTAATAAGTATAACCTGTGGATTTCGTGAGCTGGATTTTCGCATAGGAGCTGGAAGGCAACGGTATTTACCCTACTGAGGCTTGAAGGCCCAACTCAGGGGAGAAACAAGACATGGCGACACAAATTATGGGGTAAGAAAATCCACAGCCATTATTGCATAGAGCCAATTTACCTCATACAGCGCAGGCCAGGCACTGCATGCGCCGGAGAAGGTCGAGCGGCTAGGATCAAAGCCGAGAAAGAGGAGAACAAGGGTCCCTTGGGTGGAGATGTCAAAAGGGAAGGGGAAGGGAAGTGGGAACGGGAAAGGACGAAGGGGTGAAGGGATATTAGTAGTACTGGGTCAGTAGGGAGCAAGACAACCACAATAAAAATACAAATAACAATAATAGGGGCAGAACAGACCGTCAATGATTCATATCACAATGGTTGGATTGCGTCAACAATGTTCGATGGTGGTTAGGTTGACAGAGAGAGAGAGCTTGGACCGCTGCTGCGGAATTTATTTGAGACAATCACCGACGATCAATTGGTCTCTCTTTTGTTGGTGTGACAGGCACTATTCCGAGAGCTTTTGCCACGTTGGAACCTCGTTATACCGAATATTCCACGTCGACTCCTTTTGTCACTGACATCAACTCAACAGTGAAGAGAGCTCTGCTAATCCAATACTGACCAGTTGTTGGAGTTCCGGGAATTAAGCTCTTTAAGTGTCAAAAGTTTCCCGTATTGAGCGACCAAAACAATCATCTGTTCAACGAAGGATGGCCTCCATTTCTGTAAAACCTAGCCAGTCTCAATATAAAGCACTTCGTATTCATGGAACTGGAGGTAGTACTATCGTTTCTTTCCTCGTAAAAATGGAGTTAACCCAGTATGTAATGTAATCCATGTAATTAATAACTATTATCATGCGACCGAAGTTACAGGGATTATTATATAATTATGCAACATAACTAATAACTAGTTAACCTAGTTGCTTTGTTCATCAATTTGATCTAGTCCCCTTTAGGAAATGGCTGCAGATGACTACACGTGTTGTGCCTTTTCCCAAGGCGGTGTCTTTATAGGCAAGCGGTGAACCGGAACTTTTTTTTTTTTTTTTATTTGGTCGAAACAGGAAAAACGCAAGTGCAGTCAGTCATTTCTTCTTTTCAGTTCTAGCAAGCGCCCATCTTTTGCATCCTTTTGCTCGAGGCCTGGTTTGTACCTCTGAGGGATTGAAAGTGTATTCGGTCATATTAGTATATTCTGGTCAGCTCAGGATTTTGGTCTGTTCGGTGAAGGAGAAATATTGTGGACATCATGCCTCGCAAGGCAATCGATTCGCGCATTCCTGCGCTCATTAACAATGGCATTCAGGAGAAGAAGCGGAGCTTTTTTGTCGTGGTTGGCGATCGGGCAAAAGATGCGATCGTTAATCTGCATTTCCTTATGTCCCACAATGTTAAGCAGAATAAGTCGGTTCTATGGGCTTACAAGAAGGACCTGCTAGGATTCACAAGCCATAGGAAGAAGCGTGAGGCGAAGATCAAAAAGGAGGTGAAAAGAGGCATCAGAGAACCCAATCAAGAGGATCCCTTCGAGTTGTTTATCACGTTGAACCAGATCCGATATGTGTACTACAAAGAGACGGAGAAGATTCTAGGAAACACCTACGGAATGTGTATCCTACAAGACTTCGAAGCCATGACGCCAAACCTGCTTGCGCGGACCGTCGAAACTGTCGAAGGAGGTGGGGTAGTGATATTGCTGCTAAAGAGCATGAACAGCTTGAAGCAACTCTACACAATGTCAATGGATATTCACTCGAGATACCGGACTGAGGCCCATGACGATGTGACTGCCCGTTTCAACGAACGCTTTATCCTTTCTCTTGGAGGCTGCGATTCATGTTTGGTGGTCGATGATGAGCTGAACGTGTTGCCAATTTCAGGCGGAAAGAATGTGAAGCCACTCCCACCTCCCGGACCCACTGATGCAGAGAGCACAGGTACAAAGAAGGAGCTGAAAGACATCAAGGATAGCTTAGTGGAGACTCAGCCTGTCGGGCCTCTTGTCAATCTCGCTCGCACCGTCGATCAAGCCAAGTCCCTCCTTACGTTTGTCGATGCGATTGCGGAGAAGACTCTTCGAAGCACCGTTACGCTGACTGCGGCAAGAGGTCGCGGAAAGTCGGCTGCTCTAGGTGTCGCTATTGCTGCAGCAGTTGCCCATGGCTATAGCAACATTTTCATCACATCTCCCAGCCCCGAGAACTTGAAAACGCTCTTTGAATTTGTGTTCAAGGGATTTGATGCTCTTGGCTACCTCGACCACGTCGACTATACTATTCTTCAGTCTACGAACCCTGATTTCAATAAAGCTATTGTCAGGGTTAATATTCACCGCCAGCACCGTCAAACCATCCAATATATCCAGCCCCAGGATGCCCATGTGTTGGGTCAGGCCGAACTTCTCGTCATTGACGAGGCTGCTGCCATCCCACTGCCCCTTGTGCGTAAGCTGATGGGCCCTTATCTTGTATTCATGGCTTCTACCATCAATGGCTACGAAGGAACGGGTAGATCTCTCTCATTGAAGTTGATTCAACAGCTCCGCGAGCAGTCAAGAGGAGGCCTCAAGACCAATGGCCAGGAGGAGGCTGATGTTGCTGATCGCGCAACTGGTAAATCCGCTAAGAACCCAGAGAAAAGCTTAGGAGGCCGAACTCTGCGAGAGGTTACATTGTCCGAACCTATCAGATATGCGCCCGGAGACTCTGTTGAGAAATGGCTGAATAAGCTCTTGTGCCTTGACGCAACCTTGCCCAAGTCCAAGATGAACATGCAGGGCTGCCCTCATCCGTCACAATGCCAGCTTCTACAAGTCAACCGAGATACCCTGTTTTCATTCCATCCTGTCTCTGAAAAGTTCCTCCAGCAAATGATGGCCCTTTATGTTGCCAGCCACTACAAGAATACCCCTAATGATCTCCAACTCATGAGCGACGCGCCCGCGCACCAGCTCTACGTGCTTGTCCCACCAATAGATGAGGATAGCGTCAAGTTACCGGAACCTCTTTGTGTCATCCAGGTAGCTCTAGAAGGTCGCATTAGCAGACAAAGTGTTCTCAATGGTTTGAGCCGTGGACAGCGTGCCGGAGGTGACCTGATCCCGTGGCTTGTCAGCCAGCAGTACCAAGATGAAGATTTTGCCGGTCTGTCAGGTGCCAGAATTGTCCGTATCGCGACGAATCCGGAGTATTTGAGCATGGGTTATGGATCGCGGGCGCTTGAGTTGCTCATTGATTTCTACGAGGGCAAGTTCTACAATCTCTCCGAAGATGCACCAGTGACACAAGAGGAAATGGTCAGAGTTACCGACGAAGAGCTGGCAAATTCCAACCTTCTGGACGACAATGTTCATGTTCGGGACATCCGATCCATGCCACCCCTCTTTGCCAAACTGTCTGAATCTCGACCCGATTCTCTTGATTATCTCGGTGTCAGCTATGGGTTGACACCATCCCTACATAAGTTCTGGAAGCGCTCCTCGTTTGCCCCTGTGTATCTCCGCCAAACACCAAATGACTTGACCGGTGAACACTCGTGTGTGATGCTGCGCACCCTGAGCACGGGAGATAACGACGCAAGCTGGTTGGGGGCTTTTGCACGAGACTTCCACAAGCGTTTCCTTGCACTGCTGTCGTATCAGTTCAGGGAGTTCCCTTCTGTGCTTTCGCTCAGCATCTGCGAATCTGCCAATGCTGGCGCCAAGCTCGACACCTCGCTCACCCCTTCGCCCCTGACCAAATCCACTATCGATGCCGATCTGTCTCCCTTCGATCTTAAGCGTATCGACAGTTACTCAAACAATCTGCTTGATTACCATGTCATCCTCGACATGGTCCCTACCATCGCAGAGTATTATTTCTCCGGTCGTCTCAGCGGCAAGGTTAGCCTATCCGGTGTCCAGCAGTCTATCCTGCTCGCCATCGGTTTGCAGCGAAAGACCTTGGATCACCTGGAGAAGGAACTCAGTCTGCCACCATCCCAGCTTCTAGCGATGTTCCTCAAGATCATCCGTAAAATGTCGACCCATTTCCGTGCTATTATTGAAGGTTCTGTCGCAGAGACAATGCCCTCCGTAAAAGTCCCAGTGACACAGGCATCCGATGAAGCCCATGACGAGGTCACCGACGAGAGATTCAAGCCACTGGAGCAGAGTCTTGACGACGAGCTACGCGAGGGAGGACAGCAGGTGAACGTGGAGCTACGGGAGAAACAGAAGGCTTTGATCGACGCACTCCCTCTTGACCAGTAAGTGGGACCCCCTTCCAAGAGCAGTGGCCTATAGGCATCGTACGGATGAACAATAACTGATTTCTAGCCTCCAGATACGAAATTAACAACGGCAGTGCTGCTTGGGAAGAAGCTGAAAAACAGATCCGTAGCGGGAAGACGTCGACAGTCAGTGTCAGGTCATCGAAGCCTAGCAAGCGCAAGAAGGGAGAGTCGGCTAGGGAGATCTATGACACGGAAATTGATTCGAAGAGACAGAAGATTATTAAGAAGGGCACGGAAGGGCGAAAAGGGAAGCATTAATGAATGAAGCGCGACATGATAAAGTTAGAAAATCAGGTGCGTTTGTCTCAACTGAGATGGTCTCTCGGGGTTGCATAATTGAATGTGGTGTTATCTGGGTTCTGTGTCAAGAATTTGGTCTGGATTCATTGATTTAGGAACGTCTACTGTATATATGCTAGTTTGACTTCTGGTAAACTTGAAAGAAAAGTTTCAATTGGTATTAAGTTATAAATGACCTTTTTTCCCCTCTTTACTACTTCTAACGCACGATTGGCCACACCATTGGACGTGTCTTTTCCTATGAATGAGTATCTCAGCCCTATGTTGAATTCCTTGGTAGATCTACAGTTCATCGTGCTCGGCAGCTTGCTCATCAGCCTCATCCTTGACAATGCCATCCGGTAACTTGCTCCTTGACCCTTCACCCAGCTTGATGGCATCGATCCAAGCCTCCACTCGTGCCAGATCATAGTTTGCACTCTCCGAAGGATCGTATCTTCTCCACCAGCCTCTGCGCCCGTTCAGAGCAATAACCTCAACGGACTTGTCGGACAATTCAAGCTCAGTACGCAGCGTGTTGGCTCCACTGTTGGCGGCTGGGACACTATAAAAGGGGAATAGTTTGCTCTGCCGCAGAGAATGCCTATGTGCGACTTCCGACAGGCTGTTCAGGGCCTCTTTAGCAGAGATAGGGAGGTCTGTCTTGGCTTCAGTCTCAGTGGACACTGGGAGAAGTACCAGGACACAAGTGCCAGACTTAGACGTCAAACAAGCAGACTCCAGTGACTCCCCCGTTGAAAGAGTATCAATGGCAGCTGCCTGGGTTGGGGCCTGCGAGGGTTTCGATCCTTCTTGAGGACCATCATCCGGGACTACTTTGGAGTCTGGAGACTCGGTCGGCTTCGTCTTTTCTGTCTGAGCCTTGGATGATTTGGATGCTTTGGAAGCTTTTGCTCCAGACTTGACCGGAGCAGGGTCCGGGTTAGGGTCCGCGACCTGGCCAATGAATTCAACTAGTGGCTTTTTCTTGAGTTCACCGTCGTAAACAATGGGCTCCTTTTTGCCTCCGGGGAGTAGAATGAGCGACGGGAATTTATCAATGCCGAATTTTTCTACAGCGTTCGCCTCCTTGTTGCGTATTTGGGCCACCTTAACCGACCCAAGGAAGTCGATTGCGATGGCTCGGATCAATGGGCTTGTGGTTCCCTTTTCAGTGAAAAGGATGGCCTTAGGTGCCTCCTCATCCTCAGATAGCCAAGACTCTAGATCCTTATCCGTGACCTTCTTCACATGATTGGGTATTTTATCCGTCACTGCATTGACTATGGCTTTGGCACTCCTAGCACCCTGGTAGTCTTCCACCCTAGGTTTCCCCGGTTTTTTGGATGGAGTCATAATCTTGATCGTCGGGAAGCCTTGTACACCCATGCGGCCGCAGAAAGATTTGTTCTCGTCATCGTCGCAGTTAACGGCCGCCACCTTAGCCAATCCATCCAACGATTTCGCGGCTTTCTCGTAAGCTGGCTTCAGGTTCTGGCAATGGCCACACCAAGGGGCGTAAAATCTAACACGACACGGGGCTTGTTTAGAAGCTGGCAGCTAATTTGACAAAGGCACAACGAGCTTACTCTACGATCTGGGCAAGATAATTAGCTTTTTTTTAAGGAATTGATGGTCTGTAGAGCATCGCCTTACCGATGTATAATTAGAGTCAGCTATGAGCTGGTCATAGTTCTTCTGGTTGACCTGCAACACCGGAGACTTCTTGGTGTACAATCCATCCGCATTGGCTGGAAGAGCTGTGAGGAGGGACGTGGCAAGAAGAAATGCAGAACTGGGCTGCAGCATCATGGCAAAGAACGATCAAATGTGTTCACTGCTTCGAGGTACGTGTCAGAGGCAAATACGCGTAGCAGGACAGGCCCTGTAAATATTCAAGGGAAGCGACTTAAAGCAAGGTGTCCTGAAGCTCTTGGCATGTGACTTGCCGCCATTCATGCACCATGATGCAACGCCCCCCTTTTTCTTACTCCTTCCCCTCTCTGCACTGCTAACCATTGGGCAACGGCAGAGTATCCGGACGATTACTTACATCAAGTACGATAGTGTTGGCTTATCAGCGAGTTTTTCCAAAAGATGAGCTGTGGAAATAGTGCTTTGTTTACTGTCCAACCTCGTTCCTGAAGCACCTCCATGGACACCCCACACTCGCTATGTCGCTTGAGGCAATCAGCATTCCTCCTAGAGGTATAGGCTCCGTGGAGCTGGGCTTGGCCTTCCTGCCACGGGAGATCTTTTGGATGATCTTGAAACTACTCTGTCCCAGCGACATTATTCGTTGTCGCCGAGTCTCGCAATCGTGGAATGTAGCGTTCGGGAACCCCTCCAACCTAGTTCCTTTGCTAAAGGAGTTCTTTCCCCTGGCCAAGGAAGTCAGGGCTCTTCACAAAGAAGACAGTTCGAGCACTTCACTGACGCCGGAACAAGATGATCAGCACTGGCGCAGCCTTTTTGACCGGATTGCCTCGAGATATGCTCATCTCGATCGTGGTAAACCGAGATCCGTACAGAAATTCAAGCTGTGCAATGATTTTGGCCCGTCGGGGGAGAGAGAATGGTTTCCCGTGCAACCCTGGGATAGCCATTCCAGTCATCTCATGCAACGGGTTGACTGTCCTTTCTCAGAGCCATTCTGGACCTACGAAGATGGTCTTCTAGTGTACCCGAGCGCGAATTACTCGTGTCTCGTTCTCATGGACTTGAAAAGCAATGGGGATTTTATAGTGCCTTTCGTAATCACGGGGAAGGTAATACGCAGAATTCGAATGCAGAGAAGAGTTCTTGTTGTCGAGTGGGCAGAACCCAAAGCTTTCCACTGGTTAAACGACAGCGACGGAGTACACCGCCATTTTGCTTCGTCATTTGATGTAAATCAGGCATCTAATGGCTGGACTATTACATTCCGAAATGAATGGAAAATCATGTTCCTCGGCCATCCACTCAGTGAGAGGGACAAGTTCTATTCCACTCATAGCCAAACACATTATGCTATATACATCTGGCAGCCCAATCGCAGTTTGTACACAGCAGATGAAGATGCCCCAATCGAGTCGCTTTCCGTTTGGGATATTTCCCAACCATCGTCTTATAGGCCATCTTTAGATCCAAATGGGCACTTACGACATGCTGAAGAAGACCGTGGCCCATCGATTGTCTCGCGGTTTGGATTTAGAGAACTAGGGTTCTACTCCGTTAGGCAGCGCGGACTTCCTCGTGTGCAGTCTCTGAATATCGCCGATGATGATCAATCTATAGAGATCGCGGAAAACGTGTGCACGGGGCCCGTAGACCGGCTCGTTGGTCCAGCTGAATGGACGTCGCAAGTACAAGTCATAAGCATACCCATTATTGGCAACGGGCCTTGTTGGAGGCGTCATGCTAATCCTACCCTGCCTCCTTATCGCGGCAACAGTAGTTTGCAAGCAAAACCTCTCACTTTTGCCGTCTGCGATGAACCTTGGTATACTATCATCTCAGAGACGGTTGATGAGGAGGCGCAGGTTGGTTTTTGCCTTCATTTGTCTCCTATCACATGGCCATTTCATCTCAAAACGTTCTTGAGCATCCGAACGCCATCGTCTGCCACCACTTTAAAGCAGGAGGACATAACTGAGCTCATAGGGAAAGGAAAGATCTACGGGACCGAGAATTATTTGGTTGGAGAGAATGGAAATCGGGAGCTTGTTGTCTATAGGTTTGATCGATGAGCGCAGCTTCTCGAATACGTCACCAACAAACAAACTTCTCCAGCATCCATACGGCATCTTGCGGCACCAGAACGTCTACATCGTGCATATTGACCGAAATCACCCTGAATTGGATGCGTCCGAATCTAAACACTTGGTCTGTGGGAGTGAACCGTCCTGCTCGGTCAGAGTACTGATACTATAGACGACAAACATCCGGTGAATGCTGTGCAAGACAAGCCAACGATCTTGTTTACCAATAGTGGAATACAATTCTAATATATATGCCCCACAGATATTCCGAAGGTAGGCGCCAATTCTCATTTGACGAAATTTGCGACTAGCTCAAATTACAAATTACACATTGCGCATTAATATTTTGTTGCCTCAAGTCCATTATGTGTCCACAACAGCAGTAGATATCAAGCATCTGGCTGTCTCCCACTATCAGGAATTCAAAACAATACAAGAAAATAATTTATGCTCCAATCAAGCAACATCCAGTCTCCCTCCCATCCATCAAAGAAATGCACACAAAGTTCAATTGCCAAAATAACTAAACTTCCATCACCCGTTGTACTGAAACTTGCATCCCACGCAAGCCATTATCCCGCAACCAGGACACGTAAGTGTATAAATTGGCATCCACCTATGACAAACCTCGCACTCCGCACGTCCATACTCTTTAGACCAAAACCCAGGGTGGGAACACTTACGTGGGCTATCAGAAGTGCGTGAGGGCTGAGGGTCAGAAAATGTACGACGGAGACTCTCCAGCCAGCCGCAATAGGTTTCCATCACTATACCTCGGAGCTCAGTGTGCAAATCTTCACGAGTATAGCAGCCACTTGGGTGGTTTAGTTTCGTTTCAAAGTATGGGACGAAGGGGGCAACGTGTGAGTGACGATCCGCTTGGATGCTGATACGGTTGTTTTCAGGTGCGCGGGAGCCTTCGTTTTCGTAAGAATGGGTGTCCTCGATGAAGGACTGTATGTGGTCTTCATCACTGAATGAATAGAACATGTCTGAGTCTTCGTGTTTGGCTCCTTCGTGGGCTGAGTTGTAGGCTGCGTCTTCGCTCTCCGTTTCATCTTGGTTGTTGGAATTATCTCGACCGCGCTCGGCGGTTTCATATTCTGTGCCAGGCTGTTCAGTAGAAGCGATGGAAGAAGCTTTGTTGTCCTCCTCAGATTCCCCGTAGTAATAGTCCTCCTCTCCCTGGTCGAAGTCGTTGTCGTCGGCTTCATATCCTTCTCCATCGTGTTTATCTTCGTAGTCCCCTTCCTCATTTATCTCTCTCTCATACTCCTCTTCTTCATAGCCCTCTTCCTGGCATTCTTCTCCTTCTTCTCCTTCTTCTCCTTCTTCTCCTTCTTCTCCTTCTTCCCTTCTTCTCCTTCTTCTCCTTCTTCTCCTTCTTCTCCTTCTTCTCCTTCTTCTCCTTCTCCTTCTTCTTCTCCTTCTCCTTCTCCTTCTTCTCCTTCATCTCCTCCTCCTCCTCCTTCTTCTTCATATTCTCCATGGTAATAATCTTCCTCGACATATTCAACCTCATCGTGTTCGAATGCCTCTCCATCATCGGAGAAAAAAATCCCAGCAGACCCAGCAGCGGTATAGGACGAATCATGTTCAAAACATCCCTCTTCATCACTATCCATCTCTCCCTCTCCCTCTCCCATCAGTTCCTCGTCCCTGGTCACTCGAGTCCGCATTCCCTCCCTTCGTCTAGCCTCTCTTAACTCCTCCTCGAAAGCCTCCCTGCTTTGTTCCATCTCATCCCCGAATCTACGCTCCGTCTCGCATCTCTCCTTCTCCTTTTTCGAGTCTCGCGAGAAAGGATCCATATGGACACTGTTCCGATAACTGTACATGTAGCGCTCACTCGGATTGCTCAGATCGAACCGCCGCGGATTATGAGGTCTCCATCCAGTATACGAGGAATCAAAGACTTGCTCTTCGACGAAAACTCGTCTCGTTCTAGAGAGTTCCTCATTGTGTTTCATGCGCCGGAACGGGTCACGGAGGATCTCGACAGCTTCCTGGATCTGTGCATGTACCTTGTGAATAAATGAAATTAGGGATTGGGGGAATATCCTGGCGTTCCATTGAAAGAAAGTCAGAAGTAGGTGTGCTTACTTTTCTGAACTCGTCACTGGAAGCTTCGTTTCCCCTTGCTTTGTCTGGATGGTGCTTCAGAGCTAATCTTTTATATGCACTGTTGATGTCTTTGAGGGTCGCGTCGGTAGCAATCCCTAGAATTTCGTAGCAGTCTGAGATGGGTCTTTTGGGGGGGGTGGTCATGGTAAGTTTGTGGATTAGAAGCAGCACGTTGATGTGTTTATCTGTCTTCTCTGTCGGAGCGGAAGGTGAGCACAAGGAATGAGCTTCAGTCAAGAAGGGAGTGGGCTGTTACTCGGTCAAGATATGTGGGACTAGGAGGATAAGGGATTCTATGGGAAGGTGCCTAGAAGTGAATAAAGACGCTGAGTTATTGGAAGTCGAGACTGATTCCAAATTCGGTCACCAGAGTGTTCACTGGGTCTGAAGCCAACAGATCTCTCTTTTTTTAAGTACAGTGAAGTTGGTGCAAAGCATTAAAGAAGTGGGTGAATCCAGGCCGTCAGCCACTTCTAGGTGGGATAGTGAGTAAACGTTGACAATGAGTATCATAAAGCACCGGTCACTGTATGTGAGAAGACCGCGGCTATTGTCAATATCCAAATACGATGTGAATGAATACTTCAGGTCATGACTGGATTAGACACAGCAACCCGGAATACAGCATTGCCCATTATATCCAGGGGAAGTGGGAAAAATTTCACAAAAAAATATAGACTGATTTACAGGCTGGTGTTAATCTAGGTATTTATGAGTAAGTCTACACATATGGTGACTCCTTCCCACAAATGCATCATAGTTTCTTTTACATGTCCGCACTGGCAGTGGCACCAGTGATAATTTCGACCAGTTCGCCGGTAATGGCGGCTTGACGCTGACGGTTGTACAGAATCTGGAACCTGCCAGGATCGTTAGGTCTGGAAAGCAATGACATGAGGCTGGAGCTACTCACTTGTTGATCATCTCACCAGCGTTCTTCGAAGCATTCTGTATCAAAAAAGTTCTGGTCAGTCAGGGAACATTTCTATCAGTTTAAACCGTGGATACTTGCCTCCATTGCGTTACGACGAGCCTGGAATTTGATTAGCATCATGTCAATCTCTTTGCAGCCAAGCCTGTAGATGAATACTTACCGAGATTTCGCAAGCGTGGCCTTCAGCCATAGCCCAGAACAAGCTGTTGGCAAGGGCATATTCGCGGAGGTTGGTCAGAGCCTGGTCGTCAACCTCAAAAGCCGAGATATTGGCTGCAAATCTTGTTTAGTGTGCGAAACCTTCACCATAGGCATGCGTCAAAACAACTAACCGGAGTTGGTGATGGCCTCCTCAGAGTATGCCTCAACAGTGGTGGGCTCGTAACTCTGGGCATTGATAAACTTGTTGTAAATGATCTTAACGCTGGCGTAGTCGGTGGGCAGCAGGGCAATCTGGTCAGCCACCGCCTGGGCATCAGCGAACGTAGGAATGTCCTTGCAGACGTTGGCGAAGCTCAGGACCAAGGCATTGGCATTGGTACGGGACAGCTGAGCCTTGGCCTTCTCGCCGAGAACCACAATATCGACGTTGGGGTTTTCCTGGAGCATCCGACGGGTGGCCTTGCTCAGACCGGAATGGATACCACCGCAGAGACCCTTGTCGGAGCTGGCCACAACGAGCAGAGTCTTCTTGTCCTCAAGGGCCTTGGTCTCGGCCTGCTCGAAAACGGTGTTGGATGTCTGACCGTAGTTACGAGAATCGCCCATAGCCTTCTGGGCACGGGTGAGACGGGTCGAGGCAATGACCTTCATGGTGTTGGTGATCTTTTCGATGTTCTTGATGGACTTCAGACGGCCCTCGATTTCGCGCAGAGTTGCGAAGTTGGCGGCATTGGGAGGCGCAGTACTAGGACAAAATTAGCATTGAACCACGCCATTCCCGGATTGAGGCCTTGTCGACCATAATTTTGTGCTCGTTCACAGGTAGGGTCGAATGGCTGTGTAGAAAGGGGGGGGGGGGGATGTAAAAGGCGATATCCGAAGTGTGAGAGGGCCAGAAACATCACAAACTTACCGAGTCACAGCAACACTGCCGGCCCTCACAGCCGGGCGAACAGCACGAGAGAACATAGTGAAGTCGAACCGGGAGGTCGAGGGATAGAAAGCAACCAAGGAAGAGTGGGAGACGGGAGGGTAGCCGCGGGGAACAGTCGGTAGGCAATGAGACCTCAGCTCTAGTGAGAAAGACAGACGTTGAATTCGAACTCTCCTGTTTCTGTTCTTCCGACTTCCGGCTGCACGGGATTCCCAGGCGCGCTAGCCCCAAAGAGGCAGTCCTTGGCTCCAGTCAACCGCAGCGACCAACAGTGCGGGGCACGCGCAAAAGGAAAAGCCGAATTTCCTGGCCTCCTCGGTCGGGCATGCTGGCCATATACGTTGATGGCCTCAGGCAGAAAGGCAGCGAGTGGCTGGCCGGACAAACCTGAAGATCGCCTCAGGCCTCCAACCGGACGGCCTCGTTTTCCATTCCATTCCTGTCGTCTTTTCTTTTCTCTTTCCTCTTCTCTTTCTCTCTTTCTTTTACCGTTCCCTCTCTGTCTCTCTCCCTCCCTCCCTCCCTCTCTCTATCATCCTCCTATCTACCTTCCCTCTTGTCAATGCATCTCCATCTCCCTTGACATCTATCTATCTTCCTCTCAGCCTCCTCATTGGTCGGTTTATCATTGACCTCATCGTCCAGCCCATCGCCAACTCTGTTCTTCCTCAGACTTGGCAGGCCAATCTCGAGTCGCTTACCTCGGGCTCACCTGCACTCTCAGTGTCTGCTCCGTCGCGTCCCTATTTACCATTGCCCTAAAACCATGAGTTCTTCAGAAGATGATACCCCGCTTGTAAAAGCAAATGGTCGTCACTCTTCTGGTGAGTTTTCCGTCCCTTCTCCCTATTCGTCCATTTTCCTTAGACTTTCGCATCACTTTTTTCAGCTTGACCTCACATCAATTCAACCCATCCGAATCCGTAACCTCCTTCCCACTCCTTCGTCATTCTGCCCCCGCCCCCTCTCTCCCTAACTTTGCACTCTTGGTTCTCTTTAACACCCTTATATTGTTGTATCATCAAATCCACTTACAGTCTTGCTCTTCATTCATATCTAGGCATCTCCAAAGACTTAAAAATGGGCGGTGCGGCGGAAACAAATGGTCGTGTCGATCCCGGCGTGTCCATTCACTTTGGGCCCGTGCAGAATGATGATGATGTTGAGATGCGGGATGCAGAACCTCTTGTTAAGCGAAAGTCGCGGGCGAGTGTTGGCGGAAAGAAATCATATGTGGAACAAGAAAGCAGCGAGGAGGATCAGCCCTTGGTACGCCAAATCCCTCGACGATAGTCCTTTCGTTCTCTCCCCTGCTTTCGACCCCACCACCGTCGGTTTTCATTTCAACGACTGACCGTTCGACAGAGCAAGCGCCGTCGCACCTCCATAAAACACGAAGATCCCGAAACGGACGATGACGTGCCTCTGGCACTCAATGGAAGAAAACTACCCAAGGCGTCGGAGACTGCCATCGGTGAAGAGTCCGACTCCGATGTCCCCATTGAAAGAAAAATTGCTTCAGTAAAGAAACGGATCCAGCAGAAAGACGAAAAGGCTTCCCAAAACAATCGCAAACCGGATACCTCAAAGGCCACCAAAGCAGCGGCTGCCCCCAAGAAGCAAGCCAATGGCATTAAGCGGGAGCCTGTTAGTCAGGAAAAGAAAGCCCCCGCGAACAAGGCAGCAAAGCCGATCAAAACTGAGCCCAAATCTGCCCAGTCCACTCCGGTCAAGAAAGGCACTGGGAAAGCCACCCCAGTGAAGAAGGAAGAAAGCGAAGAAGCAGAGGAAGCGGAGGACGAATACAGATGGTGGGAAGATCCAACCAAGGGTGATGGGACGATCAAGTGGACCACCCTAGAACACAACGGCGTGGTTTTCCCTCCTCCCTATGAGCCTCTTCCCAAAGATGTCAAAATGAAATACGACGGGATTCCGGTCACTCTTCATCCTGACGCAGAAGAGGTGGCTGGCTTTTTTGGAAGCATGCTCAATTCGACTCACAATGTTGAAAATCCCACGTTTCAAAAGAACTTTTTCACAGACTTCAGGGATATTCTCCAGAAAACCGGTGGTGCCAAGGACCCCAAGGGCAATAAGACGGACATCAAGGAATTCTCAAAATGTGATTTCCAGCCAATCTTTGCTTACTATGATACAAAACGCGCAGAAAAGAAGGCCTTGCCCCCAGCTGAGAAGAAAAGGTTGAAGGCCGAGAAAGATGCTGAAGAGGCGCCCTATATGTACTGCATGTGGGATGGTCGCAAGCAGAAAGTCGGCAACTTCCGCGTTGAGCCGCCCTCCCTTTTCCGTGGTCGTGGTGAACACCCTAAGACAGGCCGCGTTAAGACTAGGGTTCAACCAGAGCAGATCACTATCAACATTGGGAAGGGTGCCCGTGTCCCTCCACCACCTGAGGGCCATAAATGGAAAGAAATCAAGAATGATCAAGAAGGCACATGGCTCGCTATGTGGCAAGAGAACATCAATGGAAATTACAAATATGTAATGCTTGCAGCAAACTCAGACGTCAAAGGCCAGAGTGATTTCAAGAAATTTGAAAAGGCCCGCGAGTTGAAGCATCACATCGACCGCATCCGAAAAGATTACAGGAAAAATCTCAAGCACGAATTGATGGTAGAGCGACAGAAGGCAACAGCAGTCTACCTCATTGATCAATTTGCACTTCGTGCTGGTAATGAAAAGGGTGAGGATGAGGCTGAAACTGTTGGTTGCTGCTCTTTGAAGTACGAGAATGTCACCCTCAAGCCACCAAATAAGGTGGTTTTTTGATTTCTTGGGCAAGGACAGCATCCGATTCTATGATGAGGTCGAGGTTGATGCACAAGTCTTCAAAAATTTGAAAATCTTCAAAAAGGCTCCCAAGAAGGAAGGTGATGAGATTTTTGATCGATTGACGGTAGGTTGATTCAATGGCTTCCTTTTTTTTTTTTTTTTTTTCCTATACCCGCTGCGTTCACCAGGTGCTGAGCCTTCCAGACTTCCGCCCTCAACAAGCACCTTTCAGGGTATATGCAAGGCCTGACTGCGAAAGTGTTCCGTACCTATAACGCCTCTCATACGATGTCTACTTTACTTAAGGATATGAAGGCAACTGGTACCAATACCGAGAAGGTTAAGGCATACAATGATGCCAATCGAAGAGTAGCCATCCTTTGCAACCACAAGCGGACTGTCGCTGCATCGCATGCTGGACAGATGGAGAAGATGAGCGAGAGGGTAAGTCCCATGTGACACTTAGAGCGATTTTGGATTCACGCCGGTTACTAATGGACTGGCTTTTCTGTCCTATAGATCAAGGGTCTTCGTTATCAAAAATGGCGCCTTAAGCAGCAGATACTTGACTTGGAGCCCAATCTCAAGAAGAAGAAAGGCGCCAAATACTTCGAACTGGATGAGGACATTGACCAGGAATGGATCAAAGAACACCAAGCTTTTCTGGTCGAAGAACAGCGGCAGAAAATTACCAAAAAGTTTGAGAAAGATAACGAGAAACTCCTTGCAGAAGGAGAGAAAGAAATGAAGGCCAGCGAACTTGAGAGTCGCCTAGAGGTAGTCAAAGAGATGGAAAAGAAGTATAAAAAAGAGAACAAAACAGGCAAAGTAGAGGCTGAGGGCAAGAGCCCCAGTGTTGACAAGCTCGAGAACGCCATCGGAAAACTGGACCAGCGCATTGAAAACATGGAGCTCCAAGCCCAGGACAAAGAAGATAATAAGGAAGTCGCTCTTGGAACATCCAAAATCGTGAGTCGCTTGCTCTACAGTATGGTTTGTTAGTTATCTAACCAGAAGCAGAATTACATTGATCCCCGTCTCACGGTCGTGTTCAGCAAGAAGTTCAGCGTTCCCATGGAGAAGTTTTTCTCGAAGTCCCTGCGCGAGAAGTTCGAATGGGCTATCAAGTCCGTTGACGAGGACTGGGAATTTTAGGTGCGACTTGCGATCATGACCTAAGCTGGCCCAAATTTGTAGCATTTCATTTCATGATTGTCCGCCTCTTTATTTTTCCTTTTTTATTTATTTATTTTTTTTTTTTCGATTTATTTATTATTACTATATTTCCTCCTTGATCTTCTTGGCTTCTCTCTTGGTGGGAAGGCGAGTGGCTGCGATATATTCTCACCGCATTTTTGACGCCTGCTCTTCCACTGGTGCCGTCCATACACAACAAGCGGTGCTTCCCCCTGATCATATGTCATTCTAGCGCGCCAGATGCGAAAAGCCACTTAGCGAATATACAGCATGCCTGCGCTACCCTTATTCTTTTTTTTTTTTGGTCTTTTGTCTTGTGCAGTTCTTCCAAGATAAATCAAGATCCCGTTGCTTTTCATGGGTTGGAAACAAGGGGGAGGAGAAAAAAAGAAAAATAAATCGAACAAAAACAAAAGAGGTTATTATATGCAGGTTCTTATAACAGATCTCAACTGGTTGGGTAACTGGATACAAAGGAGGTCTTTCAAGGATCAGATAGAACTTATCAACATTTGCTTTGGCAGTATACCAAAAAGATAGTGATTTGCCTGTTTTCCAAATTCATGTCCTTACTGTTTCCTCCCTCGATGGATAGCAAAGCGAATGGTGAAAAGATTATTCATTTCCTACTTATATATACCCATACAAGTGCTTCATCCAAACAGTCAATCACTTTTCACTAGTTTGAGATATTGAGCGATGAAAGTACCTTCAGACTCAAAAATGAATTACTACACACTCAAGACGCAATGACGGCACTCTTCAGTATATGAAGGGGCATTTACTAATCAGAGACACAGTCCATCGTAAAGAAGGTAAAGCTGTGGCGAGTTCTCTTGTTCCTTGCCATGCAATACAGAAAAATTAAGGTTGACAAAAGAGTAAAAGTACAGTGATATACAATCGCAACCTTTCCGGATAAAGATCAAATAAATAAAGGAAAAGAAGAAAAGAAAGAAGCACGCTGTAGTCAGCAAAAGAAGCTAAGTTTCAACTCATTAATATGCAGAAAATGCCAATCGCCAGGTCTAAAGAGGTATGACATGATTTCCATGATCAGAAAATTAAATTTTATCAACATGGGATGTAATTCAAAAAAAAAGTTATAGAACAGACCAGTGCTCAAAAGAATCAGGCGAAAGAAGAATATAATGCGAAAGCGAAGATTATATAGATTACAGGCAAAATGGTGTGAAGCCCATGGCGTAGGACTGCTTTTGGTGGTTGATGATGGTTAGATCATAATACGAATGCGGTCTATGTACCCAGACACGAGATCAGTCAGCCGATCGCTATGCTTCTGAATGAAGGTTTTTCCACCATCGTGGATGGTCGAGGTAGAACAGCACTCGCAAATGGGAGGTTGTGATTGGTCGCTCTCATACTCTCTGGCGACTTTATTTCGGGCAACGGACCTGTTTACGCCGGCTCAAGAAGGATGGGTTGAGGAGTGCTTTGTGGAGGAAGGAGGATTCTTAAGGCCACCAGCCCATCCGTTTGTAGCTCTCAACCATTTCTCGCACAGAGTCGGCATTGAATTTTTCCCGAGTAGGTTTCCACCCAGTGGTCGTTTCAAACAGTGTACCATCGATCGACATGTCCTGGTCCTTGAGCACATCTCTCTCCAGGAAAGGGCTGATCGGGCCCGGCCGTTCAATCTTCGCCTGCTCGATCAATTCCGCCCAGACCTGCAGACATTCCTCATTCATATCATCCACCACTTCATCAAGGTTCAACTTGGCAAGTTGGGATGCTAATGAGCCCAGGAATGAGCATTTGATGCCAAACACTTCCAACAAGGCTTCAGCAATGTGCTCTTGGCGAGTATCTCCATGATCAACCACATTAAAGGCAATAGGCTGGCTTTCAGCCGGGGGGGTATTTGCTCGCCATTCCGCCGCCTTCCACAGGGCATCGGCTGCGTCTTTCACGTATACTGTGTTGATTTTCAGATCCTTGGTGTATAATAGCTCCAGGTCCTTCTCCATATCCTGATGAACACGCGCGAGGCAGATCCCCATAGCGAAATAGCCGGGGTCGTATTCTCCGTATACGTGCGGTAGGCGCAGCACACAGTAGGCGAAGCCCGGGATTTTCTGAATCTCCTCACTAGCCTTCAACTTCCACTTGGCCAACTTGTTCCACGGCTGAAGCTTATCATCCTCCTTTCTCGGTGTTGATCCCCCCTTATAGACGTGAGCGGTGGAACACTCGACGTAGGAGCGGATCCCGCGACGAGCGACTTCGCGCGCCAAAGCCACGGTCAGGTTGAAGCTACGAAGTTCGTAGACATCGTCAGGCTGGGAATGCCTCGTCTCGCCTCCGCAGTTGATCACGTAATCAAATTGTTCGCCATTACTCCGGTCAAAGATACGCGGGAAGTGTTCTAGAAGGGGACACAGGAGAAGAGACGTAAGCACTCGCATCGACTAGTCATTCAACACGAAGGTTTCAATTGAACTTACGTTCCCGGCTCGCATCTGCCTGAACGAATTTATCCTTGGAGCAAGCCTGTTCAAACTCGGGAGCCAACCAAGCGAGCTGGGGAAGAACCTTGTCTACCAGCCGGACTTCGGAGGCCAGGTTATTCTCATGTATATGAAGAGCCAGATGACGGCCGATAAATCCTGCGAAGGGTAACCAGGTCAGTCGAGCGTCGCTAGGTAGGAGGTGTCTGTCTGCACATACCCAAGCCTCCAACGATCAACACGGCAGGCTTATTACTCTGGTCATCGGCCATGATGGGAGATGGCAAAAGAAGTTATAGTAGTGAGGGTGAATTGTAGCCGAAGAGCGTGGTCGGAGACGTAAGGAAGTCAATCGACAGTACCGTTGGTTGAGTTGGCAGTTGGCGCCCCGCACCTAGAATGGAACCAAAGAATAATAAATAATTTAAGAATGCGGGGAGGGAAAGGGGGCAGAAGAATCGACAGTGTCGCGAAGACCGAGGGAGAGGAATAGGAAGGGAAGGAGGCCGAGAAGAAGGTCCTATCCCGTCGTGAGGAGTAAGCAAAATAGATAATTAACGGAATGATCGATGGATTCACTGGAAAAGGTTCCAGGGGAAGAGAGGAAGATGGATGGAGAGTTATTCAAAAAAAAAAAAAAAAAAAGAGCGACAAGGGATTTGGGACTAAGAAAGAAAGACAAAAGGCACGGGCGTATCAGCTGCCTCAACCTGACGAACTTCTGTCTCTCTCTTTCTCTCTCTCTATCTCTATATCTCTATATCTCTCTCTACCTCACTACCTCTTCTTCCTTCTATATTTATAAACAGTGTTGCTGAGATTTATTTTTATTTTTATCATTATCATTATCATTATTATAATTTCTTATTTATATTGCTATTTACGCATGATTCTTTTTAAATGCCAATTCAGCCCATTGGCGGACAACCAGCTTCACCACCGTCCATACCCAAATTCTATCTCGAATCTCCCATCATTGATTGCATCAGAGAACGAAGCGTTCGATCATAATTATCATGGCGTCGAATTCCGCCCTCCACGACCGTCGGAGATCCATACCGCATCTCTGGCTCACAGCGCTAGGCAACGGGAAAAAGAGGGTCAACGTAGGTTCCCAGAGTTCCAACTCCGTTTATGTTGCATCTAGAAATTTCGCCTGTCGGAGATGGAATGCAGATCATCCCTTCCTCGGGCTGATCAATCATATCGGGACAAATGGTCTTTCATCGTCCCTCTTGGACCAGCAAAATCCCCGATGAAAAAAGGGTCCCTGATACTCGAAATTATAGATAATTGTCGTTCGGCTTTATCATGGACTGTTACCTCCCTGTTCACACTTCACCCTCGTCTCTCCCTCCCTATTTTTGGGCTATTCCCCTCTCGTTTCCACCACATCCTTCCTACCCACATGGATGCGGGACTATGATCAGACGGTGTCCTGAAGAAACGGAATATGTCCCACAACGCGCCCTTGGCAGGGGAAGAAATGATGAATCAAGTCACCCCCAGGGAGTCGTTTAGCTTATATTATTACTGTCTGCCTTGAAACCTTTGAAGCCACGAATCCATTGGCTGAAGGTGAGGGTAGCTATTGGGGGTTTTTTTTTTCCCTCAAGAGTTAAGAATCCCACAACCGAATTTTCCTTTCTTTATGGCCGTCTGTCTAATTCAGCTGTACCCATTCGGTATATGTGGACGATGTGCCATACTCCGGAGTAAACGTCACTTGAAGTGCCCCGTATATAATAGCATAATCCTTCGCCTAAATGACAATGTGCAGTGCGCAATGCAAGGGGAGATCTCCATCAAGGTTGACGTCGAATTTCCTGCAATTCTCGATACCAACCCCAGGATCTACTTTCTGTTCCATGGGCCATGGCCTGATCAACCCATGGTTGGTTGGTGCTGAGAATCCAAAAGAGTCTTAGTGTGTACTACTAGTCTTAGCCTTTATGGGAGATAGTTATGACGGAATATTCAAAGAATACTTTATTATTTGAAATGAGGTATCTCTGGTCTTCTTCCTCATTTCTTCATACAAATGAAAAATTCCCGTAAACACTTCTGAACCCTCACCCGGCATTCACGAAACTCTTTTATCCATGACATGAAGTATCACGTAGATTTTGAAAAGTGGACCATGGCCTCCATCGGGGTCTTCACTCTTGTGCTTCCATGCTCTCTGGAGCGCTTCCATGAAGAAGGCCCAATCCTGGTCCTTTCCTGGACGAATACGGATTTCAAAGTCGGACCATTCAAACTTCACAGAAGCCGCCACTGCTGCCGGCAAAGGCGTATCTCCCTGCCAGTTCGAGAGCGCCTTGATATGGCTGTCCCAGTATCTTAAAGTGCATTCATCAGCAATGTGGGAAATGAAGCTAGACGCCGTCTGGAAATCCTGGAAGGGAATCCAGATCGGTGCCATACCCGACTGATTGGAGGAAGTCACCAAGAATTTAGTATCGCTCATGGAATTGATCTCTTTGGCCTTGGCACAATTCTTCACCGCAGGCGCTGCTACGTGGGCTGCTGCACTCGGTTTGCTCTGTTTGGCTCCCTCCCCTCGGAGATCAATAATCGAGCGAAATGGTCGTATATTAGAGACACGTTGAGGCTTGAGGCGTTTTGGCTCATCATCCAAGACGAAAGACGATTGGTCAGAATCATCGGACCTTCTTCTCTTCGCTTTGTTGTCCTTGCCTCCCTGAGATAAGTTGGGCATGGGCGAAGGAGCTGGAACATGTCGAGCAGCGGCCGCTGACGGCGTCTCAGTAGACTGTAATATGAATCACTTGTTATATCACATACGGACAGAATCATATTAGTCCAGGTAGCACTTACCCCCAGCGACTGTCTTGCCTGATTCCTGGTGACGCCTTTCGCTTTTCGCTCCAAAAGAATCATAATGGCCCGAACAATCCTACAGGCAATAAGTACACCCCAGACGACTGTTCAGTAAACGCAGGTATGGACGGCTTACTCTTTCCTCCGATCGGGATACACACAGAGATGCCTGGGATCATCCAATGACTCCTGGAGCAGGTGCTGCTGACGGTTGGACTCGGTACCCCAGTAAAGCTTACCCCAGGTTTCCACAAAGCTCGAAGCACAGGCTTCTCTCTCCACCACGGATCTCTCGACATCTCCCCACTGGTATCCGTTGATCTGGACGTGTTCCCGCAGACGATTGATAAACTCGTGATGATAGTCGCTTTTCAAGTCAAGAAACGTGGTGAACTCGCGATCACGGCTTTTTTGATGCAAGCCACGCGCGTCCAAACACTCCTTCATAGGATGCACCATGGTAGATGATAGATATGATGAGCTTTCTGAAGAAGAATACACTGTCTGGCTACTAGCAGACGCCCCCATTACCCGATGTCAGGGTTCGATACCAGCTTCTGGCAGAATCAGTGCGAGAGAAAGAGGAACGTGTATAGGAATGCGTAAAGGTTGGAAGGAGGAGATCCAAAGAAGACATGGCGGCCAGTAAACAGAGGAGAGGTCTGATAGTGAATACTAGCTACGCGCCATAAATAGATTCAGTTGCCACTGAACAGGTATCTGGAATATCAGTGGCCTGTTCACTGTTCTGGCTGTGGACGCTGACCCAGAAATTTCAATAATGTCACGGAGAAAGCCATTTAACTAATAACTTAGAAAGTGACATTTAAAAAAAAAAAAAAAAAATCATCCTCCCAGTAGTTTCACATGATGTTTCATAGTAAGAGGAGTGCGTATGAGAAGGCAGGTGCACAAGCAGGAAACACTAAATAGAGCTACAACTCTGTCTTGCAAAGCAGAAATATGGTAATTGGTGGTTTCTGAAGATGCGCTGCATCTTAGACAAGGCAATATTACATATTCGTTATCATCATTAACAACTCTTGGAGTAATAGCAAACAAAAAGTATCTCATGTCCCAGTCATGGTTGGCTTGTAAGGCTAGGAACAGGTAGGGCCTTGTCGCGTGCCCCAGATTAGCAGTCATAGCTGTCTTCACTCAACTCCAAGGTGCTTTAGGGAAGATTTGAGTTCCTTGATTGCAGTATTGACATCGTCAAAGGTCAATGCTGATATTGCCCAGCGAGCATGTTTCTGGGCTTGTACGATAGAGTTATCATCAACTCCTTGCGTATTGATTTGGCTCGATGCAGAGGCTGCAGGAATATGAGGGACGGGTACGGGTACGGGCTGAGTTGCAGGGTGTGACACTATAGGAATTGCTCCCGATTGTGGCTGTGTAGGAAGGGCAGGGGGGCCTTGTGTATTGTAAAAAGCTTTGACATCATGAGATGTGCCTGGAGGGCTTCTATCAGGACTGGCTGAAGGAGGGAAGGATTGAAATCTGTCAGGGCCGCCGGCCGACTGACGGCCACCAAGCCGAGTCGGTGTATCCGGCAGGTTCGGTGCTGACGCGGACGCAAACGTGTCAGGCGCTGAGGGGAGATTCAATGGTGCCTCTGGCTCATTTTCGACGCCCATGGCAGGAGCTGGCGCGCTCGGCTGTGACGCGCTCGGCTGAAAAAATGGACTATCGGTAGGTGAAATTGGGGGTTGTGGTAAAGTCGGAGGCGGTATTGAAGGCTGTTCATCTTCGACGGACGGCTGCAGCGGCCGAGGCTCTTGAGGTGGCAGAGATTGAACAATCGCCTGCACCTCTGGATCATCCTCTTTAGGCTCGAGCTCATCTTCCTCAATGACTGGATTCGATGCATTCGGGTCCTCTCCGGCCTTGATGGCCCTTGCAATCCTCAGCGCATGATATTTGGCGAACTTGATTTTGGCGGCCAGTTCGGGCTCGGGGGGGCTCCAGATTTGACAAAGCTCGAGAAACGTAGCCGCTGCCTGAAACGTATCTGCAGTTTGTCTAGGGAAGGGTCAGATGAGGCACACTTAGCGATTGAAAAAGTGCAAGAAATACTTCGTCACTCTGTTGGCTCTCATAGTTGCTTCCGCACGACCGAAGACTTCCAGACCAAACTGTTCCACATAGGCATTCGCAGCCACTGCATCCGTCACGGCGTCATTATCGGGGTTTTCGTTTTTGAACTTTGCACGGCTATGCGTCAGCTTCCCAACTCTGTGGTTTGGTGTCCGAGAGCCCCCGACCGCACGTACCCTTTCCAATTTATCCACCAGGCTCGTTGTGTATAGCTTAACTTCGTCATCAGAGGAATGTAGTCCTTTCTCGATTATCTGGTTGACAATCCAGAAATTACCTTTGAAACGGCGAGATATTGTCAGTCGGGATGGTCTTTTGAAATCCAATTGCGTGACACTCACACCAATAGGAGACGATGGGTTTAACGCGTTCTAGCTGAGCAGCCCTGATGGCAAAACGCCCAATATCTGCCGATTTCAGGCCCGCAGGAATGTTATTTGCCATATGTGCGATGACAATGAAGATCTCCTGAGGAAATACCTGCTGAGGGTGAGGGTAGAGGGGAAGGAGATGCACATTTCAGGCGGGATGACGTTGGGGAGTGGGCATTCGCCGAGATTGTGGAGATGCGCCTTGGCTCTCTCTGCGTTGACCTATATAGTACATACAATACAGAGTAAATAGGCTGCACGCTGAATGAAATACTTGCTATGCTACTCTAACATACAGCTATTATGAACTTCCAAAAAGGGGCACCCTCAGGCGTCCTCCACTATCCATTCGCCGATTTCCACTCTCTCTTCGGCCAAAGCCTCCACCTCAAAATGGTCTTCCACCTGTCCACCGGGGCCTCCGATCCTCTCGATGACAATCCAGACTCCTCCCTTCTCCTCGAGTCCCGACTGCAAGTCAAAGTCTTCGACACGCACTCCCGAGATGGCATCGCAGTGATTTCCATCTTCCGAGGCCGCCAAGATCGTCTTGTATGGTCCTTGCCCAAGCTCCACTGTCATCAAAGCAGGCGAAGGTCCGACTGGATGGTTCCCAATAACAGACTCCCTGCTCCTCGCAATAAGTTTGATTCGTGTCAGTCGCGGCACGTGTAAATGGGCTAACATCCTGTCCTTTCCGGGAGGTAATACGCCAATGTCGGAGATCACTGCCCGTCTACCAGCTGCTTCTGGGGCAAGCGGCGTCACTTGGCAAGGGATAGAAGAGGACACCCACAGCGTAAACCGGCCAAGCTGATCGGGAGCAAATGTAGAACAAACAATGGTATAAACACCCTTGTCCAGAAACCTCTTTTCTACAAGCGACCCGCCACGACGGTAGTCCCCGCTGTCGGTGATAATGTCGCGGCTTCGGACTCTCGATATTCGGTTTCCGTTGGACCAGAATAATTTTACATGAGTGGCAAGTTCAGCGTCCGACGATTCAAGTAGGAGCGACACGTCGGTTATATCCGAAGCCTCCAGACGGAATTGTGGATTCAATGGGTAGCGCGCTGATTCTGCATTTCCACCTGCTGTTTGGGCTGTCCAGGCACCTTGGACCTTACTCTCACACATGTATTTGTTTCGAGCTTGCGCTATCTGCACAGGGGCAGTGGAAAGGGCAGACAAGGTAAAACTTTGGCCCAGGGAAGGTAAGGATTGTTCGGAGACCACCACTGTGTATGTTGTTCTTGGGGGCATCTCCAGTCTCATAAGAGTGTTGGGCGAGTCAACATACGGACCACGATGGGGGGCTCCGTCGCTTAAAGACACTCGCTTCCCGTCAGCCTTGAAAACATAGACACTGATAAATCCTGACTCATCATGCTCTTGTTTATGCGCAAAGGTCCTGAAATGTTTCCCAAGTAGTAGCCAAACAGCACCTCCCATTTCACTGGTTACCGCAAACTGCGGGTTTTTCACAAAACAACCAGCTACTCCTCTGCCATTTGAAAGATCCCATGTAAAGTGGATATCTTCCCGATATTTGAAAATCTCTGGGTTCCAGTTTAGGTACAGGTTTTCAAAGTCCTGGAGAACTTTTTCACACTCCATCCAAAAGGTGCCTGGCGAAAAAGATGGTGAGCTAAGACCTGGGTCTTCTGATTTGTAGATATCCCCACTGTCTCCGTGTATAGTGTCTGATCCAGCCCATGGGTTCTTCACTAGCATCTGCCGACGACCTTTGGACTCTTTCATATCCAAGATGGCGTAATCATGCTCACTGACAAGGCCTAGTTCTTTCTGCTCTCGCTCAGTTAATTTCCCAGTGCCTATCGTCAGCAAGACATCGCCACGATGGAATGCTGGGGAGAGGCGCCTCCAGAGTTGATCACCAGTCACGTCTTCATTATGAAGGAATACTTGTTCGGGGATCCAGCCTGTAAGCACCCACAAATCGGTCCCTGAGTTGCTTCCTGGAAAGTCATAACCTCCACGAAGTTTGAGGTAGGCCTTTTCTACAAGAGCCGGCCATAGAAAAGCAGGATTGTTTCGATCAATGACGTGAAGCGACCTCGAAGTCTTTGACGATGGCAAGCGATCGTCAATGGTCACTTTGCGGAAGCATCCGTTAAAGTAAAATCGAAATACATACTTCCCTGATGGCGAGATCTGGGGGTTTGCATGTTCGTCTTCACATGGGTAAACCACTGGCAGAAAACGCTAGTCTTGTCAGCCACAGTCGCGGCTACAATACAGTTGGCACACAGGGCCTTACCTTGCCCATACCACGTTCAAATCTCGAGGTAGTGGCGCAGAGGCTAGCAACAACCGAGCAATCCGTCAAAACGTCTTGTACGAGATCCGTTCTCCCTTTCACTGACATAACCGGGACCGCCGTCTCATTTGGATCTCCGAAATGATTCAAAAGTAGCTCAACAGGCCGTTTCCAGCCATCAAAGATGTTTTCCTGGAGATCGGAAAGATGTAGTTCTGGACTGTCACTGGTTGAGTCAGGATATGTAAGAAAGGCTTACAAGACTACAAGAACATACGTGAACACCTTTCCGTCCTCCTGCTTGAATTCATTGGAGTCTGGAGAGCTGGACCACGGTGGAAATATAAACCCATTCAGCTTGGCCCCCTCTAGAAGTATGATCTCCTCACGCGTGGTGAGTTTGCGTGTGGATTTGGGTGACCGCGGTATGTTTCTGTCCTTGGGGCGGACGGCAGTCCGCCAGTCTATGGCATCCTTGATCTTTTCTGCCCTGGTGAGCCATTCTTTGCATTTTGCATCCAAAGTCTGTTGATCCTTCGGGACAGTGGCCAATTTTAAAGCCTTCATGTAATGTTCAGCAGCATCAATTGCAGCCTCAAGCGCCTGTCCTTGGGAGGAAGCCGCCGATACATCCCTTTCAGCTTTCTAGCCACTAGTTAGTTGGGAACGTCCAAAAGTCTCTAGCATCTAGAAAAAGCAAAACAGGTAGGTAGGTGAATAGGTACCAAAGCTTGAGTGATTAAAGACTTTTGTGTAGTGGCGTTGGGCCTGGACATCCTGGTGGGGTTGGCTCCGTCGTTGGATGAGCACCTGGGATCTTCAGTCACATTCAAGATCGTCTCGTCTTCCAGGTCAACTAGGACCTATCGGGATTCGGAAGAAGCACTTGGTGCCTTGTTTGTAAGCCGTTCCGAAGGCCCCTACTCCGAGCGATTGTAGGTAACATCCGAGGTCAAGAATCAATCCACCACACTGGGATTCCAATCAACACCAGTGAATCGATTATCAAATAGCCAGCCAATGTGTTGACGGACTATTCCCTCATACCATCGAATTAACCTTAATTGAGAGCTCCAATCGTGACCACGGGCGGCGCGTTGCTGGATGAAGCGCGCACTAATCAGCGTGGCGGTGGGGAAGAACGGGAGTGGAAGGCAAGTCGGTAGGAAACGATAAATGCTGGACCTCGGTTCGTTTCGCCATACCTCAGCTGCGCCGAGGTGCGTGGGAGTTCGCTCTTCCGCTCTCACGTCCAAGTCTGCCGGTCTGAATCTCCCCAGACCCGGCTGAGCTCTTGAGTTGGGCGCTGTTATTGTAATCAGGGTCCTTTTATTTTTCAATACATTTTTATTTTATATGCTTCTTGTGTCTTCTTCTTACTATCCTTCAAGCGACCCTCCCCGCTCGGAATTTAGCTAGAATAATTCCGCCAAATCTATCAGTACGAACAAGGGGACAAATCTGTCAATATATATTAGTATTTATTATCATCGCTCTGTGATAGTCAGCAGTAATGGCCGGCCAGTCGAAACCCGCTCTCTCCCCTTGGGGCAGCGCCGTTGCAGGTGCAACTGGTGCAGTCCTCGCCAATGCTCTTGTCTATCCTCTTGATCTGTACGTGACGATTTCCTTTATATAGCGGGGTTGTGAGTACAGTATGCTAAACTACGGATCTTGCCTCCAGGGTCAAGACGAAACTTCAAGTCCAAGTAAAGAACGCGAATTCGAAAGAGGATGCCGTCCACTACAAATCAACTCTGGACGCAATCAATAAGATTATGGAAAAGGAAGGGATTGAGGGACTATACTCCGGAATTGCCGGATCCCTAATTGGTGTCGCATCCACCAACTTTGCCTATTTCTATTGGTACAGCGTTGTGCGGAGCATCTATATGGCATCGAGCCGGGCAACTAAGACTCCTGGAACTGCTGTTGAGCTTTCTCTTGGTGCCGTTGCAGGAGCTATTGCTCAGATTTTTACCATTCCCGTCGCTGTCATCACGACAAGACAGCAAACACAGCCCAAGGAGGACAAGAAGGGACTAATTGAAACGGGTCGAGAGGTTGTGAACAGCGAAGATGGCTGGTCTGGCCTGTGGAGAGGTCTTAAAGCCAGTCTTATCCTTGTCGTCAACCCAGCCATCACCTATGGTGCCTACCAACGCTTAAAAGACGTCATTTTCCCTGGAAAGAATAGTCTGAAGCCCTGGGAAGCCTTTTGTTAGTAGAATACTGGCAGTGGTGCTCTTGTTTTAACAGCAAGCTAATATATCCTGCAGTGCTCGGTGCTCTTTCCAAAGCTTTGGCCACAATTGCGACACAACCATTGATTGTTGCCAAGGTTGGCCTTCAGTCACGGCCACCACCAGGTCGTGAAGGAAAGCCGTTTAAGACCTTTGGCGAGGTAATGCGCTACATCATTCAGAACGAAGGCCCTCTGTCCCTATTTAAGGGTATTGGGCCCCAAATCATGAAGGGGCTCTTGGTTCAAGGTCTATTGATGATGACCAAAGAAAGGTATGGCCCTTGTTTATTTAATACATTATGGTACGAGCTAATAGATTTCTAGAATGGAGCTCTTTTTCATTCTTCTTTTCGCTTATCTGCGAAAAATCAAACAGCAAAAGCTACAGAAGGCCGTTGACAGCGCTGCATCCAAGGCTAAAACCAGCCTTCCAGCCACGTTGAAATAGACACCTCGGCCTTCTTTCCCCCTTTCTTGAACTGAACGACATTTTTTTTGGCACTAGTCCGGGCGTATTTTCTTGGTTTACATATCTCGATTTATGGCGCGCTAGTTGTAGATTTATCATTTCTTTCGATTTTGACTATTGACACTTTGCCTGTAAATTTTGGCAATTATCATGTATAGAGCGTGTTATATTCCCTAGGAATACTACCAGGATAGACTCAACGGGTTCGCATCAGAATTCAATAGGAATTAGGTAATATGGTCGCAATAACTAACTACGTAGCCATTGTTAATTGATAGAGTGGGCAATGCATCTAATTTTCATGGGTCCAGCCAGACCTTTGAATTGATAAAGGAGCTACTCCATTATTCTGAAACATGAATCCTGGAGCCCCACGGATACATACACATCAAGCTAGCCTGACCGCCCATCGATTTCCTAGGCCATAACAACCTCGACAAATTTAAATTACTTATACCCGTGGGCCCTTGGGCCACAGTACCAAATTCCTGTTCACACTCCTCTCCAAAACTGGCAGCAAATACCTGGGGAGAGAGCATGTGTCGTCATGCGATGGTCACTATGGAGTTCAAAATCGAAAGCTCTCCAGGACCATCAACAAGAAGAACTGGAGCAAGAGCAACACTCAAAGGATGAACCACAGTCAACGTCGATCTCTTTTTGGTCCTCATCAAAAACGAATGATCCAAAGAAACCTGCCCAAATAATTGACTGGGCTGCGTTTATCGAACCCAGAACACTCTCTTCGACCGCTATTCTCACGACATGCATCTTAGGTGCAGTGCACCTCCACCGTCGTTATCTGATGCGATTCTCCAACGCCGTTAGTATTTCCCCGTCATACTTTCGTCGCCGAAGTATCCTCGGGCGGGTAACGAGCGTCGGTGATGGTGATAACTTTAGAATTTATCATACACCGGGTGGTAGAGTGTTTGGATGGGGTTGGCTACCTTGGAAGAAGATTCCAACGTCCAGAAAGGAGTTGAAAGATAAAACGGTATGTTTGACGGCTCGTTTGTCGGTCTTTTTTCTTTATATTTTCTGGACAGGGGAGGGGAGGAGCTTGAGATTCGGCCTAGTTTGGGTCTTCAAGGCTAACGGGATCAATTCCTAGGTTCATGTCCGCTTGGCCGGCATAGATGCCCCGGAGCTTGCACATTTTGGTAGTCCCGAGCAGCCTTTTGCCCGCGACGCTCACCAATGGCTGACATCGTATCTCATCAATCGTTCTGTTCGTGTCTATGTACATCGCCAGGATCAGTATCAACGCGTCGTGGCTACAGTGTTTGTCCGACGGATGCTTGACTTTCCCATTCCGTTCCGCCGTCGTGATGTGTCGTACGAGATGTTGAAGCAGGGACTCGCTACAGTTTACGAAGCAAAAGCAGGCGCTGAATTTGGCGGTCCGGTGATGGAGGAAAGATACAGGAAGGCTGAGTGGTGGGCGAAAGTGCGCAGAAAAGGGCTGTGGAAGGACTTCTATCGCAATAAGGAATGGGAGAGTCCTAGGGACTATAAGATTCGTATGGGGTCACAAGACCGGCCGAAGGGAAATGGGCGTAAAAAATAAGGCAGTCGTCCGTTTCATCCTTTTCCGTCTTCAAATTTGCGACGATCTTTCTCTTTTCATGATTCAGCGATTGATATTCTAAGACATGATACAGTAATGCCGAAAGACTATATTGCCTTTAGATATCAAAAATAATGGTGGTGTGTAAGACTCCTTTTGCCAGCACGTAAACGTGGGTAACCTTGATCCGTAATAACCCGTCGGGAATTGTAACAATGCATGACGCCAAGTAGCAGAACATCATAATATATAATACATGAAGGTATAAACAGTGGTATATCTAAGGCTTCAGCAGAACCTTCGCTCAATCTCCGCGAAAAGCTTCGGGCTAATCTCATCACTGGTATCGCCTTCAACGCGCCATAGACAGCCCTTGCTTTGATAATGATCAAGTAGCGCCTTGCTAGTCTCTTCAAACTTGCGAAGTCTCTGTGTCCATGTGTCGACCGAATCATCTTCTCTCTGAGTCAGAGGTTCGCCAGTTATATCGTCCTTGCCAGGGACCCTTGGTGCATTAAAACCGGTGTTATATACCCGCCCAGACGGCTCATGTATCCAGCGAGATGATATCCGGGAGAGGATTACTGAAGGTGGTGTGATAAGGTGAACAACAAAGTTCACTGGGACAAGAGCGTCCAAACTTGACGCCTGGGTAGAGGTTCGAGGGAAACCGTCTAGGATAAACGAAGCGGAGGGGGATATAGAGGACGGAGATGACGTAGAGAGCCAGCCCTTCGATCTAAATTCGGAAGATATAATTTCAAGGATCATTGAATCGGGAACAAGGTTTCCTGACTGCATTGCAGCTTCTGCCTTCAGACCTGTAGGTTGCGTCGGTTAGACACACATTCTCCTATATGCGACGGAATTGTACATACCCAAAGGTGTCTTCTTGCGGACATTCTCACGTAGAAGGTCGCCTGAGCTTATAGAAGCCAGTTCTGGAAACTTGGCGAGTAGCCTTTCTGACTGGGTTCCCTTTCCGACGCCTGGCGCTCCAACTAGGATAATGCGAGCAGCCTTCCTGAGCTGCTTGGCCGTGTGGGTCATCGCCTCCTCTATGACACCGAGCGATGAGGTTCTTTCGATATATTTATTCCCTCTTGAGGTTGGAGAACACGAGCGGCTTAGGCTTGCCTGGTTGTGAAGCTTTCGGGGGTTGAGGAGGAGAAAAGTGACCGTAGCAGTAGCAAAGTAATTTATCCCATTCTAACTCGGAATTTAACAGCGACTGGGGGGAAACATTACTGCCTATACCTTAGCTTGTGAAAAAAGTGGCTGCTCAGCTGATGCATAGATGTCTATACTTGGAAGTTCAACATTTCGTGCAGTGGAACTAAACCGGGGGAGTACGAATTCAGCGGGGTTGTAGATGCCCTCTTAATTAGGAAGTCGGTGAGCGGACCGCGCATCGGAGATCACAAGATCCAAGAATGCAAGTCCCACTTCGTCCTCAGCGCTCGCTACGATATTTCCGAAGTTCAATGGTCAGTTAATGCCGTTTTGGGGGAATAGCAGCAGCAGTGCACTCCATATTCTGGATTTCATACCCCGAGTGTCATATTTCACGAGAATGAGCCATGTTTAGCCGAACTAGGCGACGGCACAAGTCTGTGAACGGATTTTCCCTCGGTTGATTGTTGATGGGGGATTACCTCATTTCCCACGTGATCGCGCCGCGTCAGGGGCGCGTCGCGCTGGGTTCGCGACAAGCGGTGATTGCTATAGCCAAGGTTGTCCTCAATTGCTACAGAGGCCGTGTTGTTGCAGTCCTAAAAATGATCAGACAAGACGTTTATAGGATTGATCCGAAGCGAAGGACAACACTCGATCATAAAAAGAAACAGTTTGCCGTCCCAGTGTTCAAACAGCAAGACTACCCATATCGCTTGAACTTCTATGAAATCCCGCCGACCGCAGAGATTACGCTCGAGCAATTTGAGCAATGGGCTATTGATAGATTGAAGGGTATGTATTCTTCCAACTCAGGGTGGGCATACGGTCTTACCGTTCGGAACAGTTCTGGCTGAAATCGAGGCCTGCTCTTATCGAAATAAATCGGCCGCAGAGACTGCTGCGCACATCACACCTTTGCTTCAAAAATACCTTCCCCTTTCCTCAAATACGTCTTCCTCCTCTGGAGCCGCCGACCAGCGATTGAAAAATGAGCGCCAAAAAGATCACTATTCTCACTTCATTCTTCGACTGGCATTTTCAGCCACGGAAGACCTCCGTCGGCGATTCGTGCGGGCTGAAACGATGCTCTTCAGATTCAGATTTCAGCAGGATGATTCCAGAGAGAAACGTGCCTTTGTAGAGAGTCTCAACCTCGATTTGGAGCCTGTTACTGAGGAAGAGAAATCGGTGCTCTATGAGCACCTCTTGAGTGCGACACCGGGCTTACGCCGCATTGACGAGGAGACGTGGTACAAGGTGGACTGGGAGAGAGTGCCCGAGCTGGTGGAACGGCGATCAGTATTTCTGTCCAGAGGAAAAGCATACGTGCCCAGTAGAGAACAGTTGAGCATGATCGTTGCAGAATTCAGTAGTCGATTGGAGCGTGCTCTTGAGGTAGGTACTTTAATGCTATGCTGGACAACATAACGGTCGTTGAGCTAATTCTCGCCAGCTTACGAGTCGGGCCTTGCCACGCCTGGATGAGGATGATCGTCTCACGCCCATATTGAATCACTTATCCAAAAATTTTGGAAGCGCGGAATCAGTATACTCAGAGGGCGAGGGAGTCGTCGACGATGCTGCGATCACGGCGCAGAATATTGACAAACTCTCCCACCATTTCCCACTTTGTATGCGCAGCCTACACATGACGCTGCGCAAGAGCAATCATTTGAAGCACTATGGCCGTCTCCAATACACACTTTTCCTAAAAGGAATTGGGCTGTCGCTCGAGGAATGTATTCTCTTCTGGCGCCAGTCCTTCAAGGGTTTTACGGACGATGAATTTAACTCCCGATACAAGTACAATATCCGCCATGCTTTCGGAGACGTTGGTGGAGATGTCAACCGCCGAGGCCGGGGATATCCTCCTTATTCGTGCCAGAAAATCCTCAATGACTCCAATCCTGGTGTTGGTCAGACTCATGGCTGCCCTTACCGACATTTCTCCGTCGACAATCTTATAGGGCTTCTTCAGTCCACGGGTGTGCATGATAAGGAGTTGCTCCGCGGGGTGCGAGAGGACGTTGAAAAGACACGATACCATATTGCTTGCAACAGGGTATTTGAGTGGACACATAAAGCAGACATCAAGAGAGTCAAAGAAGATGGATCATGGAGTCAAACCGATTTAGACACCATTGTCCACCCAAATACCTACTTCAAGCGCAGCTATCTCCTTTCCCAGACTCAAAAGACAACCAAGGATACTTAAAATGTGTGTCAAATGGGCTCACGAAGATACACTGTTTGATTGTATACTGACGAGGCGTTTTTTGTCGGTTTGGGACACACAATGCAAAGCTTCTTTTTTTCTTTCTCCGTTTTGGGGTATAACCATTTCGTGTAAATCTAATTTAATTGCAAATTCCAACAGCACTGGATTTGAAGCAATTCCTACACAGACTTAAATCCTACTGATTGCCATGGGGCAAGAGTAATTTGTAACCACTGCTGATTCCCAGTTTATCCACAAGGATCGGAACGACCTTTCCAAGCCAGGTGCCCAGCGACGGGTCGAGTTACTCTTCGCTCGACTCGAGAACAGCTTCATCATGAAAAGACAGAAGTTGTTGTCAATAAGAGGTGGTCAGCGTTGTGAAGAAAAATATCTGAGAGAAAAGAAGAAAAAAAGAAGTGGACTGGATCGAGCTGAAATTTAAAGCCCACTAGCGCATCCTACGGCGGCCCAGAACGACCCGAGACGCTGCAACCTGGCCTCATGCCAACAGTACAGCTTCACACAACATACTCCCCGAACCCCACGTGTATCCCGGACAACAGCTGTTGGCGTTGTCCATTCCGCGACTGGGTTGTTCTCTAGGGGCTTTACATCTAACTTATAATCTGTGATTTAGAAGGGATTATCTTCTGGATTTGTCTTAGTTTTGTTAGATACCCCATAACCCCCAATATCACCCAGTTACCGAGACCCGTTCTCCAGCCAAGCAACATGGATTATGAAGCGCTGAAGGACCAATGGAGCGATGTCGAGGATCGCGATGGTATTAGACTCAGCTGGAACACGTTTCCAAGCTCTCGCATGGTTCGTTTTCGTCGCCCAATGCTCCCCCTACGGGCTTAACTAATTGATTCACAGGAAGCGTCCCGACTTGTGGTTCCCATTGGCGCTATTTACACCCCTCTAAAGGAGAAGCCAGACTCTCCATTACTGCAATATGAGCCAGTGACTTGCAAGCCGCCTTGCCGGGCTGTTCTAAACCCTTATGCGTATGATTTATCTTCTTTGTTTGGAAATGACTTTGGCTTACGTCCTGTAGCAATGTTGACGTTCGGGCCCGGATTTGGATCTGTCCGTTTTGTTTGATGCGCAATCCATTGCCTCCTCACTACAAAGATATTACCGAGAGCACGATACCCCCTGAGCTTCACCCCTTGAGCACGACTATTGAGTATCAATTGGCGCGTCCGGCCCCCGCCCCTCCTATCTTCCTCTACGTCGTCGACACCTGTCAAGAAGAGGACAGCTTGAAGGCTTTGAAGGACTCGTTGATCATGAGCTTGTCGCTGTTGCCAGTGAATGCTCTGGTTGGTCTGATCACGTTCGGTACAATGGTATGGAACACGAACACCGTCCACCGTCGAATGGATTGTTGTTGACTCGTATGTAGGCACAAGTTCACGAGCTCGGCTACACCGAATGTGCCAAGTCGTATGTGTTCCGTGGGAGTAAGGAATACGCAGCAAAGCAAGTTCAGGAAATGCTGGGTCTTTCCACTGGAATGCGTCCCAATATGCCCCAACAACCAGTTCGGGCACCTCTTGGTCCTGCAGCACGATTCCTTCTTCCTGTCCAGCAGGCCGAATTTCAAATCACCAATGTTCTTGAGCAGATGCAACGCGACCCATGGCCTGTTGCAAATGACAAGAGAGCTCTGAGATGCACCGGCGTTGCCCTGAGTGTTGCTGTCGGTTTGCTCGAGACATCTTTCCAGAACGCTGGAGCGCGCATCATGGTTTTCACAAGCGGCCCGGCCACTGAGGGACCGGGCCACGTTGTTGGACCCGAGTTGAAGGAACCCATCCGGTCTCATCATGACATTGATCGTGACAACATCAAATATTACAAGAAGGCCGTTAAGGTAAGCATTAACCAAAACATCAAGTACAAAGCTTCACTGTACTGAGAGTTTATAGTTCTACGACAACATGGCTAAACGCGCTGCTAATAACGGGCATGTTGTTGATGTCTTCGCTGGCTGTCTCGACCAAGTTGGTCTTCTGGAAATGAAGAACCTTTCAAACTATACCGGTGGACACATGCTTCTCACAGACAGCTTCACATCCTCTCAGTTTAAGCAATCTTTTGTCAGGGTGTTCGATAAAGACGCAAATGACAATCTTTTGATGGGCTTCAACGCTTCCCTTGAGGTGCTCACCACCAAGGAGCTCAAGGTCACTGGACTTATCGGCCATGCCGTTTCCTTGAATAAGAAATCAAGCTCTGTCGGCGAGACTGAGTGTGGTATTGGCAATACCTGCGCGTGGAAGATGTGTGGAATTGATCCTTCATCAAGCTATGGCGTCTACTTTGAGATCGCGAACCAAGGTGGCCCTGTTGCAGTGCAGCCAGGTCCCCAGAGAGGACTGATGCAATTCCTTACTTACTACCAACACTCGTCCGGGACCTATCACCTTCGAGTGACAACTGTGGCGCGGAATTTGAGTGGTCCAGCAGGGGACCCTACATTGGCACAATCATTCGACCAGGAAGCCGCCGCAGTACTAATGGCACGTATTGCAGTCTTCAAGGGAGAGGTAGATGAGGGCCCTGATGTGCTCAGATGGGTTGATCGGATGCTCATCAGACTTTGCTCCCGCTTCGCCGATTACCGAAAAGATGATCCAACTTCATTCCGCTTGGAAAAGAACTTCACCCTCTATCCTCAATTCATGTTCCATCTTCGTCGTAGCCAGTTCTTACAGTTATTCAATAACTCTCCTGACGAGACGGCTTTCTATAGGCATGTCCTGAACCATGAAGATGTTGGCGACTCCCTTGTTATGATACAGCCAACGCTGGACTCGTACTCGTTAGAGCACGAAGGAAGCCAGCCCGTTCTATTGGACTCGGCTTCTATCCAACCAGCGCACATCCTCCTGTTGGATACTTTCTTCCATATCCTTATCTTCCATGGAGAGACCATCGCGGAGTGGAGGAAGGCAGGCTACCATGAACAGGAGGGCTACGAAAACTTGAAGGCTCTTCTCGAGCAACCTAAGGAGGACGCCAGGGTTTGTTTGCCCTCTACTAATATTTCACCTCGATACAAGCTGACCCTTCGGGATAGGAACTTATCGCAGACCGCTTCCCGCTGCCCCGCTTCATCGTATGCGATGCTGGTGGCTCCCAGGCACGTTTCCTCTTGTCCAAGCTTAATCCATCTACTACACATACGACGGGTGGATACGGCGGAGGTGTGACCTCGCAGACTATTTTCACCGATGATGTATCATTGCAGACTTTCATGGATCATCTTATGAAGTAAGTGTTCACCTAAATCGGAACGTCGATCCACCCATACTGATCTGATCATGGAACAAGGCTGGCTGTTTCGGGAACCAGCTAGCGTAACGAGGCAATGGCCATGACGAGCGCAAGGGACTGTTAAACAGCGACCCTCAGATAGTTTGTATGTTTAGCGGTGATTTATTATTATTTAGTTGATCTTTCCCCCCTACAGAATATAGCACATTTCTAGATTCGATATGATTGTCACACGAAGTAGATGCCTGTAAACTTGAGCAAGTAATTATTAATCAATGCACCGCTGTAGCGCTGCATGTTCTGTATGTCACGTGATCGCAGGGGTCAAGCCCTAGTGGGCCTTTCCAGTTTGGGATTCTCGCTTAGCCCAAAGTGCGGGTCAAGCTAAATATCAGGGGACTTTTCGACAATGGTTTTTTTCCTTCCTTGTACCAACCACTTCAACAACCCAAGGACGATAGACGACCTTCGCACTCGCCATGCGTAAGTATCATCTCCTTGGATGTATCAAACGGCGAAACTAACATTGTATCAACTTGGTAGCTCCCAAGTTCGATCCCAATGAGGTGAAGATCATGTAAGTTCCCAAGGATCCCAGGGCCCCTCTTCGGGCTCAATCTTTGTCTCTGGTAATACTAATAATTTCTACAGTCACCTGCGAGTGACCGGTGGTGAGGTCGGAGCCCAGTCCGCTCTGGCTCCCAAGATTGGTCCTCTCGGTCTGTCCCCCAAGAAGATTGGTGAAGATATCGCCAAGAACACTGGTGACTGGGTAAAGGACTTTCCTGTGGCCTTTTTTATTCGGGGAATCAGCAGCTAATATATGCTTCGATTGTATAGAAAGGTCTCCGTGTGACTGTTCGTCTCACCATCCAGAACCGTCAGGCTCAGGTCTCCGTTGTGCCTTCCGCCTCGTCCCTGGTTATCAAGGCCCTCAAGGAGCCTCCCCGTGACCGGAAGAAGGAGAAGAACATCAAACATAACAAGTCGGTCCCTTTCGATGAGATCGTCGAGATCGCGCGCAAGATGCGCTCCCGGAGTTTGGCTAAGGAGCTGAAGGGTACCGTCCTTGAGATCCTTGGTACCGCTTTCTCCGTTGGTTGCCAGGTTGACGGCCGCAGCCCCAAGGATGTCTCTGATGACATCAAGGCTGGCGAGATTGATGGTAAGTGGAAAGTGTCTTTGGTTACTTGCTTATTCGGCACTAACATATGCATAGTTCCCTCCGAGTAAATGGTCAAATTTCCACTGCTAGTTAAGAGAATAAGATCATACCTTGACAACCAAAATATTTACGAGTAATGACAAGATTCCCAGTTGTGTTGTTCTGCAATTCCATCTATTTCGCTGGACACCCATGTATTCCCTACTTTCCGTGCTTCACCGTGTTTCACTTGCTTCCTAACATGCGAGTCGGAATATGGGACAAAAGCAACCCCCAGGCAACCTTTGCAACACTCTGGCCCTTACCGTCTTTTCCCGCCTTCTGGCCTGGATTAGACTACACGCAACGTGGTATAGGCTTATTTTAAGCAAAGAAGATCAACTTCGACCTGCTACTCACCGCGGTATCTTCAAGGGGTGTTTCGTGCATCTCTTTGTGGATGCAGTGGTCCATACGAATGGTCAACATATCGATGCCTGCCTCAAAAGCCAGGTATCCCGTAGCTGTTTAGCTCTTTTTGTAGTATTGAATGAATATATGGCTACTTCTACTCACGTGTTTTTTTCTTTTCGTTTAATATATAAGATGACCATCCAGTTCTGTCATTTTGCTAGTCTCTTTGGTGCTTCTCTATCGTGCTAACTTGCACCTGAATAGTAGCGAGAAGTCGGTTTTTAATGCTACTCCGTTGAGGAACGGATTTGACATGAAAAGTGGCCCGGTTCTTGGTTGCACGTCGTTGCTTTCTCTTATATTTATTTATTTTTTATTTTTATTTTTTTTCTTTATTTTTATTCTGTGACCCAGAGAGTGGACGTTGCACAGGAGTAATTAGAATATAATGTCTCTTAGATATGTGATCAAAACGTAGCGGTCGCATCCTGGATCTGCGCATCCGAGCCATTTGCAATGCGGGGGGATACGCCCAGGAGAAAGGATGCTTAGAATAGGAGAGGACGTTGTCAATGATGACACTCTGTGTGGACATATACATACATACCTAAGCATGAAGATACCGCATGTATGCATGTACAATATGTATTGTCTCCCCGGTCGCACACAATCACATAACTCACCCGCATGTCTGACGCAGCAGGCAAGGACGAGAGAGAGAAAGATGAGTCAGATCCAGCTGATCTTAATTACCTTACCTATTTGCTCCGTAGCAGGTCTTGTCTCATTCCTCCTCCCATTCCTTCAATTGGAACGTTGAGCCAGTCAATGTCATCTCTCTAGACCCAACGGATATCGTGATCGGTATGGTAGAATGCTCTGTCAACATGCTCCACACCCCCTTTCATGAGCAGGGAATGCATGCTCCGTAGGTGTAAAAATAGAGGAGATACCTAGATTGATAGATCCTTTATTATTTCAATTCAATTATATGGAAGGATTTGAATATCATGGAGAATGGCAGAGTTTGCCGATCGTCATCGCTAGACCGCTCGTGACATGGGTGATCGGTGCCAGCGGCCCCGTATTCCCGCCCTCGTAGACCCTGGTCTGGGCGGATGGTGATGGGCGAACAAAGCAGACCATGTCGGAACTAGTAGGAATCGATGGGAATTCACGGCACTGGATGGGGACAATGGCTGAATTGGATGGGCATGAATGGATGGAGATGGGAAACGGGCTGAGGAAACTTTGGGATGTATCTCCACTTCCGGTATCCATATTGCATGGATTTTAAGCAGGACCAACTAGTCCAACATCTGACCAGAGTAAGGTACTAGGTAGTTGACTAATTACGGAGCATTGTTCGCATTTGAGGATGATAGGTTAGGTGGCCACCATTGTACTAGGATGCGCACCGTCTGCGGAGTAGGTAGGTAGGTGCTTTTTGTATCTTTTTACTTCCTGTTCTTTGTTTATCATGGTGTCGGTGTGAAGGGAGAGACTCCATCGTAATTCGGAGTCCGGATGCTTTCGTCGGATTTGCTGCTATGTGCTTTGCTTTTCAGCCTCTGGCTGCGTCAGGGCTGCAGAAGCAAATGTACTGACTGTGATGGCTCAGTGTCTGAGCCTCTCTTTATGTATCCTTGTCATTCCCCCAAACCCTATTCGGATCGCTCGAATTAGATTACTTAATTTCCCCGGAATTTTTAGTAGGTATAATGACGACGGAGAGTGCATTATGAGATTCCTCCGTTTTCCTTTATGGGATATGTAATTAGCCACATGTCGAGATATATTTGTATCCGTGGAATATTTTGTCTATAAATATATGCGGACAGATATATACTTACTACCACAATTCCTCCGTTCTCTGTATATCTTCATTGCCTAAGTAGGTATCAAGGACTAACACCCCTGTATTTGGGCTCTACTCCGTAATTATAATTAGTCTTTTTCTTTAAAAAAAAAAAAAAAAAAACGCAATTTCAGTCCATTTTTCCTTCTCTAAGACAAAAACATGCCAGCTTGCAGGCTACGGGCTCCACTCCAATCCACCGAAGGTGCCAGATCGCCCTCTCAAGACCCAAAGGCTTGATCAATTGCGGGCGCCACTGGGGCCGGGGGTCTGGCATAGTGCTCCACTGACGTTGAACAGACCTGGATTTGCTCCTGCGCCCAAATGTTTAGCGCCCCCCATCCTGGCCGTTGGATCGTATGGGCGGGACTACTAAAGATGTGATGACTTTTCGTATTTATTATTATTATTTTTAAATACTTTATCTTATTTCTTTTTTTTTTTTAATCCCACTCGGTTTATTTGCTCTTGATATTTGTTCCCTCTTCTTGGAGTCTTTCCTTTGTTGTTTCTCTCTGAGGTATATCCGATACTACCATCTTCTTCGGAACCTCTCAAGGTCTGGTTCCCTTTCAATCAATAGTCTCACCGAATGAATCCATGTCACCACCATAAAAAAGAGGCACCTCGCAAGCCACATAATCTGTCTAGGCGCCCAAGCCCATCGCATCCAAACACAGTAAAAACTGGGTCCCTTACCCCACTTATCCCCACTATCCCGTCGACCATTGGCTCCACTTCCGCTGCCCCATCCACACTTTTGCTTTCTCTTCCCCCCCTCCCTTTTCAGAAAAGGGCCCCTAGGACAAAACGGGAGCTCCAGACTGTCGCTGTCCACTGTTCTCGTTTGTGAAGCTCCGCTCTGTCATGATAGCAATCCCGCTTCATCTCCCAGTGTCCTTAATGGATGAATTATGATGATGCTGATGATGATGTGTATGACTCTAGCCCTTCTTTCGTTCTAATTGCTTCCATTGGCAAGCCTTCAAACCAAATCATCTGTTCTTTTCTCCCCCCAGATTTGTCTGTCGGTCATCTCGTCCACTCGTCCCTTTTCTAGCTCTTCTTACTATTGGCGATCTTTTCTTTCCTTCCCCCTCTCCCTCTTTCTCTCCGCCGGCCGTTGGATCTTCTCCGCCTCAGCACCCTGCATCCGCTCCTGCCTTGGACATTAGGCGTAACTTTTTTTTATTTATATATTTTTTTTTTTTACACATTTCCCTTGGATCACAATAACGCCTACCTACAACTGTCATCTAAAAAGGCAAGACAAGAAATAAACAGAGCGCAATCTTGAAGATCAACTAGTGGTGCCATGTTCAACCTCTCTACTACACCATAACTTCCCTGGCTCGGATTGCGTCTTTGTTATTATTGTCTCCATTTTAGTATTTCCCTCCTATTTTTCGTTCTTTCTTTTTTTTTGCCCCATACCCTTCGCGCTGAGTACAACATTTCTGCCAAGCGGCCAAGCGTGGTATCTTCTGGTGATTGATCGCGTCTTGCGGACACCTGCGTCAGTGTGGGTGCTCTCTCTGAAAGCTGACTAGGGCTACGATTTTCGATCCCTTCCCTCCCTTGCATCGCTTCTTCACCTTCCTAAGAGACTCAAGCAGCAAATAGTGCCACCTAAGTTGTTCTCTTGCCTGTTTTCTTTTAATAAATCGTCGGAATCCGGGCGCTTCGTGAATGGTATCTCCGAGTCGGTCTACGTACCTCGTTCTGGTTCTCTCCTGCACCCTTTGCTCCTCGACCCTCTTATTCAGCCAACTATCGACACAACTTGCGTTCATGTCGAGCCCAGAAACAAGCCGTGGGAGGCTTCGCTGAAGTGTCGTGTCAAGTGATCCGGCTCATGTCCAGGATGAGGTGTAGGAAACGTTTTAAGGAGGATGCTTGTTAATAATCCTGCAAGAGTGAATGTGCGTGTCGTGAATATCTGACCGCTATCGATCTTTGGCAATCATCTACATCTTTTTCGTGACTTTCGGTTTGCTCGACTTTTCGTTTTGATCCTCACCACCCTCTCCTCTTTCAGTTTCATCCCATAGTTGCCTTTTTTATACGAGCGAGAGAAAGAAGAAGCGGAAAAAGAGTGCAACACTTATCGAAGCAATATGTTGCCCTCAGTAGCACCGTTTCCTCCCGTTCAACCACATAACCACAATCACTATCACGGTGTCGGCCCCGTTGATGTTCCTTACGACTCTAATGCTATCAGCTTTCCTGCGACGGTTCACCGAAATGATGTCACCCAGAACACGTCCTACCAATCAATTCCTCGAACTCGATTCCAGTATCATCCGATTCAGCGTCCCGACGCCCATGATGCCGCGGGCCCGATTCTCAGCTCCAAGCATGTCGGTGAACATACGTTGAGGAGGAAAACACCCAATGGTACTCTTGCTGCGGGCTATGATGGAACTCCAGGAGACACAACGATCCAGCCTCCAGCGACCAAACATATTCTTGTGTCGCAGCTAGAGCCAGGGCAGATGGTAGCTCCTCAGACAGGCTTTTCCATAGACGCTTGGGGACAACCTTCACTGGACCAATCTTCATCCACAAAACATCTGAACTTCCCACCCGTGTACAAGAGCGACTCGACCCGTGCGAATACAGTTCCTGGAGACATGCTTCAAGGGCCAAATGGAGCAAGTTGGATTCGTTCTTTGAACTACATGCCCGGGGTTGACTCGATGCTCAATCAATCGCAGCCAATGCAGCCCCCCCAACAGCGATTCTACTGGCATAACGGCCCTTACGTTCCTACAGTTTTACCGGCCACTCTCCAGTCGTGCATTGGACCCACTGCATCGGCAGGCACTGGGCCATATGGGCCGTACTGGCCCGATGGAGTTTATATTCCGTATCGCCCAGCAGCCTTTAAAGAACCGCGGTTTAGTACACCGACTCCGTTCTCCAAACAGCCAACCCTTTCCAATCCCCAGTTCTTTGATGCAGGGCAGCAGTCATTCAGCCAGAACTCCATACCGCCCAACAGTCATGCTGATCTTGGTTTGTCTTGGAATCCAGTTCCACCAGGTATGCTCAATCATGACATACCAGTGAAGAATAATTTTCCTCCTCGGCATTCGGATCACAAACTCCTTGATTCTTCTCAGCGTATTCTCCCATTCCACACTCGTCAAAACACTACCAGTTCGGGATACTCATCACGGCCGCCTGGTCATGAACCCATCACATCATGGCAAGGCAGCTCGGGTGGGCAGGGTTTCCAAAACATAGACTCCGCTATCAAATCACATGCAGTGAATGCTGAATTTAAAGAGAAGGTACTAACAACGGCTCACGCTGTTTATGTCGATCTCCTGGCGTCTATCCACCAAGCTCGACGGAATAGTATGTCTACGGCTAGTGGTGATGCCCAAAACCATCGATTTTTAAAACCAAGCATTTATCCCAAGCCGCCACGTCAACCTGGACTAGATTTCTCTCATACGAATGTACCTGAGTCTGTCCGTCATAACAGCTATCCCTCGAGCCAATACGACCTTCATCCTCTGCCAAAGGCCAATATCACAAACAATCTGGGGAGTAATGCCCCGTCCAATATCCAGGCACATCGACAACTTAAACGCCCTTCACTCTCTCATTTCCAACAGCAAGCAACGTCTGATAATCAGATGTTGGATAGACTACGCCGCACGGGAAGATTCACGGCGTCTTCTATATCTCTCTATCCACCTGCAGCTGCGCCTTTCAACAGCGAGAATCCCACGGCAAATGCTGCATATTTTCTAGAAATCCTATCTCATCTTTGCATAGAAAGCGGCTGGGAGTGGATTGATGGGATGCTTCTTGGAGGCTGTCTTGCTTATGGACTTGGTGATTATAATAGGGCTATGAGATGGTATTCCAGAATCATAGCCAGGGATAGCACGTAAGTAAACTATTGCCGTTGTTTTGGTAATATACGTTCATGTAACTGACCGATTTAGACATGTGGAGGCAATATCGAATCTAGCTGCTACGCTTTTGGCATTAGATCGTCGGGACGAGGCGTTACAACATTGGCTCCGCGCGGTCAAGCTGCGCCCCAGCTTTTTCGAGGCTGTAGAACACCTCATTGGCCTGCTATGCAGTAGTCACCGGGGGAAAGAGGCCGTCAACATCATCGAGTTTGTTCAGAATTCGCTGCGGGTTTCCAAGAACGGAGATTGTTTCACGGCCGACGAACATTCCAGCGAGACTGAAAGCGACGCCGGCAGCAGAGCATCAAGTACGTCGGACTTGGGTTCGTATGAAAAGGCGTCATTTGAGTACGATGATGATTTTGGCCATTCAACTTCTACTACTTATCGCTCAGCAGAAGCTAGACCTGCTGGGTTTGGCTCGAGTGGTTATGCAATACCTGGCTGCGACAACGGTAGAATGCTTGCTCTTGTTCATGCGAAAGGCAATATGCTTTATGCACTAGGAGATAACGCAGGAGCTGCAGCAGCTTTCGAGGATGCAATTCTAGTTTCTGCTGGGAGAAGACGACACGGCATCCAAAGCCTCATCAAACAAATCTTTGCCGCGTTCTCTCATGATGCCCCGCATGATTTCTCGACACCAGAGCAGCACAACTTAAACGAGACTGTCCTTTTGTATCCTGACAAGGCCTTGCAGACTTCGAAACTGGTTTTTGTTCCTTGCGGAACGCCTCCTGGTATTTTGTATGTTGCAGAAGGCTTGGCGAGGAAGGCAGCTATATCGACCACGAGTAACTGTTTGCTCTCATTGGCGAAGATTTATCAAGACGGCATGTCTAATATCTCTACCTCAGGTGTCCCGAGGACAGCACCGGGCGTTCGGGATATCTTGGCCCTTTACTACCTGTCTCTTTCTCTTCAACCGAGTCCATCCACTGCAAATAACGTGGGGATCTTGCTGGCTGGTATCCAGAACAGTGCATCCAAGAAAGGATTTTCTCGAACAAGTGGGGAGATGCAGCACCCCGAGATACCCGGGGTGGTTCCTGGCAGCGGCATTTCGTTGGCATTGGCATACTACAACTATGGTCTCCATCTAGACTCGCGTCATGCCCATCTTTATACGAATCTTGGTAGCCTGCTCAAGGATATCGGTCAACTTCAGGCCGCCATTCGAATGTATGAACAGGCTGTTCAGTGTGACGGTAATTTCGACATTGCCCTAGCCAATTTGGCGAATGCCGTCAAGGATGCCGGTCGTGTCAATGATGCTATTGCATACTATAAGCGTGCAGTCAAGGTCAATCCCGAATTTGCTGAAGCGGTCTGCGGACTGGCGAATGCTTTGAATTCTGTTTGCAACTGGGTTGGCCGAGGTGGGATTGTCAACGGCTACGGCTTCCGCGACCGGTGGCATGTCGATGAGCAAGGAATGCTTCGTGATGCTTACAGTACCGAAACAGGCACTGGTTGGATCAAGCGCGTGGTTGATATTGTCAACCGGCAGCTCGGGGAAGGCGAATCATGGGGTCGCGGCTTGTTAAACTCCAGCACGATCGCGCAATTGTGTGCGCAACTGACCCGCGCAATGGAAAGCCGGCGGTTTGGGCCTGATGCTCTGACTTCTGTCCTCAACGCATGGGTCGGGCAGAGATGGGAAGGTTCAAGGGTTGTCAAGCTGGTGGAGCGCGCTACAAGATCAATCACTTGGCAATGGTACCAAGATTTATATATTTATAACAAGGAATACCCTGTGACCAAGTATCGGCGTCCGCAACTTCCACCGGGCTTAACGACGCCTAATGCTCCCACCGTCCTACCTTTCCACACGTTCACCTGCCCGCTCTCTGCGAAACAGATTCGGCAGATCTCGCAGCGAAATGGACTTCGTATATCCACTTCGACCCTGCGTTCCCCATGGCTACCGGCTACAGTGTACCCACCCCCGCCGCCTCCGAATCCATATCTTAGGGTTGGGTATGTTTCGTCCGACTTCAATAACCACCCTCTTGCCCACTTGATGCAGTCTGTGTTTGGACTGCACAATCCTTCCAGAGTTAGAGCTTATTGTTATGCCACCACTGCGAGTGACAAATCAATCCACCGCCAGCAGATAGAGAGAGAGGCACCGGTGTTCTATGATGCCAGTGCATGGTCCATTGACCGACTAGTCAAGCAGATAGTTGCAGATGGAATCCACATTCTCATTAACCTGAATGGATACACTCGAGGCGCCCGGAATGAGGTTTTCGCAGCACGCCCGGCCCCAATACACATGTCTTTTATGGGCTTTGCCGGGACTCTGGGCGCGGAATGGTGCGACTATATCCTTGCTGATACTGTTTCAATACCGCCTGAAACGCTCTCTCCCGGTCGACGCAATGTACGGATTGAAGACCGACTCCTGGAGGAGGATCATGGAGAGGACTTTGAAGATTGGGTGTATGGAGAAAAGATCGTTTTCACACGTTCTACATTCTTTTGCTGCGACCATCGACAGAGTGCTCCTGACGCTCAAGAAAATCATACCTCTTGGACTCAGGAGCAAGAGAAAAGATGGCGCATGCGGAAGGAGCTATTTCCCAAGCTCAGTGATGATGCAATCATACTGGGAAATTTCAACCAGTTATACAAGGTAAGATTTAAATGGACCCGTTCGGGAGTAGTTACTGTTCTTCTTTTTGAGCTCCCCTGTTGACACTCTACTCAGATCGAGCCCACGACCTTCCGTACCTGGCTTCGTATACTCGCAGGTGTCCCGAACGCTGTTCTCTGGCTCCTTCGTTTCCCGGATCTTGGTGAACAGAATCTCAAAGAAACGGCCATTGCTTGGGCTGGAGAGGAGACAGCAGCGCGGATCATTTTTACTGACGTTGCCCCTAAGAACACTCATATCTCGCGAGCCAAGATCCTAGATTTATTCCTCGATACCCCCGAATGCAACGCGCATACCACAGCGACGGATGTCTTGTGGAGTGGGACCCCGATCCTGACACTCCCTCGCTACAAGTATAAAATGTGCTCTCGAATGGCCAGCAGCATTCTAAGCAGTGCACTGCCGAACTCTGATGATGGTCAAAAAGCTCTGGAGGAGTTAATTGCCACATCAGACGATGATTACGAAAGCAAAGCGATTCGTTTATGCCGGGACTTGCAATACGAGTCTCACGGAGAGGGCCGAGCACGAGGTAGATTGTCGGACATCCGCAAGATGCTATTCCACGGAAGGTGGGCTAATAGGCTTTTTGACACCAAGCGCTGGGTTCAAGACTTAGAAGATGCCTATGAACAAGTTTGGAAAGGTTGGGTGAATGGCGAAGAGGGTGACATATGGTTATGATGTGCGCTTTGGAATATACCCCTTGAGCGTTTTTCTTCTACTTCTTTTCCTTTTAATTTTTCTTCTTTCGATCCACCCTATTTTTACATTTCTTTTTCCTAACAGGTGCCCTTCATCATATTCCTGTTGAGATATGGCCCGTGCCACATATTGATTTATATCTTGTACTTTGATGTCTGTTAGTTTGATATAGCCCGCATCTGTTGCGGGGACTATATCTGTTCCACATGCATGCTGGCGTTGGGTGTGATTTTAGGGCATGGGACCAAACGACGACCAACTTCCGGGCCTGTTTCATGATAAACGCGAGCACCAGGCTAGGTAAATTGCCTCTGGGTTATGACTCGAGTATTTTATGGGTAGGCGTTTCGTGGTCGGAGTCATGTGGATAACTCCAGGCGTTGGGTTGGCATGTTCTGGAGGAGTGGCATAGTTAATAGATACAATGAGCCTATATGGCTATCTTCTCGGGTATGAAGCATATTCTATGATATAGGTTCTAGATTAGAGGCCGTGATATATGCGCATATTGGGATGGAGTATGAGAGAGAGCTGATCCTCTTGTACCGTATCACAATCGAGCGATTTCGATGGCCGCTGACATAACTGGTAGATTACCTTTGTAGGCTCCCGTCATGTGGTTCCCGGTTCAACATTCCTCTTTCTATTCTTCTCTTTCTATTTTATCTGCCTCCCTGACAACTCTTTATAAGCACCAGACCAACATCACTATGATGCTGAATTCGTGGAAATACCATGCCCGGAGACTGACTGACTTTAGAGCACCTAGGTCTGCCATGGTTCCCCAGTTATCAAACCCCATACATCATAGCACAACCCATCGTAACGACCTCTCCACTCCGTCGCGGAGATTTTCTGATCCTCGTGCCATGTCCGGGACCGGATGACCAGCGCAGATACCGTGGAATGTATTCGCATATGCATATGGATACTAAACAAATCGAGGGACCCGTCACTAGATGCCGACAACGATACGGATCAGGTACAAACAAATAGATAGGTGGGGTACCGAAGTTTTACTAATTTAACGTATGGGGTTAAACCAAGCGAGATGACAATTTGCAACGCATTTTGGCGAGAAAAACTGGGCAGGAAACGCTCGGTCTTCAGAAGTTATTGAGTATGCCTCATTACTGACTGGTGTAGCGGGAATGACGTTTTCCTGCGCAGGGATGTATGAGAGACAGACAGAGCGTAAGCGCGCTTGGTGTTAACCAGACAGAGAACAGTCAAGTGTCCAGACATTGGGGTAGGCACCACGCCCATCGAGATCGAAAGAAGCAGTGAACTCGGCGTCTGATAATGGATAGGACAAGACAGGTAACTCGTGTTACTTTCCATAACTCCACATCACACACAAATATCTGATCTAGCAAAGTTAATATCCTCCAGGCCCTTTCCTTCTGATATCCGGATATTCGCAACAGGAAGTACGACCTATGCATGATAGGGTGTGAATAAACAGCGCGCATAAAGCGCCTGTCTGTCTCTTATGAACCTAACGTCTGCACATAATCTATTGTTATTGATTGATAAATAATAATATTAATCGGAATAATCTAAGTAAAAAAGAAAAGACAAAAAGGGTATGACAACTGCATGTTGCATTACCCGCAGGAAAAGGAAAGAGGACGAGAGAGAGAAAGAGACAGAAATTTCAAACCGGACCTGGTCCGTCCGTACAGTTTGGAAATCGCCCGGGCAAGGAATTGGCCGTTCATCGAGGACGAGTTTCTGTTGGTCTACTACTAGAAGTATAATCCCAGAGAAAGTTTCATGACGTGACATGATGCTGGGGAAAGGGATTCACTGCATCCTGTACTCAACCAGTCTTTGTGGACTAGAGTGACGTAACCACCGGTGATTGGATTTTGATTTTATTTATTCCCTCTTTCCTCCCTTCTCTCGGCAGACGGACAACGAAAAGAGGGATCGGATTCGTATAATGTAATGCAATCTGGTGGCGATCGCTAGGTTTCGGAACTATCTGTCTGTCTGCCTCTCTGCTGGCTGACTGGCTATTGCCACTGTTTAGTTAGATCGGATCCAATTTCTCTTCTGATATCAATAGGCCAATACCCTGTTCGATTCTGGACACACATTTCGTTTCATCTCGTCTACGTCTCATCCCGTCGACCAAGTCTACCGGTACATAAGGTCAGGGTTTGACGACATCGCCAGAACTCGGCATCCGACTAGATAGGACGAATGCAGGGAATACCTAGGTAGAAGAATTAGAATCCCTAGATCGATCGATGGGCTAGATCAATGGCCAAATGATGACACTCTAGTACTCCGTACAGCAGATAGTCTTGATGTCGATCTGGCTTCACTGACTGCTCATTTCTACAGGATCTCGGTCCATAGACTGCCATTTTTCTTTTCTTTTTATTTCCTTCGTCATTGCCTAGGTATACTCTGTAGGTAGCAGGGAACATACAATGTACGGTCTAAGTTCCGCCATCGGCAAGAGATCTAGCTGACCAAACGGGACTATTGACTAGGTAATGTCCAGGGTCCAGTGATTCGGGACAGTAGTGCTGACATCTTAGAAAAGTGAGGAAAAAAAAAAAAAAAAGGAGACCTGATAGCTCGTACTGAGACTCCATAAAGAGACGCGGCATAGACAAGTGACTTTCCTGTAGTGCGCATTAGCAAATGCTTGAACAGTGCACAACACGCAGATTATTCTAACAATCTTGGATGCAACGAACGAACCTGCAAGCCAGCCAGCCCTAGTCGTAGAAACTAGTACATAGAGAACCACTACGAAGTGCGTCGCCGAGTGGTCCCTAGAATGGTGGAGTAATCAGGGATGTATTTGTATTTAGGTGCCTAATTGTGTATGTATGTGCCTACTATCTCGAGTGGTGATCGCCTGCACAGGAGGTTAATTCAGGGGGTGAAGCTAGGTATAGAGCAGATAAGGAGAAATTGTGGATAGTAGATGGATGGATGGATTGTTGTCAGTTAGGTTTTAAAAAAATAAATAAAATAAAATAAAGCCCTGCATATCGTAGGAATAGCATCCCTGACCTGCCATTGGATGAGGGAATAACCTGATAGGAAGAGATAAAACCAGGAGGATTTGAATTCCCAGGATCTTGGGAAAACGGCGCCTGTTTCACACTGGATCAATTGATGGATGATGGATGGATGGGGAGATGGTATTCTTCGGCAATCCTGGCCAAAATTCCATCCATATCCACTCAACACCAGTAATTATATGTCCCTACAGAGTAAGGTATGTAAGTCATCCTGGCTGCCAAAAACCGTTGTGTCTAGAGAACCAAGAATGTTAGTCCAAAGTAAATTTTTTTAAAAAAAAAAATAAAAAGTATGGTAAGGTAAGTAATACTCACATAATCAGATAACTAATACATACGGTATTGTAATACACAGCAACGGCTGGTATCTGACAGGTCCACGTGGATTTGGCAAGAACCCCTTGGGCTAAAGTGGTTTGTGCTTTGGCCCTCGTAGCGAGAGAATGGTAAGGTATAGAGCTGATCGATGATTAGTCCCCAGAGCTCGTACGAAGAAATAGTCCTGTACGACAATGAAATACGGTATTACTCCACCTATGACAAATATCTCCCCTCCGTTCTCGCCAAATCGCACCGAAACGGGCAATTGGTTTGCCGTGACCCCATGCTGATCTGAGCGACTCAGGTTCGAGTGACACTGACCCTTTTGGTCAATGGGAGGGAAGTGATTGATATCTTTGTTCTTCGTGGACATGGTATCCTGGGATTTGTACTCTGTATGGCTTGGAGGAATTGATACATACTCTGTATATACTCAGAGCACTCCGATCTACTAGACAGGGTATCTACAGCAGGTAGCACTAGACACTGTAGATGCTGCATTCCCAAGCATGGAGTACATACTACATACATTGTAGCTGCGATTTCAGCTGGAGTATGTTGAGGCTGATCTAATGGTGTTTTGATCTGATGCCAAGATCCCGAGAACCCCTGAACACCGTCCTGACGATACCCGAAGGATACAGACATCCATACAGTACGTAAGCTAGCTTTCTCCTTTACGATTCAAGTTGCCTCCGCTGATCACGGGCGGACCGGTAAGACGGGTACTCTAATCCCAAAGAGGCTTGGCTGATCAGCGGACCTCCGAGATCCTCCGTTCACCAATCACAGTCAGAAAGATGCGATCTCAACGTCCTGCTCTCACTGGCATTGATCAACCGGCCCGCACTAATAAGCAGGGGCCCACCTTGTTCCCAGGTATGGAAAGAATAATTTCACAATCGTATAGGTAATACAGGTACAGACAGTACCGAGTATATCCGAGCCAACTTACTTGTTTAAGCACATACAATTGGAAATTGCCCGGTCTGTATGTATGTATGGACTCTTCGAAATACCATATACCGGTATTACAGATCCTAGATATCCACATATTGTGCAGGATTCAAATTAATAAAGCTGCATATGCAAAGCAAAAGCATGCATCGTCAACTCCCCTGTCATTTTCCGTTCTTCCGCAGATTTAAATTTTTAAATAGTCGCTGGACAAGCACGAATCAGATGAGCCGGAAATAGTAAATATTGGCCCTCGCTACTGGTGGGTTTATAGTCTATTTGCAATGGAGCCCATGCGGACATATATATTTTGCCAATTCAATAATTATCCGGGGCGAGACCGTGGTTGAACCAAGTAGCTTGTCGTTGAGAGGCAATGGTTGATTCAAGGAACTTACATCTCTGTTCGATCGGACGTACCCGATTCCATGGTACTACCCTCCTAACCGTTTTACATAAACTGGTAGAATTGGAGTCGATTTCTTGTCGTTATCTGCATGATTCTTGTTCGCTGTGTAGCGAGGCACTTTAGCCCCACCCTCTCTCCATCGACATTCTGGATTCCATTCTCAATGGGCCAGACAAAATAACTAACCCTAGTCCAGATTGGCACCGTTGACTGAGCCTCTCTATGGTGCGGCCGTTTCTTATCACACTAGTCAGCCCTTAGCCACAGTCTGCTTGGAGCGTTTTACTGCAAGCAGGGATCAGTGGCAGGCCGTGACTTCACAATTGTGCTGGTAGTGGAACGGGCAGTCGCTTCGTTGGAAACTGCACCGGGAAGCTGTATGGGATTGGAGAGGGTTTTCCCCAATGGGAATCGGAGCTAGGGTTTCATGATATTTTAGGAGATTTTCGAAGTACTAGCATGGCTTGCTTCCTGGGGATTTTCACTCTCGTAAGACCAGTACAACCGTAGCACTGCTGGGTGGTAGGTTGGGATAGTCTCCCCAGAACTAGCTGGTTCTGAAAATAACAAGGGAATTAATCTATCTGGGACACTCGCCGTGGGATCAAATCCCCTCCCTATACTCCATCGGGTAAATTTGAGGTCCCAGAGATCATTCTTTCTTCTGCGGTCGATGGTGATGCTACATCGCGGACCCCAGGAGAACCCTGTAAGCTTCTCTCCAATATTTTCTCTCCCACATCTAATATATTCAAGTAGATCTTGCAACAGTCGTTAGGGGCCCCTGCTACACTGGAAACCGATAAAGCTGGGGTATTAATAAATCACACTGGACATTAAGTGCTGAGGCCCACGAAAGTGGCCCCGTTTCAACTGTCAAAGTCCAAGGATTATTTGGGGCCAAACCGGTCGGCGTTAGTCCCAGTAGACGTTATTTTATTCCTCGATTCCATTTATATCATACCAGCCCGGGAAATACCTCCGGAGATATCGGGCAACAACGAGATTGATTCCCACTTACATCCTCCGTAGTAGTATTGTTTAACCCTCACGGACACATATGTAACCATCAGTCTCCACTACCGAGCCGATATCCACACCGGCTCTGATTGCAAAATCATCGCGATTGTCTCGGAACCGGCAATACGTCACGTCACGTTGCGCGAATAGTGAGGGGCTAGTCGAGTCTAGTTGCGGCGCTAGCGACCAAGTATTCCAAATCAATGGTAGGGGGGAAAAAAAAAAAAGATGAGTGATGGATGGAGATCTCCATCTCCTTCATGCAGCCAGCTCCTGAAGAATGCTTCCACCCCCTATTGTTCGGAGGGACCTTGCAGTATGAGATTCGTAACTTGTTGATCCTTTACCTAATCATGGTCCCCAAGGAACCATACCCCGACCGAGTTGATAGGTATCTGGTGGCATTTAAACCGCCTTGTGTGTTGCTTGTTCCCTCCGCACTAGAGGAGCCTTGCATCCGACAGGATTCTATTCTGGGGGTCGATGATGGTCATGATGTTATTTTCGTCCTTGAGGATTCACTGCGCCCTTGAGTGGCTCGGTCCCCGACGTCTCAGGCTGACTATGTTTGACTACATACGTATGTGTTGTTGCAGGTGAAGGCTGGCTGAAACGAGCAGAACCTTTCTTACTTATGTAGCATGTAGATAGCAATAATAGCCATTTCCTGATACCTCCGGGCCTTGATGCTCCAATCACAGCTTGATGAGGGCGAATCCGAGGTTACTGCAGTCCATATGCCCCATATGTGTGGCTGCTTCAACCGTAGCGTTGTGGCGAGTCAGGCAGGGGGGGACATGGCTATCAGCTGGAAAGCGCTCCAAACAGAACGCCATTCGCAGATGGACCAAATTAGTCGAGGCTAGAGGCCACGCACTTCCGATACTGGCTGTGGCAGAATTTTTTTCTTTTTTTCCTTTCCCCCGCAGGACCGTCTCCTTGGACAAGTAAAAGTTCACTGCCAGACCGGATCCAAAATCCTGGGACCTGTCAAATCGCCGTCTTAGCGGATACGCTGAAACCTAACGTTAAACAAAAGGCAGGACTGCAGGCCGCTTACATCGGCCTGTGAGAAAAAAGACATGAGCTGATCTTCCGAGCTTAGACCGTTAGTGATCATGCATCAGGTCCAAAGGGAGAGCACAGGGAGAAGAAGCATGCATGGCTAAGAAAGGAGGGGAAGTGAAAATCGCCTGTGAGTTGATGAGCTAGGGCAAACGTGTAGGTATCATCCATCTACCTTACCTCGATGATAACTAGGAACTGTGTAATAAGGTTCGATGTGGAATCCTGGTCCCTCCCCTCCTTCAACCATTGAGAAGAGCTGTAGGAATCCATCCGTACCTGTTACTGGTAGGAATGCATGAACCATAGATCCATCTGTCGGGTCCATTAGGAGGTCGAGGATGAAAGGAAGGATGGGTTGTGTATGGCCAACCCTCATCAGCTGAATTGCGAATAGACCTATCAATCCCAACTTCCCAAGATGAGTGCATCCAAATGCTGCATTTGGCCCACGCCTCTTTGTTTTTGGGGGTGGTGGCCTGGGGTTTCCTCGTATGTTCTAGCCACCCCTTGCGTGTCCCTCGTGAGTCGGTGGCATTTCTCTAGAAGACAACAGCTGATGACAGCCAGCCACCAACGACGGAAGATAAGTTGTGTCGTATTCTATGCGCCTCCTTCCACGCCGCAAAACAAACATGAATGGCATGTTTTGCCACCTTGTGAAATTCAGCCTGCTTGGCTCAAGGGCAGGGATGGAAGAGTATTGAGTATCATTAGGATTCTTAACTGGGAACCTAGATAACCAATATAACAATCCAAAATAAAAAGACAAAAAAAAACAAAGAATAGCCATGGGGTATTATGATTAAATCCAAGCACCTAACACTTCCATAATATTAAATACATGCAAATTAGCTTCACGAAATTGGGAGTCTTTGTCACGTTCGGCCTCTCTATAAGCCAAAACATCCACCATCTCACCAAAGAATAATAAGCCTTGAACCACAAAACAATATCCCTTCTCCGATAAAATGCTTTTTCGATGCCCAATAAATAAAAATAACATCAAAGTGAAAACCCAAACCCCAGAAATGGACAGAATGGAACTCGCCAAAACGTTCAATCTCAATGCACTGTCGATCTTGTCCACGGGTCCCGCCATGGCAATAGTTCGAGAGCCATCGAAGATCAAAAAAAAAAAAAAAAGTACAGGATATAAAACGAAGGCACAAATGAAAGACCAAATCTAAGGAGGGACATGGGTCGGGGTCACACATATACATTAGACGCTCCCAGAACTTCAAATTGAAAATAAGATAGAATGTAAAAGGAAATCATGCGCGATCATCAATTCAGTAGGTTGTCGAGACCCATGCGAGAGTCACGAGGGGCTTCAACCTTAGTCTCTGGTCGAGGTCCTTCCGAAGACATGAGCCACGTCTGCGGTAGCAGAGCAGAATGCTGGTGCCAGGACTGGCGATCGGGGCACCATCGATGTAGGGGCTCCAGGGTCTGGGGAGCTTGGCAACCAGTGGGATAGTATACGTCTTCCGTTGTTTGGAGCGAAGAGGCGCTTCGTCGGCGAAAATTGCCACACGGTTGGCGAGTCTCTATAGGAAGAGAGAGAAGCTGTGGCGAGGAGATAGTTCGTGGAGATGCAGATGAAACCGAGTTGTGATCCGAGACCATTGATGGAGGCTCTATTGAGAGGGTGTTCGAGGCTTCTGAGAATGCAGGTGAGGTCAAGGGGGTTTCCACGGGACGGTTGAGGGAAGGAAGAGTGAAGATAGGGGTTAACTGTCGTGCACAGTCGGTCGTGGTTAATGAATCTCTCCGAGATGGCGATTTTGACCATGAAGTCATAGGCCTATCATGGGAGATGGAGGAGAATCGAGAGCGGCTGATCGGGCTGCTCGTGTGCATCGAAGCCCGCGCATACGGAGCCTCTACTCGTCCGTTGCAGGTTCGGCCTGGGTGAGTAGTGCTAGAAGTGGGAAGACCTCTCTTCTTCCGGTTCATGCTACCATTCCACCAGTTCTTGACGGCGTTGTCGCTGCGATTACCTAGTCGCCGTGCGATCTCGGCCCAGCGTTTGCCCATTTCATTCACCATCCGCTCGATCAACAGCCCCTCCTCAGCTGAAATGGGCTCGCGGTTGAGGGAGGGCTTGAGATTTTGATGGAACCGCTCCCGACATTGCTTAGGGGACCGATAGTGCATGTGTTGAGAGATACGGACCCAGTTGTTGGGGCCCTGCTCTCGAACCAACTGAAGCAGCAACTGATCCTCCTCAGGGACCCAAGGTCCTCGACGATGAGAGGGAGCCATCTGAGACTAGAAAGGTCCAAGAAATCCGAATATCTTTTTTTGTAAATATAAAATAAGAATAATATTTGGGCAATATATTTTCTGTGGAACATGTCAGATATTATAAAAGAAACGAAACATTGCAAAGGCGGTTGGGATGGTTGGGGAGGAAAACGGAAGAATGGCGTCAGTAGGTAATTGTGAGGTCAAATAAACTTCAGGTACGAAGTCGAAATGATAACCAAACAACTCGGCAGAAATAGGCGGCGAACCATTGATTTAACTTACCGTCGGGGTTTAGTGTAGAACCAAAGTCTCAAATCACAATAGTCCCAACAATATGTGTGGCCTGGAGAACAAAAGGATTCGAATAACTATGGAGAGGGGGCAATCCAACCACACCAGAACTTCTCACGATGGGCTTGGGAATTCAATCGACGGAAGAATTATGGTTCCAAAGTGCGTTCTCCAAGTGGTAGATATACCATAAGATGGAGAAAGGGGCGAGGTAAAGAATAGGATTTAGAAAGACGATGGACAAGATAGCATAGAAGAGAGGAGATGGAGATGATCAATTATTATACCAACTAGCAGCAGCAGAAGAATACAATGACCAGGGAGACGGGTCAGAGAAAATGGTTACTGCTCCACACCTAGAGCACGCTATAGGAGAAGATCTGATCCAAGATCTCGGAGCTGACATTGTCGGAGGAATAATAATAATAATGAAAATAAAATAGTAAATGGCAAAATAAAATAACTTTTTTTTTAAGGGAGGGTGGGGGCGTTTTATTTCAAGTCTGTATTACTAAACGAGGTTGTACTGTATGTAATATGGTATGCATTTATGTGTATACATAACGATGGTGAGGTGCAGCCACATAGGTAGTACGTAGGTAGGGAATTCCTGAAGCTAGGATATTTATTTATTATTCGTCCCTCATAACTAACTTCATTCACACAAACAAGGCACCTAGTACCGTGCAATATGTAGGTCCAGTGTTAAGGAGATACCCAGAGCTCTCGAAGATACCGATTTCGTCTCCAATACGAAGTGGAGACCACGGAAAACTGGCTACTTTAGCATGTAGTATCTCATTTAGGTATAATCAGATCCATCATTGACAGGGGAATAATTTCGAAGCAGCCACAGCCTAGTACCCATGACCCTCCTTAAAAAAAAAAAAATTAAATAAAAATAAATAAAAAAAAAGCTAGTTATCTGTTGCTGCAGCTGGCGTTTACAGATCGTGGGGGAGATTTGCCACTATATGATTATAGTGACTGCCTCTACCCTAAGATCGGTGTTGCAGCAGGGGTGTTAATGATGTTATTGCCGGCCGTGTGAAACACGGATAGACTTACAAATTGTTTCTATTTATTAATTTTTTTAATGATATCCTGGATATATACCTAGGGGATAGCGATATATTGTGTAAGAGACAGAACAGTAATGTGACTCCATGGAAATCCACTGTCTCCGTGGCAAGGCGGGCAGGGCAGCCTTGGATAGCAGTGTACTACATAATGCACAAAGCTACAGGCCTGCGCAACCAGCTCAATGATGTTATACTGAGGATACTGGATTAAGGTATGGGGATCTTCACATATAACTAATAGTTCGGGCAACTCGATGGCGAGAAAATAGAGATCAAGGGGTTCAAAAGGCAACAAACTGAAAGATACTATACCCTGTGGTTCCCAGCAGTTAGGCTCCAAAAAAAAAAAAAAAAAAAAAAAAAAAGGGCCGAGAACCCCCATGCTAGGGCTCAAAAAAAAAAAAAAAAAAAAAAAAAAAAAAAAAAAAAAGGGCCGAGAAGCTCCATGCTATGGATCTAACAAGAAAAATAGAAAAACGAAAAAAAGAAAAATAAGATCCGATCACCACCCTCTTTCCACTACCGCCTTCCTGGGCCAGCTAGAGGCAGGATCCATCCATCGACCACAACCATGGGTTGTTTTGGCCCATGCTCGTCTAAGTTCAGGCCCTGACAGGAAAACGGGAGTGGCAGAAACGGTCTAGCCGAGATAAATTAAGAAAGTTAAAATACATCATCCATAGTGGACAGAATGATGGATACCAATGGTAACTGCTATTACCACTGCTACTCATTTGGGCCATACATTGGGTCGGTCTCAGAAATGGAATGCCAGATTCCCGTTTAGGCAGGGAATGGAAGAGGGGGTGGTTATATGTGAGAGTCTCTTGGGAAAGAAGGCAAAACAAAAAGCAAAAGAAAAGAACAGATCTAGTTTCCGTGGATAAAACATGCTAGTGTCAAGTTAACCTGGTCGAATGGGTATATAGTAGTGGCTGAGTTGTACCGAGATCGAGGGAAGCAAAGCGCAACGCAAAGCAGTACGACTTACGCAATACAGAGTACCAAGGTAGTGAGAAGAATCCAAATAGGAAATTGCGAATCGGGATCCACCGGCGACCATCAGTCTGCACCCTTGACGGATCCTTCCATGCATTGTGCAATCACCTACGATATCCACATAAAAAAATCATATGTGGTATAAGTATGATCTAGACTGGGGATTTTGACTATTGAACTGACCCTGGAATAATATATGGGATGATTTCATATACACTAAGCCGGGGAATAAAAATGAAAGTGATGGCAAGTGTCTTCAGCCAGCCATTCACTATCCCTTCATCCATACTCCAGACAGAAAAAGACTCATTTGCTCCTCAATACCCACCGTATTCTGATCTCTCCACCCCCCGTGGGCCGTTACCCAGACATGAACCGTTTGTGTGGGGACCATGATTGGCGCAGGGCCATCTAGCGCCCTCTAACAATTTCAAATCTTTGAACTTTGTTTATACCAGACCGGGTTGTGATCGGCATGGGGATCGTACACAATCGCTGATCTCGGACGGGGCACCTTTGCATCGGTGCTTAGGACGATGTATATTTACTTTTTATCAATCACTGCAAGCTTACCCCTTTATAGTTATACATAAAGAGAGAGATGAATAGTTATTATTTATTTCAGAATCTTGCATACAATATCTAGAGGAATAGAATAGCATTAGAGGTGAAATCATCTTCATTATGCCGAGTCTACCAGATCATTATGTTCAATAATCAATGATTAAAGGATTAAATGTTGGCTTCGCATGATTACATTTGTCAAGATACATAAGGAATAATCAAATTGTATCCAATACACCAGATATGGAATAAAGAAGTAAAAAATGTTATATTAAATAAAGACATAATAGTCCAACCAACGCCCAACATCCACGTTACTGACTCATGTTTTGCTGCAGGGTCCGCACCAACTCTAGGTTCCAAGTCAGCTCAACTATGTTGGAAATGCGGTGGAAGTGTGATAGCTCTCATCGAATCCTTCTCTCACTTTCCCAGAATGACGGATATGCCTGTCTTGTCTTGCGTATTCGATCTGACTGGGCGATCAAAATGAACCGTGGCGTCCCCACTGCTACTAGCCACAAATCCCAAAGCATACATCAAAACTTCCCTGGAACATGCTCAATGGACCAAACTACCTTTCCAAGAACTAATCCCTGTATCGAGGCCGAGTACCACTGCTCGGGGATATCGGGGTTTTCCAGCTACGCAATGCATGGAAATAAACTAGCCCATGGATGAATTAATTAGATGGCAGGTATGGAGAAGCTTCTACCAATTACGTATAGTGATTCTAGTTATATATGTCGGACAAACCCGCTGTCACTGAATTGGGGTGCTGACAGGGTGCGGGAGAAAAAAAGCCACAAGCTGCCATATCAAGCTGGAATGTGGGTAGTGGGGATTGTGCTATTGTTCCTGATACCCACATATATACGGAGTATAATCGATTGGTATGATCATCATGAGCTCTTTTGGATAGTTCGGAACATGAGCAGGAATGGCTAGTTCATTAGAATATTCGTCAATGGAAACTGGGATTTTCTTCTATGGCACCAAGGGAATGGGATAGAGGGAAACAAGCCTCTGGGGGTGTAGTTTTCCACTGGGGTTGTATGTGATCAATCACTATTTTTTTCTTTAATTTCTTTTTGTACAAACTATTTGTGATGGCCAGTACATGGAATACTTCTAGCTCTACCATTCCCTGTACCATGTGTTCTGCACTTCAAAATTACACATTGGCTTTGTAGTAGCCGAGAGCAATAGTTCAGAAGAATCCTTCTTTTTTTTTAAAAAAAAATTATTTTCGACAAGTTTCTGCCCTAGACGATAATCCCAAGTAAATGTTAGCTTTAAAGAGCTAGGTAAACCATAGTAGGTAGCTTACATTGTCAAATCTGTCACACAGTAGCTTCCTAGGTTCTCCCTTACTTCCAGTCGCAGGCACTCCGTACATACAATCCAGTACAAGATAGGCACCATGAGCTAAGAGAACCGTTGCCTGTCATTCAAACCAAACAATCAGAGAGGGGCCGAATAAAATAAAATAACGCCAGGAATAATAAATAAAAAGGAAGAGATGGATACAAGCTAGTTTCAGGAGCCCAACGATTACCATCCTGCGGATCGATCATCATGCCTAAACGAGCATACTAAAATAGGGTAGAAGCACGAACCCCTGAACTACTAACACCTGACGTGACGAACCACTGCGTTGAGTGCAGCACTGATTGGTCAACAAAATAAGGTATTTGTCATTCTGAGAATGTGGGGCCAGTGTTGCTTTTGGAAACGATAGGCGGGCCGCGACGGTTGGATTCGATCCCCGTTTTTGCGATAGCTTGTGCAGTGGCTTTCCATCCGGCACATAAATTGTTAATTCATGATTGAAGAAACAAGGACCTCGAAATTAGCGGATAAGATCTAGATAACGGAGGTCGATAAGGCTCAATTTCTTCTCTCAACCCCCATATTGTTCCAGTCTTCCGGAACAATCATTGTTTCTTGCCTACCATGAAGGTACTGTACCTAGGGACCGCCGAAGAACACTGGAGAGCGGAGAACATTCCGGAGCTGCGACGGGTCCATATTTCCCCTCAAAACCTGGACGGGCCTCGTTCATTATGACAGACGGCA